TGGCCAGTCATGCTGTCTGCGGGCATGGACGATATGTCCGAGGGCATGGGGATGTAGCGCCCGCCGTCGCTAGAGTCGTCGTCGCTGTGATCGGGCAGTAGCTCGATGCCGACGGGCGGAAGAGAGGAGATGTTGGAGAGGTCGGAGTAGTCGACGGTGTTGCGGCGCGAGCTGTAGAGCTGGTCGTACGACTTGCTGTGGAGGGAGATGCGCCGCGAGTACGAGGCGGCGTGGGAATGGCGGTGGGTCTGGGTCTGGGTCTGGGTCTGGGTGATGTGGACGTGATCACTGACGGTGCTGTTCCTGCTCTTGCGGGAGGAAGGCGTGACCCGTACGCGCACACTGGGGCGCGAGCGGACTTGGCCTTCGGTTTCGCCTGCTTCAAAGTACTCAATGAGCAGCGACGTCTGCGAGGGGAACTTCTTGTGCAGGACGCGGCTGCCACGGGGCTTGGTGGGCGAGGTGGTGTTGATAGTAATGGGGGTGCCGTCTTCGGGGACCGAGTAGGAGGTCCTGTCGGTGCGGTTGGAGACGTTTGTGTCGACGTCGTCGGTGTAGTTGTTTTCGTCTGCGGAATCGAGAGTCGAGGGTTCAGTAGGTGCCGGAAGAGGAGGTCTGTCTGTATCTAAAACCATCATAGAATCCGAAAGATTCTAGAAGGCGGGGTGGGTGGCGGAAGACATGCCCGGCGCCGTTTTCCTCGAGGACGTTATAAGAGGGAAGTGTTGTTGTTTGAGGTGTGGGTGCAGGGCCGCACGGTGGCTAGTCCCCGTGTGCGCGAACCTGGATGTTGCTGGTGTTGGGTGCGAGCGCGAACAGCGATCGTGGGCGTGGGCGCGGACGATGCGCGGGAGAACCAGGACCTGAGGCCACCTGGTGCATGTGCAGTGCGTGCGACGCTCTGCGACAATGGCGAGCTGGGCGCCGACGGTCGTAGCGAAGCTGGCCAGCCAGTGTTAGCAGCTGCTCGGGCGTGGCAGGGCACGCGTCACGGGACTCACCAGACCAGGCCGCGCAGACAGCTCACTGCCGTCTCTCGGGGGTAGCAATGGCTCTACAAGCTCCGTCGAGCTGGTGGAGAGGCAGTCGTGGGAACCAACTCCAGCTGTGGTGGAGAGAAAGCCGGGCTGGGTCCAAGCCTAGAAGAACAGCAATCCTTGTCGGCGCTAACACGGCCGAGGTGAGGCTTGTTGGCCTGGAAGATCGCTCGCTGGATTTGCGTTGGACTATTAGAGCCGCAAAGGGTATTAGACAATAGTCGGGAAATAACAGCTGATTACGTAGAAAATGGTACAAGAGAGAGACAGAGCCTGCAAGCCCAGTCAGTAGACGTGCGACAGGTCGCGTCGTATCTTTGGGCTACCGACGATACATCATGACTTGTCCACAGCCCAGCCACCTTCCCGCGTCAAGGCCATACAGCGTGCCTGAAGTCCCTCGTGGACGCCGTTGGCCATGCATGTTCCGTCGAGCAGGCGCGTGTTTCGAACCAAACTCTGCCCTCCTAGACGACTGCCCGGCGAATGCCAGCCTCTACCGTCCCTCCACCCGGCTGAGCGCAGCAACAAGATGGCTGGTAGCAGCAAAAGCAATCACGCCGCTTATTCCATTCTATTCTTACCCCTCCCGTCGTCCCGCGCCGGCATGCACTTTTGCTGAAATCAGGTTATGCACACTCTGGGTTTTTTTATCTTCACTCCCATCCCTAGACAACCTGTCACTTCACACGTCTGTCTCACCGCCACATGTCAACACCGTCATGTAGGCCGTCTCGATACTACGACCGCTAGCTAGCTTCTAGCACCCGTGTCGTTACCAGGGGTGATTGTGCCGATTCCCCCGGTGGGCGGACGCATCCGCTTGCTTGTCTGCTCGACGTCATTGGTCATTTCGCTAGAGCGACTTGCCAGCGCATCCCCCATACAATCTGCCGCATAGCTTTTTCAAAAACTCGTAGGGCTGGGCTGCGCTTGCATGTCCATCAAGTAATATGTCAGAAGCCAGATATGCCAGAGAACCATATTCCGAAGGATGCAGACTTGATGAACTGGCAGTTGGCCCGACCTGGGGATATTGCTCTTCTGCTGTCTCAGTGGTTGCTGCCCAAATCCCACTAGCGCTCACCGGTTTGGTGGCGTTGAACTGCCGATTTTCTCAGAGACATTCATTTTGCTAACCATATTTTGCACCCACTAAGTTTCATGAAGCTGCCGAGTAGAGAGACCGTGTCATGGGCGCATCTGATCACGGCTTTCTGTGTGCCACGCTACATCACATTGGCAAATTCCACATCCCAAAAGCTACTCACGTCCTCCTGGGTACTGAATTAGATCATGCAGATAAAGCTATAAACCGTAGATCATTGTCCGTATTTGATTTTGTACGCCAAACTCCGATCGATGCCGTTCAAGCACCGTCTCAAAACCTCTTGCCTCCCCTCATTGGTCGTCGTTGCTGCTGAGGCTGGCTCCCGTATGCTCTCCGTCCCTCTACCTTCTTATCGCGGCTCAGACTCGCTCCAAGACTGATGTCGATACGCGGTGGTGCTGAGAAGCCGAACGACTTGGCTACCTTGACAAGATCCAGCTTATGCACATCGAACACTGAACGCAAGCTGTGTGACGCGTACGACTGGAGATAGGACCGGTAACCGTCCTTCGCACTCTTGTTGAGGTAGTAGTTCTTGTTGATCAAGGCTTCCAGTTGTGACTGTATGTTGAGGATCTTGTTGGAAGGCAGCTCGAACTCTACAAGGGGCACTCGGTTTTCCTTGAGGAGCTTGAGGAATCCCACCTCAGAGGGCAGGAGGAACATCAAACTCCTGCCTTTGCCGTTGGCACCTCGAGCTGTTCGACCGACTCTGTGGATGTAGTCTGCACATGTGTCAGTATATATTTCGTATCCATCGCGCATGTTCAAAACTTACCTCGGGGATCATCAGGCGGGTCGAATTGGATGACCCAATCTACTTCAGGAATGTCCAATCCTCGCGCAGCAACATCGGTACAGATGAGTGTGCCACTTTGTGCGTTGACAAACTCAAAGAAGCGGTTCGTACGGGCCTGTTGCTTAAGCTTGCCGTGCAGTCCAAGCACTGGCAAGTCAATGTAGTTGAGCAGTTCGCTGTAGAAGTCGACTGATGCGCACGAAGACAAAAAGACAATGACCTTCTTCTTCTGGTGCTTCTTGAGGAAGGAGAAGAGGAGCCTGAATCTGGTATCTGAATCGCACAGAACGTAACCCTGCTCCAGTCCCTGGACCGTGCTATGTTCGGCTCGATGATCGACGTTGATGTACAGAGGTCCTGGCTTGAGCGAGATCCTTGCGAGATCCTCAACCTTGGTGGTCTGTGTTGCCGAGAACAGCATGGTCTGACGCTCCGTGGGCAGGATCTTGATAATCGACCTCATCTCATCCTCGAAACCAACCTCGAGAATTCTGTCCGCTTCGTCGATGATGAGCGACCTCAGGTTCTTGAAAACGAAGCCTTGTGTGTTGTGTAGGTGATCGAGAAGACGCCCTGGAGTAGCGATGATCAGGTTCAAGCCCTTCCTGATCTTCTCAGCTTCCGCGTTTCGGTTCGCGCCACCGATACAGATACCAAACGTCTGGCTGTGTGATTCCATGAGCTCGCGAGCTACACCGAAGATCTGCAATGCAAGTTCTCTTGTAGGTGACACAACAATGACACCAGTTCCGTTGCGCGGCTTGAAACGCAATTGCGAAAGCATCTCGATGGCCGGAATAAGGAAAGCCAATGTCTTTCCACTGCCAGTCTTGGCCGCTCCAAGCACATCCCTTCCAGACAGCAGGGGTGGTATAGCCTTCTGCTGGATCTCTGTCATGTTCTCGAAGCCCATGTTCTTGATTGAAGACATGGTCCGCTCGCTCAGGTTGAGCTCATCGAATCGTGTTGGGTTCGCCGAAGGCATGGTAGTGCCTGACGGAAGGTCAAGAGCATTGCTACCCGTGCCAGAAGGAAGTTTGGGGAGCTTGTCGTCGTTGCCTCCATCGTCTTCCTTTTCGCTATCCTCGTCTTCGTCGTTCGCGGCACTGGCCTCGGCGGTAACCTCCTCTGCTACCTTCTCATCTTCTTCCCCATCACTCTCTACCTCGTCTGAAACATCCTCAACCACAGGCTCGGCTACAACGGCTTCCTTTCCCTTGCGCGCCTTCTTGCGCGCCTTGGTGGAATCTACGCCATTATGCGCTGGAACAGCCTCTGCTTCGGCGCTCTTTTTGCTCTTGTGAGACCTCTTCCTCTTGTTGCCTGACTCGATCGCGGCGGGCGACATGGTGTATTGAGCGTCTTGGGGGTGCTATGCAATGCAGTGACACGAAAAGTTCGATTTGGAGCGCATGCCAAAAGTTCGAAGACGGGGAAATAATTGTCGCGCTAGTTCTCTAGCGCGACAATCCCTGTCGGCGGCATCACTCATCGCCGCAGTGTCGAGTGATCACTACGAACACGAACAACGGGACAGAAACCACCTTGGCAGAAACCTCGGTATTTTGTGCACCCGCGCTGTGGCTCCCGAAGATTTTAGTGTAGCCCGATGCAAATGTCACAAATAATACATGCACTCACGCGACTCACCACTGATGCTGATTTCGGGAATCGTATACGCCTGAGCATGCTGAGGTCCACTTTAGCTCATCCTATACGCTTCGGTCTTTACGCTCATTGCTAGGTGTCTGCGCAAGGAAATTCTGTGTTTCGCATTCTCACAATGTCTTCAGATCGAAACTGTCTAACAGTCTTTCCATGCTCGTCAGAACGATCCATCTGTAAAGGCGCTAGAACGTCATTCCAGGCACTATCACACCAAGAGGGACCTGATGCCAAGTTGAATTACCAATCAAGTGGAGTCGCATAACTCCGTATTAATGAGTTGGGCCCTGCTGATAGATTATCTTTAAAGCCGCCTCAAGCATCTTCACTACGTCAACACCTTGAACAACTTTGTGGTATCGTGTTCTTGTCCAGTTGATCTTTGATCATGACACCCAAAGTTTTTCTGTATGTTTACATGCTCGCAGCTTCCAAGACAGACCACTAACTCGCACGCAGTACAGGAGGCACAGGCTACATCGGTGGTTCCGTCTTACATACTATTGCAACCGCCCACCCTGAATACCACATCACTGTTCTGTTACGCAAAACTCCTGAAAACTTCAAATCCACCTATCCCAACATCGACGTCATCACCGGTGACTACTCGAGCGCCGACCTCATTACATCAGCAGCGGAGAACGCTGACATTGTTATCCACAATGGCGATTCAGACCATGAGCCTAGTCTAAACGCTATCATCACGGGTCTTCTCCGCCGTCCAATTCCGGGCTACCTCCTTCACCTCTCCGGAACAGGAATTGTATCTGACTGGACCGATGAAGAGTATCTAGGGAAGTTGAACCCAAAGATATGGTCGGACATTGCTTCTCTGCCTGAGATCCGTCAGCTGCCCCCAAACGCACTCCACCGCAATACAGAGACCATTCTCCATCATACAGTTGCAGAGCACGGCGATAAAATCAACATAGCAGTCATGTGCCCACCGGATATCTACGGTCGAGGCACGGGGCTAGCAAAGACCCAAAGTGCTTTCATCCCGTTTTTCATCAAAGAAGTGAAGAATATGGGTGGTAAGGTAGTTTACCTCAACGAAGGTGCAAACACGCGGAGTTGGGTGCATATCGACGATTTGATGCGTCTGTATCTCCAAGTCGTGGAAGCTGCGGCATCCAATTCAAAGGACCTCTTCAATGATAATGGATACTACTTCGCTAGTACACAGGAGCATTCTCAGATTGATGTTGCGAAAGCGACAGGAGAAGTTCTACACAGACATGGTGTGATCGATGATGCGACACCCGTGCAGATTAGTTTAGAGAGATTGGACGCAATGGCGAATCTCCCTGGATTTCCCAGACTGGCCAGATATCTTTTTGCAAGTAATTCGCGCACGAGGGCAGAGAGAGCGGGGAAGGCTTGGGGATACAAAGGCGAGGCACCAGGCTTGTTAGAGTGCTTGGAAGCGGATATACTGGATGCTGTGCGTACCTAGTGTCTGACCATTGAGTGTGGATAGCGACTTGCACAACTCGAGCAGATTTTCTATGGTACAATGACAGGAGCTTCATACCGTGAGGCACCGTAGACGATTACAACACCATTTGCCAAGTTCATATATTGCGAAGACATTTCGGGGTACATATAAATGAATAGATTTTCGAGAGAAATTACATGGGGCTCAAACATTACCCAAATCCTTCACGCTCTGAACAATGAGAAGTTTCTTGTATCCAACAACATCATCTGGATGCAATCATCGCATGCGACCGTCAAGGCCTTGAAGGTCACGCTCCAAGTCGCTGCCGTTCCATCCACCCTGGTTGAAGGCTTCTTGTGGCCTAGGGTCTTCATAGCCGGCGCGGTCGTAATTGTTGGGTATTGGGACTTGAGGCGCCTGGTTCGCCCCAGCGCCTGCACCGGGTTGTACGCGGACCATCTGGCGGAAGCGGCTGACTTCATCCAAAATCATCTTCTTCATCTCTGGAATCTCCTCAACGACCTCAAACTGGAAATCAAACGTTGTTGGGCAGGAAGGCTCGTCGGAGGCGTCGTGCCAGATTTGTAGATACCTGTGCTCCAGGGCTTCTTCGACTGAGATACGGCTCGATGGGTCAAAAGCGAGCATGCGGTCGAGCAAGTCGAGCGCGTCCGGATTGGCGTTCCTAAATAGTGACTGGAACGAAATCTTTTGCATGTATGGTAAATTGCGAACGTAGTCCTGGGCACGAGGCGAGCCGATACGTGAGAGTGTTTCTTCGTTTGGTGTTCCAAGATAGTGCAGGATCTGGTTCAGTTGGTCGACGTAATCCCGGCCCTTGAAGAAGGGCTTGCCTCCGAGAAGCTCAGCAAGAATACAGCCTACTGACCATACGTCGACTAGCCGAAGTCAGCTATGTATTCAAACGCCGGGGGGGCTAAATTGGGTCCGCTTGTGGTTATGCAGCCCCTGGGTCTGTGGGGTCACCAGAATTTACACGGCAAAGCCATGGAACTCTGACGTGCACGAGTGGAACAAAATGGTAACTACTCACTGGCTTTCGTGTAGCTCTGGAAGCTCAACATGATCTCGGGAGCTCTGTACCATCGCGTAGCGACATATTCAGTCATGTAACCTGCATTCTCCTCGGGATCCATGGAGAAACCTCTTGCGAGACCAAAGTCACAAATCTTGAGCTCGCAGTCGGCGTTGACGAGTAGGTTACCGGGTTTGAGGTCGCGATGGAGGACGTTTGCTGAGTGGATGTACTTCAGACCGCACAGAATTTGGTAGATGAAGGACTGGAAATGGGCGTCGGTAAGCGGCTGGCCAGAGCGGATGATGGCTGCCAGGTCGCACTCCATGAGCTCTGCACCGTGTCAGCATCTCCTTGTCAGATGCCAAGAGGAGAATCTATACCTTCATAGAGGTAGCATTCGTTGAAGTTGTCCGGGCGGGGAATGTCCATGTCGTAGAGACATGTGATCTGTGCGACGGGATTTAGCATCGTGTCGGACGGTCTGCTTCTCGGACCAGGTGTATCTTACGTTGCGGTGGCCTGCCGGATGTTAGTCGTGGCAAAGCCGACGGGTGCGATCTAGACTTGCCTCTGAAGTGTTGCAGCAGCTTGATCTCGCGCAGGGCACGCTTTGCGAGGATCTTCTTGCTAAAGACGTTGGTGACCTTCTTGATGGCCACGCCTTCGCCCGTCTGGTTGTTGGTAGCCGCACTGGAAGGCACGGTCAGTATCCGCATGCGTCGCGCCGTTGCTCGGGTCGTACCAAACGATGCCATAAGCACCCTGTCCTAGCTCCTTGGTCACATTGTAGCGCTCGTCGACAATGAACTCCTGATTGAACACCTGCAGCCTGTAAGTACGCATGCTCGGGTCTGAGAGACGGATGCCACGCTACCTTGAACACCTTGCGGTTGGCGAGGTCGCCCATGATAGCAGATGCGGCGGGGTAAGAGCGAGGGGTAACCAAAGCAAGCTCTTTCAGTTTCTTTCAAAGAAGGAAGTAACGATCGGGGCGGTCGCAGAAGTCGAGCAGCAGAGAGAAGGCGCAGGCGGCAGACGGAAGATATGATATAAGGCTAGGCGCGCGGCCAATGTGATGACTGACAGGAGCTGCTTCAACACAAAGCGGGGCGGCGGCTGTCGAAACCGGGTGGGCGGTGGGACGGTCAAAGAAGGCGCAGAGTCTTCACCGGGAAGTATGAAGCAATAGGAAAGCGATTGACAAAGTGACGATGCAGAAAAGCGGTCGTCCTGTGCCTCGTCGCGGCCTCCGTGATGGCAATGGTGGGGTTGGTATCCAGTCGCAGCGCATACGAGGGGTTCAACTTGGCCCAAGGCGGCAAGGCGCTGCTATAGCCACCTTCCTCAGACCGCTTCGCCCGCGCCCCTGGCTCTGCCCTACAATCAGGACAATTGCCCGTTGCAGGCCCATGACCGTTTAGCCAGCCGACGGCCAGACCGGTGCCTCAGCGCGGTGCATGTCAATCGAGATGAACGCATGAGCCTAGCGCTGCGAGCAGCTTGTTGTGCATTTCTGCCGCACGGACTGCTGCTATGTACGTGGAAAGAGGATATATACAGCATAGACACTAACAAAACGTGGCTCGACTCGTGTCTACCACGTGCCTCCGTCTAGATGGGTATTCAGCCTCTGGCATGTACAAAATCAAAACTATCGTCTCTCAAACGCCATATCCGCAGTAAGCAACGGTGCCGCGTGTCGCTAAGCCAAGAGATCCCCGCCAGTTATGCCAAACAAAGTAAACGCCAGTCGTAACGTCGCTAAACCATCAGCTTTTTGGGTTTCATGACTCGTATGAGAACCGCCGTCGGGACATATCCGTAGACCCTTCCAGAGGCGAGACGGGGGAGAGAGGATCGTCATCCGATTCGGTGCGTCTTCCATCGCGAGCACGATAGGGCGGTAGCTGGAAAAATGTGTCCGAAGGTTCCAAGGACGCACCGTCTCGGGGTAACCGTGGTGTGACGGGCGACACGTTGCCAGTCGGTAGTTGACCGCCCACAATCGCCACTTCTGAGGGAGAGATCGGTGCAAGCCTTCGCGACTCGTCATGTGTAACGGGGGGTGCGTCTGGCATACCGGCCGGATCTACGCCGTTGTATATCCTCTCGCGTACCACCATAGACTCCTTCTCCGACAGTTGACGGCCGCCTGCTTCTGCAAGCACAGGCATGTCGCCAGGCATCTCGTAAATCTCACGCTCCTTGCCGTCTGCCTCATGCACCGGCAATGAACCCTTCTCTTGCGCACTGGAGCTCATCTCGTGATGTACATGAGACGTACCAGGCAGCTCAGCCTTCGGAAAGACAACTACACCCTCGGTACTACTTCGTACTGGAGAGGTCGGAGTTTCCTCCAAAACGGGTGGATCCATCTTGGTGACTGCAGCCGCAGCGGCCTCGGCCTCGTATTTCGCCTTGATGGCTTCCAATTTGCGTTTGTGTCGCCGATGCCAAAACCACCATCCAATTGCACACAACAATAAAGCAACGAAGAAGCCACCTCCCACGGCAATCCCAATGACTGCCGTAGACGATAGAGGCTTCTTTCTCGGGGGAGTGGAATGCGCTACTGCATAGGTAGGCGACACGATGGGAAGGATTTCTGGTGCCTTGCCAAATGTCCAGTCGACAGCTGACACTGTAAAGTTCTGACGTTCCCAATCTACAGTCAGGTAGGCTTCCTGCAGAAAGGTTCTGCCTAGTATCCACTGGCGCGACTCACCACCTCGCCTGATTGGAAAGTACCTTGTCTTCTCTTTTAGTCCTCTGTAGGGAGGGGTTGCCTCCAAGTCTAGGGCAGCATAAGGCAAGGTGATCTGTAGAGTGGCATCGGTACTGAATTTTTGACCAAGAGTGAACGTCACACTGGGGTTCTGCGCGAGGAGACTCTGGTGGAGCTTATCGTCCACAAGGTAGAGATCAGTCGCTTCGTCGTACTGCAATCCGAATGCGTCTTCGAAAGCTTGGCAGATTTCAACTGGCAGGTAGAGTTCTGCAATCGTGGAATCAATGTACATGGTGACGTCGTCAGTTTTCATGAGATCAATGTCTTCTTCCGACGTGGTGTTCGCTGTGATGCCAACTATGCCAACCACCAGGTCGCGCTCATTGTCCGGTGCGAAGATGAAAGTAAGGTCGTTGGGAATAAGGCGGGAGGCATCGTAGCCACCCAGCGTGAGACTTCCGAGGACGGTTTGGTCGCCTATACACACGAGTCAGTGATATACAGGAAGCATGTGGGACTGTCTTACGGTACTGTGCGCCGGCAGTGTAGCCAAAAGATAGACTGGGAATGCTCTTTTGTTCGAACAGAGTAGTTATGTAGCTCGGGACTGGGTCGTCGAAGACGGAGAAGTTGGTTGACTTGGAATGCACGCCTATATGCCCGAGCCAGAAGTTGGCCGTGACCAAGGTGCCGATTGTTGTATTCTGGACAGAGGGCCCCATCTCCCCGGCCCTCCCTAGACCCACCGAATCGAAACCGTACAGTCCGTTACCGACTAGTCCAAGGTACTTCTCAATCCACAGTTGGTAAAAGCCTTTTTGCTCCCATGTTTCCGAGTTGCTGCTGTTGAACAAGTAACCGCGACTAAGCTCGCACTCTGAGTCGAAAACGTTGAATGCTGTGATCTCTCCAGTCGTGGGGTCCGTAATATTTGAGATACAGGCCATGCGATTGATGGCCCATATTTGCTGACTTGCAGTCGACACATAGACCTGCACGTACTCCTGAGGCTCGCCTATGGCCAAGGTGAAGGTGTTCCATGCGCCATCAATTCCGATCCAGGTTTGGTCCGGCGCGACCGCGACGGGTGCTGGCACTGAGGCAATGCCGGGAAGCAACTTGAAGTTGGGCGTCTCGGTGATGTTTGTCTGCACATAGTCGGCGGCCGCAAGTAAGGGCAGGAGCAGGGCGGCGGCGAGGAAGGCGCATAGGGACGTGAGGCAGGCGCGATGCCCTTGCAAAGGGACCATGTTCCGTGACTAAGCGGCGCGTGGAAGGAGGCACGACTGAAGCCACTCAACCTCGAAGATTGCAGCGAACAGCATCACCGAAGGGCATTGTCTGTCCCCGCCAGCGCCACGAGAGAGGGGGGGAAAAGAAGAAGACACGGACAGCATGCAAAAGCACTCTCAGTCCGAAGTCTGGAGTCGAGCCAGATTGGCCGGATCCTGGCATGGATGCCGAGCGAGCAGGCCAAGGCATATATTGCACCAAAATGCTCTAACGGAGTTTGTCACTTGGCTACCGCTCCTTTCGACTTGACGTACCCGCCACTCGCCCCGATAGCACTTTTTGCGGGAACGCCGCAACCGTCGCGCTTTCTTGCGAGTCCTTTGCTGTGCTTCTTGATCATACCGCTTCAATGCTGCGTGGCGGCGGGCAGACAGGCTCGCACCTCGACTCCGTGAGACGGCCATTCTCCTCCCGTCGCTTTCAGCCGGTATTCTTCCGCAGCATCATTAATGAATGCAGCTGAGTGCCGTGAGGCACCCAACCCCTCGTTTCACCCCTACACCGATTGGCACATGTTCGCGCAATCTGGGGTGGGCCTCTGGGCTTTCTGGAGCTCCCATCTGCCACGGCAAGGCGCTGGGCTTTGGCCACCCAAGCCCGGACTCCAAGGCAGCCACCCCGAACGACAAGCTTGAAACAGTAGATTCTCGAGCACTGGAGCAGCGCATTCGCTTAGATTTCCCCTCTTCAGTCTGGCAGATCGGCACGCTTACCAGGAACCTTCCAAACGATCGTCATGCTCAACAGGACAGAACTATGAGTGTCGAGCCGGCATGCGTCGTCCATAGTGCTGGTCCGAATGCTGGTTATGCATTACTCCTGCCTCGCCAACGTGGCGTGTCAATGTCTGTCAGAGCCTCAACAATGCCTGCATGATCGTAATCAAACCTTCAGTACGAGGAACAGTAAGGGATGTCTGCAATGGTGTAGAGGCGCGCCGCACAAATACAAGCAATCGCCCATGCCGAGACAGGAAGGCCGGACTTTTAGTGGCTCCGCGCAAACCTCAGGAGAACCCGCAGTAACTTACTGTAGCAGTTGCGTGCGCCCATGGACCTGCGTGGCAGCTGCATTCGACTTGTTAAAAACCTTGACCGGATTCTTCATGTTCTGCGAGACCAGGGCATGTTATTGGTGACGGCCTGCAACTCACGTGCTGTCCGTCTCTGATCCCTGTCTGAAATAGGAGGGAAAAGGAACGTAACCAATGTACGAGCAGGTCTCGGACTTCGCCCAGGGGCCTAGTCCAGCTGCCTCCCGCGCTGATCTTCCGATAAATATGCATGCCTCTGCTCGGGACCACGCCAGTCGGTGCCGTCGATAGGCCAAAACACGCTGGACCCGCTCACCCAGATTGCCTCTGCTGCACTCTTGTATGTCCACCACTCTCTCGGGACGACTTGAGAGCACGACGTTCGTTATCCGTAGAGTGTCTGCGTGAGCAGCACTCTACAGCCGCCATGTATCTTAATCATCCGCTTTTTGCAGTAGGCTTCGCTTCGTCTGCAGCGGGGGCCGTGTTCCGTCGTGGTAAAGTCAAATCCCATTGCGCCTCGCGGCTTTGAATCGCTGCATGCTAACCGAGCCTCCAAGCCCCATATTCCAACGTTACTCTCGGAACGACCTTGCCTGCATCTGCTTCGACACTCGCAGCTATCCTCCCAGGAACCTTGTTACAAAGCGTTAGCACCTTGGGTACAGGGAGCTCTAGCGAGTATGGAATCCTTCAGCCGACCGATGCGGCCTCGATTGGATCACAGATTTCTTCTGTTCTACAACCGAACAGTACTTCGTCAGACGCCTATAACACAACATTGTCGCAGACCCAGTCTCCACCGCTAGCAACTTCAAGGATCGGCCCGTCTTCCATTAACGACACAGCAACACAGCAAAACCACATCTCCGATGCAACGTGCACAATCAACATTCCAAGTGCGAGTGTGGATTACTGGTTCGCTCCAACTTACAGCCACGTGGTGGGAATCATGACAACAGAGGCATCGAATTTCAGTAATATGAATTCGTATACCCTTGTTCCTTACACGACGACGTTTGATGTATCTAGTGCATTGTCATCAGACTTTGTGTGCAGCTATAGCACGTCGTATTATGCCGAATGGGACTTCACGCTTACGATGTGTGAAGAGTACACGGTAAGACCTAATGCAGCTACTACGTCGGTTGCCTATCGTTCTGCAGCCTACTCGCCTTTTCCCTCTGGAGGTGTCATCCCTACGTCAGATGCCGGACTATATGATCTTTACTATCCGGATACCTTCCCATCGGCCACTGCTACCATTACTCTTGGGCCGAACACCACAATAATTCAAACTTCTGCCACGCCGTTTGTCTACTTCACAGCTTATGAGATCGCATCAGGTCACATAACAGAGACAGTACAGTTGTACTCTCTACAAGCTTATCCTTATTGGTTGAAAGGAATTGAAGAGAAACCTACCATTGTAGGCCCAATACCAGATGGCTTTCTCGAACAGATTCCACAGTCTGCATGTGATGCTGGGCAGCTCCAGGCCGTCGTAACTGTTCTTGTCATTGTCGACCTATACTACCAAAACTGGCCTGGTATGGCCCCTCAACTCATCCACGCTGAGTCTTCTGTTCTTGGGTTTGACGATCTGCCTATCGTCATAAACAATTGGGGCACTGGCACCTCGAAGCCCATTCCACTTACAGTAGCTGACTGGAATCTCTCTGACGTTAACGGCGAACCGACTGCCACTGTTAAGCCAAACAACCGACCTGGCTCGATCCTAACAACCCAGGTGCGCGGTGGGAACAACAACAATGCCGTAAACCCCCCCGAACCCACCCGGGTTACCGTGGGGTTTGTGGGCACCAAAGCTGTCGTGGTTGGCCCGTCCTCCGAAGTCATTGTGGGCTCGCAGACCTTGCGGGCTGGAGCTTCACCTGTTAATGTGGGAGATGGAACTCTGGTTTCTCTCGCTCCATCAGCTACAGCTATTGTTGTGGACGGTCGAACGTCTAGACTTCCTCAGGCTGGTCAATCACGTCCTCCACCCGTCCTGACCATTGGTTCGACGACACTTACACCTAACGCTGCTACTCAGTTCTTTGTCGGTCCAGGACAGACCCTTTCCCCTGGAGGCGTCGCTACTATTGATGGCATCGTTGTCAGTCTGGCACCCTCGGCTTCATTTATAGTTATTGGAGGCTCCACTCAAGCTTTACCAGAATCACTACCAGTCCCAGGCAGTCCGCCGCAATTCGTAATTGGCAGCTCGACAATCACAGCGCAAGTCACTCAGGACAGGTCGAATAACCCCAACGGCCAAAACAATCATATGCCTAGTCCTACCTTTGTGGTTTCGGGGCAGACGCTCGCCCCCGGTGCTCCTGCCATTACCGTCTCGGGCACTACGCTGTCTCTAGCAGCTGCAGGAAGTGTTCTGGTGGTCAATGGGGCATCCTCGACGATACAATCACCGGCCTTTCCCAACATAACACCACCCGCACTCACTGTTGGGAACAGTGTGTTCTCTGCTCTTGATAGTCCGCGGAACTCGTTCGTCATCGCCGGTCAGACACTAGTGCCTGGAGGTTCGGCAATAACTGCGTCCGGTACTACGCTATCATTGGCATCTTCAGCATCTTTCCTTGTCGTGGATGGAGTTACATCCGTTATTCCAGATCCGGCTGCGCTGACTATCAATGTTGGCAACGAGGTCTTCGCTCCTATCTCGGCCCCATCTGGACCGTCATTTGTCGTTGGCGACCAATCTCTCATCCCAGGTGGCCCAGCAATCACCGTCTCGGGGACAACGTTATCGCTCGCGCCTTTTGCCTCATTTATCATTGTCGATGGAACCACCTCCTCACTCGTTACTCCTAGTCTGCAGTTCGGCAACCCTCCCGTGATTACTATTGGCGGCGATGTCATCAGCGCTCTTCCACAGCCTTCAGGGCCTGTTTTCGTGGTAGATGGTCAAACACTCGTTCCCGGTGGTTCAGAAATCACCGTCTCTGGTACCACATTATCTCTCGCTCAATCGGCATCCCTGGTCGTCATCAACGGCGTTACCTCCATTTTGGCTACCCCAGCTGCTCCACTGATTACTGCGCCTCCCTTAACTATCGGACATGCGACTTTTAGACCGCTTCCAGGGACTGGTACTGCATATCTGATTGGTTCAATATTGCTCACTGCAGGTGGGTCTATCGTCGTTTCGGGTACCACCATTTCTCTCGCACACGGAGCTACTGCCCTGACCATCAACGGAAAGACCAGCTTTATCTCGCCCGGGATTCAGCCCATTATCACCAACCCGCCATTACTTACTATCGGTTCGCAGACGTACACAGCACAATCTGGCAGCGGAACAACATTCATCATTGGCGATCAGACATTGACGCCAGGCGGCACGATTACTATCGACGGAACCACGATCAGTCTTGCGCCGGGAGCTACGGAGTTGATTTACGGAAGTTCAGGTCGCACCACAAAAAGTGCTTTGTTTCCCGCTACAACAACACGGCTCCAAAGCGTCACTAGCAGCGCGGCTGCGAGTGTAGGGGGCAGTAGGCCCAATGGAGAGGCTATAGCGACAGGCAAAAAGGAGGGCACAGCATCGCACTCGACGTACGGGAGGTCCATAGTATCTGCAGTCGTCGTGGTCCTTTATTCATATTTTGCTTGAGACAGCACAGCAAGTTCTTTGGTCCTTGGCATGGATTCGCGGTCTACTAATGAGTATAATGAGCATTGAAAGGGCGTTCCTGGGTTGTTGCTAGCAAGAGATACCACGTGTACAACAAGTAATTATCGGCGTTTAATCCAACCGGGGCGGTAGACATACGATGGCGTTGCGACGATGTAAACAATAATATATCTCCTCTGGTGACGAGTGAACTAAAAGTATGAGCGGGCGCATCGGTTTAGACGTGGTGCACCCCCGTAACGGCCGATTCCCAGAAGTTGGGATAGTTGGCAGACAATGAGAATTATTGAGCATATTTTGATCGTTCGACGGGTACTTAAAGCTACAAAGACTCCCGCGTTTCGTTGGGGCCAGGTAACCACAGCGGGCGCGATAATCCTTCATTAACGCCACTACACAGCGTCGTGCATCGGCGCAACGCTCTCCCCACACCAACAGTAAAAACAACGTACAGCAGGAATAGGCTTCGCGTCATATAAGCGCCGCGTTCTTATTCAATCGTCCAGTGACGGTTTCTTTGACAGCATTGCGAGGCACGGGCTGCGGCATTTTGACTGTTCATGCGAAGAGATTTTATAACCGGTGGTTCTTCTCATGTTGAGCACCATCATGAAAAGAAAGCGTCACGACTCAAGCGGGAAACGGTGTTGTTCCATGAAAGCCTCGGAAGTGTCGAAACATCACCATTGTCTTGGCAGGCACTGGCGCGCAATCTCCCCCACTAAAGGATTTCGTTTCATGTCATCTCGCGAACGAACACACCCTTCGCGGAACAATTCGCCCCACCACCGAGGTTGCGTCCCCAAATACTGCAGGTTCTAGAAGATTGGACCATAAAACATGAGAGTCATTGTAGACCGGTAGCACGAAGGGTGAAGAGTAGGGAGATTGCCTATTGCAGCCTTGCTGTTGTGAGGAACAATGCAGCAACGACCAACAATCAGTTCCCGAAAAAACGTTATGGCATAAGCAAACAATCAACTGCGAACATGTCGATGCAGCGTGCAGCGGGTGGTACGGACTGAACAACATGTTGGCGCTTCACCGCATGACGTTTCGTTAAACGCCGCGGCACGATGGTAGACTTCAACCGCTCAAGCTTTTCCGACATGGTTTCACGTTTCCCATGAGGCTCTCCCGTCATTCGACGCTCAGGATGTCGTACAGGCCATTTCCAGGCACATGCATGGAGGCGACGCCTTCAAATCTCGCCCCGACAATACCTCATCACATATTATGGGTCGTGGGAGCGGACAAGGCCTCGATTCAACGTTCTGCGGCAGCTAAACGAAGCCACGCTTCCGCTTGTGGTGCTAGTGCGGCGCGGAATAGATTGACAGGTGCTTGGCATCAATCCACAGACCCGGGTTTCATGCTGTTGGCGCTGTCAGGACTCTGTCAGTAAGGGCACTAGTCTTGTCATGGTGTGAACGTGCCGTGTAGGCGGAAGGAGTATAAGAGAAACAGAAGCCATCGTTGTTGGAAGGGCATCAAGCTTGACGCTGACACTCACTTTCACACGCTCTTTAGCATTACACTCACTTTCAATCCATTCGTCTCTCATTCATTCGTTCTTATTCTATCTTTGAAGATACGCTCAACTTTTGCAATCCAACCAACCAACCAACACAACAACCGCAAACATGTTCACCAAGACCGCTATCATCCTGGCTGCTGCCAACCTCGCTGCTGCGCACACCACCTTCCAGAGCTTCGTCATTGACGGCAAGGACCAGGGCCAGCACTTCGCCGTTCAGACTCCTTCCAACGGCAACAACCCTATCCTCGATGTCACCTCCACTGCCATGATCTGCAACGGTGGCAAGGCTACCGCCGACCAGGTCGAGGTTGCTGCTGGCTCCAAGATCGGCATGCAATGGCACCACAACGACCCCGTTACCACTGGTGACGGTGACGAGCCCATTGCTGCCTCGCACAAGGGTCCCGTCATGGTCTACGTCGCCAAGGCCGACACCAACGGTGAGGGCGCTGTCTGGACCAAGATCTGGGAGGACGGTCTTTCCGGTGGCAAGTGGGGTGTTGACAACTTCATTGCCAACAAGGGTCTCGTCGAGGTCACCCTTCCCGACCTTGAGGCTGGTGACTACCTCATCCGCCCTGAGATGATCGGTCTCCACGAGGCCAGCGCTGAGGGCAAGGCTCAGTTCTACAACGGCTGCGGTCAGATCAAGGTCACCGGCAGCGGCTCTGCCTCCCTCCCCGCCACCGGTGTCGACATGACCAAGGCTTACAAGGCCACCGACCCCGGTGTCTTGTTCAACATCTACGGTGGTGCTACCGAGTACACTGTCCCCGGTCCCGAGGTCTGGGACGGTGCCTCCACCGGTGGAAGCGCTCCTTCTACTCCCTCTAAGCCCGCTGCCTCTGCTACTCCTTCCCCAGCCTCCAGCGCCGCTCCTTCCGCCACTCCCTCTCCCGTTGAGGAGACCGAGCCCGCCACCCCTTCTGCCACCAAGCCCGCTGCCACTCCTGCTGCTCCTTCCTCGGGCAGCGAGTCTGGCTCTGCTCTCCCCGAGACCTTCACCATCGAGCAGTTCATCCAGTGGCTCAAGACCACCACTGGCTCCTCTGCCTCCAAGGCTCGCCGCCACGCCCGCGCTTTCCACTTGTAAGCGCCTTCTACAACGGTCGCAAGACGATCTTTCTTGCATGAACTGGTGTTCATGGTTGGACCTCTTTGAGACGTATCTTCTTTGATGGGAAACCCCCATACCTTTCTTCTAAGTAGACCGCGAGATCGGCTATCACTTCTTTTGATGTAAATATAGCATTCACGACGAATGGAGTTCGAAAAGTCACTGTAACCTTCCCGTCTGCTTGACCTGTGCCTATGCTACCTGTGACTCAGTGACTTGATTCAATACTTCTCATAACATGTTGACAAAACTGTCGTTTCCACTTCCCGCAGTCCCTTAGTATTAGCTCTGTTTCCGGAGCTTCTTTCACCTCCTTAGCTGCTTAGTTTAGGCTGCACCTGACTCCTCGAAAAAGTACAAGTCATCCTCGTATCGCTCCAAGATCAGATAGACATCCAGCCGTCCAATCTCCTGGGCACATCCTTCTCCTCAAACCATGCTACGTCACAGGCTTTCCGTTGTGCCATCTGTGTCGAGTAGACCGAGCATGCTTCGCACACCGAATCTTCTTCCTATCTAAGCCAGATGCACTCTCAACCTGTTGACAGAGTTCAAAGTTTTACGCTGATGGCTTTGGGCTGTGCCCAGAAACCCAAACGTGAAAGCCCCACTAAAATCGATAGCGCAATTTTGTGTTATTTTGCGCCTTCGTCCCTCTTCATACAAGCCTCCAACAACGCTCAACACACCATCTCAACTCGACCTATTCTCCGACCACGAACAAGCTTCTACAAGCTATCTTGGCGAGAGTCGAGCTAGGCACACCTCACTCACGGATCCCGGGCGTCAACTATCACGAACTTCCTATATCGGACTAGCAGCACCGCACCAACCCTTGCCAAGTGCACGCCAACTGATAAGCAACGACAAGCTTCTGATGCAGTTAATATATCCTGCATACCTACGCGACAAGTGCCATCCGTCTATGCGCCGGGCGTGTCCGTACTAGCGATTGCGAAATCCGATGGGGTTGAAGGCTGAGGTTTCGTATGGAATGAGTTTACATCGTAGACAGAAAGCGGCGCGAAAGCCTTGAGTTTGCGATTTCTACCATGTGGTAAGAACCTGTAACATTTCCGAAGATTTCACGAGTTCATCGCGCAGTATACGAACGTCCCCATCACACTTCTGTTTCCCGCAATGGTAGTTTCAACAGAGTGTTCGGATAGCTTCCCAGAAAGGCAGGAGGACCTGTAGATGCAAGCACTACGACCACATAGTCGGACACTGTCTCGTGCAGTTGATGAATATCTGAATGATTTGATAGGTGGACCTCGACCCATACACAAGAAGGTTCGCCCAGGGAGGTCTTCTGATATCGACTGGTCCAATACACATGCAGAATGTTCTACCATACCCTTGTACCGTCCGGAAATACACCGATCTCAAAATTCGAAAGCGCTCCAATGGGTAACTCAAGCTACCAATTAGTGATCTCTATCTCGGCATTTGACCTGATTGATCTTGTAGGCCGCTTTCCAATCCACCAAGAAGGGCGCATCTAGCTGGATAGCTTTGCACCTGACCAGTGGATATCAGGAAGGTATCATCAGGTAATGAGTCTGGACAATCGCGCCATCGTATACCAAAACGGGGCGGATATATACAACATGGTGTTCGGACTTGAGCCTGAGAAATATATAAGGAGCGTCAAACGCCGCTGTCAGACTTATCAACGCAGCAAGTTCCAATAGTCCATCGCTTCCTAAACATCCTCGCTCTCTTCGCCTCTCGTTCCTGAGTCTCAAGTTCACTCATCCTTCAACATGAAGCTTTCTATCGCTGTCCTCGCCGCCATCACAGGCGCAGTCCTGGCCCGTCCCTCAAACCTCGCCGAGCGCGTAAAGTCTCGCGCCGATGGCACTCGTCGTCACAGGACCCAGCCCATGATCTTGGTCGGCACCGCTGCGAAAGAGAACTCCAAGTTTGTCGCTGATGTGGACAACACTACCGCCCACGTTGACTATTCATCCAACTGGTCTGGCGCTGTTCTCGAACAGCCCTCCTCCGGCTACTTCAAGTCAGCCACCGGGCGCTTTACGGTACCAACACCCAAGCACGTTGGCTCCGGTGGAACCGAGTCCGCGTCGGCTTGGGTTGGAATCGACGGCGATTCATGTGCCAGCGGTCTGCTCCAAGCCGGTGTCGACTTCACCGTCAGCAGCTCCGGCGCCGTGTCCTACGATGCTTGGTACGAGTGGTATCCTGACTACGCCTACGACTTTAGCAACTTCGCCGTCAAGGCGGGAAACGTCATTCAAGTCGACATCACCGCCACCTCCACCACCAAGGGTACGGTCAAGCTCACCAATGTGAGCACTGGAAAGAGCGTCAGCCAGACACTTAGCGCACCCAGCGGCTCCGTTTTGTGCCGTCAGAACGCCGAGTGGATTGTAGAGGACTTTGAGTCTGGAGGCAGCTTGGTCGCATTGAGCAACTTTGGCACTGTTGTTTTCACCCAGGCTAGTGCTGCTCTTAGCACTGGTGGAACGGATGGACTGAGCAGCGCTACCATCATCGATCTCAAGCAGGGTAGCACTGTCTACACTGACGTTACTATCAACAGTGGATCCCAAGTCACTGTCCAGTATATCTAAGCGATGAACGGTAAAGAAGGAGACGGGGTCTTTCGAGGTCGGGATGAGTTTGGGATGTTGTATGGACTATGATTGTGGGTGAAACATAGTATTTCAGCATATTTCTGACAGTCATGTGGATTCATTCTTGCTAGTCCCAGCGCTGTATGACCTGATATGTAGACAACTTGAATACATCCAGCGAGTCCTCGTTTATGAAAGCACGTTGCTTCCTGTTCATGACTTTTCCTAGGGTGTATCTTGAGTACCATTTCACTTCTTTTCTCCGGACCCTACTGGCTGCCAGCGTTGGCGTTGCGGCCGCCAGGACCTTGAGCACGTGCCGCGAAGCCACCCGAAGGCACATCGCCGCCGCTTTTGGCCTGTGCGAAGCGAGATTTAGCATCGGAAACTGTACAAGGCTTGGTTTGGTATAGTGGAATGACCTGGTCGAGTAGACTGAATTCTGATCACGTCTGACTTGCCCATTGGGGCGGGAGTCTTTTCCCTACCACCAGTCCCGGACATCTCGTCGGAAGAAACTATGATGGTAGCGTGACGAGTATCATGTAGTTGCCTCGATGAAGTTTCGCCATGAAGCTGTGGTATCGAAGAAAGATTGCGATGCTTTCTTTCCTTTGGAGAGAAAATACCTTTCTATACCACTCTTTGCAGCCATTGTTCTGGTGGTTAGCATATTGCAGCGGAGTTAATCATGATTTGAAGGGTTATGCATAACGTTGTACAGCACTGGCACTTTGCCTTGTATATTAGAACGATAATGTGGGTACAGGGGATAACCTGCACCACTATTCACGATGAAGATAGTCCCACATGTCTAGAAGGGAATTGGAAATGGTTTTGGGTTGAGGAATGTATGAACTATCCGCTGACGAGCTCTCACGAGGGTTCATCTTAGCCGTATCAATCGATTCGACGCAAGCCCAGCTTCTTGCTATTCCTCTCCAGTCAGACTAAGACATTCTTCGCTCGGCAAGAATCAAAATAGGTTTGTACATGGCTCCGAAAATCCGGCATGGTTCCCAATGTATACACACGGCGTAGTAGATCAAATTGACAATGAAGATTAACGTAAATTTAACAAAGTATTGTGTTTAGCCTTCCAAATCTAGCATCTTTAGCATTCCTTCGATTTGGCGCTTATGTACCAAGCGATTTACGGAGCACTCTGCCGACAGTGTGGCAGTTTGTTGCGTATCACAATGATAGATACGATGCGCGTGGTTGTATTTGTACCATGCGCATTATCTGTAGCACTTGATATTCTCGTGACTCAAGATTTAAATCCGAAGTGTCGATCTGTACCCAGCCAATGTGCATCCTCTTCAGACAGAGTGGGCGGTGCGGCTTCGTATGGAAGACGAGAACTCAGATGCCCGGCGGAAACTCCAAATCGGCTTGACATGAAACGATCGAAAATGTCGCCAGCATATACTGAAATTGTCTATCCCATGAACGAAAGAGAAAATCTTCAGCATCTGTTATATACATCGCAATAACACTTTTCGTATGTGGGACAGCTTATCCAGATTAGCAACCACGCAACCCAATTCTATTTCGCGGAATGCTTACTAAACAGGTTCCTGACCAAACATAATATGCCAGAGATATTCAAAAACACGTCCGCTTGTTTCATCCTTCAGTGGAGTTTGCATCAACCACGTGTAATAATTTCTGTATACGTCCGATGGTCGCTTCTGCACTTGCTTGCTCGACACAGCAAATTGCGCACAGCAAGGGGTCGCCAGAACGTGCGGTACATCCGTATTGTTGAACAATTCTCGCCACGCATCTGGCATCGCTGCTTCGATTGTTCGATGCTCCTCAGGCGGATCACGGAACGGCATCACTTCGTGCGGACAGCCAGGATCGTTGACGCAACGCAAATTTGCGTATCCGTTGCTCTGAATAAAGTTGATGTTGAGAGTTTGCAGAGAGACCACATTGGAATGCTCGTTATTGTCGGTGTGCCAGGCGATGGGGTAGCCGTCTTTGTGTGGATGGATGAACGCTATCGTTGAAGGAAGACTATCGTAATTTTGTACGATGTATGCGAGGTATGCATTTGCTTCCATGCCCTTGTTCCGAAGGGTACGTAGAGTGCTGTTAGTGAGCGGATCCAGGGTGGACACATTGTGCGGAGTCTCTGTGTCAATGTCGTAGATAGCTGATTGCCAGTCTCCCAGGTCGGTATGCACCCACCGTGTGTCGTCGGTAGGAAGCTTAGCCATCACTACGACGCGATCAGGTAGCGATGTGCTAGGTGTCGCGACTGCAGTGCTTTTCGTCAGTGTGCTTGTGTGATGAGAGGTGGTGGATATCGACGATGTTTCCTCTTTCGTGCCTCCATGCGTGATTCCTTGCCCAAGTATATTTCGCTCTCCTTCTACTTCTGCTGTCTCAAGTCGTTCCGGCTTCTCCACACCACCAGCCTCAATAGACTCTCTTTGAACGCGATTCAAGCGGGCGTCAAACAGAAACCATGTGCAGAGCGCGAACACTGCTACCACCATGAACTCAGCTCTCCTACGGGAATGCAACATTGCTTGATAATAAGTGAGTGAATTCCTTGAAAAATGCTCGAGTTGGACATGTGATAATCCGTCTTGTACGTGCGTTCGAAGATGATATCGTGATGGCTCAATATTTGCTTCACACACAAGTGCGGGGGTGAAAAAAGTGCCTAGAGGTGACGCGGGTCACCAGGAAGTGAAGAGTGACTGGGTTGCGTGATCTTAAAACACATTCTCAAGAGAGACGCGGAAGGCACCTATTGCAACAAAAGGGGAAGCGTTCGTCGAAGCTAGCAGCCTGGCGACGTAGTATTGCGGCACAGCTCAGGTCTCATGGAAACACGTACAAGGGAGTTGGTGGGGTTAGCACTTGTTCCAGCACTCACCTCAGAGGCAGAGAGCAGCAACATTTTGAAGTCAAGCAATGCGCGGCCCGTTTGAATCCATTAAGTTGCAGAAAGTTCCGCGTCGGCGCTAAGCGGCGCTAAGCAGCGTTGGTCGATTGGTAACTTGACGTAGCTGGCGCTAACCTTCGGTGATTGCGATGCGGCATGGCATAGGCTAAAGAGTGTACAGCACCGAATTCGAATGACATGATAAGCTACCCAAGGAAGGATTATGGCTCGAAACCGCTGACCTGCCTTTTATTTTTCTCCCCTGAGTTGATGATTCCTACTTTAAGTACTTCTCCAGTCCTCTTTTACGTGGTAACCTTTGATAGAGTATTGCAATAGGCCCGCCAATGGGCCTGTTGTCGCCGTCTCTAGGAGACACACATTTCGTAAACTGTGCAAAAAGCCAGTGCCAGCCACAGCCAGTCGTCGCGCCTAATGAGAATGCATCTCTGTCTAATAGAATCGGTTCTCCTGTCAGAGTTGGGGTCTGCTGTAGTGCTGTTTTGGGTACGCTGTGGTGTGCATTCCCACTCAGTTGTTTTCGGGAACTCTAGATAGCTGTACCGAACGAGCGGTAACCGGTCTCTTAGGACGGGTGGCAAGCTCGACCATTCTAGAGCCGATTCAGAGGATTGAGATCCAGAACTTGCTAGGCATAAAGCGAGCCTGAGACGTGAACGAATTAAACCATGCGCAGATGAGACATTTCGTATGAGACTCCAACAGCGTAATCCTGCACCTAAAGCAACGGACATGTAGCAACAAAAAGAAGAAGGAGGCCGCAATAAATACAATCCAATAGCATTTCATAGTCTGACCGGTATGATTCCGGAAAATCAGCCGCGCAACCCCAAGCCTCGAGTTGCCTAACCAATCCAACATGTGCGGCAAGCCCTCCCGACCACCTTCCTTTTCAGGATAGAGATCTTCCAGAAGCCACCCACCACGTCTGTTGCATTGTACCTAATAGCTTTAGCAGTTCGTCTCGGGTCGCAAAGTAGAGGTGGGCTGTCGTCACAAGGCGAATCCCGATCTTACGTGAGCCTCCACACACGCACCACGAAGTCAAGATGGGATTTTGTAGACTAGATGTAACCTGCTCCATCTGAAATGTAAATCATTTGCGTCAGGGAACCGCCTAAACATACAACATGCATCATGCCCTCTCTCAAACAGCGCCCCGCCGACCCTGCGATAAGTGCACTCCACGTGCGAGTCTGGAGCGACCCCGCACACAAGCTTTGTGCAAGCTTTCTTCGACGCGTCGAAGCGTTCGCTAGCGACTTCTTATCAGAAACAAGTGGCCCGAATATCAGCTAGCGTGCCTGTAGCGTACGTTAGCGCTTAATGTGGCTGAGCGGTTCATTGATAACGTGTTGGGGTTTGAGCGATATTTGGGCGTTACGCAATTGCGCAAGTGAATACGTCGCAGGCTAAGATAGGCACAGAAGGTCCGACATTGGTGCTCTTCCAGACCTGCTGATATTCGTCCCCCTGACTCTACCCTGGGATCCCAGTCGGTGGTCCGCCACGCGAACGCGCTTGAAGCCAAAGCATGGTGTGCAGCAAAGAGACGCCAGAAGCACTGTTTCATTTTTGCTTGGAAGCGACAGCGCCATTCAGACTACCCGACACGTTGGAACATAACTTCACAACCACTCACGGAGGCCCCGGATCCGTCAGTCTACCATTGTGTTGCATGACAACATGGGGCGTAACCCTAGACTTACGAGGGTGCATGTACTATACCATTTAAGTACTGAACGCCGTGCGAGAGGGCCTGACATAGTGATTTGTGGGCGAAGATAGGCTCAGTCCCTGTGCGCGAATGCAGCCACCAGATGCCCGCCACTGATTGTCTAGCCGCGAGCTCTCTTCTCGAGTATATTACCGCGTCTCGCGCACACCTCGCAACTTTCACTTGTGCCCTACATCTTGGCCTCCTTTCTTTGATCGCCGCTCGACGTCCCAATCGTCTGCGATTTTTGACGTATTCACTCCGCCTGAGCCTGCCCAGGTGATCTGAGCGTCAAAAGGTCCTCGCCGGTCCTCATCACGTTTCCGCCACCATGAGTCTCGCGCACGAGACGGAAAAGAATCCCTATGGCGACCCGCCTCCAGTGCATTACTCCCTGGGGGATCACGCCAAAGGACATCAGCTCAGTGCCAATGACGAGGATGTCGCTATTGTCATTTCTGATCAAAATGAGCTCAGGAAGGACTTGAAGGGTCGTCATATGCAGATGATTGCCATGTCAGTCTCCCTGAACACTCCTCAATAGGGTAATTATGCTTTACCGCGACTAACATGCCTTGTAGTGGCGGTGCCATTGGCTCCGGTCTGTTTATTGGTTCCGCCTCATCCTTCACCAGTGGTGGACCAGCCTCTGTTATTATCGGATTCACTCTCATCGGCATTATGATGTACTTGATGATGCAGGCATTGGCTGAACTCGCAGTCATGTATCCAATCAACGGAGCCTTCACCATGTACATCTGTCGATTTATCGATCCATCCTGGGGCTTTGCCTGTGGGTGGCAGTACGCTATCAGTTGGCTCACTGTCCTGCCTTTCGAAATATCCGCTGCTTGCAACATTATCCACTACTGGTCAGGATCGCAGGGCATTAACAATGCTGCGTGGATCACACCACTTCTCGTGGCTTTGATCGCTATACAATTTTTCGGAGTCAAAGGTTATGGTGAGGTGAGTGTGCTACCGTGTAGCCGCTATGAGACAGTCAGACTAATATTTTCTTTTAAACAGGTTGAATTTGTACTATCGATCATCAAGGTTTCGGCTTGCATAGGGTTCATGATTCTGGGCATCATTATTGATACAGGAGGCGTGCCAACTGACGACAGAGGTTATATTGGCAACAAGTACTAGTACGTCCTCTTTACCCTGACCGTAGAGTTTTCTACTGACTATTCCTAGCAATATTCCTGGTGTGACCTCCGCAGGGTTCAGTAACGGCTTTCATGGATTCTGCAGTGTCTTCGTTAATGCAGCCTTCGCATACACTGGCACCGAGCTTACTGGCTTAGCGGCAGCTGAGACGGATAACCCAAGAAAGGAGATTCCCAAGGCCGCGAAGCAAGTCATCTATCGAATCATTCTATTCTACGTTGTCAACCTTGCTTTGGTCGGCCTAATCGTGCCGGCCAACAACGAGGCACTGAATGGTAGCGCTGGCGCCAGTTCGCTTCATTCACCTTTCGTAATCGCTATCCAGCTCGCTGGAATCAAGGCTCTTCCGTCGATCTTCAATGCTGTAATTCTCATTGCGGTCATGAGCGTTGCCAATGCTTGTACCTTTGGCTCCACACGCACGATGCAGGCTCTTGCGGCGAACGGTGAGTGTCCTGCACTACACTATGATAGTTCCTTACTGATCATCATCGTTATCTAGGTATGGGTCCGAAAGCCACCGCCTACATTGACAAGAAAGGCCGTCCAGTCGTTGTGGTAGTTATTCAGCTTCTGTTCGGACTGTTGGCATACATCAATCTCGCTCCCAACGGTGGAGATATCTTCACCTGGTTGTTATCCTTGTCTGGCATTACCGTACTTTTCGTCTTCGGTAGTATTGCTGTTGCACATATCCGTTTCCGCAGAGCCTGGTGAGTTCCATGCGACAGTATGCAAAGTCTCTATCGACACTAACGTTCTTTTAGGGCCTTGAAAGGGCACACTCTGGACGAAATCCCATACAGAGCCTCGTTCGGCGTTTGGGGCTCTTGGGTATGCTTCTTCATTTGCGCCATTGCGCTCGTTGCCCAATTCTACGTCGCGCTCTGGCCAGTCAATGGAGACGCTCTCAGCGCCGAGAACTTTTTCGAACTCTACATGGCGGCACCTTTCCTTGTTGTCTTGTACTTGATTTGGAAGGTGTACAGCTGGTTCAAATTCCCTTCACACCGCCCATTGTGGATTCGAACTAAGGACATTGACATCTATACTGGCATGAGGCAGGGACAGAGAGAGATGATCAGTGGCGAAGGTGTGACCGAAGGCCAGAGGCGCGCGAGCATCCAGGAGATGAACGACGAGAAGAAGAAGAAGGGTGTCAAGGCTCACGTTATGGCGGCTATTCATACAGTATTTTAGTGGTGGATCTGTCTTGCTGGTAAGCGTGTCCACAAAAATAAAATATTCTCGAGGGTGCAAGAGTCTGGCGGATTCTCAACATAAATACTCGTAGACATTGAAACGCAATCTATCTCTCCAACCACCAAATCCAATGAACTCCCCAAGCCTACGCCCCATGAGAATGAGAAGAATGGTCGAGAACGCAACGCGAAGGCGAATACGTACACGAACATAATGATACTCACCGCACACTCACACGAAGCGCATGAGGTCTTCTGCTGATTCAAGGGGCGCATTTGGCTTTCCATAAACAGCTGTAGAAGGGTTTCTATCCCTCGGAAAGTCCGTCTGAATGAACCTATCGTGTCAGTTTGGTTAACATGCCTCTCTACGAGAGAAGCTGCCTACACCTATGAGCTGATCAGTCTGTGCTCTATTTTACTAGTCACTAGTCTTGAATCTTGATAGCCCGCTTTAACGAAGAAAGCTGGCTCCTAATGGTCATGTGCGTGGTCACTCCTTTGACTTGACCTTGACCCTGTCAAACGAGCCATGTAAGGTAAAGCCTGATGTGCCTGATTGAAGGTGCTTCAGGCAATGTTAGCTCTTCTGGACACCGGCTGCCCACTACGTGTCTGGGAACCTATAGCAAACTATTGAGGTGTCAGACGGTGTTCGTAGTACTCTTCGCAAGCGTAACATACTCGCATTACTGCCCAATAGACATGCGATAAACTTGCAAAGCTAAACGAGATCATTGTAGCCTCTGCATCGTTGTGGGTGGGCGGGTTGAAATGGCGTATCGTTCAACTGCGCAACCGCCGGTAGGTCAGTGATATCCACTGTAAACTTTATTCTTTGCACTTGATTACAATGGTGTAGCGAAAGAGATGCGAATGCCCGGTTGCGCAGATGTTCTTGTTATACTCTAGTGACTGGGAAACAGGATCGCGCATGATGGCGTATCGGCTGCGCCATGGCCTGGCAGGGGTGGAGTCGGGCGTCTACCAAGTACTGTCGGGAGCCGACACGTGGAGCCGTTAGTACAGAAGTCTGTACGTGCTAAGTACCCCATTCGCCTAACCCGGGGTGCTGCAAACTGGAGAAATATGGGGTTTTACGTCGACGGGACAAGAGACGGTTGGTTCTCTTGTCTCAGCTGTTACCTGTCGTTGTACCGTAAATGGATCATTTACAAGCCCGTGTTTCGGCATCTGGTGTTCGACGAATGACCTCGGCCCCAACCACTGTGCCACATGCGACCATTAACCAAGATTATGCAAATCTCGGAACTGTCCAGCTCATCTATTATTATGACTTGCCCTGCCTTTCCCTTAATTTCACACGCGCGCTTCGCTCTGCTCGCCTTACCCAAGTGACCACAATACTATTGCGTGGGTGTTGGAAACTGTGTCCTGCTCCTTGGTTACTTTTTCCCTTTTCGGGCCTTTTTTTTTTGGATACAGTCTTCTATGCTGAGAACGAAGACACCGCCTGGAAAGGGAAAGCATAATCTTCCGAGCCTGCGCGAGCGTGCGCAAAAACAAAGCGTTCCGCAATCGCTTCCTGCTCATGAAACCGAACTGTGGATGATGGTAGGAACTTTTAGACTATTTCGACATGCTGGAAAGCTATGGAAAAAGTGAGTTCCACCTATCGACTGCCGCGTTAGCAAAAGCCCGTCGCGCCAGTGCGCATTGCAGAAGACCTGGTTCGCTTTCACAACGCGGCAGAAACAATAGTCTGACAGCCAAGTATCAACAGCTGTATGTATCAATTAAGATCTATACGCCTCACTACCAAGAAATAACGCCTTGACAGCTGTTGTACGCAGATGTATAGCCTCAATTTGATCGTTGTGTTGGTGTTCGGAGTGGGCATCCCGCCATCCCGGTACCACGCCGCAACCTCGGTACAGGCTAGCGTAAGCTTCGACCAGACAAGCTGCCATCTCACCAATCTTGTCCGCGCTTGACTACAATGGCTTAACACACCCTCATGGGATGTCCGATACACTCCACAGCACAAGTCCACATTCGCGCCAGGATAAACAGTCCATGGATGGCTTGATCTTTGTTGCCAAGGGAGACTTTTGCCGAGCTCGGGAGTTTCGCATCAGTCAACACTACTTCGTTCGTCGCCACGATAACACGCTTCACTACTCCAAACTCATCTGTGGTGTGGTCCAGAACACCTTCGCCTGTTGATCATGACTCTCTCACAGGAACAGCTTCTCGACCCGCATCGAGTGATCATGCATCTCTCATGCGCTCTTGAGTCGGGTAAGCTCCTACGTCCTGCCTTGGCATCGCTCGACCGGGGCGGGATTCCGGGGTCATGTCCGGTTCAATACTTCTAGAAGGGTTGGTGGCTGAGCCGCACGCCGTATCCAACCAATCAGACGAGTAGCCCTCGATCAGACCTGGCAAGACATTTAGCCTAATAGTGGTAATATCTACCCCGACCTTTGTGATCTCCTCTTGTGCGGCCCGCAATATGGACTCGCATGGATATACAGACTAGCATATAAGAACTCCCCTGCCCAGATGAGCACCAATTCTTCCCCAGTATTCACTCCACCTCCGCCTTGCAATCGTCGTTGGCCGCTGGAACAGTTGGTCAATACTATCCGCAATGAGCCCCCATTTCAAGCGTCCCAACCAGGCCAATGTGGTCGAGGCACAGGAAGCTGCGCCTGAGCTTCCACCGGTATCATGGAGCAAGTCACCCAACATGCGCAAGCTTTACTTCTACTGCATGATTCTTTGCGTCTGTTCGGCCACCACCGGTTACGATGGGTGAGTTCTGGGTTCTGCAAACAGAAAAGGTCCAGTGACTAACTATGCAAAGATCTCTCATGAACACTTCTCAGCTCCTTGACTCCTGGAAGGCCACTATGGACAACCCTTCAGAGGACACTTTGGGTCGTCTCAGTGCCATGTACTCGATCGGTTCCATCGCTTCACTCCCCGTGGTACCATGGCTCAGTGATAGATATGGGCGCAAAACCCCCATTACTGTTGGTTGCATTATTATGGTCATTGCCGCCGCCGTTCAGGCTGCCTCCATGAGCCGCCCACAGTATGAGGGAGGACGTTTCTTCATGGGTTTCGGCAACTCTATGGCTCAACTCTCCTGCCCTATGCTTATTACAGAAATCGCGCATCCTCAGCACCGTGCCAGGATTACCACCGTCTACAACTGCTTGTGGAATCTTGGTGCCCTGATCTGTGGTTGGTTGGCTTTCGGCACACAGCACATCCCCAACACCTGGTCCTGGAGAATTCCGACCCTCATCCAAGGCATCTTCTCTATCATCCAGCTCATGTTCATCTGGTGGATTCCTGAGTAAGCTTCTTCTCTATTACAAACTGTCTTTCGCAATTGGCTAACTTTGATTTCCAGGTCCCCACGTTGGCTGTTGTCCAAGGACAGGAACGACGAGGCGCTCCGCATGCTCTCTCACTACCATGCCGACGGCAACGATAGCGACTCCACTGTCATGTTTGAGTATGCTGAAATGAAGGAAACTATTCGCATCGAATTCTTGCACAAGAAGAACTCGTCATACTTGGACTTTATTAGGACTGCAGGCAACCGCAAGCGGCTCATGATGATCATCTCCCTCGGCCTCTTCTCCCAGTGGTCTGGCAACGCCCTCATTAGCTACTACGCTGGAATTATCTACGAAGGTGCCGGTATCACTCGCCAGACTGACAAACTGGGTTTGGACGCTGGAAACAAGGTTCTCTCCTTGTTCGTCTCCATCTCATGCGCTTTGTTGGTCGACCGTGTTGGTAGACGCCCGCTTTTCCTCGCTGCGTAAGTTTGCACATCCGCTTCATTCGACACATTAACTAACTTACAATAGCACCGGTGGTATGCTCTTGTTCTTGGTTTGCGCTACCATCACTGGTGAGCAATATTCGGAGAAAGGTACCCTTGCAATTGGCTACGTCAACATTGTCTTTGTCTGGCTGCACGGTGTCGCTTACTCCCTGGCTTGGTCTGGTCTCCTGGTTGCCTACACCGTCGAGATTCTGCCCTACAAGCTCCGTGCCAAGGGTGTGTTCATCATGAACATTTCCGTTCAAGTCGCCCTCACGATCAACAACTACGTGAACCCTATTCCCATCTCCGAGGGTGGCGGCTGGTACAATCAGAACTGGAAGCTGTTCGCCTGCTATGCTGGCTGGGTTCTTCTCGAGTTGATCTGGGTCTACTACTTCTATGTCGAGACTCGGTATGTCACATTTTGTCCTCGCCCATTTGAATCAAGGCTAACCTTCCCTCTAGTGGCCCCACTCTCGAGGAGATCGCTCGTATCTTCGATGGCGAGAACGCAGAGGTTGCTGACATTGACATCGATGGCAAGGGTATCACCAACCGCAGTGACAGCATCAAGGAGCCTCATGTGCAAATCGAGAAGGCATAGGTGATTCCACCACTATTCGTCAACCAGGTCATTTTGGGCTATATAGCAATGAAGCATGTGTGCGATTTAGTGTTAGAGCCTATGGCGTTAGCCAGAGAAAGAACAACTTACTAGCATCGAACCAGATACCCATTACCAAACCGTCGTTGCAGTAGACTGTGAATGCTACTTCCTCTTCTTCGAGTTGACGGCTCGTGGTCAGCAAGGATCCACATCCGCATGTCCAAACAAGACCATGGCGCATGCTGAGGTACTATACTTAATTGAATTAAACTCACTTAGTATCCGCGAACAGGACGAAGTTCATTGAGAGAAATTGCCCGAGATTCAATGCCGAAGCGAAGTAAGAGGTCAGAGACAAAAGTCTTGCTAGGAATCTTGATGTGGAGATCTCAAGGGAAGATCGAAGGTTGCCCCTTGCTTGCAGTATCGGACCTGTTGCATGGTCAGAGATAGGATGTTGGCACGCCAAGTTTTCGGAAATCCTCGGACGAGCGTCTGTAGCAAGACCCTTGTGTCTGTTCTCACATGTATGCAGATTGTCGATGAGCCTGTGCATCAAGGTTAGTATGGCCTTGAGTGAGTATGTGCAAGTAGGGTATATAGCCATTTTTTAGTTAGAGAAAGCACATACGACCATAGGACACTGAAAATTAGGCTTCCCGTCCGCTCAGCCATATACAAGCAGTGTACCGGCGGATTAGTAGTTAGGTGGGTGACCACTAGCGAATCCCCGCTGTTGTATGTTTTTACTTTTTGTCCCCTCTTTTCGTTTTGTTCTAGTACGAACGAACAAGTAAGGAAGAAGATGGTAACAACAAGGCCTATGCTCTATGGGCAACTCTGTGACAAATACGCAAGAGCATGCGTTGGAGAAGACCTCGAATTAGCTAGAAACTCATAGCTCTAGTAACGATTCTCAATCAACCAGTTGTGTAAGCACATCAGCAAGTCTGAATTGCGCTGCATCGACCGTTTGCCATCTCGTGACGGCAGTGCCAAGGTGGACAGGGGCTCGGTCGTTTTTGGTCGCGTATCGCCTATCTACGCGTCTTGGAGACTTCAACGGCTCGTTCGGACCTATTTTGTCAAACTCTGAAAGAAGAAAGGAAGGTTCGTCGGTTCCCGAGAAAACGACAGGCATTTGTGTGTCTGATGCCGCGTAAGGATGATATTAGCCTCCAATCGACTGGACAGCAGCGCCCAATTACCCCAGGGTCATTTGCGGAAGCCTGTAACGGACTGAAATGAAATGTTGTGTGCGATTGCACTAGGCCTGTGCAAGAGCCGTAAATCGAAGTGTCTGGAGCATGTTGTTTTGGAGCCCAAGTAAGTCAGGTGTCTGATACCCCACCGAGGAAATGGTTCGAACATGTGGCTGTGCAGGAAAAAAGCAGGGTCTGGAGCTGCGCCACGTCAACCCGCATGTGTAAACAAGGGGTGCCAGCTGAAAGCAACAAAACTCAAATTTTCTCCAGTTCATCTTGCGCGTCACATGCCACTGGCGTGAGCGGTCAGGGATAGGCTGCATACGCAATTTAGATCGTAGACGTAGTGAGACGGGATGTGGCTGCAATCTAGATCGTCGGTTCTCACAGGGGTGGGAGGCTGTCAATCCTTCCCGCTGTGTGTGAGGGGCGGCGGCTGCGTGTCAATCAGGTCAATCAATAGTGGCCATCGCTGCGGGATGAAGATGTCGTGGGCGTGATGTCCTATGTCTGGCTGTATGTTGATAGGGTGCGCGCAGAGTGCGGTGTGATAGCATCGTCATGGTTGCGGTTCGCTAACCCACAAACAACGCATAGTGTGCTCTGTGCCGTGTACGTTCGCGTGTATCACGATCTTGTCGGTCGCTCTTAGTCGAGCCTTGCTTTATTGTAACACGGAGAAGGGGTAGCCGGCAGAAAGCACTCCAATATTGACGTAATGTGCATACCGCTGCCAGGGCGATCGCCAGCGAGGCTGGGAATTGGCTGGGAACTTGGCAATTGTCTCTCAACTGGATTCGCGCCGCATCTCGCGAATCACAAGGTTGCTTTTGCGCCAACTCGGTAATTTCCTTGTGCCCTTGTCGCGCATCTTTACATGGGAACGCGTTTCGTATGCTGACCGATAAGAGTAGCAGTTGTATAGCCTCTTGGACGGCAATGCCGAGATGCATTCAACGCCGCACACTAGCAAGCCCGCGGCAATTGAGGCTGGTGATGCAGGTCTACGACTGCGTCCAGGGTCCAGAAGCTCGATGCGCGCACGCAGAGCTGAGGTTGCTAGCGCACTGACGAGTCGCGCGATAGGGCCGATTTGTGAAGTGTGCTTGGACCATACGTCACACTAGAGGCTTGTGGGGCTCCTTGTATAGCGCCCGCAGTCCTGTTTATTTGTATCTAGTTCCAGGGAGCCTCCTAATTTCCTGTCGAAGCATCTTCCCTTCGCAAAGCCTACACTCTCACCTCACGGGCGCACGACTGCCTAGCTGCCCATCATGTCGAGTTCTGTAAGTTGGAATTCGCTGCGACAACCAAACGCGAGCCTGCGCTGACCATAACGCAGGGTGGAGACATTGGCAGTGCCAAAGAGGGCTCCTCCAATTCCCTCTCCAGTTTCGTATCCACATTGGTACCGACTGCCATCCTCGCCTTCGCCTTCGTGGCCGCCTTCTTCGTTGCGCGCAAGTACTTCCGCCGCGTCTATGCGCCCAGAACCTACCTCAACCATCTGGGGCAGCAGCGACAGACCCCCGCGCCCAGCCCAGGCTTCTTTGGATGGATAAAGGACTTCAAGAACCTCAAGGACGAGTACATTCTCGACCACCAGTCCATTGACGGCTATCTGTTTGTGCGCTTCTTCAAGGTTCTCATCATCACCTGCTTCCTAGGATGCCTCGTCACATGGCCTGTCTTGTTCCCCGTCAATGCCACTGGAGGCGCAGGCCAAGAACAACTCGACCTGCTCTCCATGAGTAATGTCGACCCCGCAGGCACCAACGTCAACCGCTACTATGCGCACGCCGGAATCTCCTTCATCTTTCTCTCAATGGTCATGGCTATCGTTGCCCGCGAGTCTTTCTATGTTGTCAACCTCCGCCAAGCATACCGTCGTTCACCATGGGGAGCTAGCCGCTTGTCTTCGCGTACCATTCTGTTCACAAATGTCCCTACCACTATGTCCCAGTCGGCTCTGTTCGAAATGTTCCCTGGCGTCAAGCACGCCTGGGTTGCGTCCAACACCAAGGAGTTGGATGACTTGGTCGAGGACCGCGACAAGACTGCCATGAAGCTGGAGGAGGGCGAGATCCAGTTGTCTCGCGATGCTAACACAAACCGAATGAAGGCCGAGAAGGGCAAAAAGCACTTCGTTGCGAGCGACGTATCTGACGGCACCAAGTGGATTGACCCCAAGAAGCGACCAACACACAAGCTGAAGTTCTTGATTGGCAAGAAGGTTGACACCATTGAGTACGGGCGTTCGCACTTGGCTGAGCTCCTTCCCAAGATTCAACAAGAGCAGGACAAGCACTGGAATGGCCAAGGCGACTTGGTTGGAGCTGTCTTCCTTGAGTTCGACACCCAAAAGCACGCGCAAGATGCTTGGCAAATGATGCAGAGCAGCAAGACCAGGCCTGACAAGAAGCTCAAGGCGCGTCAGCTTGGTGTCATGCCCCAAGAAGTTGCCTGGGGTAATCTGCGCATCAAGCCCATGGAGCACCTCGTTCGTTGGGCACTAGCTACCGGCTTCATCTCCGTCATGATCATCTTCTTCGCGGTTCCTGGTAAGATCCACAAAACATATCCTACAGCATCCCACTAACGTATGCAGTTGCCTTTGTCGGTCTGATCTCCAACATCAACTACCTCGCTGATCGTTTCACCTGGCTCGAATGGATCCTGGACATTCCCAAGGTGATTCTGGGTGTAGTCACTGGTCTCCTTCCCGCTGTCATGCTTGCTGTTCTCATGGCTCTTGTGCCTATCGTGTGTCGTCTAATGGCCAAGTTGGCTGGATACGTTACATACAGTCAGATCGAACTCAAGTGCCAGAGCTGGTACTTTGCCTTCCAGGTTGTGCAAGTCTTCCTTGTAGCAACTCTCTCTAGTGCCATCACGTCCGTCATCAACCAGGTCCTCGACAACCCGGGCATTGTACTCAGCCTTCTCGCTACCAACCTGCCCAAGGCCTCCAACTTCTACATTAGCTACTTCATCCTGTTGGGTCTCTCATCGGCTGCCGGAACTCTGCTGAACATTGGAGGCTTTGTTGTAGTAGTGCTCCTCGGCCGCATCCTCCCCGGCAAGACACCTCGCAAGATCTTTGAAAAGCTTACCAAGCTCTCTGCTCCTTCATGGGGATCTGAGTACCCCAAGTGGGTCAACTTGGCTGTCATTGGTATCACCTACTCTGGCATCGCACCCCTTATCCTCGGTTTCGCCACGATCGGTTTCACCCTCATCTACATCGCTTTCAGGTACAACTTCCTCTACGTCTATGAGACCAACCTGGACACCAAGGGCGAGGCCTACCAGAAGGCACTTCGCCAGCTACTTACAGGTGTCTACCTCTCTGAGATCTGCCTCATTGGTCTCTTCGCCATTGCAACCGCCGACAACATCCAGGCTGTTGGTCCTCTGGCCATCATGTGTGTCCTTCTCTTCCTCACCATCGTCTTCCAGTTCACTCTGAAGTTCGCCCTGAAGCATGAAGAAGCACGCCTTGCCTATACTGATCCATCCCCTGCCCACGGCGGCCTCAAGGGACACATTGAGGATGGCATGCACACCCAAAATGGCGAGAAGGTCAACACAACCGACGCCACCCCTAGCTACGCACCCAAGCCTACTCGCATGCCCATGTTCCTGCGTAAGATGTTCAACCCCGAGAAGCACTCGATCCACAATCTCTCAGCCTCGCTCGACCAATTCTACCACCAACCGCAGGAGCCACTGCCAATCGAGATCCAGAAGCGTGCTTTCTTCAACCCATCGGTCACTAGCCCTACGCCTGTGTTGTGGATTGTGAGAGATGACATGGGCATCAGCCAGCGCGAGATCAGAGACACGCAAAAGATTGTTCCCGGACTCATCATGACTGACGAGCAGGCCACCTTTAACGAGAAGGGTAAGGTCAGCTGGGATGGTGTTGAGAACGGTCACTCTCGAGAGGCACCCGTCTTCGACGAGCGTATCGTTTACTAGTCTAATGGAGGATGGTGTTTTAACTAACGATGACGGATTACTGGAGTTCGATACCCCAAAGGGATGAAAGGAACGTTGTGCTTTCCTTATATTTGCAGAGTTTCCTAGCATGAGCAAATAGGTGACGGCGAAAAAGGCGTGTTTGCTCCGACACTTTTCTCTTCAGTAAACGAGTACCCCTACTACTTTAGCTATATATGAATAATAATGATCACTGAGTTGCGCATTCAATCTTCCACTGCGGGTACGTGTGAGCGATGCTAGGCACGAATCATGATGACCACACACATGCTGGTTGGGTGGAACTGGTGTATTGGGGTATCATGCTGTTGTGCGCCTCACCAAGATGGTGTAATTCAATCTTCAAACTGCGCCTGCCCTCCTCTTTTCAAGAATCTGCAACTTCAAACCTTCGGCAGCAACCTCGGTCTCCAACACTCTGCCTACACCCTTCTTCCATGTCTCCTCAAGCGTCTTGATCTCGCCGCTTGCGTTGTTTTGCTGCGACTGCCTCAACATGTCTGCCTCCTCTTGCTGCTTCCTCAGATCCGCCAGCTCTGCCTCGATGCCCTTCAGAATGTCCTCGAGCTGCGAATTGCCCACTAGCCACGCGTTCTTGCCAAACTTCTCCAGCAGGCCCAACTGTGTCAGCCTGCCCTGGACGTACTCGGAGCTTGTGTAGGCCTGCTTCAGCGCCTTGTTCCACCTTTGGAGCAGCTCTGGCCTCTCCTCGTCGCTGGTAGGGGTTGTGTTCTCGGGCGCATCGAGATCCTCGTAGCGCTTCAGGTCGACACCCGACAGCTTGGAAGTAGGGTGGTCGTCAAGTCGGGCATGTTCGCGTGCAATGAAGTCGGAAAAGGTAGGTGTGTATTTTGCGGCTGCTGGTATAAGCGCTGGGTGCATGTCTGAGGTATCTACGCCGGCGCTCCTGATATCGGCGTTGATAACGGCTCTGGCAGCAGCCAGGCTTGCAGCATCGAGCTCCGTATCGACATCTACAAGCAGTTAGCAGGCAATAAGTGGTTATCGTCACGCGCGCCTCGGCGGAACAGGGCGCATCGGACATGGGGCTGTTCCAGGCAATGGCAAATTGCACATACAAGGGAGATGGTCGTAGGATTCCTGGATGAGTGGCATTGTTGCAAGGGACCTGCAGGACGAGGGGGAAGAGGGTGTATTGGAGACGGCGAGGTATTGGCAGTGAAGGGTGTCGCGAAACTAGAGGCAGGCCCGGTAAATTTAGGCTACTGGGTCTGTCGCCGGGCCCCCCGCCAACCAGCACACGAGGAGCCCCGCAACGTCATCCTAGGCTCATGCATGTGCCTGGCGCGACTGTCGAGCTTCTGCGAGCTCTGGTGGCCAGCATCTTGTTTCCCCTGTGCCAGACGAGCCCATGTGCAGACATATAGGCGTCCGGCACGCGTAGCTCCATGTACCATCAGTAGCGTACAAGTACTTCTTCTTGCCTCCACAGCCGGCTCCTGCTTTCTTCCGTACACATCCGTCCACACCATACACACCTCATCGCGTGCATGGCGCGCTCACACATCGCCGTGGCCCTGGGCGCTGCCCTTGTCGCCTCATTAATCATCGCACAGCTCGTCATCAACTTGGGATTTCCTGCCGTCGACTTCTGGCACGGAAGGCTCGACAACAGCTACAATGGAGCCCAGCAGGACCGCTTCAACAGCGAGAAGCAGGATGGCGGCCTGGCCGATGACCCATCGTCGTACCTCATCGGTGTTGGCAAGGCGGACATCACGGGGTGAGTGGCGCGAACACACTACATGTGACTGTACTGACGACACCACAGTCCCGTTGTCGAGCTCAACATGATGGGCTATGCCAACTCGTCGCAAATTGGCTCCGGACTCCGCCAACGCCTCTACTCCCGCGCCTTCATCGTCGGCAATCCGAGCGAAACCAGCGAACGATTCGTGTACCTTGTCCTCGACACCCAGTCCGGAGACTCTGCCATCCGCAACGGCATCTTGGAGGGCCTTCAGGCCATGGGCTCCGAGTACTCCATCTATGGAAAGAACAATGTAGCCGTGACAGGTACCCACAGCCATGCCGGGCCAGGAGCCTGGCTGAACTACCTTCTTCCCCAGATCACAAGTCAGGGCTTCGATAAGCAGAGCTACCAGGCTATCGTCGACGGAACACTTCTATCTATCAGGAGGGCACACGAGAGTCTGACCCTAGGAACTGTCAGTGCTGGGACTGCGAAGATTGCCGATGCCAACATCAACCGCAGTCTGTTCGCCTACCTGGCCAACCCACAGGCAGAACGCGATCGCTATACTGACAACGTGGACAAAACCATGACACTCCTGAAGTTTACAAGAGCTAGTGACGGAAAGAGCATTGGAATCCTGAACTGGTTTCCTGTCCATGGTACGAGTTTACTCGGCAACCAGACGCTCATTGCTGGAGACAATAAGGGCGTGGCTGCCTACTTGCTGGAGAAGGACATCGAGGCGGACGCTAGCAACTCAAATGCTGCCGAGGGCTTCGTGGCGGGCTTCTCCCAAGCTAACGTCGGTGACACTACCCCCAATGTACTTGGCGCCTACTGTGAAGACGGCTCGGGCCAACAGTGCCGACTCAATGACAGCACCTGTGGAGGAAAGAGCCAGGATTGCCACGGCCGTGGACCATACTTTGGTCTTGACGACGGAGGCCACAAGTCATGCTACGAGATCGGCAGGCGTCAGGCTCTGGGCGCCAGGAGCATCTATGACTTCAATGAGTTTACGCCTATCTCTGGCAAGGTCCGCTCGTTCCACACCTTTGTCGACTTCTCCAATTTTACCTTCACCCTCAGCAATGGATCCGTCGTTCACACCTGCCCAGCAGCAATGGGTAACTCCTTTGCCGCTGGTACATCTGATGGGCCTGGCGCATTCGACTTTGTTCAGAACGACCCTGGCGCACCTTCGAATCCTTTCTGGAATATAGTTGGCAGCGCCATCGCACCACCAAGCAAGGAGCAGAGGGAGTGCCAATACCCGAAACCTGTCTTACTAAATGTTGGACAGGCTAACATACCGTACCCATGGTCTCCAAATATTGTCGACATCCAAGTTCTTCGTGTTGGCCAGCTGGTAATCATTGTCTCACCAGGTGAGGCTACGACCATGTCTGGTCGCCGCTGGCGCGAGGCAGTACACAACTACATTGTCTCCTCGAACATTGCTTCCTCGCCAATTGTTGTGCTAGGTGGACCAGCCAATAGCTACACTCATTATATTGCGACAGAAGAAGAGTATGGCATCCAGCGCTATGAGGGTGCATCCACCTTGTATGGTCAGCACACTTTGAACGCATACATCAACTCCACCCTAACGTACCTTCCCTACCTCGCCGACGATGCAACAAGCTCTCCGCCACCCGGGCCTTCCCCTCCCGATAACCGCGATAAGAGCATCTCCCTCATCACTGGCGTCGTCTACGATGGTGCAGGCTTTGGACGTTCATTTGGCCAAGTTACCAAAGACGTCCTACCCACCTATGCCCGTGGTGCCACCGTATCTGCCACATTTGTCGGCGCCAACCCGCGTAACAATCTCCGTCTAGAAGGTACTTTTGCTTCAATTGAGAAGCAGAACAGCGATGGAACTTGGGTGCAAGTGAAGAACGATGAAGACTGGGAGCTGGTCTACCAATGGAAGCGGGTCAACGGACTTACAGGAACGAGTGATGTTACAATCACATGGGACACCAGTCTCACAGCACCAGAAGCGGGTACTTACAAGATCCGGTACTACGGCGATGCCAAGAAGGTCGGTGGAACCGTTACAGAGTTTGAGGGTTCGAGCGCATCATTCAAACTGACGTAAACCACGCCTGTAATATGGTTTGATACACGACACTTATATGGGAATGCACAAACGAAGAGAGGAATCTATAATTTATACCCAATGTTGGTCAACGTGAAGAATGACATTATTTTGTTTCTCTATACTCACTTTCCAGCTTATAAAGGATACAAGGGGAACAAAACACCATTACAAAGCCGATGGCATAGGAAATGAGATTGTACACAACATCTTCTTTGGAAGGTGTTGCCTGCTGTCTACCCTCTCGATCACGGTCTTTATCCATTTATCATCCTAGTCATGTCCATGCACGTGACCATCGTCAGGCGGGTTTTTACAGTTCCATTCATTCGTATACCATCGTCCTTTCTGCTGTGTCCTACTTAGCTTCCATATTCTTGCCCTCACGCTCGACCAATTTCAGTGTACCGATCCACCTTGACCTTTCAACAGGCTTGTCATATGTGCTACCAACTTCACGCTTTCGCGTAGAAGCCTGTGCGCCTCTTCGGTCTTTGCCTTCTCTTGTCCGAGTTTGTTCTCAAGCTTGCCGACCTGCATGCCGTTATCTGTCTTCACCTCCTCAAATTTCTCGTTCAAAGCGGCTTCAAACTGTTCTTTCTCGCGCGCTATGCTGTTCTTGTACGCTCGTAGATCGCGTCTAGCATTCTCGCCATCCCTTTGTGCATCTTTCAGTTGTTTCTCTAGCTGGAAGATCTCCATTCTCAAACTTGTGCTTGTGTCGGCCTTCTTTTTGTTGGTTCCAATCTTCTCCAGAGGTACTTTCCTCAGAAGCTCTTGACGAAGTCTGGCCATTTTCTTTTCGAGGTTGGTGACATGTAGCGCACGTTTCTGTTCTTTTGTCAAGGAACCGCCAGCGGGGCTACGGTGAGCTGAATTTAGAGCCTTCTTTTTCTTCCTCTTCCTCTTCCTCTTTGCTTCCTGAGGAACAATAATGGCCTGGTGATGTTACAATTAGCTCATATTACAATAAGCAGTAGTGTGCGCTTGTACGGCCTGCTTCAGAGAGTGAGTACGCTTACATGATTGGCAGGCTCAGCCTTTAGAGCAAGAGTCAGAGCGGGTTTCCCGGGATGTTCTTCCTGCTTTACGTGCACATCATGTTCTCCGTGTTCTTCCCTCTTGACAGTCACTCCATATTGCCGGGGCGGACTCATGGTGGCAGAGTCGCTATGCCGAGTTGGTGTTGAGACGTTGTTGATGAGTCAGTGTTGAGTGTGATGTTTGTGATCTAAGCAGATGCCTGTACGCAGCGCCAAGGGTCAAGAATGGGGAAAGAGCAAGGTGAAGGTGAGTGCGTTGCCGAAGAGACGCGACCAAGAGGGCGGTCAAAGCGCGCATCGGTGAAGATTTATAGATGGAATTCCTCCATTTATGCCTACATATAAGGTCCAAGTGGTTCTTCGGAACTCTAGTTCAGGCTGTCTACATATTGTTTTGTACGATATCCATCGTGTTCCCACTTGTTTCTCAGACTACTTCGTTACGCTAGCCGGATAACCAAGCCACCATATCATCCCATTGCCTCTGCAACTTTGCCAATCGATTCTCGACGTCTTCCTTCTCACGCTTCAGCTCCTGGACCCTGCCCTCATCCCACAGATCTTGCGATTCTGCCTCTTCCTTCATTGACCGCAACTCAGCTTGTAGTGCTGACCTTCGCTGCCTTTCGAGAATCCGGGCTAGCTCATTTGGCCTCGGTTGATTCATCTCACACCACATCTTGACGCGTGTGATATCTTCTTTGTGTTTCATGTTGATCTCCATGAGCTGCCGAGCGTGGTTCTCGTTGACGATCGCGATGTCCTTTGCATAAGCTGCTTTGAGGTCATCGAAATGCTTCTTGTGATCTGCACGCTCTTTCTCGAGGGTGCTTGATAGACTGAGAACCTGCCACTCATGCCTTCTTGGATCCTTGATTAGGGAGGTGAGAGGCGATTCTGCAGAGCTGGCATGTATCGTTGACTGTAGCTTCCATTGTGTTAGTGTCTTCCTCACGGGTACATTGTGGTTTTCTAAACCTACAGAATTCGCTCGTGAAATTGGGTACGTGTCGTTACGAGGAAAAAGGCGTTTGAAGGATGGATTCCGACCACGTTTCGTTGGCTCTGTCCTTGACATTGTGCAGTCGTGGGTAAACGATTGAACAACATCTCGCAAACAGTACAGCTTATCAGAGAAGAGGATCTAGGAGGCTATCTTTAGGCTGCAGCTCTTGTGGGACGTAAGAGTTGGACAATACGACACGAACGGAGACGAGAAAGTTTGTACGAGCGGTGTAATCATGATAGTAAAAGTGAAGGTGAAGTTGGAACCTCAAGCTAATTGTCACAAGACTCATATGCGGTTCCTACTTTATTCCCAAACTTGGATTTGATGCTTTCGCTCCTTGATCTCCAGGTCTCAGCGTCTAGTCTCAATGTCCAGCCTCAGCGTCTTATCTACAAATGTGATAATTCCAACTAAACATGGTTCATGATCGTAGAGCAAGGCAGTCACTGTGTCCAACTCTTCCTCGATGTCCTTCAGCTCTGCCTACGCTCCCGCGATGTTATTCTAAGAAGTAGTAGCAAGATCATACACATAATCTGCTTTTGAATCCAAGCCTACCCACCTTCGGACCTACTACCACGCCTCAGCAGCAACGGTATCGAGGGCATCTTCGTCAACCTCTTAGCCTTCGCGTTCAGGTTTGGGCTCGCCTTTGGTGTCTTGACATTCTGTGCATGTTTTGAATCCTTCAATACCTCACCCTTCCCAGATTTGTGCGGCGCAAGGAGAGAGTCGAACGTCATCTCTGGGTTAGCCCGGAACTTCACTTCCTGGAGTAGCGGACTGCGACCACGTGTGGAGGTGTCGGATGATGATGGTGGACCGTAAGTCGATGCTAGGGATGAGATGCAGTGGACGTTACAGGTGCTTATCCGAGAATTGAAAGGCTGCGAGAAGTAGTCTTCATTGCTTGCTGCTCGAGCCTAAGGATCGACGTATGAAGTTAGCCAGATCTCATGCGCAGTTCATACATGAAGTCACCTACATGTGAGCCGTGATAGCGAGGCACGTTGTTCACAAACTCCTGAAATGATGGTGTGGATTTTGACTCGGGTAGTGGAGATGGTTCTGAAGGCAATAGGGCAGAAGAGCAAAAATTGTAAGTCGACTGACAGGAGGCGCGCCGGGTCTCTGAGTAAGCAGACTCTTCATCCTTTTTGGCGTCAATTGAAGCAATCCTGGTTTGAGCTTGAGATAGGCCCAAAAAATTACGCACCTTCTTTGTCAGCTTTGACAAAGCGCGCTGGCTGTACTGCTTATCATTCCCCATAGTCGTAAGTGCATTGGTTCTCTCCACATTTGGCATCACCCGTGGAACCAAGTCTCCGGGCCTATCATGACGAGTATCGGCGCTCTCGCCCAACCAATCTTGAAGGCTGTCGTCCTCTTTGCCCTGTGCAAGCGCTAGTCTGTCTTCTGCGGACAGTGCTTGGGCGTAGTAGCGCGACTGTTGTCGGGGTTGCTCGCACGAAAGGACTGACATGGAAGGACTTGAGCGATGGTATACGTTCAATCCGAAGGATTGGTGCTGAGTTTGCGATGCAGAATTTGCAGTACGGCCAGCTGCTTTGTTAGCACCAAAAGACGTCAATGGGCGGGAACCGTGTGGGCCGAAAGGCTCTCGTATGGGGATGGTGAAAGGTGATGAAGGAGTGTCCTGTATTGGCAATGCGACTGGCTGACCAAAAGGCTCCCACAAATTTGCAGCTAGATTGTTCGACGTATGGCCATCTGTGACCCTTGAGTCCGGGAGGACACATGACTCCCGCTGCTTCACCGTAAAGTAGGATGATGAAGTCGCATCCCCAGTGCCTACGATAGGCGGCCAATGGTTATCACGGACCTCACCATGACTTACATCCTTCTTGCGTAGCGATGACATTGCACGCAGCAGATGGTCCCTAATGTGCGATTCTTTTCGGCGTCGAAACTTGCGACAAGGTGAAGAAGGGGATGGTTGTGGTGTCGGACAAGCGACTGTGGTAAAGCGTCAGAAGTGGTTCAGGTTCGAAAGCTTGAGCTCGAGCTGCTGTTGCCGCTGGGACATTCTAGCTGGATCAAACGATATACGCGCACTAGTATAGTCATTGTGAGGACCTGTGAGCTCAATGGAACATGCACTGTAGAGATAACGAGTATCATCGTGAACGAACAGGGAAAAGCGACAGCTGATCTGTCAATTGTTTGGTAGTAATTCATTCACTCTTGAATGACACTTCAAATCAATACCCGTTCCCACATCTTGTCCCTATCTCTGGGTAGGTCAAGCCCTCTTTCTTCATACTCTATTCTTCTTTGCATCAGTCTCCTCTTCCCGAAAACCTGGAGTCTTCTCCATCAATGGCACCATATGGAGCTATTAAGCTCATCGACATATGTAATTCCTGGCTTCGTCGTTCCTTTGAGCGGCACCTTGATCACCGGAGTATCAAGCGGGCTGAGCGAGGAGCCCGGGGGTCAGATGCTTCAGCCGAGCCTCATCGTTGAGTTGCATGCTATGCTTAGCGAGCGAACACGAATGTTGATTACCGTCCTTTTTTCCGTCGCTGCACTCATATAACGACCCATTGGAAAAATCCTAGAATCATGGTAGCAGTAACCAGAAATGTTGATGTAAGGGGTGCGTGCCGGCTTCCGAGAGATGTGGGGTCGCCTGTGGGTCTGGGATCATTGTCAGCGTTCACATTCCTGAACTTGGCGGAACTTCCAGATAGGGTAATAGCATCATCGAGAGGCAATCTGCAGCCGCATAGTGGACCGCTCGGGTGAAGTGCGCGTGGGATTTGAACTTACTGCTTCATATGTAGACCCATGTCATCGATGGCATCACACCTCTGCCACTCCAGCTCGGGAACTGCCTCCATGGTCACGTTATTGTCGTCGTTGAAGCTCAGCCTTTGTCCGTTACTTGCGCTAAAGGAGTGCCAGTCCGGACTCTGAAGCTCTGAGCCTTTGGAGACTAAATATTCTGCAGCGTGTGTGTTGGGGTCAAAGCTTCGGATGAAGGACGCCCAGTATGCCTGCACGAAAACGCCAGCGGCCGAAGTAGCATTGTTCCAGATTGGTAGCAATTCTCCGACATGCGACGCACTTCCCACGTTCCACCGGTATTGCCAGGTTGGGTTCGTGTTGTTGATGGCGTAAGTATCGGTGACATTAAGAGCAGGGCAGGTATATCGGATGTACCCATAGACATCAGCGGTCAGTGATCTCCAGCGGGCGTCAGCAGTCGTCGCAATGTTACCTCCCCAAACTTGACGGATTGTATCCCAGTTCAAGGCGGGGTACTGGTCGGTGAGGAAATCCTGAGACCGAGATTGGGACATGATGCTCTTCTGAACGAAATTGATGCCATCATGCGTGGCACTGCCAAAGATAGTGGGCACGTTGACGAAATGACCAGCCTTCAACTCATTAAAAGTGTAGTCTTGCACGAAATCGTAGTCCAGGGTCGGATTCCAGAAGTAAAGCGGTGGATTCTTGCCGCCTGGGAATGGCATCTTCAATGTACTGACAGCATCTTGAAAAGTGACCGCATCGAGACTTGCCATGCAGTTGAGATCGGCGCATCCCGTCTGTTTGAGTAGCTCGTCGAATTGCCATTGGCTGTCTCCTACGTCTCGTAGCGATGGAAAGGCAGGTGATTCGGCAGCGGCAGCGTGGAAGAGACCGTCATCTCGTCCACCATATGCGGTAAGTTGGAAAACAACAGAGCCTCCACCAGCGCTTGCTCCTCCAATGGTAACATGTTTCGGGTCGCCTCCAAACTGTTGGATATGTTTTTGTACCCATTCGAGTGCTTTTCTCTGATCTTTCAGCCCATTGTTTAGACTCAGACTCGAATTCGCAATAATCTCACGTCCAGCTAGGAACCCATAAGGGCCTACTCGGTAGTTGAAGTTCACCACAACCATGCCGTCGTCGCCAGCATCAATCAAGTCCGCACCGTTGTAGTTTGCATTGCCGTTGAGATTGAAGCCACCTCCCTGAATGAAGACGTAGACCGGCAACTTGCTCTTGTTTGTGGCTCTCTCTGGCGCGAAAACGTTGATAAATAGGCAATCTTCTGAGTTGGTTCCCCCAAATTCAGCTTTCAGTGGTCTCTTGGTGCCAATACATAGGGGTCCGAACTAAAATGCTGTTAGTGTGTTGTCAACAAACATGAACGCGTCTTGAATACTTTTGTAGCGTTGACAACACCGGACTCATCTTTGGGATCTTGAGGTGCGGTAAATCGCAGTCCCTCTACACGCGATGGATTGCGTGCATATCGCATACCAGCCCAGCGTATGACACCATTGCCGAGATCTTTTCCGCGGTACTTTGCATATCCAAGGTCGATCGTTTCTTGCAGCGCTAAGGCATGCTGAAATAAGAGTGCTACACAAAGCAGCAGGCGAAACATTGTTGACAGTTGAGTAAACGAAAGGCGAAGGAAGGAAGGAAGGAAGGAAGGCAAGTCGCAAATAGGTACAAACAATGGGGTATCGTATTCGGTGATGTTTCCCCTGGTTGTCGCCGAAGGCTCGTTCCGATACGAGCTATGCTATAGTGCGGCAGGGCTACGTAGATCTTTGTTCTAGGGGAACGGGTCAGAAGTACAAAAGAAACTCAACAGTTGCATCATGCTATCATGACAGGGAGTTCGGTTGGAAGTGTGCTATTTCCGAAGCGTTAGCTTTCACATGTGACGTCTGTCTGCGCCGTGGTGAATAGTACAAACTGTGTGGAGAAGGATCAGTGACATTAGCACCACCGTGCTATTAGCAAACGTCAGCTCGCGGGCTGAGTCGATGGTAGTACAGCAACGAAGATCCACGTCATAAAAGAGCGGGCCCGCGGGTATAAGAGTGCCTGAGTGATTTGTTGTTGCTTCTAGTTATCGCTGCAATAGTCCTATCTGCACCGCCGCACTGCAGCATCGAACCAGGGTTTTGCAAAGATCCAGACCATTTGACTGCATGAGGGCGTGGGCGACTCTGCGACGGGATGACCCCAGGCCTCTGACAAGTGGGTGGTACCGACCAGGGTGATTGACCGACAGGCAGTAGCGCGCGCTGACGGTACAATTACACCGAAACTATTCCATTGCTGTGCCTCGTTGAACTCCTGGGGTCCGCGGATCCCCATTCGAGGATCAAGGACGGCGACAGGGGAAACGCAAAATGACGACTGGTGCTGAACGGGCACGGCAGATGGTGATTGACGACAGCAATGAGATCAGATCTACGATGTGAAAGCGGTTGGCAGGTGCCCAGCATTGTTGATCCAAAAGCCATGTGGGACCTGCAGCCGTGTCCATGATGCGAAGCCTGATCACCTCAAGGATGGGGAGCGGCATCCTTGCCGGCTTTCTACTAGAGGGCAAGATCGGCCGTGCGAACGCGCGAGCAGGACGGCTGAAACCTGGGCACAAAGATGAAACCACGACGCCTTGACGAGATTTTGTGGAAACACTCCAAATTACATTTTCCAAGTATTTTTGCCCTTCGCTTGGCCTCATCATCGAATGATGATGACTTCGTTCAGCATCAGTGCGAGCCTTTGGGATACTCGGCTCCGTCGCGATGCCCGAATGGCGTTTAAAAGCCACGTCGAGACGTGCTTGGTCGGGCCTGTTGCAGCGTCTGTGAATGCGTCGTGGCCCACGTGGTCTGTTGTCAGCCTCGGGCGCGTATTGGAGGTTGTGACAAGCACTTGAAGGCTCGCCAGCTAGGAATCTGCTTATCCTGGCGGCTTGCTTTTTCAGGGTCCACATGCGTCACATCTCAACGTTGTTGGATCAATACATGGCATCCATGGTTTGAGGCGGTCAACCAAACAGCACATCACTCTGCGAACCTACTGGTCTGCGGTGCAACACAGATGATCCCCGCGTTCACGCACACCATCGTGCCGTTAGGTTCGGTGATCCGGAGAAGCCCCAATGCCGCGCGGGATTTCCAAGCTATCCGAACGCCAGGCCTGCAAGCCACTAAGCCATCGTTCTAGAACTTCCACCACTCTTACACTTCACGAAATGTCTTTGAAGATTCTCCAAAGTTCGTAAAAGAGCATTCTACACGCGTTTCACCTTTGCAGAACACCGAGGTTGAAGCGTACTGCAGTGGTTCCGGATTGGGGAGCCGCAACCTGCACTCAACACTCTCCGAGTCCAAACTAGTGATATCTCATTCGCGCGTAGATTGCAGCAGCATGCGTGATTTCCTCAGCACAATCTGTTCCGTTTCCCAACACAATGATGATCTTTCGGAATGCGTATGCGGACCTTGACTCATTCAAGTAAATCATTCATTACATTTCAGTAGAGCGTGATCTTGAGTTCAAAGGTGCTGGATGGCAGTTCCGCAGCAGATGAAGGCGTCAAAGCACGAATTCTCTATAACGGTATCTAAACATCTCTTGGTCTTTGTACACAAGGATGTATCTCACCGCCTAAATCCTAGTTGGTTCTTTCCCTCCAAAGCTGTTCCCCATATATACAGATCCAGAACCCTACGCTGTTTCTGGCATCAATGCTCGTCTTTATTTCCTGTCTTCTCATCTGACACTTGAACCTGCATCTTCCATATCTAGCAACGCTTCTCTCAGAAGTCAGTAACCCTACCATTGTAGCTCCAATCACCCGTCTTTCCAGTGCTTCCCCACCTAAGAGGTTCATTCTTCGGTCCGCCCACCTCTCCCGTCTTGGGATTGACATCACCCTCAAACTCCGGCGGTGCCCCTCTCCTCATATTAGGATGAAACTCCTCTCCCTTCTTGATTTCCTTGCCATTCTCAAATCGTACTTCGGGAGCTGAGTCGAGTGACTGATTTATTTGTGGTCTTGACCTGGAGGCGGGGGAGGCGGGTGTTGGAGATGACGAATCTGGAGACTGGTTGATTTGCATGCGGATGTTTGGTTTGGAGGTTGGTGTTTCAATGTCTTTGGGTGTGCTGAAGGCGCCAGTGCTTTGCTTTTGCAGCTTCTCAAAGAGTTCTTGCTCTTCCTTGGGTAGGCGGGGTGGTGCTGGGCCCGAGCCAAAGGGTGCTTGAGCATGTCGAGCTGAGATGCTGAATGTGCGACGGGAGAGCTGGCGGGGAAGGCGCGCGATTGTGCACGTTGAGGTAGCCATGGTCGGTGGCTAAATGTGTGACGGGACTTTCGGGGGCGAATATACTATGCGAGATCTGTCGTGAGTACGGTGGAAGCTGTTTGCAAGTCGATGGCGAAGACGACCTTCTTGACTATAGATCGGGACCGCGGCTTGACGGAGCCAATCGGAGCCCTGCAGTGGCAACGGAGGTCGGATTTTCGTGCATCGTGGATGTGCATCACACTTCTCTTCTGCAACCTTCCAGTGTAATTGCACCGTGTTCCGAATTATTTTCGTGATATCAAAATCCCCAGTACATGTTGTGTCTAACTTTTCAGAAAGCTATCGTCCCTTCTGGGTCAGAAACGCCCACCGTCCTCTGCATCCAAACGCCAGGCTATCGTACAAAACTACAGCACACCATCTACGCAATGTATCCATTCGTCTCGCCCAGTGCCCGCGCACTCCTTCCTGCGTCCAAGAACAAGTTTTGACATTCTTCCACATCGTCAACCTCGATTTGCTTGTTCTCCCTTCCATTGACCTCTGCTAGTACACTCGCTGGAGCTAGGAGTTGCAGCGCATATCGCAAGCTAATCTTCTCGCCAAGCGCGCTGACCTTCTCCTTAGCTGGACCCGAGATGTTGAGTTTCTCGGTCGTAACCCGGGTGGAGATGATCGACTTGATTTCCGCAGGTCCGTATGGGTGTGTTGGAATAATAAGGAGACGTGCGAGGAGATCGGTCGGGATGCCGTGCGCCGAAGGAGGCAGGTTCTCCCCACCACGAATATGTGTGTTGCCGCGATTCGACGCGAGGATAACAAGAGGTGATAGGGGAGATTCAAGGGCACGGTTCAGGAATGTGAAAGCCTCGAGGTCGAGCATGTGAACCTGCGCATGTTAATCAAACCCAGACGGTAGAGAGTGGTATCTTACCTCATCGATGAAGAGGACACCAGGTACCAGGTCCGCGATACCTTGGTCAATGTACCTATTAACGACCTTGTTGATCTCTAGTCGCAGCTTCTCTGTGATCTCGGTCTTCTTGGGTTTCATCAGCTGTCCCATCATGCTCATGATGTCCTGTCCACCTTGCGGCCGCGCGTTGGCGACGTCTAAGTCGTGCAGAGTGACGTCTTGAACAATCTCCTTCTTCTTGTGAACATCACCCTTTGGTATAGGAACATACTCCTCTGCCTCAAGATCGAACTCGGTCGCGTAGGCATCTGATCGTCCGACACGCTTTACGGCACCCGTGTTGGCTTCGATGTAGATAACATCGCCTAGACGGACGCGCTCCTTCTGTATAGCCTCGTATATGGATGGGTCGAGTCGCAGCTTCTTCGTGCCCTTGGCCGACTTAAGGTTAATGAGGAGATGCGAGATGGTGCGGCCATAGCCTCCAAGCGGGTTTTCAGCTTCCTCAGGCGTAAGCTCCGTCACTTCACCCTCATAGACCTCCTTGGTTTCCTTGACGCGAAGACCTAGCGCAAAGTGTTAGTGCACTCTGTGCCCACAGATTGAGTGAATGCACACCTATTGCTCTCCTGAAGTTCTCCATGAGCGCCTCGGTCTTCTTCACCTCGGCAGAGTAGATCTCGCTGCCAACGATGGGGCAGAACGGCACCTTGGTACCCAACTCCTGGCTCACAGCCAATGCCAATGCCGTCTTTCCAGTTCCAGGACCACCTGCGAGTAGTACAGCTCTGCCGGACATCTTCTTCGCCTTGACAAGGTCGACGACTAAACCACACGCCTGCGCTGGTTAGTACCTAGGCTGAAGCAGCGAGCGAAAGTTGCAAGTACCTCTCGTGCTGCAGCTTGGCCGACGAAGCCACCAGCTGCGGGAGTTGCGCGTCCATCGCTTGATAAGCCAAGTCCTTTGATATGGGAATGCGCCGCGGTTCTGGCTGAGCGATCATGCGTGCTCTTGACTTCGCTGACAGGCACCGTCGTCATTTTTGGCGTCGCAAGCACTCAATTCTATCAAACGATAATAATTTGGTATCGGGATGACGGTCGCGTTCGTGTAGGCGGTGTGGCGATGGTGTGGATAGGTGGGCGCGCGTTGTTTTGGGTGTCTTGAGCTCGAAGTTTTGGGAGGGATGGCAGTTCGCGAAAGGCACAGCTAGCGCGTCGACCGCAGCGCCGGCGCTCTATGTCAGTCACCCGCTTGAATCCCCACCCTCCGCCTCCACTCACAGCAGCAGGGCATTCACGGTCCCAAGCCAGGACACAGGGCTGCCCGCAATACTGCGCTCTCGCTTGCTATCGCATCGCTCTCTGCATCGCAGCCTGCTGTTATGTTGGGGGCTTCCACCATCCCTCCTCCCTCCGTGGCGTCGCCTACCAGTGACCGTCACACGGCGGCGCAGTCAGGGTCACTGCCTGGGCCAAGGGCCAACAGAACGTACAGTATCTGACCTTCCTCTCGCTGTTCCGAGTACTGACCTTGCTGCAGACCACTACCTACAGGAGCACATGTTCGCGCCCTGAGTACCGCCATCACTGATATCCCCCCCTTCGGAACATCCTCTTCCGAACAACCAACGGCCACTCCTTCACCCTGACGGAACACGGACTATCTCGCGAAACGCCCCTAGGTCCGAGGCAAGTACGCACGCAAGACGCCACGGGATACACAACACCCTCAACGGCGATTTCCTTCGGATCCCGCCTCGCCTGATTAGTCGCATCCACTCTCGAGTACACTACCGAGCCAAGACCAGAGATTATGGAACATCACACACCGAGGCACAGCGCACATTTGGCAATATTATCTGGATTTTATTCAGGCCGCCGACCCGAGCAGCATATTCATACAGCAAAAGACTACTCGCATGTCCCCCATTTTCGGTAGAACCACCACGCCAAATGCTTGTTACGGCGGGCAGCCCATGCCTTCGACCAAAAGGACCTAAAAAGACAAACCTCGTCACTCGTAATCCGTTGTCGGCATTGGTACCATGATCATGGCACCTCTAGGGTGGGGTCGGTGGGCAAGAGAATACTATACATCGATGTGTTTGTTGGTTGTGTGTGTGTGTGTGTGTGGGTTTGGTGGTAAGTGAGCGCCTGCAAGCTCGAGCAAGCACTGATCTCTGTCTCAGATCTCTTGCCATGGCTAACGACGCCCGATGCGCACCGACCGCGGTATCAAGAAGAAGGCAAGACGCGCATGTTCGATCATGTCAAAGGAGAAGCAAGGAGATCGGACCAATCACCGAACCAGGATTTCACGCGAGAACAGGAGGACTATTTGCCGGAGAAGATTACTCTTCCTCGCTCTCGGAGCCGCTGGACTCGTCGTCGTCGCTGGATGCATCATGCACTACAAAGGTTAGTTGATGATTGAGAGGTGCACGCACTAACAACTCACCAGGCGGAGACTGGCTGGATCCCGACGCACCACCTTGGAACGACTGCAGCTTCTCCTGGATCTTGCGCATGTTATCCTCCTGTTCACTCTTGCCCATAGGCTTATTCTTCTTCGGTCGAGCCGCAGCTTGCTTCGTCACCTGCCTAGGTGGCTCAAAGTCATCATCGGCTACTGCACCTCCCTTGGGACCGCGCAGAGACTTGATGAACCTCAACAACTCCCGAAGCGTATCATCATTGATCTCGTCCATGTCGAGCTCCATTTCGTCATCGTTCACGGTCGCAAGATGTGGGCAGCCATTTCTGATGATTTGGACTGCCTTACGCATATCAAGGTCACCAAGCGTACTGATGCCTTCTGAGATCTCCTGTTTCTGGGCAAAACTCAGAGGCGCAGGAGCCTTAGCCTTCTTGACCGGTGCAGTCTTGATAGGCTTCGCAGGTGGTGGCACCGCAAGTGGAAGACTCTTCCGCTTGGTTGGTGGCGCGGCGGCCTTCTTCTTCTTGCCAGGCAACTTGGGTGAGGCACGTTTGCCACCAGTTTGCTGCTGCAGAAGTTGTTGCGCTGTGGCGTTCAGTTGTGCGATCTGTTGCTGGATCGCAAGAAACTGGGCCTGAGCAGGGTCTATCTCCTCCTCGTCTTCATCTTCCTCATCATCTTCATCAGAGTAGAGGTCGCTGGGCGAGTGTTCAGGAGCAGGCGCATGCTGGGCAAGCCAGTCGGCCTTCTCTTTCCACAGGCTCTCAAACAGATCCTCCATCTTGTGCCCCATCTGATTGACGGCGTCACCTTCAGGATTGAACTTGTAGCAATTCTGGAAAACGAGCTGCGCATCCGCGTAGAAGTCTTTGGCACTTTGGTAGACGCCATTCTTCAGGTTCTTCTCAATCGTACCAAAGTCCATTGGTTTCTTGATGATCTTGAGATAGGACGGAATGTTGAGCGCCACAGGATCTACCGGAGCAATGAACGGGTAAGTAACTGCACTGTACTTTGGCTTCATGAGCTCGGTAAGCACAGACTCGCAGAACTTGAGTTCTTGCGCAAACTTCTTCCTTCTCGGCTTTGCGTTGGTGTAAGGCAAATCCTTCGAAGGCCTATGAATCTCTCGCTTTGGACGACCGTCTATTGTAGACGAATCACGTCGAATCAACGGCGTACCGTCTTGCTGCAGAGGCCAAGCAGCCTGAGGTGAGGTTGCTGCAGGAGTAGCGACGGCAGGAGATTTGACATTAGGCGGTGCAACACGAGACTCACGTCGAGCCTTTGACGAAGTGTTTACTGATGGCTTCTTTGCCTTTGCCGGCTTGGGTGGCTCTTCAGCAGCAGCACCTCGGGGCATTTTACCCATGCCTTTCAAGAAGTAAGCGCGGAGGTTGTATCCTGCTTGAGTTACAGGATGTTGCTTGTTGTTGAAAAGCTCGCTGTTGGTGATCATCTGATCGAGGTCTGCCATGAAATCCCTGACGTAAGTGTACTTCTTGTCCTTCAGCTTGTGTTCCATAGTAGTCAAGTCCATGGGGTTCTTGACAATATCAGGGTAAGTTGGAATGTTGAGGGCTATGGGGTCAACAGGATCCTTGAACGCTATCGAAACCTTGATCTTCTTTGTGTTCCTTATCCGCTCAAGAAGAAACTTGTTCTGTGCGTCCGTCATCGGAGTGGTTGGCCATTCTTCCCAATCAACAGCCCTGTGAACACCTGATGCCTCGTGTGCAGAGTCGGAAGCCGGTCCTGGAGTACCGCCATTTGTGCTGGGTTGCTCCGTCTGATTGGGCAACTCGGGGAGCTTGAAGTCAGTCTGAGCACTCGTCTCTTCTTCGGTCTTTGTGCGCTTCGCGTCAGGAATGTCGTCATCATCATCCTCGCGGGGACGGACTTTGCCCGAGGACGGAGCATCTTCCATCTCACGATCTACAATAGCTGGAGACTGAGCAGCAACAGATGGGGGCGCAGTAGCCGCATCACTGTCGGTCTTGATTGTTAGGTCGTGCATTGGCTTTGTAGGTGCTCCGGATGACTCTGTAGGTTTCGACTCGCCGGGTGCATCGGCGGTGGTATCCATGCTGTCTTCAGCTGGCGCTTCCTCTTTGGCGACAATCTGGGTCTCGGGTACTTCTTGGGTGCTAGCGGCTGTTGCCTGGGTCGCTGAGGAAAGCTCCTCGACAGTCGCGGGTTCGTCGCGCACGTCTGAAGTTGGCGCTTCTACGGCGTTGGCAATGGTGGCACCAGCATCCTCGTCACCAAACAAGGAGTTATTATCTTGTTGGCTGTCAGGCAGAAACTGTGCGACACCGTCGATTCCAGCAGAGACGTTGGTAGTGGGCTCGACGGCGGGCTCCACTACAGGCGCTGATGCATCCATATCTACGTGATTGCCGTTGGTGGTTGGTTTTGATTGCGCAGTTTCGTTGAGGGTTGTCTTTGGTTCTGGGTCATCAAAGAGCACATCGTGAACGCTACTAGGTATTAGTAGGTGGCGCAAGATGAGAGAGGAGGCGTGATGAAGAGTAAAGGGAAGAGCGACTTACCCGTTTGCCTCAGTGTCTACCGCCATTGCGTCTGCCGGCGCAAAAGCGCTCGCCTTAAGGTCCAGGGAGGTTTTGTCGACAGTCGGAGATGTCATTACTGCCATAGGGCCATGAAAGTGAAAGGCGGGTTTGCGCGCGGCTGACAGAGGATGTATGGTGTTTGATGTTGTTGCTAATCTGGGGTTGTTAGCGATTGCCATTTCGGGCGCAGGCGACTGCGCAAGAATACGCGTGTTGACGACGGACACGGCAATGAGAGGGGTGAGTGGGCGCGTTTGCGGTGAGGGTGGGGTCAGAGGGTGAGGCTAGCGTCGGTAAAGTGACGCGAGGGATCAGGAGGGGCAGTGAGGAATATATGTTGCAGAGGCTGAAACGCACGTGACTACGTACCAGATGGTGGCGGCGGCGAGGTATCAAAGAGTGGACGGCGGTCGGTGATGAGTCAGACTTTATAGCGCCGACGCGTTTGTTATGGTGGGCCAAGCGCGTGGAAGGCAGAGGCAATAACGGAGTGGTGCAGCTGTGCGCCCTCTCTCAAGATGTGCGACAACAACACAAACGTTGGTGATGTAGTGCACGGATGGTGACGGCGGGCTGGATGCTCAGACGGGCGGGCGGTGAGCGCTAGTGTCAAGCGGGTGCAGACAGACGGGGGATGGATGCGCAATATTAATTATGTCGGATTTTACTTGGTGCAGCAGCCTAGACTTTTGTCGAGATATGACGGATCTCGGACAGGTGACGAAGGTGTGGCGGGGGGGTGCGAGTAAGGTTGGGTGATCGGGAGCAGGCGCGTATTGATTGGAGGCAGATCAAGAAAATGGACTCAAGAACGTCGAAGACAGACGCGAGAGGAGAGGCATTGGGGTTAAGTAGCCCGGCCCTTCCATCTCCGAGCCAAGCCTCGCAGCAGCCCCTGACCTGCCACTAACCTGGACGGGTACGTGTCCTTGCCGACCACTTGAGCATCCGCGCCCGCAACGCCGCGTTTTGGCATTATCTGCTCTTTTCCGACACGTGCGCGTTCAACTTGGACGGCTCTGCTACCCTCCCGATGACTCTGTTGCTGGAACAGATGCCGTCGACGCGTCGCAGCGAGTTGGACAGCTCTACACTATGATCCCTGTCAACAAGGCCCGTGCGTGCAGGGGTGGGTAATTCGCTCTTTCCAAATTTTTTGCGACCACTTGCATCTTGCGCATTGCTTCAGGCTGCAGCACCACAGCCTTGAACAAACTTCCGGTCAAGGCATCCACGCGCCCAGTCAGCGACCCCTCGAAATTCACTGTGCCTACCACAATGCCCGCCGCAGTAGCAACCCCGAAGAATCACGACCGCCGGCCGGCGAAGAAGCCCAAGTTGGCGCAATCCTCTGCGACAGTCCGTCAGAATGGTCTCAAAGCGTTAGTGAATGGAAATGCGGCAAAGCCCACAGCAAAGACAAGTGGCCCAAAGAACGCGCGAGCAGACAGAGTCGACGACGCCACTGCTGTTGTCCAAGGCCCGGCCGATGCGCACATGCTGGATGCAGACGTCATTGAGATCAGCAGCGCCGAGGAGGAGAGTGAAGACGATTCAGAGAGTGAGCACGAGGATCCCACACCAAACGGCGCCGCTGCCGATGACGACAATGCCGCCGAGCCGGAAGAGCTTACATTTGGGGACCGGCTGCGCGCAGAAGGCCCCGAGCCTGTTCAAGAATCACGAATCATCAGCGTAGAAGATGCATTTGACCCCAACCCCGAGCGCACAGTAACAACGACCAAGAACCGCCCTCTTGCACCGCCCAACGCAAACTCTCTCGGCACTGTCCTTACCCAAGCCCTGCGAACCAACGACAAGGAGCTTCTTGATTCATGTCTCCAGGTTGTGGATGTAGAGTCAGTATACGCTACTGTAGAGCGGTTGCCATCGCCATTGGTTGGCACATTATTGCAGAGGCTGGCTGAGCGACTTCACCGAAGCCCTGGCCGGGCAGGCATGTTGATGGCTTGGGTACAATGGAGTCTTGCTGTAAGCAATCCGCATCCGATTTGAACGAGGCAACAACTGACACATCAACAGGCCCACGGTGGATACCTGGCTTCCCAACCACAAATCGTCAAGCAGCTCACCGCACTTAACAAAGTTTTGAAAGAGCGCTCGAGCGGTCTCATGCCGCTCATGTCGTTGAAAGGTCGTCTGGATATGCTCCAAGCTCAACTTGATCTGAGGAAACGGAACCAAGCCGCCAACGACGATGCCGACGAAGCGCTGGTCTACGTCGAGGGTCAGGACGACTACGTCTCCGATGATGAGTCTGTTGATGGTGCCACTGCGACCCCGAAACGATCGCGTGCGGAGATGGACGATGAAGATGAAAGCTCCTCAGACGACATGGGCCTGAACATGGAGATGGAGGACGTTTCTGATGAGGGCAGCGAAGGTTCTGACGAGGACCTTATCGACGACGAGGCGGAAGAGACGGACGATGACGAGGGCGAGGATATGTCGGAACCCATGAGCGACGACCTGGAAGATGGCGATTCCGAGAGCGGAGACGAATCGAAACCGGAGCGACGGTCGACTGCCGCACGGGCAGGACTTAAGAGCCGGCGCTGAGTGCAGAAGAGGAGGTTCGTAATATTTGTACAGTCTACGACGGCTCGCGAACCAAACTGCTTGGCGCGTCCGATCATCCAAAATGGGATTCACGCATAGGCGTTCATCTAGGTGGCGTTGATACCTTACTTACGGCAATCTACACGAAGTTTAGATTTCTTCAACGCATCGCTTTTGCAGACACCGTTGGTTTGCATGTCATGGAATTAAAGGTACTTGATACAATCAGTCAGTTTGCTATTCTGAGACATGTCTTTGCCTTCTCGTCAGTCAGAGACAGTCCCTGCTGTGAAGCCTTGTCGCGTTAATTGTGCACAGCGAGCTGTCGTCTTATGGCACAATGTTCTGACGCTGATATTACAACATTTCCATAAATCTGTCAACATGAAATCCAACACACATGACCTCGACGCTATAATCCTGAAACTTAACAGCGAACCGTCCCAATCTGGACTTTATCCACAACTTCGACATAGAGAAAACGGACAGCTTTTCAACCATATCTACCCTGGCCAGCCGGAAAAAGTTTACGCTGCAGTCTTAGATTTTAACGGCGATCTCATCGACCGCAACAAACCGTACCCAAAGCTACGTCACACAGCTTCAGGCCATCTTTTTCGATACAAGATACTAGCTGTTAGGGACGTGAGTCGCGTACCTTCAATTCTCCGCAACTGGTTCCATTGACAATAATTGGACGAACTTACCTAAAGTGTGACTCCAGCCGTTTAGACACCACACTCGCCAGTCTCTCGGCACAACAATTGCGACGAAATAAAGACCGGCAACCCCACTAACCCTCACCAACGACACTAAAGCGGAAAATCATGGTTAATAGACGCAATGTTCGTCCTGCCTTTCGAAGTGAGCGCTTCACCAAAGAACAATTAGAGCAGAGAAACTTGGCTATCGGACACAAAATCCCTACGCATCACACTCGGCCCCTCACAAACGAGGAATTATCAGAGTCGAGAAATTGGACTACCAGTTCAGATACCAGAAATCGGACTAACATACCCATGGTTCCTACATTACACACCCAACGTATCGTACCTAGAGATTCATCACTGCCACAGCCTCAACATCTGACCGGAACGGCGTCTCCGTATACACTGATCCAAGTAGGTCATAGAAATGAATCACGGGCTCAATTTGCTCTGTATACAAACACGTACGATGCTGACCCTAGGCCTAATTCGAATAGAAGGCGTGCGTCGACGATCGTCACCCAACGCACGGCCGACTTGGCTGAGTTGAGTGAAGAGAATGAGACATTGCGTGAGTGGAAGAGGTGGATGGCGAGTAACAAGGACCCCGCTAAAGAAGCTATCGATGACTGGCGTACGACGGAACTTCGCCTCATAAGTAGTTGTTCCGATCTCCGGGCTCGTTTCAAACTTGATGGGGAACTCGCTGTGAACAAAGCTAGGGATAGAACATGCGAGCCCTTTTCCCACAATTTCGGCCACGGCTTTGATCGTGATGGCTTTTACGGCCGGATTAATAACTTACCAAGACTAAGAACCATGACGGTCATGAATTCAAAAACGGGCGAGGAGAAGGTAGTGCGTTTGGATCATCACATGCGTCCTGTTCTTCGTACTGAGGAGGAGGAGAGTTCTGAGACTGATAGTGACGATCTTTGGTCGCAAATTGCTCGCGACCGGAATTAGTTGAGGATGATGAAATATGATGTGAACTCAGCTGCGAGAAGTAGCAGAGCCACTGACTACAAATAGCTGATCTCCACCCTGCGCTGGAAGCAGTTGGATGACAACAAGCTGTTAGGCGTCGAACAGCTGGGTGATGACGAGGTGCGCAAACTAATCCGAGACATTGCTTTGGAGAGCAAGTAGTCTTCCGGATCGAGAATCGGGTCAGCTACATATGTGAGCCCCAACCAGGCGAAATGCATATTGAGTCGAATCACATATCTACATTGAGCTAGATGGTTACAGTACCTCAGTCTCATTGACGCTTGTAAAATTCAACATTATTGAGTCTTTGTCTTCTTCCTCGATTTCACTACTCATATCGCGTCTTTGATCTACACATATTGCGAAAAACAATGCCCTTGTCGAACTAGACCTTAATATACTACTTATGTGATAAGGACAACATACGTACCTGAACATTTTCTACCATATAACTCAGCTCTAATGTACATCTACGCAGCACTTATTCTCTATCGACTGACATGTCTTCCTTGGAAGGCACCGTCCCAGTTAACGCCACTCACACCAACCAGCCTTCGACCTACTGCCCCTCGGCCTGTCATTCAGCGATCTGTCATCCGTCGGCCCATCATCCGTTGACCCATTATCCGTCTTCGTCCTATGATGTATCCCACACAAAAAATGTCGACGATGCCTCGACGTCGTCAGGACATGACCATTACCACTAATCCTCCAGTTCAACAGACCTTCCTCCTCAGTCCAACTCCCACGACCACAACCTTCCATGTCAATCCACCTACCCTCCCTCCATTTGCTGGGTGCCAAACTTTCCTCCTCAGCGCCACTTCGTCTTCGAGCTCAACAAGTATTCGTGGCGATTCTCCTATCCTGCCTCCATCTCCCGTATTACCTCCATCACCACACCTCGCTCTCTTCCGCAATCGTCATCTCTCTACACCCATATCAACACTACCAGCCTATCCGACACCTCGTAGCTTCCACCATGACGGTATAAACTCCAACCCTTCACTATCCGTTCATTCGTCTATTAGCACAGACTTATCTACTGCCGACACAGCTGTGGAAAACAATTTGGCACCCCAGACGACACATTTAAGTGACATACTTCCCAGTGATATGGGTCTTTATGCTGAAGAACATGAAGAACATGAAGAACATGAAGATGGCGAAGATGCGACACGGTGGAGTAGAGACCTTACTGAAGAATTGCTGAATGTTGCTATAGAGCCAGATGTCGCTATCGAACAATTTGAGGAGTTGATACAAGTTGAAGCAATACCTATCCGAGAAGAAAACGTGGATGATGTGGTATTGGGCCCAGAGATTCAGGTCGTATTGCCGATCATCAAGGGACCAGACTTTAACTACTATCCGCCGCCGTCGCACCCAGCGGCGAGGGAGAGTGGGTACCATAAGGTGATTCAAAGACTGAGTCGTAGACTAGTGAAGAAGAACAGGGGTGACGGTAGCGGTAATGGTTTCAGGATTCTATGGAGGAGAATACAACGGAAGATTGAGAAGATAAGGAAGTTATAGTTAGATATGCTGTGCTTGCTTTCAGCATCTCAGACACAGCCTTGCGATCGATGCGTCGTGGGTGACTGAATGGATATCAAATCTCGACGTCTCTTGCACCAAGTTTCATCGGTCCTCCACGACATCTACACATCACTATCGATCACGGCCTCGACATCAGGTGGAGAAATCTCATACAAAGCAAAGCCACATCCGGCTCGAACCACGTGAATTCAAAGACTACACAAGAAACAGTATCTTAATCCCCTAGGGTATCGTATTAACAATATCCCTTTCCCTCTCCACTCCTTAGCAAATTACACTCTACAAGAAGAGAGCAGCAACGGCACCAACACCGGCAAGCGCACCGCCGACCTTGAGGCCGGAAGCAGCGCCAGTGAACTCGGGGTAAGGAGCACCGGTTCCGCTGCCGCTGGGGGCAGCAGTGCCGGAAGCGACGGGCATGGTGCCGACGGAAGACGCATCGGGAACCATGGGAACGCCGGTGCCGCCCATGACGGGGGCGGGGGATGAGGGGGTAGCGGCCATAGGGGTGGTGGTGGGGTAGTAGGCGCTGGACATGGAGGGGGCGACGGGTGTGTGTGCCAGAGTCCTGGAGGGGGTTGTTAACAATTTGACTATAGACGAGAAGGGATTGAATGTGACAGGGTGGCAGGGATATGCAAGGGCAGACGTACTCGGTGACGGTGACAGTGACGGCAGCAGAGCAGACCTCCTCAGAAGCAGAGGGGTACTGAGCAGCGACAGCTGCGATGAGAGAAGCGGCGACGATGGAGAAACGCATTTTGATGGTTGATGGTTTGTTGAAAGGTGTTGGTGAATGTAAGAAGATGGGTATCAAAAGAGACAAACGTCGAGTTGTTGGTAGTAAAGACTGTGGTTGGACTTGGCTTGCAAGGTAAAAAGAGTGGCTAATAGTATACTAAGTACTATTGATTATTGGAGATCGTAGGATGAAGAAGAATGAGAGGTAGGACACGAGGCGGTACACAGGGTCTTATACAGGGCTCATATTAGCAGTCATATGACGGAGAGATGGAAGGGTGGTATCGCATGTGGGTTAGGACGCGCCAGCCTCGCTCAACGATCGACTGCAGTGATTCATTTCCTCGCGGCTGGTGGTCTAGATTGGATGGGAGATCCTTGCACGACAGGTGTGGCGAGCTACGTGAAAGGTTCACAGGTTGGGATGAGCGATAGCGGAGATTGTGTTGGTTGATCGACGGGTGGTAGGAGCGCGATGCTTGAAGTTTTGAAAGCCGTAAAGTTGCGTCAATGGTAGTGGGGGAGTGTTGCGCGTCTTCTGGGCTTTTTGTGGTTTCCGTTTGCGCGCATAACTTTGCGTTGTACTTTTTTTCGTTTCATAGTCGTTGAATTCTTTGGCATCAAGGCACTCAATGTGTCTTTGGAGAACATGTCGTTTCGAAACATCCCCAATCAAACCACCAACTAACAAAGCGGCCGACATATGAAGGTCATTTTGATAGGAGCGGCACGATATTAGCACGCGGCGCCTTCCACCATTCTGAGACGTTGGTGGACCCCTGACGCTAGCCCCTTTCCGTTTAGGTTACTTGCGTGAACATGAATGTTCCGCAGGTAAGGAAATGTACCTGTCGATCTTGCCTCTTATTCTCGCTCAAATCCGCTTTTATGCATGAAAGGAGACCGCAAGCTGTGGGCGGGTAGTCGCAGACGTCATACTGGGAGAGCAAAGGTATTGCGACGAGACAACCATAGTAGGCTGATCGTCAAGTAGACAGAAGGTGATGTGAGGAACTTCGTATTCGCTAATCTAGCAACGAACAGAAATCCGGGGTATACCGTATTGCTCTAGAGTCGTTAGTGATGCCGCGTTCCGGTGGCTGCAACACTGACCCAGTATGAATACACCTCCAACGCCAGACATGCTTACGCCTCAGCAGCCGAAAAATGCCAAGATCAGCTCTACTTCACCCTGCCCATAATCGGATCAGGAGGCGACTCTTCCCCAATAGGTTCTGCAGCCTTTGCTTTAACCGCGTTCAACATGCTCCGGTCAAAGTCGTCCCTCGTCTTCAATACAGCTTCCACCCATGTAATAGTAACATCGCGATAAGCAGTCTTGAATTCAACGTACGCAAACTGCACTTGCGACTTGTCGCATTCAAGCAGCTTGAGGAACTCCTGCACAGCGCGCCATCGCTGCATGATGTCGGCACCTTGCTCGCCGAATGTCCTGAACCATTCGAAGGCTGTGAGAAGATCGTCCTTCATCTTTGCTGCAAACTGGTCCGTTCTCTTGAACTTGGCACCCTTGTTGCGCACGGCCCCAAGATACTGAACAAGCAGCTCATCGGCGAGAGAGTCGATGATAAGATCCCGCAGCGAGCGGTGAATGCGGGGGATAAACTCCTCCACATAGTCTTTGAAAGTTGTGATGATGGAAGCCATATCGGTCCTCGAGTACCACTCCGGTGTAAAGAACTTGCCAAGCACAGGCTTTAGATCGACAATAAAAATGAGCTCGCTAAAAACTTGTATGCAGTGAGATGAAATATCGATGTAACCGTTCTTCGCTTCATCCACGTTCCTGGCCAGCTTGTCGATCATATAGTCTTGCGAGACGATGGGCGTGACTTCGCGTTCAAAGACGGTCAAAAACGAGGCCCCACCACTACCATCGATGTCGTCGTCAATGCAAATGATTTGGTCATTTGCGAGCGCGATAAGCCATTCTTGCAAAACATAGGTCTCATCCTCGTCTTGCACGAAATTTGGTCCGAGATATTTAGTCTTTTCATCATCAATGAGCTGAGTCCATATACGCTGGCGAGACAACAAGGCACGGAACATGGCGTCAACGACGCCGTCAGCAACGTCAGGACGCTGACTACTGGCGGCGACACCAATGTTCTGACTGAAGAGTGTCCACATATCTCCCAGTGACCTAGTTTGGGTGATGCCGTCAAAGTTGGTCTCGTATGCTGTTTTGTCTTGCTGAAGGAACCTTTGTCTATCCTGATTGTTAATGCGTTCCATATATTGGTCAACGGCTTGAATGATGACGGAGCGGTAGGTACGTATCAGCTCGGGACTGCGGTTGTCGATGACATGTGGCTGCAATTGCTCTTCCGAGTACCCAAGCTTCTGCATCTTCACGTAGTACTTGTCCACCCAGTTGATGACAGCTAGCAGGTATTGCGGTCCAAGAGCTTCATCGTCGGCAAACTCCATAAGAAAGTCGTGCATCTGCTTGTGGTAGATGTTGGTATATGTGTCGAAGATGTTCCACTTTTTGGGCATGAGATCGACCATGCCCAACTTGACTGTGTTGAGGTTGTTGAAGTACCATTTGAAGGACTTTTCGATCTTGTCCGGGTCTTGCATGAATTCTTCTCTTGCCGCATCCATTTCCGCCTTGCAAACGTATTCGATGGAAGTAATGAACTTTTCCTTGTAGCCGCGAAGCTCCTTGGGTCCTTGGGTAATAGACTTGAAGCGAGACGCAAGATCACCGAACTCCCTCTGCGCATCCTGCAGGGCCTTGATCTTCTTGTCCGTCTTCTCTTCTTCCTCGACTACGACGGCCAAACGAACCACCATGCCTACATTGTCGGTCTGCACTAGCTGTATGAGATTTATGCATGCCTCCCCAACGTGTCTGTCAAACCACTCTACGACGTCATCCAAGCGTGCGAAGAGGTCTTGGACGGTAACGCCGCTCTCTAGTGTGAGATTGTCGATGAGCTCGGTGGAGGTATCGCTGTTCTTGATCTGGCCCATGGCCTCGTCGCGGATGTCTCGTAGCTGCGTCAGGCCGTAGTGGACTTGCAACAAATTAGGCTGGTTGGCGGGGTCTTGGTCGTCCTGTGCCAGCAGCATCTCGAGGTTCTCCAGGCGGTCTTCGAAAGCCTCGATGTCGTTGCGCATCTTCTCGACGGATTCAAAGTTCTTGTGTGTTTGGGCTACCAAGTTGATGTGCGGGAAGTCCTGAATCATATTCTGGGCCTCGGCGCATAGCTTGTCTATCTTCATCATCTCCTCCTTGATCAGGTTGACGGTGCGCTGGCCCTCGGTGATGCTGCTCATGCCCGATTGGGTCAACTCGAGCTGCTCCTTGAGACCATGGCGGAGCTGGCCGTCGACGGCCGCCTTCTTGCGCGTGAATTCGGCCTTGAGTCCGGGTATCTTGTCGAGGTCCTCCGGGTGTCGCAGCAGCTCCGCGAGCTTGACCGTCGCCGACTCGACATCGTCCATGGTGCTAGACGTGGATCAATTTGGCAGGCACGCGCCCATGGTAGGGGGAAGGTGGCAGACGGAGTGGTGCTATAGGAAGGCGGGCGGGCGGGCGGCGTGTTGCTATACGTGTTCGGAGCTTTTGGTCATGTGAATGGACGGTGGGTAGTAGCAGTCTGGGGCTGATGCAGGTCGAGGGCTAGCGTGCCGGAGGTGTGCTGCGGGCAAAAGTTCCCACCCCGCCACTTCCTCGCAGTCGCCGACAAACTCATCCGCTCTTTGCACGCACGCGCACGCCCACAAGACCATGGCCGACGAAGAAGTCAACCTCTACGACGAAGTCGAGATCGAAGACTGTTTCTACGACGAGACTCTGCACATCTACCACCACCCATGTCCATGTGGCGACCGCTTTGAGATTTCCATCTATGACATGCGCGACGGAGAAGACATTGCGCGCTGCCCCAGCTGTAGTCTGATGATCCGCATCATCTTCGACCCGGTATGCTGTGCCCGTCCTCACATGTCAGAAGCGAAGACTAACAGGCTGCAGTCCGATCTCCCACCCGAGAACGACGATGCGCCCAAGAGCGTTGCGATTACCGCCTAGATTCCCCAGTTCCTATTTTCATACTGTCGCAAGGGGACCTTATCCTAGCCTCGCAGCATCTACGGCGTTGTAATGCATATATCGGGCGTTTGAAGCATGTTGGTTGTACTATGTGGCCGCAGCCTGGGAAGCAGAGTTGAGCGTGCGCAATCAAACTTCATTGTCGCTATTCGCTATTCGCTATTGGCTACCGTTGTCCTAACGCGGGACCTCATCGTCAACACTGACGTCAACGCCCAGCTCTTTCCTGAGAATCTCAGTCAGCGAGCTGCCGTCCCTCAGGTACACCCAGTCGCCGATGCCTCCACCCTCCTTGAAGTCCATGCCCTCTTGTGCCACGACCCAGTCGAAACGCTTGGGACCGGATATCGGGGAGCTGAGCCAGATCTGCTTGTTTGGGGGTTGCTTGTTCAAAACGAAGGTATTCTGTTGCGAAGTGACTTCGAGGACGCCGGCCTGTGGTGGGATTAGTGTCAAGTGCTCGAGTATGCTGTGTAGTGTAGACCTACCGAGTAATCTACTTCAATCGCCGGGTCGTTCTCCTGAGCCTCCTCTAGTCTCTGCAGCAGCTCGCCCAGGTAGTGGTCTGCGCGCTCGTGGAACTCGTCTGTTGAGAGCTCGGTCGGCTTGCCAGGCTCGTCGTGGGCCTCGCTCTCCTTTGGCTTGGGGTCCTCTGAGTCGGGCATCATGCCCACTCTCATGCCCATTGATGCGTGGAAGCTGCGTACTGGAGCAGCATGGCTGATAGCCGGGGTCCTGCTAGCGATGATGCAATTGGCGGGCGACTGGACACGAAGCGAAGTGCGGGCGGCGCGACGGATGGCTGTGCCGGCAAATCGAGTGACTGGCTTCATTGTGATGGATGTGAAGTGGGTAGAGAGCAATTGATAGAATGATTATTGGTGGTGGTGAAGATTGGCGAGTAGGGCTGGAAGCAACTGGAGCTGGAGCATGGACCCTCGCCCATGTCCCCGCATCCTTCGGCGGGACATTGTCCAAAAGCCAATAGCAACACCACCAAAACATCACCACCATGATCAACGCCGTCCTTGTCTTCAACAACGCCGGCCAGCCGCGCCTGACCAAGTTCTACACACAGCTGGAAACCAGCGTCCAGCAGCGACTCATTTCCGAGATCTTCACCCTCGTCGCCAACCGTCCAAACTCAGCATGTAACTTCTTGCCGTATGTCGCCTCGTGAATTCAGCCCCGTACCCCCCTAACACACGTCTAGCCTCCCACCGCTCCTCGCCAGCAGCTCCAAATCTAGCACGCCCACGACTCCTCACAACGACACACCGTCACTCGTCACCTACCGCCACTACGCGACCCTCTACTTTATCGTAATCTCCACGTCTACCGAATCACCTCTCGCGCTGCTCGATCTTATCCAGGTCTTTGTGCAGGCGCTCGACGGCCTCTTCGAAAACGTATGCGAACTAGATCTGATTTTCAACTTCGAGACACTACATGCGACACTGGGTGAGATGATAGTAGGCGGCGTGGTGGTGGAGACGCAGTTAGACAAGGTCATTCAAGGCGTAAAGGCACAGGGAAGAGTAGCCAAGAGACCCGTCAACGAAGGGAAGAACATTGGTGGAGGAGGAGGCGGTGGTGGTGTCATGGGCGGACTGACATTCGGCGGTCTGGGAAGAGGAGACGGTATGTGGGCTGGGAGATGATGAAGATATTCCGCGAGGTTTGCGACGCCAGAACTTTCACTGTCAAAACCATTGGACCCCCCAGCATCACCCGGCAGCCCACATCACTACGCTGCCATCGCACCAAAAAGCGACAAGCAACGGTCCAACTAGAACTTGTTGCTCGAACAGGGCTTGGTTCTGGATCTGGCCCATGGAACGCTGTCAGACTCCTCGGCCCTACTCCAGACGCGCTCATGCCATCCACACCGACTCGGTAGACATTGATATAATTCTTCCAGACATTACGAGGCGTATACAGATGCATGGCGCATGCTTACACAACCTGTGGGGTTACTTCAGGAAATTTCCCCGGACCGGGTAAACACATGGTAAAGGTCAAGGGTCGGGAGATGTTCGAAACGTCGCGCGTGGAGCCTTTGCCGAGCTGGGATTAATGGAAACAAGCTTTTAATCTATACGCCTTTAGTTCCCTTCCAAGCACGACTAGAGGGCGAATAACAACCGTGGGCTCTTCATCTATGCTGTGGCGCCGAAGATGTGGGGAGAAACACTTTATTCCAGAACTGCGTGACCTCATTTCCGCTGCTGCTGATTGCTGGATAGTTTCGGGGAGATCTTCTTAATGCATACGGCATCCCTTGAACCGCACACACGCTTCGGCTGAAGACAAGCTTTATAAGAGGGCCCAATCCCAAGACAATTGAAACCACCCATCCATTCATTCATTCTCTAGTTAGCACCATGCGCTTCCTCACTGCTGTCACCAGCTTCCTATCTGTAGCCGCAGCGGCGACTCTCGGCAAACGTGCCGTGACGCCTGGCACCCTCTCCCAAGTCACCTCATTCGGTGCTGCGCCTACCAAAGCGGGCTTCTATATCTATGTGCCCAAGAAGCTTGCGGCCTCACCAGGAATCATCGTTGCTATTCACTACTGCACTGGATCAGCGCAAGCATACTACACTGGCAGCCCTTACAAGACGTTGTCCGAGCAGTATGGCTTCATTGTCATCTACCCGTCTTCCCCTCATGAGGGTACTTGCTGGGACGTTAGCAGCAAGGCGACGCTTAGCCACGAGGGTGGAGGAGACAGCAACACCATTGCCAACATGGTCAAGTGGACTCTCAGCCAGTACAAGGCGGATGCTTCCAAGGTCTTCGTGACCGGTTCCAGCAGTGGCGCTATGATGACCGTACGCTCGTTCGAATTCCACTTGTATTGACATGCTAACGTCTTTTCAGAACGTCATGGCAGCAACCTACCCTGAACTCTTCAAAGGTGCCATTGTCTACTCAGGTGTAAGCGCTGGCTGCTTCGTCTCTGCATCAGGTGGTGTCGACGCCTGGAACAGCACCTGCGCTCAGGGTAACTCTATCGCCACCCCTGCAGCCTGGGCCAATGTTGTCAAGAACATGTACCCCAGCTACACTGGTGCTCGTCCCAAGATGCAGATCTACCACGGTAGCGCAGACACTACCCTTCGCCCGCAGAACTACCAGGAGACGATGAAGCAATGGGTAAGTAGTTACGCGGTTGTCTGATGAGTCAGTCAGATGCTAACGAGACACAGGCTGGCGTTTTCGGCTACGACTACAACAAGCCACAGAGCACAAAGGCCAATGACCCCCAAAGCGGTTACACGAGGACTATCTATGGTCCTAATGTCCAGGGTATCTATGCACAGAATGTTGGACACACCGTGCCTATTCGGGGCGCGGACGACATGAAGTTCTTCGGCTTTGCCTAGGTCTGTGAAAGCGCAAAGATCTGCCATGCACAATAGCCAAGTCCTTACCGTGGCAGTATCGACGACACAGACCTTTCGATGTACATATTCCATCACTGCGTATATCACCGAGATATGGCAGAAATATATACTTTCTCTCCCCCTATTCATTGAACTTTGCTTTCCTGTTGCACTCACCACTAGAATCTTATTCACGAAGCCTATCGCTCATCTAGCTTCCTTACTCCAAAAAAGACGGCTCCAACGTTTGCGTTTCGGCGACTCTTCTTCATCGCTACTCCAGTCAAACTTACTACTGAGTTCTGGCGTCGGTCCATACGTGGGACTTTCCCCTATTCCCCTATCATACCGCTTTCTGCCTAGTGGCGGCATAGGCTCAGGGTGCGGGTGTGCTAAAGGATTGATGCCAACATGCCTATCTGAATGCAGACTACAACTAGTCTTGCGATACTGCTCATTCATGTACTCTTCGTCGTTATCCCAGTATTTCTGGCTGAGCTCATGGACACGGCGAGAAGGAACGTAATCTTCATACTCACTCTCATCACGATACCTACCATCAGTATATCGATTATTATTTGCTGTTTGCATACGCTCGTATCCCCCCTCCGTGAAATCGAAAATTGGTCCTAATGCCGCACGAGTAGCATTTGCCGTCTCGGAAACCTTTGTACGCCATTCGCGACTCAAGTTAGGTTGTTCTTGATATGCTGTTTTCCGGAAAGTCTTGTATGAAGAAGAGGGTAATGAGGGTTGAGCGAAATGGTATTCTAAACGTGAGCGGTCTTGCAGTTTTACTAGGTAGCGATATTCATCGTCCGGGAGGTAGTCTGAGGGGATGGATGGGCGGCAATGGAGGGCTGGTTGATAGGATTTGGGGTAATATTCTGTGGGTGTGTACGTGTAGGAGAATGTTGGTGACATTGCCAGTGTGATTAAGGGTTCTGGTGCTTTTTTGGGGGTGTTGTTGTCATTGTTTGGATTCTGTCTGGGATAAAGAGACTATTTGGCATCGAAGGGAAAACGTCCCTAGAGTCTATGGTGGAGGATGTTATGTGTATATAGTGTTACTGGGGTCGCACCGTAAGGTTCGTGAACACTGGTGACTGAGCGGGTAGAAATGCCAACATCGTAAACTTACAATACTATCATTCTTCTAATCGAAGCACTCGTACGCGAAACCCATTACTAAAAAATCCTGGGCAGTCTCAACGGTAACCATACCTGATGATAAACTGTTGTCCTTCTCTATAATTTATATCTAGCATGGTTCCTGGTCTGCAAGGTCACATCTACGACGATCCCGTCGGTCGGCTTTTCTTATCAGCCATCATTAGTCAAAACCCGCATCGCCGAAACAAGAGTTGCTGGGCTACACTGGAGACAGTATCTGACATGTGCTTTGATGGCTTGTGGATGTCGCGACATGAAGCTTGCCGTGCTTACCTACAGGAACGATGACGTAATGATCCCTTCCCAGCCTCTTCGACCAGAAGTAACGCTGGATTTCATCTTCCGCGTCCTTTTGCACCATCGTCACAACGCAACTGGTATTGTTGGCTGATGTTGGAAACAATGGCTGTCGCCTGTCTCGATGTTGATCCTTGATGGATGTGGTGAAGAAGCAAAGTTCTCGTGGTGGCAATGAAGGCGAAAACTCGGCTGCTTCGGCAATCTGTACTCAACGGTACCACTTGCAACAAACTGCGCAACACCTGTCTAATATACTTTTACTGAAGCCTATCGGAAGAAGCTATAAGCTAGGGGTCTAGAAGAACTTGGTTCAGAGCACGAAGAGATTGAATATGGCGTCTGCAGCAGTCAACGGCGATCGAGCGACAGATCTTACAGAGACTGTTGTCACGCTTCAACAAACGATACGGAAGTTTATAAGAGACGCAAAAGCAGGACGCGAGGGCTTTGTGTTAAGGCCAATAGCTTCTATCAACGATCAAGCGAACATAGCATACGTAAGCGTAACGTCTGCTGACGAGGAGACGGAGGATCAATTGCAAGTTTTGAAAGAACAGCTACAGATCTCAGAACAGCAGCTGCGATCCAGAGGTGACTGGCAGCCACCACAACAGCTACCCAATCTGTCAATGTCGACTATTCTGGACCTCGCTGACCTTTCCAACGCTGTTACGCTATTGGACCATTTGATCAACTCTACAAAATCAACTCAACAGAATACTCCACAAACTACTTTGTCATCATACACCTGGACTTGGGATCCCACATGGCATGAATTCTACACCTACATACCCGCTCAACAGGTCTGGGTCTATCTTTCACGATGGAAGTTAAACGAAATCAGGAACGTTTGGGAGCACGTGAGCATGTCTGGTGTCAATCTGATGCCGGACGTTGCAGCAGATATGCTTGGTGCTTGGGAAGACTGGGTCTGGGATCCGACTTGGCAACGGTGGTATCTGCAGGTGGACGAATTTGATACTAGCGAGAAGAGCCAGATCTTTGCAAGTCCATGGCGCATACGCGACGATGACGAATGGGTCTATGTTGGCGAAACAGAGGTTGTAATCTAGCTGGATTCGCCTCTTTGATACTGGTGCGATACCATGGACGACATGGCCTGCACTAGCAATAGTCTGTTGAACACCAAGACACATGAGCATTGTGCGTGAACCACACATGTGAGACTAAGAGGTTAGCTCAGCGAACAACAACAAAGCTCAGAGCTTCTATCTTCACAAAGCGAGCTTGCTATTATATCCAACAATTCCTCCAGCAGTTCACTGTTTTCTGACGTCGTTTACACATGTTTTGAGAACGTAGACAGAGCGATGAATAGTCAAACAGGCACACGCGTGGTCACACATTCCGGGACACGCGCACAACTTCGGCCTGTGGCCGCAGAAGACTATGTTTCTTACTGGCCATCGCTCACAAGCAACCGTGGACGTTATCCACCACCATTGCTTCTCAGCAACAAAGAGCCTTGCGGACCACTTGCTGCGGGCCCTAGAGAATGGAAATACACGAAGCTGTCAACACGCTCTCCAGCTTTAGAGTCGTGTCGCGATGATCATGGTGTCAGGTTCAAGCTGCGTGTTACTGTTCGAGATGTGCTGCTGGGTTGTAAATGGCATAAGTTGTTAGACGAAGACGCACCACCGTACAGAGCCAAGGATGATTGTCTAAAATATCTAGAGGTAACTTACAAGTCTTCCAAAGAATGCATGGCGAAATGTGGACGGCGTTTACGCGACTTCTGGACTTGGCTTTGGCGACAGCTAGTCTTCATGCCACCGGAGTTGGAAGAATTGGATAACGACGCCCTGTACATTTACTGGGAAGTCATCGAGCCGGGGACAATGTTCGACACAGAAGATGCTCAGCACCTGTTGGGCCATACTATCTAGCATGTGAGCGGACGGAAGCAACCACTGGAATATGCGTTAACAATCAGGAAGTGATAGAAATGCAGACCGTAGCCTCAAATCTGCAATGAACCGACCTGCTTAATGAGTATTATTTTCGTACTTTGCCTGCTTCGCCTGCTGTGACGCTGCTCTTCGCCGTACTTCCCTCGTACGATCCCGTCGATTGAAACATTAAAACGGCTGATTTCTTGAATCCTGAAAAGCCAGAATCTTCCGACCACGATCTAGTACCAACGATCTGGGACGCCTAAGTCCTAGGTGGGGCATGCGTCAAAGGACCGGCTCGCTAGCGGCAATGTGCTTCGTAGAGAGTATACTACGATCAGTGGCGATGTGACATCGTTATACTACCACACAATAAGTGATACGAACCCTCTCTTTCTAGAAGCAAAAAGATATCCGGTTATCGTAGGCTGATAGCAGTCATGTATAGTGCGACGAGAGGCGCCTGAGGTCAGTTGCACTCGTCGATGCCTTTATTTCCGGCGCCCCTCGGCTCCTGATAAACCGCGTTCTAGCCTGCAGGATTGGAGGCCTGGAAACAACGTAGGCAGGTAGATGCCAGCTTCGTATTGGTATGAGCATACTAAGAACGAGGAAGGAAGGCTGCATGTAACGTGCTGCGATGGTCCTCTACACGGGTGGAAGATCTAGGCAACTTTTAGTATAGTTGCAAGCCACCAACGTTGCGTTACCGGATAGGATACGGCAAAGAAGGCATCCGTCTCCGGCACATTGCTGTTCTGTCTAGTGGCATTAGTTTCTCCTGATAGTACCTGCAGCAGACCTTCCTTGAGAATCCGATGTGTTGGCGCAGGCAAACACGATGGCACGGACTCTCTAGTGGAGCTTCCTAACCATACCATGTGGAGCGTAGCAAGCCACAACATCACTGTACACTAAGGATTTGTGGAGATGACCTGATTGAGGGTGAGAGTCTGTACGAAGTGGTTTGTTAGACGCTGTGCCAGCTGCAAAGCCATTATAAAGTTATCCCCGAAGCATAGATTCGCAAAACACCTCTCTACTTCTCACTCCCAATTCTTCCTTCATCCACGACTACCATCCATCATGAAGACTGCGCCCCTCCTCCTCGCACCTATGCTGGCTGTAGCTAGTCCACTGAACCAGAGAGCGGCTCCAAGACCAGAGGGCAGCATTGATGTGCTCTTCAGAGGCGTCGGCAAGATTTACTTCGGCACGGCTACTGAGTTTGCTCGACTATCTGAAGGAGAAAATCAAGGCATCATCAGCGCCGATTTTGGCCAAGTAACACCAGAATACACAATGAAATGGGCCGAGACTCAACCAGAACGCAACGTTATGACTCTGGACAAGGCGGACAATCTTGTCAAATGGGCTGTAGCGAACCAGAAGAGTATCCGTGGCCACACACTGTTGTGGTGGGACTCAATTCCAGACTACGTGAGAGCCATAAAAGATAAACAAGGGATGAGGGACGCGATCACAGACCATGTGACGAGGTTGGTAGGGCGTGACGGCTGGAAGGGCAAGATCCGCGCGTGGGATGTGGTCAACGAGGCGATTGAGGGTGACCATATGCGCAGCAATCCGTTCTACGATGTCTTGTAAGTGCACTCGAATAAGCGACAAAGGCATACTAAGTTCGAAAAAGGGGAGATGAGTACATCAAAGTCGCCTTCGAAGCTGCTCGCGCTGCCGATCCGGACGCTAGATTGTACATCAACGATTATAATCTAGAGAATGTGATATACGCAGAACACAAGTTCATGGTCGCTAAAGTGAATGAGTGGAATGGCAAATGGCAGGCTGGTGGAAGACCTTTGATTGATGGAATCGGATCCCAGACACACCTTGACGCAGGTATGTTCATTCCATTTGTCCATTACAGCCTCATAAGCGTACTAATAGTGATTATTAGGTCATGCTTCTGGCGTGGAAGACGCGCTGAGATCCTTAGCCGCGGCTAACGTTGCTGAAGTCGCAATCACCGAGCTGGATATTCAAGGAGCTAACCCGCAAGAATACCGGGATGTCGTCAAATACTGTTATTGGGTACCTCACTGCGTCGGGGTAACTACATGGGGTGTCCGTGACAACGAGGCCTCGGGCAAGAACACCCCCGATGAGACACCTCTTCTTTTCGATTCGAATTGGGCCGCAAAGGATGCCTATTTCGCAATACGAGACTACCTCGCAGATCTACCTAAAGTAGACCGTACCTGAAAGCAGGGGATAGATAACTTGTACACGATGGTAACGAATGACGAGCTTTCAATCTACACACTAAGTTAGCTGCAATGAGAACGGGCTGATCAGCCACCTGTATAACAGCTCCGTTAGAATAACCTTGATTTGCTTCGTAACCATAATGTCTCGTCATCTCTGTCAGTCTGGTAGTCTTGTATAGCTCTGATATCTTTTGGATTGCATCGTTGCTTATCAAAGCTTTATATAGTTTGACAAGTCAATGATCCGTGGATGCAATGTGCCGAGGTGCATGTCAAGCCCTATTAACAATATGGAGCTGTGCCATCAGTTGACAGGAAGCGCGACCAGGCGATGAGAGAACTTGGAGCCGTCATCGAGGACGAAGATAATTGGAATGTGGGTAGGTCGGAGCACTGGAAGCTCGTCGCGCAAGAAAGTGAGGTGCTTGCCAACTCAGGACCATGATGTAGGCTCCCTGCTAGTCTCTCCTTCTGTTTCATGGACGCGCGTTCCACTTTCATTCCATTTCACAACCCTCGATTTGTGATTGCGCCGCTTGTGACCACAGTCACTGTTGAGCGCGAGTACCCGTCATGGACATTGCCGGCTGTCTAAGCAATCGTTGACCTTCAGTCTACCCCCTGCTTCCAGCCACCTACCGAAGATGTTAGATTAGGCGATCTATCCGTCAAGACTACTCCGCAAACCCACCAAACACTGTTGAAGCTTTGCTCGGCAGACGCAGTTTACAGGGCATCTTGATTGTGATAATTGCCGGTATGATCTGGGTATCCCACCTAGCATACCGAGAGGCGGGCACTCAGACTACTGGCTAATACCAGAAATTCACCTACGATATTGGGTATCTGCCCTTGCGTCAGCTGCACCCCACAATGCGCTCTCGCAGATATGAGCACTGCGGAGACTTGCTCACCTGCTGGTATTTTGCCGACTGATAACAGCATATTGTTGCGCCGGTCTCAGTCCCATTTTCTTGTGATCACACGACGCCATGTTCGCTCTTCTTGTAATCGTACTGTTCGCACCAGCACACTTGTATGCTCTCCTGCATCATCTCGCAGTTGGTACCACGAACGGACAGGCTTTGTACTCGCTGGAGTTAGATGATGAATCCAGGATGATATATGCTATCCAGGCGAGAGACGCGAGTGGACCGTCGCCGTCTCTGGCTCTCGACGTCGGTACTTTGGTCTCCGATACGAATCGAATCCGTTGACATATAAGCAAGCGTTCAAAGCAGCACCTCTTCAGCAGCCGTCCGAAAGATGGGACTCTGACCCGCCATTCCATCGCCCCAACATATGAGCTTATTAGCGAGGGAACTATGGAAATACCAGCATCTTGTCAGTTCTTTTTGCAGCACCTACATGGATCCATCTAATGATGTTCAGGTAACACTACTAGCTTTGAATCCCTCAAGCTGAGCTCTTCGACTCAGAATACGGCGATATGGGGCACCGCTAGTACTGGTACCTGCAGCATTGTATTTGGTCTGACGCCAGACGGTTACGAAACCCTACGCTCCCAAGAAATCGCCGGTGATGTGCACTCTATCGCTTGGAGTCCTAGCGGTCGCAATTTGCACGCGCTCGACTCACATAGTTCCCAGCAGCTTTCGACATCAATTTCTAACTTTCGCATATCTGAGGACCCAAATCTGCAGGACGTGGTTGGTGTTGACATCCTTGGTAATGTCACGAACGCTTCGCAGATTGTCGCGCACCCCACAGAGACCTTGATGTATATCGCTACCAAGGATGCAAATGAGCTAGTCGTCTTATCGTTGGCAGGTGACACTCTTGTGGACAACTCTACTGTTGTCCTACGATACAGGTTGCTACCGTCTTCTCTAGATTCGACAGAGTTTCATACCACATCCCTGGCTATTTCCGCCTCCAAAAGCACTCTGTGGACACTTTCAGAGTCATCTCGCCAAGCGGTCATCACATCTTTTACTCTCGACGTCACAACAGGCGAGGTAATAGATGTCGCTGCGCGAGCTAGCTGGCAGGGAGTTGGCGAAGGTCAGCTTACAGCAGCACCGTTCACTGGTGGGGATGTGATCGCCATCGCAAACTCTCCAACTGGGTATATCACGGTACTTGGTCTCGACCGATCCGTGTTCGATACCGCCGATGTCGTCCAGGATCCTGCCACCCACAATTACTTACGTCCAATGATTTTTGAGAACGAAGAAAACAAAAGCCTGCACATAGCTGCATCAAAAATCAAAAGCTACGGCCGTGCTCTCATTGACGATTACATCAGCTTGGGTGAAAGTATTTGGATCGACTAAGACCTTCTGCATTCGTTCTGTAACGGCTCACCAGTGGATTAGGGCAGACGCAGTGTGTCAACAAGCGTTAGAAGAACAAGAGGTGATGCGTGGATGATAGCGTTTTGACTGGTTTCTTAGCGTCAGTGTCATTGAGTAGAATGAATACGCAGTAGCAGTAGCGGTGTATCAATGGATACTATGATACAAGAAGATTGCTATTATAACTTACCGCGCTACAGCGCAAAAAACTTCATATTAGCTGTTGAATATCCCATTGTTGCAACTAAAATAGGAAGGTCAAAGTATCAGCAGCGGCATGCAAGGCGTTATCAGATCCTGCTAGGCAGCAGTGGTTATGTCCGAGCTGCGAGAGCTCCGATCTGATAAGATTAGATCCGAACTCCGAGCGCATACATCATATTAGTATATGAATGAAGTCCAGAATGACTAGAATCGGGTCTCAATAACATAAAGAGTTTTACTAGAATGTCGCACTCTGGAGACCTTGAGAAAACAGTTCAGCCTACCATTTTCTATCCAACCAACAACATATCTCAGAACAAGCATGAAGACTACTATGGCGAAAACCCGGAGATATCGTCTGCAATTGTCGACCTTGCCAACGACCGTCCAGTACATTTGAGCAATGAGCACGGAGTATGCCGTCTTTCTAGGTCGATGAAATTTTGCTAACAACCCAGGCAACATGGGCATCTCCAACAGATTCATCGGATCCTTACAACTGGAAGCCTTCACGCAAGTTCGTCATCGGGACGATATTCTCCTTCGGCCAGTTGATCCCCATCATGTCGGCGAGTATGATTGCGCCGTCACTTCCTTCGATCGCTTCAGATCTTGCTATCAGCGCTTCCACAGCCCAGATAACCATGTCGGTATACTTCCTCGGTATGGCCTTTGCGCCGTTCTTGATAGCCAGTGCCAGTGAGGTATGGGGGAGGAAGCCAGTCTGGATGGTTTGTAATGCCTGGTACGTAGTTTGGAACGCGCTGTGTCCAGTGGGCAGAAACACCGGGTTGATGATCGTCGGGAGGTTAATGGCCGGAGCTGGGGCAAGTGTTGGCGTCACGGTAAGTGACAAGGCTGATCAGATCCAACATGAAGATAGCTAATTTAGTACAGTTGAACGGTCCAGTGATGGCCGACATGTATGGCGAAGACGAACGCGGCAAATCTCTGGCCATGGTCAACTTGCTCCCCTTTCTTGGCCCAGCACTTGGACCCATCGTCGGTGGTCTAGTTACCCACTCTATACATTGGCCGTGGGTATTCTGGATCATGAGCACCTTCAATGCCTTCATCCTTGTTGTCGGTTTCTTCTGGATTCGCGAATCGTATACGCCAGTCTTGCTACGTCGTAAAGCGTTAGCTGATGGTGGTAACGTCCCTACTGCTAAAGCAGAACGCGCTCGTATTGCGCGGAACCTCTTGCGTCCGGTTCGCATACTTGTGCGAAGACCTATCATCTGGCTCAATGCACTGACCGCAACGTTGTCCTTCGCTGTTTACACCCTTGTGCTCTCGACATATGCGTCGCTGTGGATCGAGAAGTACGGACAATCTGAGCTGACCAGTAGCTTGCACTACATATCGATTGCGATCGGCGCGACACTTTGCGGCCAGCTGGGCGGTCGTATTATGGACTGGTGGTATCGACACCTGACCAAACGGACTGGTGGTAAAGGTGTACCCGAATTCCGCATCCCGTACATGGTTCCTGGGATGGTCATCATGCCAGCCGGTCTTTTCTGGTATGGTTGGTCGGCCGAACGCACACTCCACTGGATGATGGTTGACGTCGGCGTCATCATATTCACGCTAGGCAGTTTCATTGTGAACCAAGCGACAATCGCGCATATGATCGAGGAATTTGGCCAGTTCGCAGCTTCTGCAGGTGCTGGTGTTCGCTCAGTTTCATATGGTCTTGCGTTTGTGTTCCCGATCTTCGCGCCTGATCTGTACAAAACGCTAGGATATGGGTGGGGTAACAGTACGTTGGGGTTCGTCGCGATTGGTTTGGGACTACCAATGTGCGCTGTCTTGTGGTATTGGGGCGCCAGAATCAGAGCTGTCGGCAGGCCGACGTGAGCACAAAGATTGAATAGACGTATCCATGTAGAATGAAATGACAAGGATGAATGAGTAACGATTCGCGAGATGTGAAAGCTCGCTGCAGCGCTATGCAAGTCCGGACCATAGCTCTCTTATCATACTATCCCATGTTCCATTCTCGCATCTGAGAGACTCTCCTTCAACATGGCTGAATGCATCTCGTTCACTAGGAACAACTTCTGAAGACCCCTACCTTACATCGTGAGCTGAGATCGAGGTAACGCGACAGGGGCGACGCGTTTCGACTTGCGGTTGCAGAACATGAAATAGGCTGAGCGAACCAATCGATCCAAAGTTAGGCGCCTATAAGACGCGTGTTGAAGAGTTCCTATCAAACAGGGTGCAGATCCAGTAGGAGTTCTGGTGGTTGTGTCGACTCGCGATCGCAAAGGCCATTCGCGTGGTTTAAGCCACTAAGCAGATCTTTGCGCACGTCTTTAGTCACAGAGTGCCATGGAGGACATCAGTTCGATAGGTCGGGGACAAGAAATGAATACCAAGGTGATATAGGGAAGAAGCAATGGACGTAGGAACGAGCACGGCAAAGTTTGCGGGTGTTGACGTCATTGTTGATACAGCTGAGCCAAGACCCAAAGGGGCCAGCTTGATGTGTAGAGCCGCCGAATGCATCGGAGTTGCCAGCTGTTTGGTAACCCGAACGCGGTCTGCGCCTCAAGCCGTGGATGGATGTACTCTCCAATGAGCTTCCAATGAAGGGTGTAGCTTACAACCCGCGTATTCGTCTCGCTACGAAACGTCTGATATACGAAATCACAACGTTTGCAGTCAAGTATAGTAATGCGATACATCGAATCACAACATCGAGCGTCCTCAAATTCCAATTTATCAGCCCATAACCTTGACCATAGCTTCTCTCCACTTTCCACCCCATCTGCCCATTGCATAAAGCGCCGCACACCCTGTGACCACGCTCCAAATACCTAAGATCGTCATCAACCATCCGTTTCCTATGGCGCTCAATATCGGCTCTGCAACTACCGCTCCAGTGAAGGAGAAGATGTTTCTCACAAAATTGTTCAGCGCAATTCCAGAGGCAGCCCGCCGAGGCATGAACTCGGTGAGCATAGTGTTGACCAGCGCGAAAATGAGCATACTACCGATGCCGAAAAAGAAATTGCTAATCATGGGTACGATCCAATGGACGCCCTTCTCCGCTGTCCAACCATAAATGATCAGGGCCGAGGGCCAAAGGATAGCAGCAATCCACGCATTCTCCTTCATCCGGTCTTCGGGGCGAAAGATAAGCTTGCCTTTGTCGTCGTAACGTCCCGCTTTTCGGGCTTCGCGGTGCATGATACTGTCAATCCATTTACCGCCGAACAGTGAGGCGAGAAGGTAGCCGGCCGAGTTGGGAATGTAAAGTAGGCCGATGATGAGGGTAGAGAATGAGTAGGGTGGAGCGGCGAAGGTGGATTGGATGCTGATGTTGAGGATGTAGAGACTGCCGAATGTTATGCTGGCGTAATAGACGGTTAGGAGGACTGGTGGGAACCGGAGCCATGCTATGATGCGTAAGGGGTCGATGAAGATATGGCGGAGATGAAGAAGTACGCCTTTGGTCTTTTGAACGGTTGAGGCGCGGGTTGCGCTTCTTCCGAGTGTTGTACTTTGCTCCTTCTCGGTTTCGTTACCGGTTGGTGCTGCTGTCGGATCAGCAGACGGCTTTTCTTTCCTGTGCAGGGTTTCCGGGAGTGCGAAGATGATGAAGATGAGTGTCATGCCGCCATAGATGACCAGGAACCATTGTGTTGATCGCCAACCTAGACCTGAGCCTAAAGCACCACCAATGATGGGGGCGAAGAGTGGGCCGCAGAGAGGTCTGGATGTGCATCCATAAAGTCAGTTTGTGTCTCACGTGCAATTTGTACATGGGGATTACTGACCCAAGATAGAAGATACCCATTGCTCGTCCACGCTCTTTCGTCTCCCAGACATCGGCGATGGTCCCTGCCCCTACCGCTTGTACAGATGCTGCTGCGCCGCCAGACAGAACACGGAAGACAATAAGCATGGCGATGCTTTTGCTGATGGCAGAGAGGATGGCAAATACTACGAAGAGTATGAACGAACTTATGTATATAGTACGCCTGCCCAGTCGCTCCGAAAAAGAGCTCCACCACAAGGGGAAGATGGACATGCTAAGCATGTACACAGCAACGCTCATGTTGGTCACTGTCTCGGTCGCGTTAAAGGCTGTGCTGATTTCCTGCAGCACTGGCATGACAATCGCGCTGCCCATGGGTGCTGCCATGGCGCAGAAGGCGACAATGAAGGTCAGAAACCATTTCGTTTGCCGCGCATAATGCTCTGGGTTTTCGACCTCCGGGATGAGGGTAAAGCGAGCAAGAAGTCCACGCCGTCGCGAGCGTGGAACAACAATAGCATCGGGCAGGACTGAGGCAGTTCTGGCTAGGGTTACTGGACGTTGCTTTGAATTTGATGTTCTGGGCGGATCGGCATTGCTAGAATGCCCTGACGCGGTCGAAGCTCGGGACGATGAGATTGACATTGTTTCTTCTGTGTCTCTCTGGTTTCCCGTCCCCATGATGTCTTTTTCTGGTAAACCTTCATCCTGCTCATATTTTACGTCTTGGTCGGTGCCTCGGTCAGGTTCATCCTCCTGTTTCAACATCCTTGGTGGCGATCTCGACCTGTCATGATCTGCCATTATCGCCCGTCGCAGAGATTGAGGAAAGAAACCCAGACAACGTAACGTCCGAGTCTTTCGTTCAAGCAAAAGCTCGCTCCGGTTTCCGCATGCACTGTCGCTTTTCCGTATGCGTCGTAATACCTCGGTTGTCGACAGCCGCTATCTCTAGCTCTTCAGCATGCTCTCATCGCGCACCTGTACCCTGTGTTCAACACGGTGTATCCTCAACAAGTGAATTGCAAACGAAGGAAAGCTAAAGCCCGCCATGACTCCAGACACAACCCAGCGAGAACGCCGCTGTTGAGCGATAACTAAGCGCAACGGGTTGCCGAACTGGGAGTGTTGCTATGCGGAAACAAACCTGCTCTAATTATATCCGAAGCCATGGTGGGGCTAGAAGGATGCATGCATGCGATCCGGGTAATTGGAGCTTGATTGTACGGGATATCACGTGGGGACCTGTGGATCGACACATCCGTCGTAAGGCGGGCCGCGGCAATCGAGAACAAAGTTTCCGATATTTGTATTTGAACGACTGTCAGCCAAATCCAGAGACACTCGAGGTTGACACTGCAGCATCCGATGGCACCTGCACGGCCGTTAACGTCACCGTTAGCGTTGTCGCACGAGCACGTTTGTGGTGGGGTAAAGATGGGTTAGCTCAACAGCTTGGAGGGGCCTCGGCGTCCCGATTACCAGCTTCCAACTCATCGTCGTTCAAAAGCGGCCACACGACACCGTCAGGCCATTGACATTGAGCACGTACCCCTCCAACTCTCCAAGTAGCACATCGCCGATCAGCCATACCATGGCAACCCAAAACCAAGACCGCCTCCGTTCACACTTCTCCTCAGCTCCCGATGCAGAGCACAACGGCCGCTGGGACGATCTCTGGAGAGAGTCTACGTTCCTGCCTTGGGACCGTGGTCACGCAAATCCTGCGCTAATTGATCTGCTCCGGGAACGTGGTCGCCCGCTCTCTTCACCGGACCCCAATCCCTCCCTCGGTGCACCACCACCAAACAGCGAATCGGCGGGCTACGCTTCTCTCGCTCGGCCACTGAAGGATGACGGGAAAAGGAGGAGGGTGCTTGTCCCAGGTTGTGGGAAAGGATATGACGTAGCACTATTTGCGGCATATGGCTATGACGCTTATGGGCTGGAAGTGTCCTCGCACGCTGCTGACGCTGCGAGAAAGTACCTGGAGGAACCCGGAAAGGGGCCGTTGGAAGGAGAGTATACAGTCAGGGACGAGAAGATTGGAAGGGGCGCGACGAGAGTTGTGTGTGGGGATTATTTCAAAGACGGCTGGTTAGGAGATGTGGAAGGCTGGGAAAGCGATGAGGGGTTTGACATCATCTACGATAACACGGTAAGTGAAGCATTACATGTAGCGTGTGGGATGTGTCTAGCAGCATGTACTGACGCGATGGTCAGTTTCTTTGCGCACTCCCTCCCTCTCTGAGACCGAAATGGGCATCTCGTACCACCACGCTCCTCCGCCGTCCCTCACCAAACACCACTTCTACTGGCGGTGTGCTCATCTGTCTTGAATTCCCCACACATAAGCCCGCATCTTCTGGCGGACCTCCGTGGTCGCTTCCTCCACTTGTACACAGTGAGCTGCTCAAACAACCGGGCCAGGATATCTCGTATGACGACCAAGGGGTCGTAACCAAAATAGATCGAGAGGAGGCAGAGAACGCGCTGGTCAAGATTGCGCACTACACCCCCAAGCGAACTCACGAGATTGGCGTCATCAAGGGTCTCGTAAGAGACTGCGTGAGTATGTGGCGGCACAAGGCGGATTGTCCGGATGATCAGAAATGGCACTGAGTACGGTTGGCTAGGAGGACGTTGTATAGCTCCGGTAGACAGCTTACAAGGCACCCATGTTCGTATCGCCGATCCTATGCTCAGCCTGCCTTGCGTAGTGAATTGTAATGCTCGCCCAACCCATGACTGTGCTTGTAGTATCCCAGCCATATCTCCTCCTTTTCTTTGACCTCGTCTTCAGCCTCTATCTTGTCCACCTGGCCGTCGCTATGCAGTACGCATATCCTCAGACCATATGTCCTGGCCAGCGCAAGCAGCTCCAGATGCCCACCCCATTCACCCGTCTCTCTAATTTTGCGGACGTGCTCGGGCAACGGGTCTTCCATGAAGCCTGTAAAGTCGTCGGCGTGGCTTTGGATCCAGTCTGCCGCTGCGTGTCTGACGGTCTTGTATCCTTGTGGCTTTCTGTCTGACTCCTCGTCGCCCTGTCCGGTAATGGTGACACCTATTCTCGGCTTTAGGCCCAGTTCTCGCGTCTGCAACTGATCCGCGACCGCCGCATACAAACAATGACCGTCGGCTCGTATCTCATGCAGCACCAGCCCATGTTTGTTCAATTGTACCGCCATGCGTTCTCGTTCCAGTTCACGTGGGTTCGGTGCGTTGGCGGCCTCGCGCTCTGCTTCAGCGATCATGGAGGCTTGTTCGGCGGCGCGGCGGGCGAGGCGGGCTTTTGCGCGATTTGGCTTCTTCTTCTTGGGTTCGGCAGAATCGCCATTGGTACTGCTCTCTTTGCTGTCTGAAGCAGAGGCAGTTAAGTTGAGGTTTGCAACGTCGTCTTGTATATCCTGTGCCTCGTCTCTAGAGCTCTGTGCGTCTTCTGCATGCTCCTCAGCATCTACGGCCTCGCCGTTCTGGACAGCGACTTCATGCGCCTGACGCTCCTTCAGTTCGCGCTCAAGCCTTTCGCACTCATCGTTGACACCCTTGCGTGTCTTTTTGCTTGCTTGCTTCTTCTTCTGTGTGATACGAGATACAAGGTCGCGTTGCTCTTTGCGGTGTCGAGATTGTAGCGCTTCGAGGGTTTCTGGTTCGGGTGCAGGCGGCGCGTCGCTCATGGTGATTATGCAAGTGTCTAGTACAGAAGGGAGGCTGAAGACTAAACTAATCGACGCGAGATAAGGACCGTGGGTTATTTGCTGTGAGATCGGCACGAGGGCGGTGGGGTGGTGGGGAGCGCGACATTCTTTGGCGTCTTCGGTGAATGGTTTTGCCGACGTGAACTGTCATGCTTCACGTCCTTCTTCGCGCCAACCTCTCGCCTCTCGCACCCTGGCAGAGCTGGCCATATCTTAGTGTCCAGTACACAACTGGAATATCTACTAATGTCTCTGAGCTACGCAACGCGCAGTGACAAACCCATGCATCCTCCAACTCAATTTTGTCACGTATCCTGCCATCAATCTAGGCCTTAAGAGATGGGTTCAAGTAAGCATCCTTCTGGCATATCATCGTCTCCCCCTCTATTCCCGTCGCAAGAATGTATGGACGCAGCTTGCTCCCGGCTTTGTGAATGAACTGGGCTCAGCGACGTTCAGTCTTTCTGCTGCTCCGCCCTTCCGACATAGAACAGTAAGTTATGAGCGACTTACCATGCCAAGTCAAAATGCCATTGATACTATCGCAAGATGCGAGCTAGATCATGGGTTAGACTGCTCGAAAAGATCACGGTCAGGTGTGGTAAGACTTCCGTGTCTGCTCTTGTCATCAGTCTGAATCAACTTGGTGTGCTGAACTCAATAATTCTCGAAAGCCATCGAATTGCTGCCAATGCCCTCAACAAGATACTCTGAAAATTGCTGTATAAGCTTCGCTGCAGAAATCACGGTAGAATGAAAGTGAGAGCTCAATGTCCCGCTCTTTCACCGCACCTTCCTCGCGGTCCCGCACCTACTGAACGCACAGAACTTATTTCCTACCACAACATCACCACCACCACCATTACCCGCATCGACAACAGACATCTCTAGACATGCCTTTCCGCGACCAGGAATGGGAGGAACTGCAGCGCGACTGCGACATCTTCCCCGCCTATTCCGACTACCTTTACGGACCGGACCCACGCATTATAACAACACAGGAGCCTGGTCTACACCCTATGATATATCCCATAGATGCTTCTGCGCCTATTCGGTACACTAACAGTATGCCATCGCGAACTTGGTCGCACAAGACTACGGAAGACCTCGAGAGGTTAAAGAATGCTACCGCGCAAACGCTGTTGGCTGGACAGAACGAGCCTGGCAGCGACATGAGCGGAGCAAACAATGGTACAAGTACGCCCGGCTCTTATGTACGCCCCCAAACTGGTAGTCTCTTGAACCCGCTGCTACCACCACAAAGCGTTTGCACTATCTCTGAGGAGGAAATGGCGCGACGAAAGACGTTGAATGCATCACGGCGCCGACGTCGGTCTCAAACGGTGGTCCCTTTTAGTTCATCGCAGCAGCAGCCTGTGGGAATGACTGGGCATCAGATGCACACTAGGAATACGCCAGTCATACATAGTGGGGACGTTGAGCCACAACAGCCATCTTTCTTGCGCTCATCTTCTACTACCGACATCGACGAGACTCTAGTGCAAATGGACTCACGTCAAAAGTCTGATGCTCTGTCGTCTTTCGCATCACAGACGACGATGCTACCTCCACCCGCGAATCTTTCTCAACGGCAGCCACTGCATGCCATTGGCCTGTCCAACAACTTGCCTCCGATCCCTGCTCCAAACAATTCTCCAGAACCCAGTCAGCAGACATCTCTCCTACAACCGAATGATGTATTGCGCAACTCTCGCTACGACTGCATCAATCCCGCTAAGCGCTTAGAGATTGCAAAGGTCCTTGTTGACCGTTGGGTCGTCGTGCGAAACTCTGCTGCAGATGATGCTCTAGGGGTAAAGGCCATGTCGGACATTCGAAACATCACCAGAATGGTCAACAATTCAGTCACGAATATGCAAGCTGCAATGGATCTACAACAACAGAGGACACAGCAGCTTCATATGCAGGCGGTTCCAAAGAGAGCGCAGACGGACCATATACAGCATATTCAACAACGCCAACCTACTACTCCAACTCCGCAGGAATACGCCCAACCTCAGCCCCAACCGGGCATCTGGTCCGCTCAACTCACCCAGTCATCTCCAATCCAACCACCTTGGCAGCCAGCTTCGCAGGAATCATACTGCAGTGTTCCACAAGTTTCTCAACAAATGCAGCTGCCTCAACAATCAATACCCCAAGACTTTCAGACGCATCAACAGCCACAGCAGCGAAACCAGGAACAATACGAGCAATTCACAAGCCAAAATATCAATCTAAGCCCTGCACAACTCCACGCAAACACCAGTCGCCACATTCCAGAAATGTGGCGGAATTTCCTGATTACCCAAAACACCTCACTGCCTCTGCAGGACAGGATGAACGCGCGTCAGTGGATGGTGAATCTCAAGAACAATCTACCAGTTGAAGCGCATACGTACATGGTGCAAGTTTTGCAAAGGGCGATGCGGGAGCACAGTCAGGGTAGGGATGCTTTAGCATTCCTAAAGACGGTGAACATGGAAAGCAATTTGTTTGATGGTGGTGAGTCGAAGCATACCAGTGCGCAGGATGGCCTGTAGTAGATCTTCAATCGTCTTAGACGTGCAGAGAGGTGGATATCAATATGGGTTCTTGGACCAAGGATCTTGTAGTTGGCAAATGCCTAACATGAAATGCCAACATTACAACGAACATGCTCGTTGACTATCATGATGGGAATTCTCGCTCGATACCTGTAGAATACTTCAATGTAGTCAAAAAGAAGCTTCATCTCATGACTGAGAAGTTGAAGAATACCCTCGTTCTCCTATCTGCCGTCCACTTTCATGCACGGGATAGCAACACATAGTGGTGACGATGATCATAGTCTGACATACAAATTCGGCTGTGTGAAATTCTGCAGTCCTCCCGACACGATATGAACATAGGCAAGTTAGTTGGAGGCTGCACGTATGGACCTGGATGGAGGATCGGATCAAGTGTTGATGTTGGAATGGCTTACGAGACGTATTCCGTCAGACGCAGGCTGTGCACGCCGCTTTATTCAAAGAAAGCCAGTTTGATGGGATACAGGTGTCAGAAGGAATGTCTCGCTGTTCAATCAGAAGTGAGCCAACACGACGTGTGAGTGAATACGTCGTTCGTCGCTTGGACGATAATCAAATTACGTATCTTCAGCGGCCCCAGATTACGTCCTGCCTATTGCGGCTAGCATGCTGATCCTCCGCCCTTCACCTTCCTCAATGTGCATCTCTACACATCAACCTCCCAACCACCGTAAACACCCAAGAAAGCTTTTGTTTTGCGCAAAAGCTTGTAGCAACATTACAATGAGTGTCACAATGTCTTCGAACCCTTCCACCGTGACCCATGCGGGGTCTGCGCGCGGCTTTAGCGACCTTCCGCAAGGTACCGTAACCAACCTCGGCATAACTCATTCTCAGCTCACAGATGCGCAGAGGTGCGCAACAGGATATACATGCTTGCTGCAAATGACAAGCAGCGCCTTATTGAGCAGCATGTCAGCCGGCGCAGTATCACGACAACAAGTGAAGCTTTTTGGGCGGCTCGCGGTTACTACAGCTTGACCCAGGTGTCTCGACAGACGCGGCGGGAGTTTCGCGAACTGTATCTCAGGGATCGTGCTATATCGGTGCACATTCGTGATGCGCAAGACTACCTGGAGACCATCTACCCCTCGTCTGGCAAACATGCTGTCGATCGCAACACCATTATGGCCTGGCTCACGATTCGTACTGATGTCGAACGCCGTGGTAAATACGATACACCTATCGAAATCAGACCTCTGTTACTAAGTCTTTTCCATACGCCTGGTCTCGACTACGAGTTTACAGGAAAGGGTGGTGCAGTCTTCAACGAATTGTTCGTCGGTTACGAAAGAGAGTGGAAGGCCGCAGTCGACAACGTTTTCAAGAGCGTGGAGCTGAAAGAGCCGAGTGTTTTCGGACTGAGGCTGGTACTGAATCCCAAGAGCCTAATGCCTTGGGTCAAGCAATGTCCAATTTCTGTTACGAGGTTGCCGCACGTACCAGAGGATGCTTTGGAGTGGTTTAGTGCACTTGGACTGGATACGGAGAATGACATGATCTTCGTAAGGAGAGGTGCGCCAAAGTGGCTGCGCGGGGACTTTATCAAGAGTTCGAAATAGAGATGGTGAGGCAAGTCCACTGCACCGGGAAAACTGTCTTCTGGCCCCAAAACATAATCGTGTTAGAAATTCGAATATCGATGTTGACTTTTATAATAGCCTAACACCTGGGCCATGAACGTGATGATGACGACTGGCGGCCAAGTTATGTATAACCATATGGCTACCGTCATTCCGCGTACGCAACGATGAGGTATGCAACCAAGACTGCATGCAGAAGTGGGTAGGTCAATGCTGGGGTTCTACAATCAACCCGTTGCAAGCATGCCGCAGATCTCAGCCGTTGATCCGAGTGACCAAGCATACTGCTCTCTGCCCCGTTTCCCAAGTCTTTGACTACTGACACCGTTCTTGCTCATACATCTCCCTGCTAATCAATACGATGGGTCCGTGTTTTTGGAGTGCCGAAAACACTAGAGAACAGGCCTAAGCGGCAGTGCTTATTCTTTCGTCATCGAGGACGTCAAGGAAATGCGGCCTATGTGTACCGTTCCGAGCATGTACCGCGTACCACGATGATACGAGGACAGCACGTGCCCTGCTCAATATACCTATGGTCTGACCTCAGTAAGTGCTTGTACTCGTTTCATAATACCTGCATGCGCATCCGACTGACCACCTGTCCACGATGAAAGCTACATCCTCGTAGCGGATCATTTTCAGTTTTGCAGCGAATATGTCTACAGGCACACGGACAGACAGTGATGCCGTGGGCTCGAGTGCATTAGTATGAAAGAGCGAACAGGCCTGGCAATTATCGATTAAGAAGGGCCTTTTCCGGACCATCTAGCGCTGCGACACTCACCTTGAGCCTATGTTCAGGCCAAGCGATGCCCGATTATGGACATCGCTCGGACATGGCTCCGAAAAGAAAGCCTGTTACACGTCACTAGAGGTGAAAGCTGCGCTAGGTTCATCTTCATATCACTGCTGCGCGAAGGAACTACTAAACTTTCTTTTCTTATCCTGCTGGCTCGGTTTTCTCTGAAAGCGCGGTGAAATACAATGACATGAAGTTGCGATGTGATTTCGCCAGTGAGGGAACAACAATGGTCTTGAGACACTGGCAAATGCCGGAAGAGGGTACGCGGGTCTTTGTAGTTGTCGCACCATGGTTTCCAAGTGCTGTTAGCAATACCTAGGTATGAAAAGTTATTGTCACAATTATCGCTGTCGCATGCGCCACGGAAACCGGCAAGCTAGCCGGCCTTAGCCGACACGCGAAAGCCACATGACGCGAGCCACAGTTCCGCCTTTTCCGCACCGCTACTGCTTTCACCAATCACGTTGCGACCTGCGCAATACAAGCCGTGCTAAGCTTGGGAATTGTGGCGCCAGTTTGATGAGATTTCTGCAGTGTGATGGCGCGGCTAGTCCTGCATTGTAAGGTAGAGCAGTTGGCACCATGTGGCTAACGAGTGGCTTACGCATACCGTGGGGAGGGGATTGGGCAGAGTATATATAGCGTGACGCCGCTATGTGTGGCTGTGTGAAACGTACTACAACTATCATCGTCTATTACCCTTTTAGTCCATCTAAATCGCAGTGCAGTGCGGAACTAGCTTCATCAGGCTCTGCAAGATAGTCGCCACCATGTCCTTCGAAACCTACATACAACGCGCAGACGATTATATCACAAAGCAGATCCACAAGTTCGAGCAGCAGAAACGTGGTGGAAATAGATCACCACCCCGTGCGAAGGGATACCATCAGATGTCTGGATATCAGCATCAAGGTCGGCCGCCTTCCCAAGGTGGTTACCCTGGCAGCCCTGCTCCACAAGGGGGTCTTCCACCACCAGCGCCCCAAGGTTGGGCACAAGAGTACGATGCGAGGAGTCAACGTTGGTACTACGTTGACAGGGCGACAGGAAGAAGTCAGTGGGAACCTCCCTCTTTTGCACCACCGCGCGCCGCCACCTTTCAGCCTGAGGTCCGTATGCCCAGTCCGTACCAGCAATTCAGCCGGGAAGATGAGCAGAGTCAACGGTGGCGCGAGCGATCCAGTTCTCAGCCTCAACGTCCTGGATCAGGCGTAAGTGGACATGGAAAATTCCTCGATCCCAGGCAGAACGGTGGAAGTGGAGGCGGAAGTGCAAGCCCGGCTGGACTGCATACCCAAATACCACCGGGATCATATCTGGATATGAAGACGGGCAAGATCGTTAGTAGTATGTTCCCAGAAGGTCAGACACATCAGAGTTGGCAACAGGAAATACAAAGAATATGATATCAAGGAGCATGTAAGGAGAGAAATCAGTACGACTCATGATGATAAATGAATGGAGATGATGCGATTGGGAAAGAATAGCTTCGACAAGTCAACATGCTCTGGCGTTACAGGTGTGGGCGTGAACTTGAACTATTAGTGCGAATATGACATGTCTTGTCTTGATGAATACTTTGTCTCATCAACTCGTTAAGAAATATAATCACTTAGTGCTGCGAATGAAGTAATGAAGCAAAGCTGGTCATACGAAAATCCCTCGCCCGTTTCATGGAAGTTCTTCGGCGCTTTTTCGCTGCGAGTACGCATCATTTTCTTAGCTACAGCGCCAAAGTCACTATCGTGAACAAACAGCTTTCTTGCGTCCGTGCAGGAACGTGGGCGCATCACTGTTTTGGTCTCAGTATGGACTGGCAAGCAAGCTATCTAGACCTTGTCGCTCGTCTTGGTGTAGATCATAACGACTTGCTCCCTACTGCTGGTCTCGAGAATTCATCGCTCGGGCTGGTATGTGGCCATTTTCAATTCAGTAGGGAGCTGACGAAGATGCTACCAAGTTCTACACACCGTCAGTATATCTTGTTTGAGAAAAATGAGAACAAGTGACTACTGTTAAATGTAGTGGAGAAGAGAGAGGGAAAGTAGTTGTACCTTCCTTGAATTGTGGTTGCTAAGGTTCGCGAAGCTCTCGCTAGCAGGACTTGGTGCTGAAGGCGAGGTACTCGAGGACGAAAAGCCACAGTCATCTTCACCTTCACGGTACAGAAAGCTTTAAGGCGCAGGAGAAGCATTCATAAGAGTTGTGGACCTGCTTAATATGTACCGCCTGGCTACCATGTCCACTCGACCGCAAGCCCCACGTGAAATGGGCTAGGAAGTCGATTCCTTCTAGGCTGCGACCATGTCGATCGCATCGACACTCATTCCCGGACTCAAGTAGCCAGTAGAAGTTTTTCCAGAGATCACAGAGATCTTCAGCAGCTGGTATTCCCTCGCACTGTTCACCCAAGCACTTGCTGGGACGTTGAACTCATAGACGTAGTTATTGCCGCGATACGTTCCAACAGTCAGACTTCTAGTGTCCCCCTGGCCCTTGTCGGACTGCAAAGGAGCACTCCAACTGTTTATCACAATAGTTGGCCGTCCACCTGCAGAACCTTCTGTGACACCAATCCTGATCTTTGCACCCTTGGCCAATTGCGCATCAGTGAGGCGGAAGTATACGATGTGATCGTTGTTGATATCCTTCCAGATGTAGCCCGGAAAGTTGGCGCTGGTACTGGTACCTATGATGTAGTTTCCTGTGTCCCACTTTGCAAGCCGCGAATCAGACGGATGCATGTACGTCGGCTTCATGGGGCTGTCACCAAAATTGAGAAATCCCTTGGGTGTGCCATCCCATTCACCAATCCGCCATATGGCGGATGTATCTGAAGGGTCATTGCAGGTGATTGTGTTCAGCGCCACGGTTCCTCCAGCAGTGATGGTGACAGTGCTGGTATGAACTTCGAGCTCCTGGAGCGCCGCATTAGTACAATCTCCTTGAGGAAAGGTGTGGCTATCCTTACGCCCTTGTATACGTTCAAAGTGTATGAGCCTGGCAAGACCTTGCTGATCTTCCAGGTGCCGGTCCCTGCAGTAGCCCAGTACTGAGCCTGCGCACTCTTCAAGCCTACAACATACTGGTACCCGCTCTTCACATTCGCCAGACCAACACCAGAGACAGCGCCGCGCTTGCTAGCCGGGGTCCAGCCATCAATCTCGAGGGCATCAAACCAATCCCAGTTGGCATTGCGCGCAAATAGAGCAGTGTTTGGTGCAGCACCACCATCAGTGAAGTGAAGGACAGATGGACCTTGCAGGCCGAAGCGCATCACGTCGGTATGACCTGTAACATATCAGTAATCTCTCTAACTGAAAGCAGAGAGAAGCGCCGACGTACCCATGTTGTAGTGATAGATATCATATAGATCCGGCCCACCACTACCCCCGCGGCGTACTAAGCTACGGAAGAATGGGCCTCCTGACGCCTTCTCATGATTCGAACGAATCATATACATGCCAACATTGCTGTTCGTATATCCGACCCAGTCATAGTCCATTGTGCGACCGAATTTCTTGCCAGAGTAATGTTTGGACCACGTCTGGCCATTTAGACCATTGATATCACCAGATTCGATGGCTGGAGCGCCATCTGGAATCCAGTCAGTGTCCTCGTTAACATTGTTGGTGAATATGTTCGGAGGAATGCGAAGAATGTATCTTGACACAGTGATGCTGGTGTCTTTCTTGTTCATAAATATGTATACGTTGGGATTGCCATATCGAAAGACCAAAGTATGGATGAGAGTGCCAACTTTCATCGTCACCTTGATGATGTTGGCTGGAGTGGTGTATTGCTTGATGGTGACAGTTCCAGGTGCAAGACCAGATTCCACATGCGAGTTTTTACCATTCTGACCATTGTATTCGATGCCGCGGTACTTAATCGACGTCATGTCCCCGTTCGTCTTGCTGACCTTGACTACGAGATTTGCATTCGTATCGATCACATAGTTCTTGCCGTCGTCGGTGTAGCCCCATGCTGCAAAGACAGCAGTCGGCGCAAGAAAAAGAGCAGTGATAGTCGGTAGAAAACGCATTTTGAATGAATGGCTGCGCGCAGACGGTACTCTGCATTGCGCACGCCGACTTTAAAGTAATACTTTCGGAGGTGCAGATGCCTGTAAACCATTTCGATATCAACTTTACCGGTGGTAATATTGTAACAGATGCTTCAGTTAACCATTTCGAGCGGGCTCCGCGATCAGAACAGAGCACCTACGCCTTGCGGAGTAGTGCATGGATCTTATTGCGCGAGAGCCCAGCATGGGTATCTATTTGCCAGACTGTTGCAGTATTTCTCCGAATTTAGCACGTTCAAAAGCAGTATGCGCATTGTGTCATTGGTGGAGTTGGCTCTGGATGTTTCGAATCAAATCCGGGGAAATTCGAAGGATCACGAAGGAAGCTTGGGATGCCAAGCATAAGCGCACAGGTGACCATAAGCAACATAAGCCGTTGTCAGATAAGGACGACAGGATTAAAGCTTTCGCGGACAGGAGTCAAGGAGAATGGCGTGTGTTCAGGGTGGGCGAGGGGCGAGCGCACGACTGAACATGGGACTCGCGCTGCGGGCCGATGCGACTCCGATTGCAGGATGGTGCGCAACTGCCTATCGCAATAAGCACTTGCACAGCGTTCACCAACCTCAATGACCATCTCTCCTCCTTCCTCCATTCATCAGTACAGATCAGAGAACCCTGCATACCTGTATGATTGCCGTCCGCCAAACGAACAACAAAATGAGGAATGTTCGGGGGATAGTCCAGTCCACAGTGTTGTGAAACTTTCGTGCGCCTGGGCGCGACGCTGGCGATCCTGTTGGCAATCTGCGCGAGCGTCGCTGCTCCGAGCACAAACTCAAAGGTGCTATTTGCCTTAGTTTGTCAAAGTTAATGTTCACAACTGTAGTGGAACTCGATGTTTCCGACTTATTATATCAACGCCAACACTCTAAGTACCCTAAGAGCCCCTACAGTATTCTACCTAGATGAGCCAACAAACCAGAAACAGTGCATACTATTAGGGTACGTTTTGGTGTCACGTACTGTCCACAAGGAAATACTGTAGGGCCCCAGGATCAACCAAATCCAGATCCGATGTGGAGCCTACTGACACTGGATGCGTGGCTTCATCCCCATCCCTTCCTTGATGTCTCTTATCGTGAGGTTAATAGGAACCATATATCTAATCCTGACATCTTTGTAACGTCTGGTTGTGAGTTCGGCCACCTTGGCCTACCCCCATGGGGCTTTTTGTCGGACTTACTCATGGGTCTCGGATCTCGCGGTATGATGACCCGACGCGTTTGAGTCTACCAATGAACACAATTCACACCACAGTCTTGAAGCGTTTGGCCATCGGAACGGTGTCGTTAACCTAATGGAAAGATTCAACCGTGGCATTGGCCATTATTCGTGCCACCTTGGTTCATAGCGAAGTTTACCCATATCTCACGATAGTACATGATGGCTCTCAAATTCGAGTCGATACCCGGCAGGACTAGAACCTCTAAGTCGGATTGTAAAAGATCATGCGTTTCTCTCAGGCTGTGCATTCCTTCTGCTCAGGAAGAAACCAATGGCTGGGGTGGCTGAGAATGCGGGAGATCTGCAGACAAATAGCCAATTTGCTCCTCAGGCGGACTAAAACAGTAGCTTTACCAACATCTCTGGATGGTCTAAGCTTAGCAGGGAACGTATACGGTGGTCGTATCAAGACCTTATCATACAGTGTCAATCAGCAGCCTGCAGATGCATCTAAGGGTACCTCTCTTCACAAGAAACGTCAAGTTCGTGCATCACGTCACTACTGCATGACTGCTATGATTTGAACCTCGAATCGAGACGTCATGTGGCCGAGACACCAACCTTTGTACTTTATCTATCGCGGTCAGCTTGCACAACGCTATGACGCCATCGTCGGTACCAGCATTGCACACTTCCAGCCTCGAACCTCAATACTCTTTGGAGATAACAGAAACATTCCTCATTCTTGTTCGCACTTCATGATATACATCAGGATTATCACACATCTGCGTCTTTCCTGGCCTGGTTGTTTTTGTGCCATCCGTGCTCGTTTCGACGTGGTATCGAGGTGCAGTGGTTTGTTCACATTCTGTAAACTGTCGGTGGGCTGTGCGATGAAGGAGCCTGAAGTCCAACAGACTTCCAAGTGCCTCAGTACAAGCTACAGATAGTTCGGCAAACTTTGCCGATCTTCGATGGGCACCTCAACGGCCATTCTACTCCCATGCTACCGTTCACGACAGCATCAGGTTTCGCTTCTAAAGAGTTTCGGTTACGGGACCTCAGGAAATATATCCTATGGATCTCTAGATGCTCTGCAGATCCCCTCCAGTAACGGAAACTTGCATCGATACTCTTGACCGGCAACGACTAATCGGACAATGGGACGAGAACTCATTTACATGGACCTTTACAAGGAAGCTGCGCTGTGTAGTCTTTGGAACCCCTGGTCATCCATATGAATGTCGCATAAACGCGGTGCCACCGACGACCGTTCTAATACTCCCTAGCAAGAGTTCCGTCTGCCATGGCTATATCATTACGTTGATGTCGGACTAGAATGGGGTTGTTCGTGAAGATCATACATGCAACTGTCATGTACTTCATCAGACTCTAATGCAAAGACCTCAGAATGCAGCTACAGATACAGACGCCCTGGGTCATGCGCTAACCCAATGTCTTGCAAGATAGCAGCATGAAACTCCGAACCGCCGATTTACCCGGTTGCAATACGCATTCTTTGAATCCAGCTCCAAAATATAGCCTGACGATTATACATTGCGCAGGTTGCACAAGACTTTTGCGACCGAGTGCTGAGGCTAGGTGTCCCTTCAAGCAGGATGCCGTGTCGTCTCTCTCCTGCTAGGCAGCATCATTTAATTGACGACTGAGTAATCTTGTGTCGGGAGCAGATAGGACTATGTGGTTCAGCTTTGCTCGCTGCAGACTTTCGGATCTGTGATCCACAACCCAACAAGTCGGTCGCAGCATAAGCCGTGGAACAACCCGGACGCTTGTTACGGCCTGACGCGACGGCTTTATTTTCCAGTGAGACTATCAGGGAGATCAGAAGATGATTGGCTCACAAAGAAAAAGGAGCGGTCAGGCGCAGCGAGTTCTTCGTGTAATGGACCAGACTTTTGGTCAATGGAATGGCACACAGGCCAAGGTTGTGACGCTTTGTCTGCTTATCCGGAGTATGAACCATGATATATGTATCTGCGGAACGTTGCGCTTCGACGTGTATATAAAGTGGTCAGGAACCGTTCTTTAACGTCATGCAGGGTTCGAATAAAAACCGGATCGCGTGCTCACCGCTACATCGGAAAGGTGAATCTGCAGGAACTTCCTAAGCCGCTCATGGGCTTCTGGGGTTACACTTTATTGCAAACAAAGGAGCTTGTTCATTCGGCGAAGTCACAAGTGATGGATTGAGCCACGTTGACCGGTTTCAAGCGTGCTTCAAGTCTGGGTTGATCATGTCTTTACAGCACAACGAAAATCACCAGGACCGGGTTGAAAGCATGAAACGACTGACGAGTTTCCTTTCTGGCTCACAGAAGCGATATCATTGGCCATCACTCTGCACAATTCCTGGAGTGGTCGCCATAGAGTGGACCCTCCTCTTGACCCGCAAGTGAAACGACAGAACTGTCCGCTGGTTCCAGTCGACGTTTTCAATGAACATAGCCGCGCATATTCTGTTATCTAGTCCCTTAATGTTCCGCGAGTGGCAGCGCGACAGTCGGTTGAGAACAACCTTGAAAGCTGTTGCAATACACACTGAGACTGATGACGAGTCGTAAGCATGCACATCATCAGCACAGCATCGGAATGTAAGCCATATACTTAGAGTGGCATATAAAACACTTTGCTTCATGACATTACGAGTCGGTGTTTGCTCCACTACGTACTGTTGGCTCTTCTCTGGGCTCCGTTTCCGTGCAAGGCCAAACTCCATTATCAACAAGTTCAATATTCTGCAGATCATCTTATGCCTACTGCAATGTCACACGCATCCAACCAGATGTCTGCGGTCAGTCTAAGCCCACCATCGTGCTTTCTCAATCATCCACAAGCTGTGGTGACCTCCACTTGTCCGCTATGTAAAGGACATCCGTAAGTGCCTACACCTAATCGTATGATCATCGAACCCAACATTCTGACTAGGGTGTAGTCACCGTCAACCGACATGCACCTTATGTAATTCTCAAGGCTTTGTTCAAAAGAATTGCGACCCATGTCTACATTACCGAAATACGCTGCAGATGAAGGTACAGATTGTCCAAGCGTAGCTGGTCGTCAGATATATCAGAAGATCAAAGGCCTGTGGAAACCATTTGAGGAATGTGTCAGAGCTTTGATAACTACAACTTACCGAAATTGTGCACGGCTCTCACACAACAGAAGCCGGCCTCATGTCATTGGGTCTGATGATCATTTTTGTCTTCCCACCCACCGAATTCACCATTCAGGTGTCCCCATGTATCTAGCGTCTTCGGCAAATTCTATCCGAAACTTCCCTTCGTCATGCTCGTTCGGGTGCTCCGAAGCATCCACATACTGACTGGTTACGAAAGATTTATGGAGGCATACATATAAGTACGTAAATGAAGGGAACCTCACATACTGAGGTTACTAATAACTATCACTTAGTATTGGTAAAAAAGCATAAAGGCTAACGATATGTTACAATGTATTAGAACAATTAGTAGAAGATACAAAGGAAATATCATGATTACTCAAACAGGAGACCAAGCCGAGACCCAATATCGTGGCCCTGCCATCGATTTTGAAAAGAACGCCATCCAGTTGCCCAAGTCCCAGTTGTTACGCCACGTTATCTCGCAAATCCCGCATTCCTAGCTGAGTACTTCCTCCCACTCCCCACACTACCAGGCCTGCTAGCAGGTCCCGCACTGATCTGTCTCACCCTCCCCTCAACAACCTCGTAAATCCCATCGGGGAGGTATGTCTCTCGTTCACTCTGCGTCCTCACAACGCCACTTCTACCTCTTCCCCGTTCCTCGCCACCTAGCATGCCAGGGTAGTCGATACTCTCGCGGTCTGTGATGCCATCAGGGTGGTAGTCGTTGGCCTGGTGTTGGAAAGACGAGCTACTAGCTGCTCTACGGGGTAGAGTTTGCTGCTGTTGTTCGGCGAGTAAATCGTGGTTTACGAGCCGATTCAAGGCATTGTTTGACAGGCTTCTTTGAGAGATGCGGGACGAAGGCCGACCGCGGGTTTCCATCGCGTGACCTGTTCTGCTTGAGGATCTACTGCGCTGTGCCACTGGTATCGGGGCAAGATCGTCAGTCCACCATTCTGGTCGTACAGAGTTGAGTGAGTCGGAAGACGTGCTGCGAGTGTGGCGGTGGTGTGGCATGGTTGGTTGATGCGTTTCCGCTGAAAGACTGTTGTCATAGAGACCAAAGACGAGTGGTGGTGGCTGAGACTGGCTCATGTGACTGGCCAAACTGCTAGCGCTACTGTTGCGCTTTTGCAGTTTCCTGCGAGGTCGCTTTTGGCTGGTGATTGTTGTAGTCATTGTCGTTGCTGGACTGAGCCGTGGCGAATGGTGAAGTCGAGGATCCACAGGTGACTCTTCTGACCTCTTCCGTTCGCGCGCGATTGTAGGCGCGGCTGTTTCATCAGAATCCGGGCTCTCACCATTACTCCAAGGTCTCTTTTCAGTGTTACCACTGTTGGTATTGCTTCCACTGCCACTTTCGCGACTCAATATGCTCTCTACAAGTCTCTTGTGCCACGAGCTGTTTGCGTAGTTGAAATTGAGTCGCTTTTCAGGGTCTTTCTTTCCGAACCAAAGCGGCTCGCTTTGGGAGAAGCCAACGGCGGTGAGCCAAGGGTTTCCGGGCGCATCATGTGCGAGCTGAAAGATGACATCGACTTCTTCAAGCGACCGGAAGGCAGTTTCAGGATAGAAAAAATAGACAAGAGGAAGAATGGCAAAGTTAGTGACTGCGAAGATGATCCAAGTGCGATAGGAGATGCGTTGGAATGCGATTGGCGTGATGAAAACAATGCTATCCAATGTTAGTAATGTGACCAGAAAACCCAGATCAGTACAGCAACTTACACAAAGTTGAGCAACCAGTTGGCACTTGTCGAAAGTCCGTTGGCAGGCCCACGGATTCGAAGGGGTACAATTTCCACCTGGTACAGCCAGGCCATACCCTGCCATCCGATGGCGAAGAAAACCGAGAAAATGAACAGGAAAACGGTACTGGCGATCCTGCCAGCTTGCATGCTATGCTCAGACCACAAGTATTGCAGAATAGTGATAAGGATCATGCATACTGACATACCCGCAGCGCCGAACATCATGAGTGAGCGACGACCCCAGAAGCGATCGATACCAACGACGACGATGAACGAGGCAAGAAAGTACACAGTCGCTGAACACGAGGCCAGAAGACGAGCCAGCCATCCCTCATAAGACATGCGTGTGAGGAAGATCCACGAAAGGTATTGCAGAACCAAGTTGATGCCGGTACCTTGCTGGAACACCTGGACAAAGTATGCCAACACCACACGGTGAAAGCCTCTGCGCTCCTTGTTGGAGAACATGCCCGCGCTTGATCCCTGCGCCATAATCAAGATGGCATCCTTGATCTGTAGGAATTCGTCCTTGGTCTCGAAGCTGTCGGGTTCGCCATCATTCAGCGCCGCAAGGACGGTCAATGCTTCTTGTTCGCGTCCGGTAAGAATCAGCCATCGAGGAGACTCAGGAAGAACAAAGAGCATTGCGATGGCCGGGAGCGCAAACATGATCTGTAAGGCAATGGGGACGCGCCATGATGCCGAGGAGCTGGTGATGTACGCGAAGCCGAAGACGAACCAGTACGAAAGCGCAATACCAGCGGATACGAATGCTCCGGCGCTGATCATAAGGATTGTTCCTTTGCGATGAGACTTGACGCATTCTGCTTGGTACGCGGGGGCGGTCGAAGTGGTGAAGCCATTGCCTGTCGCAACGTCAGTTCTCGTGTCTCGAGTTACATTCTGCTGTATATGGGGGAGCTCACCGAAACCGGCTATCGCGCGACCGACGATGAATTGTGGGAAGCTATACGAAGACGTTTGGATGATCTCGCCAATCACCCAGAAGGTAAGGCCGAGAATGAGTGTGCGCCGACGCCCAAGCAAGTCACCAACGAAGATTGTCGCGATAGCTGAGACAATACAGCCCAGATGCCATGTTCCAACGGTAAGACCTGCATGTGTCAGGACCCTGCATTTCGCAGTACCATGTGTTGATGAAGATCAGTTTGACGTACCGGCGACCCACGCATTGTGGAACGAACTCTCGTTCACAATGTCGACCAGAGGAAATCTGTCCAAGAACTGCTGAACGGTCAAGAGACCGCCCATAACACCCTGGGCATAGCCGAAACATCTTTGACAGATTAGTCTACAGATAATCTGCAAGGCACCCAAAAGGGTGGTAACTCACAAAAAGCAAAGTCCACACGTGATGCTGATGGCGCTCGCTAGGCTACGACCTCTGAGACCTAGAAATCTCGCCATTTTGATGAAGCCTCGACAAGTCACGCAAGAGGGAAGAAGGTTGAAGAGACCGTCCTGCGGGCTGTCAAATGCAAGGAACGACCCAAACTCATATCAACGGAGGCGTTGCAGCCCGGAGCGGCACGTCTTTTGGATTAGACATTTGCCCATGTTGCCCGCCCATCCCAGGCCTCCTGGTCTGGCCATCACCCTAACGTCATGCCTGCAGGATCGTCGCAAGCGTGCCGTTAGGAAGTTCATAGCATCCTTGATATCGACATGGTCAGCTAGGCTTTGAAGAGATTAGCGAGCGTCGTCAAGATGCATTACATGTGCTAGACACTGGGGTTACCGCCAACGGCCTGTCAGGTGAAGTATATTTATGAGCATGCCAGCTGAGATTCGGTGATTTTCGCAGTGTAAATTTGATTATACGTGCGATGAGGCGCACAAAATTCTTTCGAAAGTCTTTTCTGCTTCCTATACGAATGCGACTTAGCGATTAGCCAAACGTCATGGCTGCACACTTCCCCCAAGCGTACCGTCCGAAGTATCATGCAACTTATGGTCCGGTACCGTGACACCAGGCTGAGGACAGATTAGCGAGGGATGGAAGCTGCACTAAAGTCTGCTAAGAATCGTTGCTGTCAGGTACGCGAGCTGTAAAGCAAGCCGAGTGGTTCGTGAAAAAAAGCCGATACTTGCGATCTCGATGACCCGCTGATGTCATGGACCTGTTAGCGCCGATCAAGCACGAGATCGAGGCCGTTGATACGCCGCACGGGCTCAGCATCCCACCAGTTGTCCGGACTCGAGATGACTCGCTAGTAGCCGAAACGGCTGAGCAGATACATGGTCGCGAACCTTTCGTGATTGGAAGGTTTGGCCGGCGATTCAATACTTGCTTTTAGACGGGAAGGATGCGTTGCAGCAGATATGAAAACTCCGGGGGCGATGCACATGGGGGTACTGCACCATTGTGGCTCCCAAATATTGGTTGGGAATTATCGGACAAGCCGTCCTGGCGAACGAGCGGGCGTCTTGGCTAACAGCGAATTCTGTCCAGAGCCGACAATTAGGAGATCAGCACCGAGAAGACAAAGGTCGAGCGGAGACGGATATTGGTTTACTATTTGGCTAAGAACTTCTGGAACGCTTCCTGCTCAATAACAACGCTGCCTACAGCCCTCAGCTTCTTCCTACCCTCCTTCTGCTTCTCGAGCAGTTTACGCCGTCTGCTGAGATCACTAGCATGCAGCTTGGCGAGGACATCCTTGCGGTACGGCTTAATGGTAGCCCGCGCCACGATCCTCCTGCCGGCTGCAGCCTGTATGATGACCTCAAACATTTGTCGCTCGACGTGCTCTTTGAACTTCTCAACCCATGTACGACCCACCTTGTCGACCTGTGATGTGTGCAGGACACGCGACACGGCGTCGACTGGGGAGCCGTTGACAAGTAAGTTGAGCTTGATGATGGAAGATTTGTGAAAGCCTGCATCTTCGTAGTCAAGAGATGCGTAGCCTTTGGTGCAGCCCTTGAGTTTGCCGAAGAAGTCATCGACGAGGTGCGACAGGGGGATGTCGTACTTCAAGATGACTTGGGTAGCAGTGAAGAAGGTAAGCTCCTTTTGGTCACCACGATTGGCCTCGCACAGCTTAATGACCTCACCAAGATATTCGTCAGGCATAGTGATGGTGGCAGACACGTAGGGCTCATGGACTTCCTGCACTCTGAAGTGTGCTTGGTCCTGGTCGGGGAAGTCGTTGGGATTGGTGATGATGGACTCGGTGCCGTCCTTCCACACCACCTTGAAGGGTACGGAGGGCGGTGTGATGATGATGTTTGCACCATGCTCCTGACGCAAGCGATCCTCGAAAACGGAGCAATGCAGTGTGCCCAAGAAGCCCAAGCGCCAACCTGCTCCCAACGCATCGGATGACTCCTTTTGCAAAGTGACACTGCGGTCGTTAAGGACGATCTGCTGGATGCTGTCTTCGAGATGTTCGTGGTTGTCCTGGTCGGTGGGAAAGGCAGAAACGAAGACCATGCTTTTGGGCTCCTCAAAGCCCGGGCATGGCTCTACTAGCTTCTCGGACCCGATCGTGGTGTAGGTATCGCCGACCTTGGCCTCTTGCGAGCGCTTCATACCGGGGTTGAAGTAGATGTAGCCCACCTGACCGGCCTTGAGTACTGTCTGGGGCGTCTGGTCAGGGTACATGATGCCGACCTCGCCCACAATGTACTTGAGCTTGGTGGCGAAGGAACGTATGGTATCTCCAGGTCGCACCTGGCCATCGAATATGCGCACCAACAAGATGACGCCCTTGTATACATCGTACCACGAATCGACGAGGAGCATGCGGAGAGGCTTCTTCAGGTCGCCGACTGGCGCGGGTATCTTCTCAACGACGGTAGGAAGGAGGGCTGCCACATTCAGGCCAGTCTTGGCTGAGACCTGTACGGCGTCTTTCGGTTCGAGTTCGAAGGTGTCGCGCATCTGCTCGAGCACCCGCGGCGGGTCGGCGTGAGGGAGGTCGACCTTGTTCAGCACCGGCACCAGCGTGAGGCCCTGGGCGAAGGCGAGGTAGAAGTTGGCGACTGTCTGCGCCTGCACGCCCTGGCTGGCATCCACCAGCAGCAGCGCTCCTCCACAACTGGCATAACTCCGCGACACCTCGGCCCTGAAGTCGACGTGGCCCGGCGTGTCCACCAGATGCAGCAGATAGTCTTCCCCCTCGTGTGTGTATATCATACTGCATGTCTGCGCCTTGACGGTGATGCCACGCTCCCTCTCCACGTCGAGCTTGTCGAGAAACTGCTTCTGGCCGCCGGGTTGGATGGTGCCCGTAATCTCCAGCAGGCGGTCCGACAGCGTCGACTTGCCATGGTCGACGTGGGCGACGATGCAGAAATTGCGGTACCGGTCGATGGGGATCTGGGCGATGCGCTTCTCGAGCTCTCCCTGGGGGCGGAAAGCTTGCGCATAACGTCTGCTGAGGGGCGGCAGGCGCTCAAGCAGGCGTGAGGTAAGCGGGAAGCCATTGCCGCGGACAGAGGCAGAGGCAGAAGGCGTCCGCCAGCCGTACAGAAGGCTGCTCGCAGTTCGAACGCATGATCGCATGAGTGGGCATCAAGTCGAATCCGTGCCTGGCTGCTGCTGCTGCTGCTGCTCGTCGCTCGGGCGATGGTGTCGACGACTTTTTTGATCTCATCTTATCTTATCGGCGGCAGGGACCCACCGCCAGACCAGACCTCTTCCATCCCAACTACGACCCCACAAGCATACTAGGCCTGACTCTGATCTTCCCACCTACTCGGCCACCAATTACGCCCCTCACTCGTCGGCCTCACTGCGCTGCCTCGCCGCTTCCTCTTCTGTCGGGCTTCCCAGCTTGCAGTTACCCATCAACAAACCCGTAAACAAACCCAAGCCAACCTTCACCGCCCACCACCACCGCCACCATGTCTGCACCCAAAACCTCGTCCAAGACCTCATCCAAGACATCTTCCAAGTCCAAATCTGCAAAGAGTGATTCCTCCAAGGTGCACAAGCTTGCCCTGAAGGGTTCTTCCAAAGTCGTCAACGAATTCGTAAGTCAGTCGAGCCAAGCATCGCATCCTACGCTTACCCCAATTAGTTCGAGTATTCCGTCAATACCATACTGTAAGGACAGAGCCCTCTTGCGTCGCCTTCTCTTTGCACAACTGACCCCTGCCAAGCTTTCAAAGAGGTGTTTACCCTGCTGAGGACTTCACCGCGTAAGCCTGTCCCACACTACAGCGCCAATCTTCTAATAACAACATTCAGAGTAAAGAAGTATGGCTTGACCATGATGGGTACGTGACCTGCCAGCTCGACTTTCAGCCTCTCTCTAACCCTCACAGTGACTGCCGATGACCAAGTCAAGGCATACATCAAGAAGATCATGGGTCAGTTGAAGGAGTGGATGTATGGGGGCAAGATCTCCAAGCTTGTCGTTGTCATTACGAGCAAGGAGACTGGCGAGCATGTCGAGCGCTGGCAGTTCGACGTAGGTCATGCAGAGTACGCTACATCCCAGTTTCTGATAGCGTCCAGGTTCAAATATACGGGAAGAACACAAAGGCAAAATCTTCCAAACAAACGGCGGATCAAGAGAATTCTGTCCCAGAGTGAGTGCGCCAGTTGACCCTTCTTGACCATGTGCTAATAGCTCCTAGCACTGGCGAAGCATCAGAAGAGAAGACCGAAGCCGAGATCCAGGCCGAGATCCAGTCTGTATTTCGACAGATCACAGCATCAGTGACCTTCCTACCCATGCTCGACGGAAACTGTACCTTTAACGTTCTAGTCTATGCTGATGCTGATTCTGAGGTGCCCCTCGAATGGGGTGACAGCGACGCCAAAGAAATCAAAAACGGGGAGAAGGTGCAGCTGCGAAGCTTCAGCACTAGTAACCATCGTGTAGACACTCTGGTGAGCTACAGGTGAGTGGAACCATTTTACCCACTACAGGAGCGACATGCTAATTCTTCAGGCTTGCCGACTAAACCTAATTGTCTTTGAGCTTCCGGACTTTCTTCATTGTTTCCAATATCTCGGTTCCCGGTTTCTTCACCCAGGCGCACGGTGTACACGGGTTGCAGCATGTATCTCAGGCATCCAAGAACAAGATTGCAGCATTTCCCAACATGTCCCGAACGATAATACTCATACACCAATGTCAATTACACAGCTGTCCTCGCGTTCCTCCAGACGCCAGCACGTCCAAACTTGGTCGTGCGCCTAGGCCTCAAATGTTTTATGAGTTTCTTGCTGCAACGGCACCCATCCTGGTAGTTGGTCAGTGATTCGTGGTTGCGGTGGCTTTGTTTGCTCGTACATAATTTCCCTTCGCTCTCTTTTGGTTCGTAGATGTGTTGGTGGTGTTACCACTCTTTCCTTGCGAATCAGCGATGCGCATTCGTCAGGCGCAGGGTCTCACTAACAAAGTCACTAGTTCTTGTCAACTTCGAATTGGACATCAAGATGGTTACGCGGTCGGCTCTGCAACTATGACGGAATTTCAAAACTCTTCGTATGCGCCTGGTCCGATGTTGCAATGATCCGCATGCCTATAGCACATCGTACGTAATCGATCTTTGTGTGATTAGGCATGACAAATGTCTTCTCATGTACGTACGGAAAGTGGGCATAGGGCTTTCTCGGATGTGCGATATTTCCTTATCGCCTCGTTACCCACGTTGTCATGGTCGGTACTGTCCCACCCTACGCACGGCCGTGTGCTGTGTCTTCGTACTCTCATTTGCCAGACCAATTCAACGTCTTTGCACGCCTCGGCCGCATTTGTCACTTATACCCAAAGTTGAGTCTTTTTTTTTTTTTGGATAACCTCTCAAGGTTACTGGCTCTCCCGATCCGATAAGGCCTCAACGTTGGTGATGGTGGTGCGCCGTGTCTCCACAAGCAAATCCGTTGCATGGACATTTAGTTGCTGTCGCCACTGGCTCTGGACTATGAGAAAACCATATGGTAGCGCACATGTAACAGAATACAGACACGATTGCCTGTTATAGCGCAGCTAGACTACTGTTATCTTGGGTACTGTGGCACCTTCAAGTTTCAAGTCCACCCAATTTTGCATGGCCCCTCCAAAACAACCTGAATCCAAGCAACTGCCAGAAGACCGGCTGACCCGCAATATATTACACCATTCTTGCAGAATTGTTCACAGAATCGTGAGTCGCTTACGATACTGTGTGTAATTTTTGACTGGATGTGCACTGGCTTCAGAACCATTCCGTTTTTCGATTTCGATATGTGCTTCGTTTTACCTCCTGACCTCCAAAATCTCACCTTCTCTTCTGTCGCTATCTATCATCATTCTAGAGTTAGCAATGGCCTTGAAGGATTTAATTTCTCGCAATGAGGGTGAAAGCTCTCGATCGCGCGACGACGCGCGAAAAAACGAAAGGCCGCCGCCGGAGAATCCTCTTGCACCCAAAACCAGGACTAGCAACGAATCCACGGAATCTGGATCCAAGCCGGCAAGCTTCACACCTATGCAACTTGGCCCATCCAGCGCTCAATCATCTCGCTCGTCTGGTAGCATCAATTGTAGCAATAGCACCGTAAGCTCAGATGCCGTTCGAGATGTCAAGGCCGAGATACTGGCGAACTGGCTCCATACCAAACAGGAGGAGCGAGTATGGACGTTTGGCGACGCTGGCGAAGGCGTATTTATGAAAAAGTCGAAAGGCAGCTACTCCTGTGCGCCTTTTGCGCTGCAAAGCGATGGCACAGGTCTTTATGAGGCAGTCACAGAATTGAATGTCAGGGTAAGCTGAGCATATGCACACCATATCCAGATCATTATCACTAACGTGTCTAGTGTGCCATGACTGTCAACACTAGGGTGATCAAATACATCCTTGAGCGGACCCAGGCCCAATATGTTCAAATCCAGACCGGTCTCCGGTTGCAGGTCGTGCCCGACTTTGAAGCTTTGCCGTACTGTCAAAGGGGCCAGTCGGCTGCATTTGTTGCTTCACGAGGCATATTGATAGTGTGGCAAGACGACCCTAAGTTGACGCTTGAACGTGCAGAATTCATCATCAACTGCTTGATGAGGATGATGTGCGGCGCTGAGTATGGCTATGATGCGCAGGACTTGGAGCTGGAAAAGGCACTAGGCAAGAACCCCATGGTTATAATCGAGGAATACGACGACGGATTCTATTCGGGTGACGGTCAAGAAGATGAACCAAGAGACATGAAGATGTGGCAAGCAGCCTATTGCGGACTGTCAATCCTTCTACTGACGGCTGCTATCGGCTCTGGATGCAGGCAGATTGCTATCGAAGAGTTCCAAGCTCCCAAACACTGGCTTCGACTACTCTTCCTGATCTGTATACCTGCCCAGGTTTGGCTCTCACTAGTAAGATATATCCGTACAATCTGTGTTTACGCTTCTGACTTTGCTAGTTCTTTTTCCAAGCTCTCGTCGGCAATCTTGCCCAGATTTGTGGGCCCACTCACCAGATGAAATCGAACAGCCGATATTATTCAGGCAAAGCGCCCAGGAAAATCAACCGTGATACTTTTGGCAAGCCGCTCCCACACGTTACAGTGCAAATGCCTGTATACAAGGAAGGTCTACACACTGTCATCGAGCCCACAGTGAGATCGCTGAAGCAAGCAATTTCCACGTATGAGTTGCAGGGAGGAAGTGCTAACATCTTCGTAAATGACGATGGAAGTGAGTTCATGCACCGGTACATATCGGGCTACACTAATCTGTTGTAGTGCAACTTCTTGGAGCCGAAGAGGCGCAAGAACGACAGGAGTTCTACGACGAGCACGGCATTGGCTGGGTCGCCCGCCCAAGGCACGATCCTAAAGGCGAGCACGGAGCAAAACCCTTCGTCCGACCTGGAAAGTTCAAGAAGGCATCCAACATGAACTATGCCCTCCGAATCAGCTGCAGAGTCGAAGACCTTATGGCACAACAGCCACGTGGAGAAGGCTGGAGTCAGCTTGAAGAAAATGCTCTTTACAAGGAGGTCATGGAAGCAGTTATGACTGAACATGAAGGCGAGGCCTGGGCCGATGGCAACATTCGTATTGGGGACTACATCCTTTTGGTAGACTCCGACACCCGTGTACCCAGTGACTGTCTGCTCGAAGCCGTCAGCGAGATGGAGCAGGGCCAGGAAGTAGCCATCCTACAATACTCCTCGGGAGTCATGAACGTCACCAACAACTTTTTCGAGAACGGCATCACCTTCTTCACTAACATGATCTACACTATGATCAAATTTGCCGTCGCTGGCGGAGATGTTGCGCCATTTGTTGGACACAACGCTGTTCTGAGATGGGAAGCGGTGCAGAAGATCGCCTACGAAGTCACGGAAGCCAACGGTAACAAGTACGACAAGTTCTGGTCCGAGGAGACGGTGTCTGAAGATTTTGACATGAGTCTGCGACTTCAGAGTGTAGGTTATATTATTCGTCTAGCCTCATACAAAGGCGATGGCTTCAAGGAGGGTGTTTCCCTCACTGTGTATGATGAGCTTGCTCGATGGGAGAAGTATGATTTACCCGTTTCTATCTTCTTAAGCAGATACTAACATAGATGTTCCAGATACGCGTACGGCTGCAACGAACTCATTTTCAACCCTTTGGTCTACTGGCTCACCAAAGGTCCTTTTACGAAGCTCTTCCGCACTTTTATCTTGTAAGTACCCTTTTTCGGGCTATGCCGAGCCTGTCTTTGTATACGTTCCTAGCTAACCTTTCAAAACTAGCTCCAACATGCCTCTTGCATCCAAGATCACTATCATGGCTTATATCGGTACTTACTATGCTCTCGGCTGCTCATGGGCACTTACTATGCTTAACTACTTTTTGATCGGTTTCTTCAACGGATGGCTTGATCATTACTACATCAACTCCTTCCGCGGCAAGTTCCTTACAATCCTTCACTGTGCACTTCTCTAACACCTCTCAGTATACTTCGCCATTGTGATCGTCTTCAGTGTCCTCGGCAACATTGCCCTCGCCGTCCTTCGTCATCGCATCGAAGAGGAAAACATTTTCCGTGGCCTCTGGACAAACATGAAGTGGATCCCTCTCCTCACCATCTTTCTCGGCGGCATCTCCCTGCACGTTTCGCAGGCTCTCCTCGCGCACTTCTTCAGCTGGCCGCTCGAATGGGGTTCCACGTCCAAGGAAAGCGAACGCGTTAGTTTCTTTGTTGCCATCAGCAGGGTACTGAGGAAGTTCAAGTGGAGCTTTATGTTCTGTCTTGGAATGACCGCTACTATGATCACTATGGCGTTCGCGCTGCAAGAGGACTGGAGGATCAAAGAACTTATCGCTGTTTGGCCTATGGGTACTGTGGTCGTTTTCCACTTTTTACTGCCTATTGTGCTTAACCCGCAGTTGATGACATTTACCTGGTAAGCTTTGTCCGAAGAATATATTGCTGGAAGGACGAAGAAAATAGCGGAGGAAATAGTAATTCACCCACGGGTGCTAATGTTTGAACTGTGTTTGGCTCTTCTGTACGAATAGGTACGACGTAGCCATCACTGCAAGCAACAAAACGTCAAAACCCAGCTTTTGTGCCCTATTTGCATGTTTCACCCCTTCAAAGTGTTCTTCTTCGAGACACATCAAGGCTTTCTATTCACCCACACCAAGTGACAAACTTCTCGACAACGAACTCGTCTAGCCCCCACTGTCCGTTCTGCCGTCCAAAACCACTTCCTTTGACACCACCTTGGCTCCCAGTCGGCGAAGTGTAGACCGAGATGCTGTTAGCATGGACTTGGCCGTACTCTAATTCTCGCGACATCTTCATAAAGCGTCCCATGTCGCGTGTCCAAACAGTAGCATTGAGACCATACGCAGAGCGATTCGCCAGCGCGATGGCTTCTTCGTCTGAGGAAACGACGTATAATGATGCGGAAGGACCAAAGGTCTCTTCGTCCAGTATACGGGAGGACGACGAGGGGTTGACGATGACCGTAGGCTTGAGCACAACCCCGCTGCTCGAAGGAGCAGCGTCAATGCCTCCAACGAGAACCTCGTCACCCTTCTCCTGCGCATCCCGAATAACATCCTCAGCATGCTTTGCAATACTCTCGGATACCGCCGATCCAGCCGGACCCTCGGCTCCCTTCATAGCTTCAGCGAGTAGTCCCTTGAACTTCTCCGCCACAGGCTCCATTACAATAATCCTCTCGGTACTGAAACAAATTTGCCCATGATGCAATACCGCACCCATAGCACATTGCTTTGCCGCTTCTTCCAACTCTGCATCCTCGAGTACAATGGCCGGACACTTCCCGCCGAGTTCCATTAATACGGGTTTGAGGTACTTTGCTGCAATCCCCATGATCCTCTTGCCCACCTCCGCACTACCGATGAATTCAATTTTGCGAATGGCTTCATGCGCTATCAACGTCTCGGTAACTTCTGCTGCGTTTTCCCGTCCGCATTGAATCTGATTCAACACACCAGCGGGACAATCCGCTTCTGAGAAGGCTTTTGTGATGAGTCCGTGGGTTTCTGGACATAGTTCACTTGCTTTGAAGACCACAGTGCAGCCTACTGCGATCGCACTTGCTATTCCCCGCGTTGCAAGAACGAGCGCTGCATTCCAGGGTGCGATGCACAAAACCGGTCCAACTGGTTCCTTGAACACAAAACCCTGGGTGTTGGGCTTCTCTGTTGGAGGAATAACGCCATTTACAGAACTTATTTGTGCAGCGATCTCATTGAGGTATGAGATTGATAGGTTGACATTTTGACGCGCCCAGGCTTCTGTGCAGGATGTTTCTGCGATTTGCGCGGCGACGAGAGCGTCGGCGTGGGTGCTATAGTGTGTTGCAACACGCTGGAGAAGGGCGCGTCTGGTGGTGTGCGAGGTTGAACGCCAGGATTTGAAGGCTGAGAGCGAGGAGATGGCGGCTTGAGTCGCTTCGGTGGAGGATGCAGAGGAGGCGTAGTGAGCGATTTCCTTGGATGTAGCTTGGGTTACCGGGATGGTGGTCTTGGTGTGGATGGGCTGGTTGTCGATCCAAAGGGGAATCGTGGAGTCCGTAGGGGAGGACATGGTAGGCAAACCTTTCTCCTAGCTTCTTCGGGACCGATGAAAAGTACACAATTGCTAGACCAACTTGAACCTGTTTATTAGAAACCCAATCTCTTCTGACAAGTGTCAGTATTTCAACGGTGCGGAGCACAGCTGCATGGCGAACATTGCGTCATCGCGAGGCGGCTAGCGGGCGCGAACGCTGATGACGATCTACGGCAGATGGAACAATTTTGCCAGCAAGGGAGATGGCATCGTGGAGGACATGATATGGTTCGCTAGTGACGTATGGAATTGGTGAAAGATACGATCTATGCTCATCGACGAACCTATCAAGACGTAATGCATGTACGCCGTGTAAAGGCTATGGAGAAGGACGCGTACGTAGTTTCGGAGATAAGCTACTGCATAATTCCGCTCTCATACGCGCTCACATTATCTCTCAAACTCCTTCGCAAAGTCTTTGACACGTAAAATATTTCCAGTAAGACTCATTGCGAGTCCTATTGAAGCTCGTTTAGGGACGTCTGTCGTAAAGTCATGGGACGGGTATAAGTAGACACGAGTCGGCTGCCGTCTGCAGTTTGGCCCCCAATGTCGTTTCTTCAGGCCTGACCGCTTGATGAAGCGTTCATGTATCTCATCATTGGCATTTGGGATTAGAAGATCACAAGTCAGCACCTGAGCAATATGGAACAGAACGATTGGGTCGAGCTTGTGATATAAAGAGGATAGTCAGCAAAGGAGCTTACCATGCATACAACACAGCCACACCGGTGAACCAGCAGGGCAATCGTGCTGCGACATCTGTTACATGCAAGAAGCACTTACTCAACCTTCATATTATGTGCGTCTCACTAACTCACAACTTCATCATGTCACATCTCGCTGCCATACTTCAATATAAGACTCTGGGAAGAACTGGAGATCTCTGCGCTAGCCTTCTGAAAGAGCATCAAGAGCTATGATCAACACTCCCTCCTCCAAGCCTTATATTTACCAGCAATTGCTTTCAAATTCGAAATTGATACGCGTTCTCGATGTCGACCCAGCGCAAACGAGCACAGCCGCCATAGTTGGGAGGCTCCGTGTTGTCGACCTAGCGACATCTTCAAGATTCACAGCCCTCTCGTATGTCTGGAGCTCGTCAGAGCCAGATCAAACCATCGAATGCAATGGCATGAACGTCGCTGTATCTGCGAACGGTCATTCTGCACTGCAGCATCTACGAACAAGTCTCGGATCTTATACAATATGGATTGATGCGCTCTGCATCAACCAAGCAGACACGAAGGAGAAAGAGCACCAAGTTTCGCTGATGGGAGACATATATTCGCGAGCTACGAATGTGTACGTTTGGTTAGGTGAGGGTGACGATAGCAGTGATCGCGTAATGGAGTACATGAGGACAGCCGGTTTTCTTCACTATTTTGCTGGGTGCACAAACAATAAGAAGGGCTTAAGTCAACTGTGTCTCGCAGCTCTTTCCGGCAGCATGGCACGGTATAGTCTGACGAGGCATCCCTTTCCTTTACGAGGTAAGATCCCCAAACGTATCCGTCTGACCACACTAAGTAAACCAAGCCTCCCCTGGCACATGGATAGGTCCTTTAGGCCCTACAGTTGTGCGCCTTTGGAACGGGAATCCGAGTTATGTAACCTTAAGGGATGTCGAAAACTTATTGCATTACAAGTGGATCACTCGGCTCTGGACCTATCAAGAAATCCTCCTTGCTGTCAACCCGACCGTCGTCTGTGGGAGGGCACATGTCCCTTGGGATCGCTTTGCAATGAGCCTCATCTTCCTTGATACTGCGATCGAAAGCCTTCGGCGACATCTGCTTCCCTGGAAAAGAGTCGCGTTGAGCAGGCAACAACTCATGGCTGCGGCGAATGTTCCTCCAAACCTTGGAATATCGTCTTCACTAGAACGATACGAAGTGTTTACACGTCGCTTCTGCAAGGCTCACTTTATTGCTTCTTCAACGCTTGACATTCTCTTTGTGATTTCATCGATCATGGCGCTTATACTTGGTCTCAACCAACCAACCAACCCTTTCGCTTCATATCAATCTAGCGCACTACCACCTAGTATTCTCGTAATGGCGGCCCTGTCGATCGCTGCCTACTTCTTTGCTCGATATCAAGCATTGGGCTCACACTTTAGGCCCTTCAAAGTAGACCACGTCTGCGTGGATGATCTCATCGACGGCACTTACCATCGAGAAGCCAAGAATCCTAAGGACATGGCCTTTGGCTTGTGGGCTGTACTGCAGCGACGCACTCAGTCTGTCATGCCGCGCGTGGACTATGGAGAATCGAAGGAAACAATTTATACGGTATTTTCTCGGCTTCTAGTTGAGGCTACTGGCTCGCCCCATCTGCTTCTAATTGCTGCCATGGACAACATGGAAGGACAGCCTTCTTGGGCACCAAACTGGGCATCAGAAGAGAAGCATGATAGTGACTGGAGAGATGTCGAGCACATCATCCGTTCGAACCATGGCGCAGATAGTCTGAAGCGGCGAACCGCAGACAACATACGTATCTCAATGCTGGACAAGCTGGCAGTATGCGTTCGAGGTCGCAGATATGGTGCAGTTGTTGCAACCTTCGTTTTCCAGAAGACGCAGTGTTCTTACCAGCAATCTGAGTTTTGTCAACACGTAAACAACCTGAAGCGAATGGTCCAGCTTCTCGATGCGTGGGACACAACTTGGCTGTACCATACAAACGCCGCGTCTCACAATCGCCTTGATCGTTGGCGACGTCACCTAATCAAGCATCGCAATCGAGACATCTATGAGCTGCTGTCGTTCTTACGAGTCGCGCCAAAGCATGGTAATCGGAATGCTTCCGCGAGTAGAGATCCAGAATTGCTCAGAACCCATATTGCCGTGTGCAATGCTTTGGCGAGAGATGGCCAAGTATTATTCCAAGGATCAGCTCCCGGAACACTCATCCCAGCTAGCATAGGCTGGTGTCGACGAGATGTCAAGGATGGTGACCTGATTGTCCGTTGTCCAGGCGTTCAAATCCCGTTGATCGTCCGTCCTTGTCCTGATGGTGGAAACGCCGTCCAAATTAAAAGCATTGCCTATACTCCAGATTATATGAATCGCGCAGGATTCTCAAAATCCGTCTATAAAAGACTTCCAGGAAGGTTGTGGACTGGCAAGCCTGTGGAAACCGAGCTAGAGGAGTTTCATGTTTACTAGGACTTTAGTCAGCCAGGGCACGCAACCATGATTAGGATCTCTCGTCGCTATCCAAACTAGTACATATGCATTGCGACACGCTAGATCTCAGCCGTGAATAGCAAAGAAGCTCATTTTGCTCTGTTTGGCGAGTGTTTATTTCCCCGAGGATACGATACAGCTCAAAAGGCATGAGTTTCTTCGTACCCAAAGGTCGCGTTGGTGGGTTCGGGCATGAGCCACAACTCCGCCTCAGCGACAGCTCTATCCTAACCGTCCCTCGACAGCCATCCTCACCACCAGCGTGAGCACAGCAACTGTCGGAGCCTCGCGAGTACACCAAATGGCAAAAATCGCATATGCGTATTGATTACAGACTGATGTCATCGCTGAATCCTCTAGCAGCACCCTCGTCCGCTTCCGCCCTTTTGCACAGCCATGCGCCCTCAACTATCGCATAAGGGCGAAGCTCCAAGGACAGTAGGATGCCTTGTGCTGTTGTGCCCAGCATCGCGCATAGCCATCAAGGATCGCTATAATGACGGCTAATCCTGATCCAACTTACACAGCTAGGCCTTTGGTTCGCAAGTCGCTTCAGGACTACCCTTCGACCTCCCCAGAATGAAGCAGAAGACACTCGAATGGGCAGGTCCCTATGGCGCCTGGTGTTCAGTCTGTTCTCCAGAGACCGAAGAGACGCACACGAACCTCCCTTTTGGTCTCGTTACTCTGCCTTCAGAACCCGCGATGAATGCCGCTGGCCGGACTTCAGACCACCCTTTCAAGGACCTTCGTTCCGCCCGCCGCACCTACCAACGTTCCAAGATATACCCTGAGCGCATCTATAGCGGCAACAAGCGTCGTCGCTCCGACAAATCTCTACTCGCTCGAGTAGCAGCATCATCCAAGGATCCGTACAAGCAGATAGAAATCCAAGAATGGGAGGGCGACTGGGACGCCGATTGGGCACATGAAATAGACATGGAGCGCATAGACGACATAGCTGCGTACTACCTCTTCGGCAAGAATGCCGACATCTTCGAATGCTACAATGATGGAGACATAATGGCTGGCGAAGACTTCGGGTCCTGGGCACGACGACGTATCGCAGAAATGCGACAAGTCAAGGAACATCGCATACACAGATACGGTAAACCTACAAGCTCTTCGCCACTATCAGTCTTAACGCATACGATGCGCAACGATTCGCGTCCCGGTCGTACCAGCGCCACCATCCTCACCGCGCCCCACGCAAACTCCCACGAAACAACCCTACCCACGAGTCTCTCGGATATTCGTGCGCACCTCACTCTAGCCTGCGCCCTTGCACCGTCCGAGAACCTCAAACAGCGCTGCTGTAGCCGCAACCTGCCAGCCTTGCCCATCATCTATGGTTTCAATTGGTGGGGCGAATATACTTGGCAATGGCATAGAAACATGTCTGGGTGTTGGTACCTCGGCTACGGGCACGCGTGTCAGGAGAATTGCGAGGAGCCATGCACACGGCCGTGTTGGGGTCATATGCTGTACGAATGCTATTGTGAGGAATTTGGTGTGGGAACGGATTGGGAGGTGCCAGCGCCGGAGGATGTGCAGAGGTGTAGTATCGTGGAGTGGGTTAGTGGAAAATTGAGGGAGGATATGGAGAACGATCACGACGAGGTTGTCTGGTGGAGGCTACAAGGAACAGTGAAAGAGGACGAACAGGATTCAGAAGCTGATCTTGGTCAACAGCGGGAGTATGGGAACTACTTCGAAGATGAATATGTCATCCTAGGAAAGAAAGACGAGGATAGTGATGCATGGAGTCTCATCAGCAGTGTTGACGGAAGGTCTTGTTCATAAACAATGATATGATTGAAGACTTCAACGAGCATTACCTATGCAAGTCGATCAGACTTCTAGCTTCTTCTCATCAACAAAACCGCCCTTTGCCCTCTCCGCTCTCTCGGCAGCCTTCCTCTTCTTCGCATCCACTCTCTCCCTGTCCTCCCTCATCTGCCTGATCAATGCACTCTTTTCTCTGATCTTGTGTCCGTAGAGGTAAAAGACTACCGGAATAGGTATCAGTGCGAACTCGATGAGCGAGAGCATCGTCGCACTCCAATGCGGACCAAGACTCTGGTACATTTTTGGACCTGCAAGGGGAAGGGCTCCACCCATGGCAGAACGCAACACGGCATTTCCAGCGAGAGCAGAAGCGGCGTAGATGCCGTATGAATGCACGAGGTAGTTTGATGCGTAGATAAAGACACCGCAGTTGCCGGCACCGAAGGGAATGCCGGCGATGAGGGGAAAGATCCAGTGGACGTTAGGAGTGCACGTCCTACACCATATTCGTTAGTAATGTAGCTCTTGAGGACGATAACTAATCGTGGAGCTGCACATACCAGGCAAAGATCATCTCGCCAACCGGGACGCAAACTGCAGCGATAACGACCACGCTGACCATGGCCTCTGGGTAGGGCTTGCCAGTCTCTGGATCCTTCTTATGACTGTTGATCATACGGCGAAGGAGAGGCTCTGAAGCTATCGTGATGACACCCCCAATACCAATACCCATATAACCCAGTCCAACAAGTCCAGGCGACCAACCTCGGAGCTCGCCGAAAACAATAGGGTAAGAGACGAAACACAGGTACAAAACTCCATAGACCAATGCTATATACACGTCCCAGAAGATGCAAATCGGTTCGTTGACCGCCATGCTAAGGGGTCGGTAGAGGTTCTCCCGAAGCAGAGGCCAAAAGGCTTTCTTCTCATCGTAGCGCGAGTGATATCGTGAATCAGAGGTTTCCTTGCGCTTGTTTGCTGACTTGGCGCGAAGGATTGCTGGTTTGTATGTTTCTGGGATCATGAAGACCATGAACCAGGATGTACCAGAGCCGATCATGACGACCCAGTTTGTCCATCGCCAACCCAGGGCTTGGAAGACGAATCCGCCAATGAGAGGCCCAATAACGGGACCATTCATTGGCCCCTAGTAGATCGCGATTAGATTCACTCAGCAGCAAAGTTAACAAAGTACTCACTAGAGACCAAATGGAGAATGCAAGGGCGCGATAGTCTTCCTTGGATATGTCAGAAACCGTGCCTGGGGCGTTCGATATCATGGCTGCGCCTGCAATTGCACCGAAGAAGCGCATGACGAGAATCTGGGCTAGATTGTTCGACAGAGCACACGGTATGATAAGGATCGTGAACAAAGCGACTGCGATCAGGTAGACCGGTCTCCTGCCGTACATCTCACTAAGTGGTGCTAGGAGCAGCGATCCAATTGCCAAACCGCAAAGGTAGGTTGTTATCCCCAAGATCACCAGCGTCTTCGACCGTATACCAAACGTCTCCATCATACCCGGTATGCCGCTTGTATAACTCGTCGAGTACATGACTACGACCAGTGTCGAAAAGCTCATAAAGAAGACGACAAAGGCCTTCCTCAACATGGGCCATTCCTCTGGGTCCTCTCCCTCCTCATAATCGACTTCGAAGCGCGGGTCTTGCGTTGCGTTCGTAGTGACCGTTGTAATCGCATCCTCCTTGTCGCCAGGCCACGAGTGCCCGGTGTTCCTGCTCCAAGTATGATGTATAGACGGACGTTGATCTGCTACCGAATTGATTGAGTCGGAATGCGTCGACGCTGACGATATGGAGGCGCGATCATCTTCGGTTTCGATGTCTTCGATGACGCGGGATTTGTCTGAATTATGCGACTTGGTGGACGGTGATGTGGCGTGTTCGTCTCTTCCTGGTGTTCTTGCGACGGCCGTGTCTTTGGCGAAATCGCTATGGGACATGGCGCTGATGACGACGCCGATAAAGACCCGACACGATACTGATAGCGAAATCGCACCACAAGCGAGGAGCTCTCACTGCTGTTTCTGTACGACAGGAACGGTGTAGTGATAATTGAAACGAGGGCAGGGCGTATCAAGCCAGCTGATCGTGGGACATGAGAAAGTGACTCAACCACGAACTGCTATGTCGCGCCATGGAGCTCGAGACGGGCTAGTCGCAAACGCCCTTTCGCACTTTCCCATCTTCATTGTGGCGACAAGTAATCTAGCGGGAATAAACCCACATGGAATAGCGGTGATAGCTGCTTGCCTGAGGGTGTAGCAGTTTAACCGAGGAAGGCAGGTGCTGCAGCCGATATGCCGTTTGCGGGTGATGTTTGCCTCGATTGGAGAGCGAGATCGGCGCCAACTGTATCGAGAGCTCGTTGTCCTCTGAGGGCCTCATTGGGTGAGTTCGAGAAAAGACAATGATTGCCATTGGAGCAGAGAGGTAAATGCAATGAGAATGCGGACTCTGGATAAGTTAGGGGAAAGCGCTATGGTGCTAGTCTTGGAGCTAAGCAAGGGGCTGGGTAAACATGAGATACCTCACGCGTTGTCAAACCTCTCACCACCACGCCTCTCTCAGCTATAGACTCCATAACTCCATCACACATCGTGGCAAAGCTCGCAGAGGTTCGTCAAAGAAATCATCGAGGGGATGTGGCGTGGATCATGCCTCTAATCTTGCCGCTACCCACTCATGCCGCGCCACGACGCGCTCCGACGACGCGCCTGCCTGAATGTCCTTGATGAGTATCCTGTCGACAGTGAATTCATTCCCACACGCCGGAAGGCCACCGAAACGAGCCTTCGCACTTTGGCTCACGATGAAGATTGACGCACCTATACTGACACGCATATACTCTCTTACAGCTTGCACACCACTGCGTCCAGAGTTCTTCAAGTCATTTCCGTTCTGTTCTCATCATCCAGTCTTGTTGCGTTCGTTTCTTTCCTGTCCTTTTCACATTCTACGTTACACAGCGTAGTGGGGTTCTGCTGATCCTTAGTCGTTTCCGCGTCTCAGTCTCTTCATGATTGGGCAGTGAAAACCATCCTTATGCAGGCGTCGAAGATGGCCAAAGACAAGCGTCTGTGATTTGTGTGCCACGTCCAATCGCGAGACTCAGCCTTCTCTGTTCTCTTGGAGCTGGCGAGGCTGAGGCCTCGTTGCGCCGTACAGCGCTTCAATCGACAATGTATTAGCCAGCACTCCATCCTCACGCGGTCTGTTCACCGGCGACATGAGACAATCGCTCCCACATTCCTCATAAAGCTCACTGGTCATCGTTCATCGCTGGGAGAGGCCGGTTGTGCAGTGCTGTCGCCTAATACGGAGATGCTTGGCGTCTAATTCAACCTTGGTACCTACCCTCGCTGAGTAGTCGCGTTTTCAGCAACAACGCGACAACGCGACAACCTGTCGCTTTTGTTACATCGCGACACCGCACCTTCGCTGTCTTGTAAGCTTTGACACAGAATTACCTTGCCCGCTGCCTCGTTGCAGCAGGCACTCTGAACCGTTATGGCAGCCGCCGCGCGTGTACCATTTCTCGAACAGCAGTACAACCATGTCGCGCTACCCCGCAACGTGCCTGGCAAAGAGGACGGAAACCTGCATCGTATCGAAGAAGCCTTGCTGGAACGCATGCTGGATGCTGCTGCAAGACTCACACCTCATGTCGCTACAGATCTCGCTTCCCATATCCAAGGACTCCGGGCGACACTACTCGCATGTCAAGTGCTCCATGTGGGCGGGACTATCGGCAAGGCGGCGCTGACTAGGGAGCTTCGCGATTTGAGCCATCACAAAATGCTTGTGCTGCATATTGCACCTCAGAATTGCGCTTTGCTAGTATACCGTCAAGAACTGTATGTAATCTTCACATGCTAGCATCTACTCCACTGACTTTTACAGGAATCCTGGGGAGCACACAATCGTGTTTGAAGCTTTCGAGACATCCGCGACAGCTGACAAGGTGCTTGCTGCCAAAGGTGCGCTACAATGGGACTGTAAGTGACCAAACTTCAGGCTCGATGCTACACATATGCTATTTACTAATCTCAATCATAGTCCCTGGTTGCGCGGTATCCGTACCGGCTTCGAAATTTTACGAAGAGGCTTTCCAGGAAGCTCTTGCCACCTTCATTGAGCAAGCCAGCAGCGAGCCAGTTACGAAATTCGCTGCTATCACCTGGAAGGCAGCCGCAACTATACCAGAGATCCGAGATACCAGTGATCCGGCTCTCATATCAGGCCTTTTGATGACCATACTAGAGGCCAATGGCACTGCGGTCTCAGTACCATGCTTACGAAAGCGTGTGCGCGACACCGTCGTCTTTGATAATGCTCGTACACCGTGGAGGAGATCCGCTTTTTATCTGGTCTTACGAGTAGCAGTTCAGCGCTACTTGTACTATCACCTAGGTGCAGAGGTCGGCAGACTCTACTACAAGACACTGATGTGTCTTCTGCATGCACAGCTGCTGGAGAACATCCTCAAGAGGATACCTCTCGACGCGGTCTTCTCGTTTCGACAGAAGCTAGGTCGTCGCCTTGCTAAGCTTGCCTCTGATGTCCATGAAACCAACAGGTCGTCCACAGGCAGGTACGCTGATCTTCTGCTCTCTTTCGAAAGCAGCTTCGAGACTACTCTAGTCACGACTGGAGGATACCTAAAGCGAGTCTGGCGCACTCACAGGGAGTCACGGGAACGATTCATTCCATTGTTACGCCAGTACGCCCTTCCACATGAGTTCCACCTTCGCATGAAGAACAGCGGCAGATTCTTGAGGGGTGTTCTATCTGCACGTCCAACTTATCCAAGGTCTGAAGAGCAAACATCTGACGAACGTTTACAATCATACCTCCAGTCGAAGACTTCTGTCAAGCCCTACATGAAAGCTGTTTCCAGCCACATCGCTTCTTCAAAGCTTGTCGAGGATGTGATCTTCCCCGCCAAACAATCAACGCAACCTGAAGGTCTTCTTGCCATACAGATGAGTAGGGTAATCCGGGACTACGTCGCCAGAATTAGCACTATGGACCTGGCGTATCCCAACCAGAAGAGCCAGCATCTCCTTCATGTGATGGAGCTTTGGGTTCTTATGGACCAAGACGCGGTAGCTTGTTATCCCTTGCTGAAAGAATACCATCCTGGGTTCGACGCTGATATCTTGGATCCCATTCAACTGCTTACACGGGAGGAAATGATACGCAGTAAAGAGGTGCGCAAGTACTTACACTCTCGTTATCGCGCACGGTCGAATGCCGAGTCCAAAACCATTTTCGATGATCCCGCTGATGACTGCTTCGCTGTACAGTACTACAACCGCGAAGACCCTCAGGGTGAGCTTCCAGTAATCCGGGAAGAGATCGAACAGGCAGCCGAGGTTGCGCGTGATGCTAAGAGCGTCGAATGGGAGAAGAAGAGTAAACATCATGCGCAAACCATCAACAAGCGAAACGAAAAGGAGTGCATCTATGACACTTCTGTCGGCTGGGACGGCACGACACAATCACGACATCGGCGGCCCTGCGACTGGCATGATCTCCACAACGAGGCCAAGGCATTTCGGATTCAGATTCATGAGCATCCGCTACCAAGCTACGAGCCGGCAGTCAAAGCAGCACTGTTTGAACTGCAATGTCCCGAGGTGTTCGCTGCGTATCGCGATGCAACTTGGCTTCTACTGTCTAAACTGTGTAACCAAACGATCGAGAAGCTCGATAGAATTTCGCTCATCCGAGAGTACTCGCAGCTCCGTCAATACGTCAACAACACCAGCTGTCAAGTGACTCTAGGCTCATACAAAAAGGCCCATCTAGAGTGTCATTACGCGAGCTGGGGCTTTCCAATCGGGTTGGAAGAGGTCATTCGAACCTGCGGTCTCAAGCCCAAGTACTATGACAGGCTCGGTGAGGTTTGGACTCACAAGTCCAAGAAAGCTTCCTTCTGGCATCATTTCCCTGTGAAATGTCCTCTCAACTCGCCGCTGGTGTCTCTTGAGCTTGACTATGCCATGTGGCCAACATCAAATGAAGTCCAGGCAAGTCAAGCCAGGTGTCCCCAAGGTGTCGGTATTCATGAGTTCACGGCGCTTCAAGGTCTTCTGACCGGCACTCATTCGAGATGGCTCGATCTTCTCAGAGAGATGGGATCGACTAATCTTAATTTCTCGTCAGAGTCCACCTGGGTTCTCGTTTTGCGTTTGGTGTTACAGCTGGGACCAAACACTGTAGCAGACTCTCTTTGCACAGACGTTCATCGTGCGTTGTCCGACGATGGCCTTTGCAGCAAGCTCCTGCAGCAGGTCCAATACCGATTAGAAGCGATCCAGCGAAATTGGCGCGAGCCTGTGCAGATGGAACTATTGATCACGGTTCTGCTCAAAGTTACTTCCCTGACTCTAAGCACGACAGTCCGCAACGAAGGCATTAGCCTTCTCCAAGAAGCCCGTAAGATTACCGATGGCTGGCGTAAAGAACTGCAACCCATGGTGACAGAGGATCCAAACGTATTGCAATCAGCTATATGGGCTTCCCTCTTGTGCAAGCGGACAATGCACGTTGATGAACCGCCATGGTTAGACCCTGAAAGCCTTCGCATGTATCTTGATGCTTCTATCTCACTGCAGTACAACCTTGCTGGCAGCTTCGATGCGATGCCATATAATATGCGCAACGCCATCGTGCAGGACATATTGTTCGCTTATGATTACCGCGAGGTTGTGAGCAGCGCTATATTGGCAACCCAAGAGACATTTAGAGCAGCTCTAGAAGCGGTATGGTACATACCTGACGACTACAAACTCAACGAGGCCGGTTTCCAAGGCGTTCCTGGCGCTTGGTACCTTTCATACACACTGCACTCACTTGCTGAGCAGCATTCCTATTTCGTACATTACAATTATGTCTATGGTACCTTACTCATCAATGGACAAGAGATGGGAACACTTCCGCAGTCGTACCGTATGGACAGAACCTACCAACACATTCTCGGTACGAAGAATCCGATCGTTTACCCCTCTCCTCTACGAGGCATGGATTTCGCGTTATCGGAGACCGTGCGTGGCCATCGAATCCATCTCGGCTACCGCGACAATCGCTTGATCATCCGAGCAGACCGGGGCGGCCAACTACTCGAATTCATTCCTAGGCATGCCTTTGGGTTGGAAGGTCCTACGCCCGATCTTCCTAGACCATTAGTGGAAGACTGTTACCACTGGCTTCACGTCTACAGCGGGCACATCGAGATTCGCCAAAGCAGTCAATGGGCATCGAAGCTGATGAATTGGTGGATACGCTGGCACCCCTCAGGCTTCTACCACGCTGTCCGGCGATTCCAAGAGCCAGAGCAGACAACATTGTTGGATACGGGAAGTGATCTAGTCAAGAGCGTCACTCGGATCTTCTCTCACTTTGAGTTTCCATCTCAGATCCTAGTATTCGCATCAGTCGATGGTAAAATCTTTGTGGATCTGAAGCGGATGGAGTTGAGCTTTCACATCAACCAGGAAGGCTTGTTACAGTCGCCAAGACTTGGTGGGATCATTCTGCAGAACCAAGATGCGGGCACCTGGTATGGGCTGATGAATAAGATTGTTGTTCACTCCATTGCCAATCGTCGACAAAAGAGCATATTGGTACCTTGGGGAGGTATCCGAGTCTCTAAAGACGGGCCTCATGTGTCTGTTGACATTGAGATGGGGCAAGGTGTTTACCTCAAATACGCCATCAATGATGTTCTGGGACGTATTGATTGTGCGCCTGAACCACGTCTGCTCTACATGAAAGCTCTACTGCACGCTTACACGTCCCACGCTATTGCCGACCCACTGACGCGGCGGACCGGAACTGAGGAAGCCCTCTACCTTCTCCAGACAGGAACTTACCAGCCTTGGAACCCATTACTGCCCGACGAGATAGCCACATTGCATCGCATCGCAGAGCTGTCGCCAAAGCGGGGTTACTATCCGCCAAACGCTAGGTACATGGAGACGGTACTGTGGGAGCCCAAATGCACTATCCATATGCAAGATGATCGGTATGCTACTGTTGTTGCTACAATACTGCGAAGATCTGCCAACTTGTCTCGGTTTTTCCTCGACCGCGAGGTTCAAGAGATCATCAAATTGGAACCGGACATCACGCATCTAGCTGCCAGGGCGGTTGGGAGGTCCAACCTCCAGATAGGGAAGAAAAATGGCAACCAGGACGTTCCCTATAGCGCACGTGATTCTCGTAGAGCTTCGCAGGATCGCTTGAACGTGCTCGAGGTATCAAAGTTGCTCCTCAACTGGGAGTCAACTTGCTCTTTGGACACTACACTGACTGCACTTCTCCACGATGCTCCAGTTCTGGGCGGTTACGACAAGTACTACCGGAAATGCCTGCTTACTGATCACCTCGCTGTCGACATCAAAGCCGAGTGGGGTGCGCTCGCTCAGAAATCACTCCAGTGTAGTGTTGAGGACAGGTCCAGCCTAATGTTTCTCCTCGGAACCATCGCGTTCTCTTCGGATGCAGACCTCAATCTCTTACGTGTCCTCGTCTCTTTCGCAATGATACCGGAGATACGCGCCATAAAAGCCCCTAGCCACGCGGCGTACTTTCATTTTCGAGCGGATGGAGCTCCTCCCGCATCTTACCTCATCTCGTTGATGGAGAGAGCACGAATGCCGTTTTCCGAGACTGGCTTCAGGAAGCGCTCGCAGTTAGTCAAAGCTGAGAGCTTACATGGTCCGAGTGTTGATCGAGCCTGCGAATTGTTGGCTGGCTCGATCATACAACAATGGCCAGCCTCAGATATCGACTTGCGGAGATTGGTTGCAATTGACCCTACATATCTGAACGTTGACCAGGCTCTAGCCGATGTGGCTTCAGAATGGACCCGCCTTACACGCAATCACGAATTGTCGCTGTATCTAGAGCAGGTGCAGGAAGTTCTCTCCCGTATGACTACTCATCAAACGAAGGCCAGCTTGGTCTTGATTGCAAGCTCTGATACAGAATTAATGCCATCGTCGCTGTATCCCGTACGATCGAGGGAGTATGACGACCAGTCACTCTCAGACTTGATGAAGGCACGAGTAGTCACAATCGAAGAACCCAGAACGACGGCGCCTCCTCACACTTCCTGGTCGTATGCTGGAGCTTTGACTGCCAGGTCAGGTAACACTACACTTCATTCTACCAAGATGCACAACTTCGTGGGTGTCGCTCAAACGAAAAAGGCACCATTGTATCCTCGAGTAGCTCATCCTCCGCCACAAGAGATTGGAATGCTTAGGGATATCGTTGCCAACTTCAAAGATCCGTCTTCTTTCGTGCAGTGTAGATATGCGAAAGAGATGGACGCAAGTATTGATGCTCTCCAAAAACATGTTTTACATGCGCGAGATACGACTCATATCACATTTCCTCAGGTCACCACAGCAGATATCTTGCCAGCCAAAGATGTCATGGCAGCGGCTGCCGATCGCATCCGTTGTTCACTTCAAGATCCGCAAGCGAAGTGGCTGCGGATGGCGGATGCATACCATAAGTTGACAACGATTGAGCTTCTGACGGAGCTTCGAACTACTGCAGGGACTGCTTTTGGCGCAGGCATGAAAGAAGCACTTGTGGCTTTTGGGGTGGCTGTAAGCAAGCTCCAGCGGTTACTTCGTATACAAGATGCTCAGAAGAGGTGGAAGAAGCAGCAAGAGCGAGATGAATGGGCGAATAAGGGGCATGGAAATTGGAGTCCCATGACTTTTCCGGACTGGCTATTGCTGGAGATTGACGGCGATATCCTTCTCCGAGATGAGCAGGTACAAGTCGCTCTAGCGACAGTCTCGCCGCAGACGAATGAGAACTCGGTCCTGCAACTCTTGATGGGTAAAGGAAAGACGTCTTGTATACTCCGTAAGTGCTGAGTTAATTACCTGGGTCATCATAAACTGACGTTTCATAGCTATGGTAGCAGCTCTCCTTGCTGACCAAGCCAACCTCGCTCGCGTTGTGGTACCGAGAGCTCTTCTACTACAGTCAGCGCAAGTAATGCAAGCCAAACTTGGTGGCTTGGTCGATCGCGAATTGATGCATATACCTTTCTCTCGAAAGACTTCTCCTGCCAAAGCCTTGATGAGTCTTTACAGAAAGTTGCACGAACGCTTGAAGGCTCGCCGTGGTATACTTATCGCATTACCGGAGCATATTCTCTCGTTTAAGCTGAGTGGACTACAACAGCTTTGTGACGAGAAACTCGAAACGGCTTCCATAATGATCGAAACACAGCGTTGGTTGGATGAACATACTCGCGATGTTCTAGATGAATGCGACGTATCCTTAGCGATCAGGACTCAACTCATCTATCCATCTGGCACTCAGGCGACAGTGGATGGTCATCCAATGCGGTGGCAGGTAACCCAGGCTGTACTCCACCTAGTCAAGGACTTCTCTTCAAGTGTCCAATCACGCTACCCTCGTAGCATTGAAGTGGTCAACCGTGGGTCCGCTGGCTTCCCTCTTCTTTACTTCTTGCGCAAAGATGCCGAGGATTATCTGATCGAGCTCTTAGTCAAGATCATCTGCAAGGGACAGACTCCGTTGATACTTCCTTGCGCCGAATACCCAGCCGCTCTCATGAAAGATGTACAGGGCTACATCTCGAAACCAGCCGTGCGCAGCCAAACCATATCCAAGATCACTAGCTTCTTTCGGGACAAACCAACTTTGATGCGCGCTGTGAACTTGCTCCGCGGCATGTTCGTGCATCGTATCCTGATAACAACCCTTAAGAAGCGCTGGAACGTACAGTATGGACTACATCCGACACGAGTACCGATAGCAGTTCCGTATTTAGCGAAGGGCGTGCCTTCTCCTACGGCCGAGTGGGGCCACCCCGATGTCGCTATCACCTTGACATGCTTGTCATTCTACTATCAGGGTCTCAGCGTCCATCAGTTCAAAGAAGCCTTTGCTCATCTAGTTAAGACCGACGAGCCGAGCATCCAGTACGAAAAGTGGTTCCCAAAGGGGATCGACATCCCGAAAGAACTAGACGATTATGCGGCAATCAATGCCGAGGATATGCGGCAATTAGGCGAACTTTACCAAGTCGTACGCTATAGTGCCTCCCTCATGGACTTCTACTTGAACAACTTTGTGTTCCCAAAGTATGCAAAGACTTTCAGCCTCAAGCTTCAGGCATCGGGTTGGAACCTTTTTCCGTCCTGTCAAGACAACAAAGGACCCCGTGTTACTGGTTTCTCTGGTACGAATGATTCCAGGCATCAACTTCCTCTACTAGTGCAACAGCAGGATCTTCCTCAGTTAGCGCATACAAATGCAGAAGTGCCATACTATCTACTAGCACCTCGCAACCAGTCATATGTGCGTATGACCTTCGCGAACGGAGCACGTTGGACTGAGACAGACATGATCAACAACCTCGCGAGTAACTACATGCATATACCAAATAACGGCCATTACTCAAACGGATCCGGTCAAGGTGGTCGGGTCAGGATCCTGATCGATGCAGGTGCGCAAGTGCTTGAGCACTCGAATAAAGACTTCGCCAAAGCTTGGCTAGATGCGGACCATGAAGCTGCAGCGGCTGTGTACTTCGACAACGATCATCGAGTATGGGTGTTGTACCGTACGGGTAGACGTATACCACTAGTAGCATCTCCATTTGTTGACGATCTGGATCGATGTGTCGTATACTTAGACGAGAGTCATTGTAGAGGAACTGACATCAAGTTCCCACCAAACGCGAAGGCCGCCTTGACTCTTGGACAGCATCTGACGAAGGATACCCTGGTACAAGCCGCCATGCGATTACGACTTCTTGGCCAGACCCAATCGGTCACCTTTTTCTCGCCCGTTGAGGTTCACCAGGGTATACTGGATCGATTACCCAAGGGGACTAGAGTCCACCACCAGCCAACATCAGGTGACGTGCTTCGCTGGGTGTTCGGTCAGACTTGTGAGACTATGGAACAGCTAGAACCGTCTTATTTCGCTCAAACCTTGCAGTACTTGCAGCAAGAGCAAGCCCGATCAGAGCATCCCGAGTATCTGCAGGACTTGCCATCACGAGAAGCTTTCCTCGCCACTGTTCGCATCAAAGAAGCTCTTTCTTTGAAACAGCTCTATGAGCCAAGGGGCGAGCTCCATCGGCGTGCTGTTGCTAACACAGCCATCATCTCATGGAAACCTGCACTACACAGCATCTACACTGAACTTGTGAATCGCAAGAAACGTTTCCAGGACCGAGGTTCTGCTGTCCATGCATCAGCACTAGAAGAGGTGGAAATTGAGCAAGAGCGCGAGGCCGAGCGTGAGGTGGAGATCGAAGTTGAAAACGTTCGCGAAGTTCAACAAGCACTGCTGTTCAAAGCCCACAAGGTCAAAACGCTGCACGAAGACATCAAGCATTTCGCAGCGTTTGGACGTCTCGTTCCAGGAAGCGATGCTTACCAGCCGATGTTTTCGGTGCTAGGACAAACGACTTCGCTGGGCCGCAAGCATACGGTGAACTCATCGATGAAGTCAGGCTTGCGGATCTCAGCTGAGTATTCTCGCACGATCGAAGTCTACGAGCCCAACGACAACTACGTCCGTTCTTCTCATTGGCTTCTTTGGAGTACAATCGGTCAACAAGCGCTGCTCGTCAGCCCAGAAGAAGCCGATCAGCTCATACCGGCCATGCAAGAGCAGCAGCAAACATCGTTGAATGATGGAAGCGTTCACCTCATCATCTACGCTGCCCCTGTCACCCGAAGGATGCTCCATTTCAACCAGCTAGACTATTACGCGATACCGGCTTTACCCACAGACTTCAAGGCACCTGTCTGGCTTCGTGTCGAGATGGGCCTCTTCGCTGGGCGGCTCTACCTGGAATGGGACGAGTACTATCAACTGCTTGAATACCTTGGTCTTGATGAGAACCTATCTCAGCATCGCGAGAAGAATACATTCGCAAAGAAGCCTCTCACCTTCGGTACGTATGTCGACATGTAGCAGGCAATGATACACTAACATAGGCATAGTACACGAGTGGCTTGCCCTTCGCCGCAAAGGTCAGGACTTCGAGCACACTCCCATGGGCTTTGTTACTACTGGTAAGCCGCTTACGGAGAATCATCCATTCTTCCGCAAACTCGCACACGGAGATGATCCTGCTCTACGTCAGCATGTTGCCCGTGCCGCACCCGGCCAGCTCGATTCTATGGAAGAGGAGGAGGACCATGATGATCATGATGATGAGGAGTTTGTTCCCGCTGTTCAGCATGTCGACGACTCGGAGGGCGAGGACGAAGGCTTTGAATCTAGCGATGAGGAGGCATTCGTTGATGCAGAGGATGGAGAGTGAAGTTGTGCGCTCAGCGCGTCAATTGGCACATGTATAATAGCACAATAGCGACAAGTAAAGACTCATATGCGTTTCGCGGTGGGCTCAAGGTACCGACTTCTCTTGTGCATGATACGATAGGTGGCAATCAGAGGTCTGTGGAATTCAACAGACCCGAGGCTAATGTGTTGTGATCTGCCGAACCAGTCGACTGGTAGGTAATAAATATTGTTATATCCATATACTATGGTACAATCGAAGGGTATCTCCGCACTTGGGGTAAGGGTACATAAGCTGCACGTCCTGTACTCAGCACCCCCTTCACCTCTTGCTCTTCGGGACCGCATTTCTTCTTTGGTGGCAGTGTGACACTGCCCCTTCATTCCGGCTATGCGGCTCTGCTAAGCCACACCTTATCGCGCCAAGCATGCCCAAGACATGTAGTGCGTGTCGAACTCGGGTCCAGCGAGGGAACTGCGCTAGTGGTGCCTCATACGGTTTCGGTCGAGTGGACGCGGGTGTACATGGGGAAGCGCGAGGTCTTCCACACGGCGAACTTCCTCACTGCGAAACTGCACGGTATAAGTCTACATTGTTTCACGATGGCAAGCCCGGAAGTTTTAACGCCACTCCGTCTATCGCGCTTCTACGGAACCACTGTATGGAAATGGACTTACTATATGACGAACAGCACAAAGATGAGAACGAAGATGTTGGCGACAGGATGAGAGATGGTCTGGTGTAGCATGCTCTTCGCGCCAGACGTGCGGTCGCCGCTCTCAGCTTTCTTGGCGAGATCAATGACCCATTGCGCTGCCTCATCACCGAACAGGTCGAAGTAGTTCAGGTGTTTTGACATGTCTTTGTTCTCGCTGTGGGGTGCACAAATCGGGTCGCCGGGCTGGCAGTATTCGCGGAGCTTGCCGGCGTCAGCATAGGGCTGGAGTCCTGCATTCTGCTCGGCTGTTCGTGGTGCGCCGCCGTTTGAGATCTCGCCGCCGCCGTGAGTGAAGGTTTGGTTTGCGGAACGTCGTGTAGGGCCGAATACGACTGCTGCTGCGACTGTGAAGATGTCAGTATGCAATTCAATTTCGATCTCATAGCTGGAACATACCCTTGGAGCCAGGCGCACTTGTAATGTTCATAGCCGGGTTTTCTTCTTGCGTGCAGCCCCATAGCGGACCACCTCCGCCACCAAGCACATCAAGCATGACGCTTCCACCCTGGCTGAAGCCCATCACGATCAAGTGGCTGTCTGGGCAGCGGGCAGTGTAGTTCCTCATCTGCTCGGCGCCGTTCATGGCACCCTCATGCGAGGATATGCACCATCGCTCTCCACCGTTCATGGCCCAATACTGCACGTCCTCATATCCGCAAGCCTTGGGGTTTTCCTTCGTATTGAGGGCATTGCACACTTTGCCGACAGTCTCGATGACGTGACCTGGGTAAGGCGAGGTAGAGCCGCGGGCGAGGAAGTGATGGTAGGTCTGACATTCATCGGTCTTGAGGGCTTCGAATTGGGGACAGTCTTCGAGCTTGGTGCACACAGCGAATGCGGTGGAGGCGTAGAGAAGCGCCGAGAGCGCTATCCGGGGTATCATGGCGGATGTGGAGAAACGAGAAGGCAAGAGCGAGGGACGAAAGAAAGAGCGACTCGTTAAGGACGGGTGGAGCGGTAGGTGTCTCGAGGACGGGTTACTAAGAAAACAGGGAAATCGGCAGCTTGTTCGCTCGAACAGACGACAAGGGAAAAGACGACGACTGAAGGTGAGAAAACAGAGGCGTCACATTGAAGATGGGGTGGACCAGGCTACCGATCTCCCGTTTCACCTCCTGGCATTCCTGGGGAAAGGCATGCGCGTACCAGAAGACGCCAAGAAGGCTGTCGACATGCTTGACGCTCCTGCGCGGCCCTGAATGGTTTGAGAATGGTGATGATAGTCGTAAGCCAAGCTTTTTGGCGCCTTCCCGCCCGGAAAGAACGGCTGGTAGTGCACCCGTGCGCCTGTCAGCCCGCCTCACAGCCACACCAGCGCCGCATCTTGAGGGACGCTGCCGAGCGCGCAATACGAGCGGACGAGGCGCAACACTATGACGATGAAGAAACAAAAGACGTGTTTTATGAGGCGACCCGAACCGCTCCAAATGCAGGATTCTCGCGGCAAAGGTGGGCCAGGTGGGAATTGCAAAGGATGCACGAGAAAATGAAGTCGCATGACTCAGCTTGACGCGTAACCAGAAATGCGTGTCCACTCAGTAAGGGGCCTCTCATCAACCCTTCCCTCCGCCCACGCAACCTTCAACCGAGAATACCCTCGACGGCATCCCACAATGATCACAATCTCTTCTCGTTTGACCTACTCGCTCGAGAGATTGCGGGAAAATACTCGGCATTCTGCTCGATATTCTGACACTGATCTGACAGCTTTCCATGCCAACACGGCCATCCAAGAGCAACACTTTCGTCATCCAGAGCGACATGCCAGCAGTAGAACACTGCGCGATTCCTATGCGACTTCCCACGCGACCCCACAGATACGGCCACTTGGTACCTTGCAGCGGAAATGGAGTGATGATTGATGTGTCGCGACCCACGCGAACTGTCCTGGCTGCCCTCTCGTTCGATTGCAATCCAACGCCGACGGCTACCTTATGCGACTCCTTCTCGGCTCCTGCGGCGTTGTACCTTGCAATAGCGACATCGATGCAGAGGAAATGCTTCCTTGTTCAAGTCTCGCGATCCCATCCGCGCTGTCTGGCTCGGTCTGGAGTTGATTCTCGACCTGCCTGGGAAACTATCAAAACGTATCGCAAACATCTGGCCTCGAGGTTTGTCGCGCGACACCGGGCTTGGCCATCCCAACTCCTCCACCATGCCAACCGTCCGTGCGTCTAGGCTTCCCAATGCCTCACTTTCACTGGATGTAACATGGTGAAATTGAGCATGTCGGCCGACGTTTTACCGCGCGAAATTTTTGCATTCACTGCCAATGCGACCCAGCGTAACCTTGTTCCGGGTGTCGTCTTCCCATCTCCTGGAGGAATTGGCGCAGAGCACTGATTCAACGTCTGTACATCGTCTGAATATTCCGAGAGCTGCTGGCATTGAAAGAACGCTCGCACCACTCGCCTTTTGAGACTGACATACATCGCGAGGTGCCCAGACCTTATGACGATGGTGGCCAAGCTGCCGGATGTCACACCGGCCTTCTTCGGCACGGGTCTCGCATCATCCAATGCGGCTCTCACTAGCGCGTTTGCTCCCGACGTGGATGGACATCAGACGTCACCACGACCCTTCTCCGCATGCGATACAGCTTTTGATAGGAACGGGAGTGTGGGAAGGCTGCGCATCGTCCGGAAGGACCCAGAGTGCCGCACTTGCGCGTTTCGCGAAACACCAAGTCGGTCCCTTTACTAACAGCTTCATCTATACGGCATCTGGGGAGGCCCACATGCCTGAAGTGGATAAAAGAGCCATTCGGCCTCCACGCTTCCAAGAGACCCTGTCCCCGGGTGCCACCAGCTATTGGGTGCACAGTCCCCGTTAGAGTTCGGACGCATTTCTCACCACGCTATCAACAGCTACTGTTCTTGGTCCGAGTGCGATGTGCGGTAGTACGTAATTCTCCATGTCCTTGGATTCCTCCACACTGCGCTGTGACGGTTTCATCTCTTTACCCATCCATCTCTTTATCTGCTCAGCTTAGCCTCCATCAAATCGTCTCCATCAATAACTTAGTCTCTTGACTATTTCCTCGTCATCCCTTCCAATCCTCCCACTTTCACCACATACAACACGAAAACGATATATGCAGGCGTAAGTGCTTGACCTCCTAACCATGGACCACAAAGATCTCGCTTCTGCCCACGGCGACGTTCCTATGCAACATACAAATGAACTCGACGACAAGCCCAATGCTCTCAATGCCCTACCTGTATCTGCCCAGCGACCTACTATTGCCCTTGCAGCAGACCCAACCTACGATCCGCAAGACCCTCTGCGACAGAAGAAGCACGGAGACCCTGAAAAACTCGAAACCTACTCCGAAAACGATACAAACCTAGGCGACGTCACCGACATCCAGAATGCAAGCAAACGACCCACAAGCAGTAGCGACGCGAAGAAACTCAACACCACACAAACTGTTATCATCTTCGTAACGAATGAGGTTGGGATTGGCATTTTGTCGTTGCCAGCCGCTCTCAACACTCTCGGGTTCTTCCCAGGCATCATCACCATCATTGGCATGGGAATGCTTAGCTTGTACACCGCCTACAATCTCATCCAGTACTGGCGCAAGTACCCCTACATGCTCAACATTGTCGACTACGGACGCGTCCTCGGTGGTCCCTGGCTTGAACTCGTCTTTGCCATTGGCTTTTTGATCAACATGGCCCTCATCAGCGCATCCGCGGTCGTCACCATCTCCATCGGTCTCAACACGGTAAGCGACCACGCGACCTGCACGGTCGCCTTCACAGTCGTCGCGGCCATCGCCATGTGGGCTATGTGCGTACCCCATAGCATGCGCTTCGTGTCATGGGCATCGTGGCCCTGCACCATCTCGATCTTTGCGGCTGTAATGTTCGTTATGATTGTCCTTGGTGTCCAAGGCCCCCGGAACGCGGGAGCACCACTTAACCTGAAGGCCATCGGAAGCCCCACTTTCACGGAAGCTGTTGCTGCGTTCTTGAACATCGCCTTTGCTTTCAGCGGGAACCAGGCTTTCCCTACTGTCATCGCTGAGATGGAAAACCCTTCTCGCGACTACCCACGCGCTGTCACGATTGAGAAGTGTGTCTCTACTTCCATCTACTGCATTGTCGCCGCAGTCGTCTACGCACTTTCCGGCGAGTCCGTCGCCTCGCCCGCGCTCGGATCTCTACAGCCTTTGATGGCAAAGATTGCCTACGGACTCATCTTTGTTGGACTTCTTGGAACTGGTTTAGTGTTTGGCATGACCGCCGGACGCTACCTACACGTCTATTTCTTGCGCGTGATTGGTACTCACCAGGCCAAGAAGAATGGTAGCTTCAACGAAGAGGTCTCATCTTCTTCCGGTTCATCACGCGGCCGTCGCGCCTCCGTCGCTATGAGCCACTTGGGCCAGAAAACTGAATGGGCTGTCTGGATCTTCTCTGTGACCTTGTTCTGGGTCGTCGTCTGGATCCTCGCCAACGCTATTCCAGTATTCAGCTCCCTTCTTAACATCTCTGCTGCGCTTTTGCTATCGTGGTTCACCTGGGGTGTTACCGTACTGTTCTGGTTCCACCTCAACTGGAACGGCAAGTGGCGCTCGAGCAAGAAGAAGATTGCGATGGCCGCATTCAACGTCTTCATCATGTGTGTTACCCTTTTCATGGTGGTTCCAGGCATGTATGCCAGTATCGACGCGTTGCTGAACGTGTTTGCCACTACGGATGTCAATGGCGCCTTTACGTGCGCAGACAACAGCATTCTGTAAATGCTATGTGCAACAAGATAAACGAATAAATTTTCCATTTCTACCGACTACAAGGTAGCCTACTTCAAATACTCCTTTCTTGTTGTGTTAACTTGCTCACTACACCGTTCAATTTACTTCGACTCATACGATATACATGATGCAACCCAATAGTTTCGAAGAAAACTGAGTGTTGCACCTCAAGAGACGTTGGCGTCGGCGCCGAACGCACACGCCATGCTTGAGGTTTCCACGATTAGCTCCCGGCTACCACCGAAAAACGGCCGCGACTACCGAGCCACAATCTCTAAACACATCTCTAGGTCCCTGCATATACGTCCATACTACGACGGACATGTTTTTTGTACAGTTCGGACATGAATTTGACATGTCCGCGTCGTGAGTACCGACATGAAAAACGTGGTGAAATGATTACATCACTTCTACATCATCTCGACATCCACCCCAAAACGTCACGCAGTTTTGCCCCCTGTATCTCAGGGTCTAGTCTATCTATTCCCGGACTTGTGCCACCCATGCAGGAACAACGGCTGCGCATAGGCTGTGAATTAATGTAAGTATCATTGCCGCATCATACAAGGTGCTCTGCTATAATGCCGACGACTTGCCGTCGCGTCGATCTGGCTGCCGCGCGAGTATAACACCACGCTGGAGGCAGCAAAGCATCAAAGTCATATTCAACCTCTGATTTCTACTTCATTCTCTTCTTCAGTCACGTTCATCCGTAAAGATGCAGCACGTTCTACAAGCCGGTCTAAGCTCAGGGATGTCAGCCGTGACTGGCATTCACAGCGGCAAGCACACCAAACCCAACGCAGTGGACCCTTCATTTGATGGACTTGCCGCCGTAATGTCAGAGGACTGGGTCCCAACTGCTGACACCAAGGTTGTATACAAGGGCAAGAACGGTAATGTCCATGCACCGCCACTATGCATCGGCGCATGGTCGTGGGGTGACACCTCTACCTGGCACTGGAAGCCTGAGGAAGAGCCCCATGTAGCTGCAGCCTGGAAGCACTGCCTCAGCAAAGGCGTCAATTTCATCGACACTGCCCAAGTCTATGGTACAGGAATGAGCGAAACCATCTGTGGGAGACTAGTCCGGGGCCTTCCCAGAGACAGCTTCGTCATGCAAGACAAATTCTTCGTCGTACCACAAGCAAAAGATGTCCTTCACCCTACAATGGCACCACTGAAGAAGCTCGAAACCTCACTTAAGAACTTTGGCCTTGATTACATCGACATCTACCTTGTCCATGGACCCATCCATCTCCAGACCATCTCCATGATCGCCAAAGGTATGGCAGAATGCGTAGAAAAGGGCATGACCAAGACCGTTGGCGTAGCAAACTACAGCCTCGCAGACATGATCAAGATGTCAGACGAACTAGCCAAGTATGGCGTTCCACTTGCCATCAATCAAGTCGAATTCTCTGTCCTCCGCCGAGAACCGGAACTCTCTGGTCTTCTCAAGGCTTGCAAAGAACGCGGTATCGTCCTGCAGTCATACTCGTCGCTTGCCCAAGGTCGCCTTACAGGTAAATACACGGTAGACAACCCGCCGCCAAAGACATATCGCTTCTCTAGCTATGATATGAAGGATATCGAGCCTGTCAATGCTTTGCTGAAAAAGATTGCCGAAAAGCGCGGCGTGCCACTGAGTGCTGTGGCGCTGAACTACAATATGTGTAAGGGAATCACACCTGTTGTCGGTGTGAGGAAGGAGGAACAGGCGGTCAGCAATTGTGCGGCGTTAGGATGGAGGCTCAGTAACGAGGAAATTAGGGAGATTGATGGGGTTAGCTTCCAAGGTCATACTACGGCTTTGTGGCAGCAGGGTTAATCTGGTAAACTGTGAAGAAATTCAATAAGAGATATTGTGTAGTATCAATTTAGTGATACCCCTTATCCGGAATTCATTCAATTTACTGCCTTGTGTACGGAGTCGATCACTAAGTGCGGTCGCACGTCGTCATCTGCACTTGTGTGAACTGCCTCGTATCGTGGAGATTGGATGCTTTGAAAGACCAAATAGATCGTGGGTGTAGAGTTTTCGTTTGTAGAAGCTTGAATGTCCCTCAGGTCCTGCTAATCCGCGCTAGTCTGCGATTGCAGCTACACCTGTACGTTTGCTTACTGACCTAACAGCTATTCTTCTTGACTCCGAAATTGGCAGGCAATGACCCATCTTCACTACTTGGCTGGAACATATCTGTTCATGTCATCGAATTTGCTTATCCACCTTAGCATCAAATATATTGGAAGATTGCGAGGAAAAAAAGACGACGTCAAGGCAGTGGAACACTGTATTCAGTCCGCAATCGTGGTCTCGGTACTGACCAATCGTGAGTAGTGGAGAAGTTTGTCTAGTGGTGGCCACCCCACGAAGAAGTGTCAGAGCCTCAGGTAATCTTGAACATGTTCATTCTCATCCTTTTCCTTTTCGTGTATTGTTGATGTCTCTCTGTGATCGGCAGTTTCCGTCCCGCACCCAATATCACCTGCCTCAAACACCTGATGTATTTAGAAAAGCACATTTTTGCGATCCCTGACTACTCACCTGACTCTTCATCTGCATTAACTTTCGCATTCGCTACCAGCAGCCGGCGTCCCAATCAGGAGATAAGGCGTTTACTTCTCCACTGCCTATCCGCCACCACCGTTGTCGTAAATTGTCCAGCGATCAATGGATCTTTTTCACACACTTACACTTCCGACAACCAATGAAAGTATCATGACTTCCCTCGCACTCTGCCTCGCCGTTTCAAGGCGTGCTGCTTACACGGTTTATTGGGGTCTGTGCTTGGTGATCTTTCGACACGTACGCGATAGGTGCCATACACTATCTATTAGTGTGTGTCGGCAGGTGGACATACTGACTTAGTCAATGTTGCTACTAGGTACTACGGACGTAGTATGATGAGATGTTCCTAAAGGTTTCAGGAGCTAACTAGTTACGGAAGGTAACTAGGTGCGCTTCACTACCCTGAAAATTATCTGGTAACAACGGATCGTCAGAACAACACGTAACTACTGCAGGGTAGCCTATAACTAGACTCCAGTGGAAACGACAGGCCGTGATAGTTGTCCTCGGAAGATGTACGAAGTACCTAGGTAGAATTCAGATGTGCAACTTGCAGCTTAAATGTCCCTAATTACGCACTAAATCACCGACCTTACTGCCCCCAGCGTCATCTACTTCGGCAGGTCGCAATGCTAAGCACTCGGCTAGTTGCTTAGTCCTGGACAAGAATGCTTAATACACTATGTCCGCTTCTTGTTGCGCTTCCGAGATAGATCGAGAACCTGTTCTCAACATGACGGACAACACAAACATCTTCAGTGTCTACTCGCTTTTGCAAAAGCCAAATCCCACAGCAAACATCTCGCGGCGGTGACGGCATACACAAAATAAGCCTTTGCTCAAGCTTGACAGCTCCATCTTTCGGCGACGTTAATGCAAGGCCCGCGACGCTAATGTAAGGCCCACGGCGTGGCGCTTGCCCTCACGGCTCCACGGCTCCACGGTTCCACGGTTCCACGGCTCCGTCCCGTCGCTCTCTTACCGCATACAATGCTAGTGCATTCCTTCATGAGTCCACTGCTATGTACTCTTCTCCATCTTTTTTCTGTGTTCCAGCCAATGACCGTTGCCATAAGGATCAGGCCTCCAGAAGACCCAAAGGCACATTCTCCGTACTCGTACTGTGTTTCTACGTCACTAAGAGAAGAATTAACATATAAAGGCAGCTTCTGTTCTGCTTCCTTCTTGTCTCACATCTGAACACACACGATCTCTCTTTACAAGAACTCCTACGAGAACAAGAATATACCTTCGAACGAATCTCGATTCCGAACACAATGCAGTTCAAAGCTCTAGCCATCATTGCCTTCATGGCCCTCACCGGCTCTGCCCAGAAGTGTGAAAAGGGCAACAACCACAACGCTGGAACGAGCTGCCACGGCGCGACCGGAAACCTAGCATGCAGCCACAACTTGAAGCACGTAGTAAGTACTTTGGCGACCGCTTCCAATCACGAGACCTCATCTGCTGTCAAGACTGAACTAACACCGTTCTAGCTTCGATGCGGTGAGGATGGCAACTGGGCTAGGACCGAGGACTGTAAGTTATGATCATAAAAGGATGACCTCTGGTGCATTTATTAACGTTTTGCCTGCAGGCGGTGGACTTTGCCTCAGTGGTTCGTGCCACTGTGGTTAAAGGTGATGATCTCTGTCATATTAGGAGATGTTTGATGATCTAAACATATGCGATCCGGTTGAGATGAAGCAAAGGGGGGAAAGGAGTGGTCGGGATTTACTTGAAGTGCTATGCATATAGCTAGAACAAAGAAATGTGAGGGCACCGCTCATCAATCGTTTGGATATGAGGATATGATGTTGTGACTATAAGTGCAAAGTGAGCTGTGATAGATATGATAGCTTGCATTTGCCTTAGCGCATTGTAGCTCGTGGAGGTGACACTGTATACGATGAGCGTCTAATGGCAAGAATGATCTGGTTTGATTATGTGCTAATATCGCGGCCAGCATCTGCTAGACTGAAGCCAGTAATAACCAACAAGTACTGTTCTATTGTAATATGAACTTTGTTATTATTAGAGGGTCTGATAATCTTGGAAGTCCTTCGAGGCAGACTTCCGTCAGTGTGCTCTAACAATGCTCCCCAAGCTGAGTTGATGTCTTAGGTTAATCGCGGACATTACTAGGGCTGCATATATCTACTATGAGGCCAAGTACGAAGTTGTGTCGACTCTTGGATGTATCAAAAACACTCAAGGCGTGTGGCGTATCTATCGACTGAGGAACGGTTAGCGTCTTAGCCTGAGTAGGCATACAGAGCTGAAACCTAAAAAGCAATCCATTGTCTCCGGGAACAGCAGTATCATTACCCCGGACAGTCGGGTTAGGGTCGATAACCAATACCGCTAAGCATACTCGTCCTTTGCCCTATCTTGACTTAAGCCACGTCAGAATAGGCGCCTTTGCCCCTGACCTCAACACCTAGGACTGGATACTGCCCATGCAGAGACATCATATCTGTTACCCATAAGGCACCAAGACACCAGCAGACGATTCCAGATCCGAGGTTGCCTGTCGGAGAGCGAGAAGTCTGTATTGCATACAAAGACAGCTGACCATGAGTCTTTTGATTGGCGCAGCATTTCCAACGAATGAACCCTAAGTACCTGTGGATGGCTGTGCGCCATCTATAAACACTCGAGTCTTGTCTGTCGTTATCAATTTTGCGTCAAAGACCTCACTTTGATTTGGGAGCTGCATCGTACCCGAGTAATTTACAAGTTGGGGGCGGAGGATACTGGGGCACGTATTATACTACGTACTCTTGATATAAAATTGCGCTGCGGCAGCTGTAGCACCCTACGAAAGACAGTGTTTGTGTTCGTCTAAGTAGTTACTGGAGCTCCTGCAAACAGATGGCGGTGCCGCTGATATAACCACAGAAGCATATCGACAAAGTCCTTATGAATAGCAACCAATCGCAGACGCATCGCGAAGGATCAATTCGCTTGCTTGGTCGTTCTGAAGACGATGAACGGGAAAGTCGAACGCACGAGTCACGAAAAGAAGGAAGGACTAGGAGGTGGGTTAAGTTTACACTGAACCGTTCATTGCTCATCCTCATTTCAATATTTTCAACTACTAGGTCGTTGTGCCGTGCTTGGTATGTGCTTGTTGATCGCGTATCCGTCATTTGGATTTTTGTGCGATGCACCCGTGTGGTTTATGAGAGGTTCATGAAATTCTCTTGCCTGACAGGTCCTCATCGTGAACCGTGATCTATCATGACGTCGTGAGTAAGATCTTTCCGCAACCCCAGCGGGGTTAGACTGCGATATCTGGGCAAGCTCGCACGTGCTTAGACGGCCTTGCGTCGAACTAGGAAAGGAGAACTGGAGAGTTCCGCTACGAGTAGTCAGTTGACCGATGCTTTTCTTCGGTGAATTTGTTAGCCTTGTTAGCATCTTATCCGAGATGAAACGGTGGGTGAGCGGGAGCAGGCTTGTAAATAGGAGTGCCTCGCAACCTTGATGAGATTGTAAGGAACGAGCAGACGCAGCATCTGCGCGCGCCGTTCCGCGGACTACCGGCAGGGCGAGAAAATGCGGGCATGATGCCAGCTGATGGAGTCGTGAAAGTGCCGCAGCACGTGTAGATAAGATAGTCAAGGTCAGAAGTGGAGATATCGGCGCCGATCAGGGGTAAAGCACGTACCTCACCCCGGTCATCCCGCTATGATAGCAATCTTACACACCACTTCATTCGCCCAATACGTTTCATCGATCATGGAAAAGGCTTAGCCCTCATTTTCACTAGATGCCGCAATCCTGGCCGGAGGAACATAATAGCTAGGAGACACCCCAAGGTAGATTGTGCCGGTTTACCTACTTTTGTACTACCTGCCCACGGTACTAGTCCTAACATCCACGCACCTTACGTGGTGGTGTGGGAGAGTAACCATGTCGTTTTTGGGCGACCTCTTCAGTTGTGGTCGGGCGAGACGGACGCGCGAGACGTTGACGGAGCCGCTTGAAACAAACGACGCGACGCCCGAGCCCGTCAACGCGCATGGAACTACTGCAACCACCGACCACCCCACGATTGAGAAGCCGAACAACATCCCTGCGTCCAATGAAGACGGTATCGAGCGCGTCGCAGGTCAAGTGCGAGCGGATGCACAGCCTGATGTCGAGAAACGTGGTAGCGGATTAACCAAGGATGGTGATATAGAGCTGGCAGTCATCCCCGAAAAGTCGAAGCCAACTACGGGATGGATGGTCGAGCAAAGGGTCCTTGTCACAGCTACGCCCGCCATCAAGCAGGACACGTCTGTGCCAGAGCCAGAGCAGGAGCCCCAAGAAAAGCATGAGCAAGAACACGAGACTCGCGCACCTACCCCACCTGTTCGTTGCGCCACGCCTGAGCAGGAACCATGGAACTCGACTCCGGTTGCGCAAGCAGCAGAGCCTGGAGTTTTCGACATCGCCATCAGTGCTCCTGTTCAGTGCGCGACGCCCGAACCAGAAACTCGTGCGACCACCCCGGATGAAACAGCGGTTCACGAGCAGACCTCTGAGCAGGCTATCACGCTCGTACAAGATGAGACCTTGGAACCCGCCCTCGCTGAGCCGGTCTCGTCCACCGTTGAACTCGATGATGCTGTTGAGCATGTTCCGACACCGAAGAAGTCTGCGCCAGTCCAGCTGCTTGACTTGCCACCAGGTATGTCAGACCATAGCCGCCTTCCCCATACATGCACTAACAAAACACAGAGATAAGGAACCGCATCTATGAGCGCATGAGCGAGGAGGTGCCCATCAGGATGTGTCGACACGACGACCCGGCGCTGGCTCAACGCGAAGGCGAACTCGCGCGCTCTCCGCGTAGACAGTACTACAACCTCACTCAGGTATGCCAACAGATTCGCAATGAGTTTCTGCCGATATACGCGAAGAAGGCGCACTACATCATCGACCTTTGGAGCCAAAAGTCGAATCTCGTCAAAGTGGATTCTCTCAAGGGCCAAGTTTCCTTGGACATCGATGCGGCGTGCTTCGATATGGAGCCCATCGACTTGTTGCCGCTTATCAGATGCCTCGTCCGCACACGCCGAACCGACTGTCGTTTCACGTCTACCGAGGGTGTAGTCTTCCGCAGTATCTCCGAGATCGTTGCCGAACTTAACAAGCTTCTCCCGAATCCCGAGAACAGCAACCAAAGCTGGCTGACCGCGGTCAACGGACCAATGAAGAGGATTGATTTGCATCTATTCCCTCACGACGACATCCGACAATACTATCGATTCCGAGGTGCTGAGCCTCTGCTGCGTGTAGTCTACCCATCGGCCGTGAGTGAGGAGTGGATGAAGCGGGCTTCCAAGTCGGAGGGATATGAAGCCTACTTACAGAAGACCGGATTGGACAAGTTTGAGATGCACGTTGTTGTCGGCCACGCCTCTCGACGGACTACGAACGAAGGCCGCCTGCCGCTTGATTGGCGCATGAGCTACCAGCTCTCGAGGCACTCAATCGACCGCGCCCCTCGCATGTCCATGGATATTGCAGCCGCTCGCATGTCTATTGACAGAGCCCCGCGGATGTCATGATGATAACTTGATAATGTTTTGATTGAGAGCGTACCTAGCTGCTAGTGCTTACGTTTTTGCACTTTTGCGTGTGAATTGTCTGCCATGTCAGGTATGGCTTTTTATGATTTCCACGAGTCGCAGGGCCCGTTTTCTTGTAATGTATTTATGGGAAGGCAATGTACCTGAAGATGCACGTTGTAAAAGTGCGTTAGGCATCCCTTGGCGAATGACGCTGATCCGCAGCTGTTATGGGCGGCCTCATTGGATTGTCCCTATTTATGTTCCTCCGTATACCCAGAAATCAACTTAGTGTATTTTCGTCGTTTCAATTATTGTATCATGAGTGAGAAAAAACCAGAAGAAGAGCAGTCTGCAGCTCCAAGATGTACGCCCAGCTACGACACCAGTGATCCACTCCAGCAAGAGGTCACCCGCGTACTCAAAGGTTTCAAGAATGACATTCTCGGCATCACATTCCTAGGCAACGATGGCGTCTTGCGCTCACTGACTGCAGATCGAAAAGTGCTATCTGCAGAAGGCCTCAGTAAGCCTCTCTTGTACGAGAACGGCCAGTGTTAATCCAGTCGGACAGGCGCTGAACTCATCGAGGCTTTTTTGGCTCGCTTCCCAGAAGAATACAAGGCCAAGATGACGGATGCTGTGTTTGCGGATGGCACCAAGACACCGAAGGAGAAGTGGTACGAGCCAGACCCAGGGAGCCTGCCGGAGCCGTTATCGCAGGAGGAGATCGAAAAGGTCAAAAACCAACCCGAAGAGCGGAAGAATATACTGCGAAAACGGTTGCAAGAGGACAGGAAGTGAGTTGTGATGGCCTGTTATGATATGGCTACTAACAATGCAAAGCCTCTTAGATTTGACTGGGGTGCTTGCTTGATTGTTCAATTACAGACGTCTGGCGAGCTGTCATGCGACGATGCGCCATGCGAGACGAGTGAGCCTACCAATAACGGGAATGATGGAAGATGGATGAGTTGTTTCAATCACCCAAAGGATATAGTCGCGTTCCGAAGTGTGTAATGTGTGACATCATCCACCCCGCATGTTAGCGAAGACGAATAGGCATTTCAAACCTCAATACCTTGTGCCAAACCGCCCCCATGTATCATGCGCGTCCACGTCAAGAGTGGCTCACAACTTCGTAGCAGACCAGCTTTCGCCTAATATTCACTACGACAAGCACCGTCTAGAGAACTCAGTAATACGTAGCTACATTGCCGTAAGATCCAACTAGCCAGATATCTTCGTAGATCAGATCTCAGCAACGTTGATACTATCTCGTCATCTGTCATACTGGTTCGGGTATAGCAATCATTAGCCACGGACTCATCTCCGCCTGTAACTAGTGATCAGCAATATGATTAGAAAACGGTAGGGTCGACAGAGCTTCAACGGTGCGTACGCCATGTAATCATCGGGGCATTTCCTTATTAACACTACACGAAATCATCAAGCCGGTCCCACTTTACTGCTTGGGGACTCGTACAGACTCTGATTATTACTCCGGAGCCACATGGCGCATCGCCGCATGCTGAATGATTACTGTGCTTGATAATTACATTGCAGTGGGCACAGACTTCACCATGGTGAGCTGCCATTCTGCCGACTTCATATCTCTTGGTCTTCCTCATTCCGCCATTCTATTGACAGGTCTGACATACCAGTGCAAATCCTAAATGTCTCGCAGAGCTTGCGCGATGGCACAAGCTATACTGAAAGACAAATCGAAGCATGACGGCATGAGAGCAGATTGCAAGATGTCCTGGTGACCTCGGAATCTACTTCCAGGTCTAAATAAAAGCTTTGAGCACCCTTATCATGGTTGAAAACTCATGAATCGTGTTGAACGCCGAGAACGCTTTAGAATAGCGCTAACTTGCGACTGGGTATCTGCTCTTGGCCCGAATCGCGGGTCCATATTTGAAGAACAAGAATGGAATGGGTACCATTCCTAGGGAGAGAAAACCGAGCAGCGAAGTCGCCCAACCGATACCGAGAGCGTCATACACTGGTACAAATGTCAGCTTGTGTAATATTGTTATGGTTGCGAGCCTGTCACAGGCGCACATCATGACATACTTTGTACAGTGAAAAGTGGAAAGACAGCCCCAAGTATGTATCTGACTATCCCGTTGGCCGCTATAGCCGATGCACCGTTCATCGCGCCATATACATCCGAAAGATACAGTGCAGAGGATGTCTATAAGAAAACGCTTGTCAGTGCCAACGTATCGCATGTTCAAGTTACGATACGACTTACGAAAACACAGAGATTACCCCATGCGAACGGTATAACCCCAATTATAGTGGGAGCCCAGTGAACGCCCTGATCAGCGGACCAGCCGAACCAGAACAAGCCAATGACCATGCCCCAGGCACCACCCATTGCGCTATACAAGCGATGCTCGGGGTCCACATGTGACTTGCCATTCGAAACTGTCTCTCGATATTTTTTCTGGTAGAGTGTGCGATCGACGATAATGGTAGTTATGCCTCCAAGAATGACGCCAATCAAGATGGGTATAAACACGAGACCAGACTGAGAGGGCGTGAAAGAGTACGGCGGCCTTGTGAAGACGTAGGGGAAAGCTGCGAAGAACAGGAACAGCACTGCAAAGGCAAAACCTGTATAAAGCGAGAAGAAGAATACCACTGGCTACGCAAGATTAGCTGAAGGCCAATTGGGACTGACCAGGCACTGGCAGACATACCTCCGTTGAAATCAGATGGAGAGGCCGAATAAACCTCATCACTATCTCGCTCGTCAGATCTGCAGTCTCCTGTTTTGTGACAATTCCCTGCTTCTTTGCTCGCTTCTTCAAAATCATCGGCTTGTACGTTTCACTCATTGGTAGAGCGGTAACATACACAAACAAAGCAAGGAAGAGGATGCACCATTGGGTCCACTTCCAAGTTTTGTACTGCGCAACGAACCCTCCAACAACAGGTCTGTCACTATCATTAGAATCGTAAATCTCATAGACTACAGGCTTCACCTACCCAATTGAAGGTCCAGCAAAGGGAGCCATCAAGAACAAGCTTGTAGTTAGGGCGCGCTTATGTGGTGGATATAGATCTGCGTTCGTCCCCGCACCGACGGCAAGCCCTGGACTACCCGCTAGGCCTGCGAAGAACCGACATATGATTAGGCTCGCATAGCTTTTTGAAAAGCCTGCACCGAGTGTAAAGAGCATAAAAATAGGAAAGAAGAATAAATAGACAGGTTTTCGGCCTTGTCTTTCGCTGAAGGGTGCGGTGAAGATTGGACCAAACGCGAGACCGAGCGTATACAATGTGACTCCGACAAGCGCAGCGGTTCGCGATACCTGAAAATCTCGCATCACGTCTGCAATTGCAGGTGAATACACAGACGTGCCGAATGTGCTGAATCATTAGTCTTTCTCAATGGTATATAAAAATCGGCTTAAAACTTACACAGCAAATCCAAAGACGGCTGGGATCGTGGTATGATAAGCTGCTTTCCATATAGACCAGTTGTGAGGGTTGTCGGGGTCATCAGGGCCGTTCCAGTCTAGAGAACTAACAGGCAGTGTGCTCGATTTATCCTTATCCGCTACTCGGTCGCTGGCGCGTTGTTCTTCCGAGATATTCGCAGTCTGGCCTGGAGGCTGATGCTCGAAATTGGAATCATCCTGCTTTTCATCAAGGGCATTCTCTGGATCATGGATAAATGTCCCATGTCCATTTTGGTGGTGACGGGAACTCATGACGAAGAGTCCGGTAGGGAGGTTGAGAGCAATGCAGATTGAATAAGGGCTTGTTGGCACTCCCTCTGATATGTAGTAGGCCAAGAATGCACGTCCAATTGTTTACTAGACTTTGTGATCCCATCGCTGTAGGGAGCCCGCAGTACGGCCGCACGATGAAGCGCCACAGATTCAGCTCTGGCATTTTGAATTACTCACCAGCCGTAGGGGGTATGATAAAAGAGAGGTTTCGACTAAGTTAGATTGGAACGGGCGGCATTGATTGGCTGAGTGCTAGGGATCCGAGGCTCGTTATTGTGTTTACTGATCATGCACTGCAGGTCTGAAGCAGTGGCGTGCTCGTATTGAGTCACATCACGAAGCACGTCAGAACCAGAGTAATATCACGTGTACATACTCGATTCCAGTAATCTCGGGGGGGGGGGAGCTGGTAAATGCGTATGTTTGTTGTGGTGATGAGTAGTAAAGAGAAAGGTTGAGAATCGGAGGAGCGAGATGTTGAAAAGCCACGATGACATCATTAGGTACATCGGGAAGTGCTGCCGAGCAACTTCAAACTTCGAGCTTATTACTGGGCATGTATCGGAAGTGCCCATCATGTTTATCTGTCTCTCTTGCTCTACATCAATTCGGAATAACCTTGTCATAGCCTCCCAGCTGCTGGCGGAAGTATCCTCTCAGTCCAAGACAGTTTTGCTGGCTCTATCACCCAAGCCTACGCAGAAGTTAGGCAACCATGCAACCCTGCTGAATGACTATTGCAAGTATTGCGATAAAGGCTGGAGCGAGGAGGAGCTAGAATGACTGAGAAGAAGCAGGAATGCGGGTAAGTAATAATAGAACGTAATGTATGTATATGTTGCGCCATTGTATTGGCAAAACGTATTGCAACGGAACTAGCGTCTAAGTATGCATGGTGATATAGAATGTGTGCGATGATTGTGTTCTTCCAAAGCTTGGAGCGGACGAGTGAGCGATCAACCGCGCGCGCGCATGTTGCTATCTGACGCATCATCGCTCGGCGCACACTCCATCTTGTTGAGCTCGGTGATTAAATTTCGATGCAACTTCGTTCTTTTAATACCAAAAGACACTAATAGACCCACTGCGCCGACAGTCGTGTAAAAGATCCACATCCCTCTCAGTGCACTCATGAACTCGTGGCGAACCACATGGGCCTGAGATTCAGTAAGCTCAGTGATGATGACGCTGTAAGATATAGCTTCGCCTCCAGTAAATTTCGAGGCGATGTCCTTCGTGACACCACTGTCAACAATCTCCTTGGGATATGCAGCCATGAGAAGCTGGAATACCACTTGGCCTAAGACAAGACCAATCGCACCTGAAATCGCGCGTACAAAGCCAAAAGCTGCGGTACCGGAGGCGATATCTGATTCCCGAATCCGTGTTTGCAGAGCGATGAGTGGTGCACCGAAATTGGGACCAAATCTGGTCTATTCATTAGTAGTTGACGTATGTATAGAGATTGCGTACACGAACCCTAGGCCGATGACAATCAGCACCACAATGATGATTTCGAGATTTGGCGAAGTACCCAGCGAGATAAGCAGGCCGACTCCAAGTGTCATAATAAAGAGTCCCATTTGAAGCGGCTCGAGAAAGCGACCAGTCTTTTCGATGACATGACCAGACACAAATGAAATTATCGCTAACGGTATTGCGATTGCGAGCATGTAAACTCCTGTGATACTTCAGATAGAAGGGTGCAAAGTCAGTATATGTTTCACATTTGGTCTTCGAGAATACCACTTACCCAGAGCTGCGACCAAGGACAACTTGGAAGTATAGAGGTAGGAAGTAAGCCACCGAAGTAAAGACTAGAGTGTCGCATGCACAAACAGCTAACGCGCAGAGGTTGCTGATATCTTTGAATATTCGCAATGGCATGATTGGGCTCCCACCATGTTGAGCTACCCAATGTTGTGAGAAAGGAAAGGCAATGTACGCAATCGGTCCAAGCACCAAGCACGTACGAACTCCCGCATTCGAGTATGATGTAATCCCACCTACTTGGAGACCAACAAGCAGCAGTACAGTAGCAGTGACTATTGTGATAGTACCCAGCCAGTCCATAGCTGCGAGGCCGGCCATGAGAGGTACTCGTGGGTTGTGAACGTGCAATGTAAGGTAGAGAACCACGATTGCGAGCGAGACGATTGGCATGTTGATGTAAAAACACCACGTCCAATGAAGACGTTGTGCAAAGACGCCACCAAGTACCGGTCCGAGAGCGGATGCCAGAGCCCAGATGGCGCCGACGGTACCCATGTAGAATGACCGATCCCGGATCGTGAACAGGTCACTGACGCATACATGTACTAGAACCACGACGCCCCCTCCGCCCAGACCTTGGACCACTCGACCAGAGATGAGCATGGAAGAACTTTTACTGATGGCGCACAAGACGCTCCCGCCAAGGAATACAGCGTTGGCTGCCAGGATGACCGGTTTCCTACCAAATACGTCCGAAAGCCTACCCCAGAAAGGGACGGATGAGGCATTCGCGAGAAGGTAGGAAGATCCCGTCCAGGCGTATACGGAGTCGGAGATGCGAAAAGACCGAGAAATCGTGGGAAGAGCCGTTGGTATGAGTACGGTGTCGAGTGCTACCAGGAATATGGAGAGACAGAGTGCGACGAAAGCCGCCAATACATGATGCGTGGGTCTGATCTGCTCCTTTGACCGTACTTCTCCTCGTGCGTTGCTCCTTGCCCACGAACTCAAGAATTTCATGATAATGTCACGGCTTCTTATAGGTTCCAGCTCTAGCGAAGAGTTGATTTTGTTCGTGTTCGATGTATGTGATGCTTCTGGCCTCTGGCTCTTGGTCGTCGTTCTGACCTCGCTCGATTCAAAGGTAATAATGATACGCGCATATGTAATGACAATAAACAAATAATGGCAGAACATAAACGAGGTAAGCCTTACTTATTGAGTAACTGTGAGCAATCTTGAACAGCCTGAAAAAAATGAGTTGGAAGTTCAATCGAGATATTAATAACTTATCCTAAACCTGCATCGCGACAACGCTTATGCGGTCGTCACTAAAGTCCCGCGGAATCAGCCCGGAAATCAGTTCTCCATAGGCGTGCGGATAAACGGGTTACATCCTTGAGTTTGCATGCGTCTTAGGCCTGGATACACCGGAACAAGGTATGGTCGTACTTGCAGGATCTGCCTAGCTGAGCTTAGATATCTGTGCATGAAACACTTAGACGTCTTTGAGACCCTGGGATTGTTAGGTAATGAGAGCTCGTAATTCGATCTTATGTGGGGAACATAGCGCATACCGACTTTGTAGTTCTTTGTTTCTTAGCTAGGTGGCCCAACACGGAGGGATCCTACCAAGGTGGAAATAGGCGAGTTCGGGTAAGGATAGAACAAAGCCATAGCGAAAGCCATCTTTGTATGTTGTAGCTGCAGGCTTGATGTGGCCTAGATGCATCCTATGCGTTTTGTACATTTAGAACTTACCTCAAGCACCGGTCATGTTATCCAATCCTCGGTGTTTGAGAGCCGCATCTCCATCCAGTTTGGTAACTCGATACCGGGATGCTCTATCGCTCAGTTAGACCCTTGCAGAATCACAAGCGCGATCATGCGATGATACTGGTATCGTGGTGTATTGCGTCTCGCCAGCAAAATTGCAGGCCAGTAACATGGGTAGCCAAGTGGGAAATTTTACTGGCACGAGCTTTTAGGCACTAAGAATTGCGCCCCAAGTGAATACATCGCATCCAAGCTGATTAGACAGGGTCAGATTCTGTGCGCCACCAACGCTACCGATATTTCTGGGTTTTATCGCGTGAAGCTATCCTTCCCGTAAAACGTTGCTATAGACGCAACACCATCAGTCGGGAAGCCGGGCGACTCTGAACTATGCTTCTCTAGGCAATGATATTCACACGGCATCTGCCAACGCCATTGTGATACGAGACACGTATGTCTTCATGTTCGCGTATTTGCGACTACCGAATGAGCCTGATGCGTCAAAGCTGCTGTAGAAATTGCTGGAACTTAAGCGGTAACCTGTATCGATCCGGTAGGCTGGTACTACTCTGCTAAGCCGGGTATGGCAACGTATCGGGTGAGCCTGCTCAGTGAGCGTACCAATTTCACCTTCAGTGCTCTATTCTAACGCGAGCTGGATGTGGAATTGCAACTAACTTTGGGCGCAGCTTGGTCCAACAGGATCGGCTGTCATCCATGTCGAAATGTTCTAAAATGATCGGTCTGATGTGGGAAGGTCGCGAAGGCATTAATCTTGCTCGTTATGATGGTGGAACCGGACTAGCTCAGTTGGTGTTCCATGGTGGCGAGCGCAATGCAATAACGGGTATCCTAGGAAGCTGTGATGATAACTAGAGTAGGTGAGCATCAAAGAAACGCGTTCATTTGGGTACTTGAGTGGCATGTAGATAGCTGCTCTCGATCTGCAAACCAGATGTCTTGTTCGAGACATATGAGTTGTTCATCGTCTGAATGCTGGGTTCGTGGAGATATCGTTGGTACAATGCACCTTCCGTGCTCAATGTCGCGCAGGGTGGATACTGTTCGGGAAGAACACGGGGTTCAAGCGCTCGTGTAGCGTTACGGGAACTGAGGGGATGGCACTGGTAGCACAATCGATTTGTATAGGGGATGCCGAGAACAATCCTTCAAAAATCCTCGCCGGGCAGACCCTAGTCCTGCTCTGCGAAGTACGTCGTCCAGCCGTTCCGTATCAAGTCTCCCCCACGTCACTTCACAAAGGATTTGAGACCGAGGAGCTACTGGCTTGTAAAAGACGAGCGTTGGAGAGACGGTGTTGAGCGTAGGGGAATGTAGCGACGCAGTAGCATTTGGAGGAGCTGACACCGGCCAGCAGCGGCCCGAACGCGCCGCCACCCCCAACAGAAACTATCACGAAGCACCCGCTGTACATTTACAACCCTTCCAGCAACGCTCCGACACCGCGCCCGAAACAACTCGCCGTTAAAACGTAGCTATACTAACAAGGCGGGATCTCGCCATATCGACGGCGTGACGACTGCCGCCGGCTGGCATTCGAAACCAGACTGTGGTACCAGGCTCTTACTCCATGACGACCTTCATCCCTACAGACTTCAGCATGCTTGCCATGTCTTGCGCTTCGTGGGACTCTCACGACCGGCCGTTCAAACTGCGGTGGACTTTATATCATATCAGTCGACGACTGATTGGATGAAGTTCACCCAGGCGTCAAAGATCGTATGCTTATGTGACTCGACGATTACTATGCCTTGGTAAATGCAGCGGCCGACACCACGCATACCCACTATACCGCAAGCGTTGACCATAATCACGTGCTGCTTATCCAACACCATGCAAGAACCTATCATCGTGTAAAGTCCTTGGTGAGTATTGTTAGAAACAACTGTCGCATTCCACCAGCATGCGGCGGCCGATGCATGAGAAACTTGAGGGGATTTCGAAGGTCGTCGTTTACATACTCCGATTATGAAGCATGACACCACGTCGTTACAATATACGAATGATATTATATAAGGACAGATGAACAGAGTTGAACTACAGATCATCGAGCAGAATTTGATCCCATTCAACAGGAAGAACCATTCACAATAAGCAGGCCTTCTTATGTCGAGCCACATAAAGACCGTTCTTATCCTCGGAGCATCCGGCTCGGTCGGCGCACCCATCCTCAACGCACTCCTCACCGAATCCTCCTTGAACGTCACCATCGTCAGCCGCGCATCATCATCAGCTTCTTTCCCGTCCGATATCCCGGTCATTAAGATCTCGGACGCCTTCACAACCGAAGAACTTACCGAAGCTTTCAGGGGACAGGAGGCAGTCGTAGTTGCACTTACCACTGGCTCTGTTATCTCAGGCGAAAAGGATGGTCTAGCGTTTCGACTCATCGACGCTGCGCTCGCAGCAGGCGTAAGACGCTTCATTCCTAGCGAGTTTGGCGCGAACAACCTCGACCCTCGAGCTCGTGCACTCGTCCCTACCTACGACCGCAAGGGCGAGATGTTGGAGTATCTTATGAAGGCCTGCGAAAACAGCCAAGGCAAGCTGACGTGGAGCAGCATCTGTTGCGGAAGTTGGCTAGACTGGGCGCTCGATCCTTTAAAGTCTGGCAACTTCCTCGGCATCGATGTGAAAGAGAAGAAGGCAACAGTATATGATTCTGGGACGAAGTGCTTCGCTGTCACAAGCAGCAAGAATACAGGGCTGGCAGTTGCGAAAGCTTTACTTGACCCAGCTATGACAGCGAACAAGCAGATATTCCTGTGTGACTTTTCGGTTAGCACGAGGCAGATCGTAAGCGCGCTAGAAGCGGAGACGAAGACCAGATTTCTTATTGAGGAGAAGCAGAGTGGTCCGGATATCAAAAGGTTTCGAGACCAGTTTGATGCTGGAGACCTGAATGCAACATTTCCTTTGCTAGCTATCAGTTTCGGTGCTGACGTGGATGTCGGGTATGACTTCGAGGCTGAGCAAGAGGTATGGAACAGGAAGCTGGATCTACCCAAGGTGACTCTTGAGGAAATAGTTCACGACGCTGTAGAGCTAGCGGCACGCTCTTAAGGCGTTAGACACATGATGGCCTTGGTAGCTGTGCTAAATTAACCGTTTTCGAGCACACGCTCGTTGCAGCCCTATGAGGACTTGAACATTCATGCAAAGGCAATTGAAGAGAGGATAACTTGGTCTCGTTTTCACACTATAAGATTACCCCTTTTATCTTCTCCAGGTGCTCCATCTGTCTCTCCTATTTGATTTCCTAAATAGTCTTGACAGGTCCGCCAGGTGGTGTATATCCCCTTTGCCCGGCCTGCACCTGCCAAAGCTGCACAAGCACTCCCTCCTTGTCATCTGGATCATACGAACCTGGTAGGCCAACTCCAGCCGGCAACGCCTTCGACCCACTTCCGCCTACGCTGATTTGAACACACGCAGGGTAGAACTGCGCACCCATCCTCGTCCCTGCAACATGCAGTCCCAGAATCTCGTGTCTAAGTAAATACTGCAGGTGTGAAGGCATGAAGTTAGTGTATATTCCATATGCCTTTCGTACAGACATAGCTTACCTCACCTGCCTTCAATCCTGCAGGTATTGTCACAGTCCAACTTGCGCCTTGCTTGGCCAAAAAATCCGAACCCCACGGAGGAGATTTAGTGGTATCGTAGCCCATTTGATCGAATTTGACCCAGGGTGTTCCGGTGTCACCTCTGAAGGTTGAGCAGTTGGTGCCACAGGAGGCGAGGTAGTTCATCACGGGGCCTGAGTGGGAAGAGCCCCATTGGTCCCATTGAAGTTTGCTTGATGGAGGTTAGTATCGAAGACATGAGTTCGTGTTACGGAGGCGACATTGAGGGGGCAAAAGAAGAAAGCGAGCATACACTTTGTCCCCTGGCATAACAGGTATGACACCCTTGGCTGGCAGGTTACCACCAACATTGCAAGTTATGTCTTTTGTAGTGAAATCAGGAACAGGTCCGTTATCCTTGATGCGACGAGCGTAGCGGATAGGCTCAGGAGTCAGATAGTCGTCTTGACCTACTTGCCAGGCTAGGTAGTTTGCGCCGCCGTTGACAGAGATCGACTTGAGGTAGCCATGGGCGGATGCGGTGGTGATAAGACCGAGAAGGGTGAGCGCGTTGACGAACATGGTGCGGCCAATAGATTCTGGGCTGTCTGAATCCTCTGAATTCGATGCCTCTGCTGTAGGCAGTGATTTATATAGCTCCAAATCCACTTCCTGATTCCATTCAGTGCAGATGTGTGTATCGTGCGACAATGCCCGACCCGGTTTCCGTATATTGCACCGAAGCTTGTTTCGAGATCATATGCAGTCTCTTGGTGGATTATTCCACGACTATTCTAGAAGGCGTGGACGTGACCTGAGATAGATTGGGCGGATATTGCTACAAGGCGGAGTGTGGCTTCCGTATCCAAATTGGGTGGCGAGGTGGAACGTCAAATGTCGTTTCCTTACATTACGAAAGCGTCAAGGATGAACAATGAGGAAAGAAGCAGTACAGAGACCAGGAGTTGGGTTGATCCATTTGATGCTGAAGCAGTCGGCAGGTGAGAACAGCCCGTGAATCTTGAGGGCTTCGCCGGTTGGATCGCCGTCTATAGAGTGTGCGGTGACAATGCGGCGGACCGGCTCGCCGTCACCCCACCTGTGTTGCCTTAGTATCGCGGTCTTTTTATTCAAATAAGAAAGTAGAAAATGGTAAAAGAGTTTGTCGCTCGCATGGCCGTGGACTACGTACGTGAGGCCTTTGAATTCCTTGGTAGCGCCATCCCATAGACTAACCCAGGCGGTAGATTCGCGGTCATTCGGGGACTGAGGCTTCTTCTCAACAATACCGAGGAGGATACAGCACGTGCCATGAGTAGGTGAGTAATGTCGGACAGGGTCGGAGGTCAGGTTGGCGACGTCGGGAAAGGCATTCGGCAGCACAGCAGCGGCAGAAACGCTGCAAAAACTTAGGAAGAGCACCAGAATGGCATTCAAGAGCTTCATGGTGAAGGTTTAGTCGTGTCCTTTCATATGCACGTGGGTAGTTGATTGGGGTTGCTGTGGGTTCAGCGATTGCTTTAGGATTGATAACCTTGCAGAAAGGCACAGTAAGGGAAGGAGCTTGGCTAGCAACAGGCTGCACTAGCGAAGATAGATTGATTCGAAGGAGATCCGCTAAGATGCTGAGAGTACAAACGCAGAGAGTATGACTGACTGTTTGTGATGCGCCAAGAAAAGATACAAACGGAAAGAGCACCCCAATGTGCATCAGCATCAGCATCAGCCAGCTGCTTCAACTCAGACTTTTGGTACAATGCGCCAGAAATAAAAGATAAAAGATTCGCTGTCATAAAGAAATACATATCCGGTCATAGCCCGTTCGCTCCAAACGCCAATATTATGCACAACAAAAACGGCTGGCTTAGGCGGAGCTTCTCATCTTTCGGTAGAAAACATAATCAGCCGACGATATATATAAAGGGCTTCAAGCAGCGAGTAATGGTCGTCGTGCATTTCGTGCTTCCTCATTGAGCTCTTCTTCTGTCGGGGGTGTCAAGCGAATGCTTCGAAGCCAGCCGTACCACCGTCAGACATGCTTGAAGATGACCGGGCTCTTCGGCGGGGTATCTACGCTGACTGAATCGATTCTCTTCCTTGGTGTGCCGTCGGGCGAACCCACATTGTCGTACTCGTACCAAACACCCTTTACTCGTCTGTTGAGCTTGCGCGGTGGCGGGCTGATGCGAGTTGCGAGGGCGTTGAATGAAGTGGTGGAGAGTGACTGGTTGCTCGCAGTGTCTGAGATGACATTCGAAGTGAATTGGGTAACGGAGTCGCCGAGGGTCTCGATGCTACGCATCATGCCCTGACATGTTTGTGAAAGCTCGACTTGATTCTTGGACAGAGTCTGGAGTTGAGACACAGTGGTCTTGAGGATGTCTTTAGTCTGCTCTTGAGATTTGCGTGTTTGCTCTTGGGATTTTCGAGTCTGTTCCTGCGCTAGTCTGCTCTGCTCGTGCGACTGGAACGATGTGTTGGAAAGGGCGATGTAGTGCGATGCGTTCTGGTCGACTAGCGCTTGTAGCTTAATCTGGGACTCGGAGATGGCCTTGATCTGGATGCTGTTCGATTCGTTGATCTCTTGCATCGCCTGCAAGCCTGTCGATTGCGCAACTGATAGCGCGTGAACCTGCTCTGCATTGCTTTCCACTACGTGTGCCAGTCGGGTCAAGCTTTCTGCCAGGCTGTCGAGAGCCGATGTGCTCATTTTCTCTTCAGCTGGTTGTGGAGGCGCAACGGCGGGAACACCGTTTGCATGCTGCAGGGGTAGAACTATTGGCGGGCAGGTCGGGCTATCCTGGCATGTGTAGAACCACTTGTTGTGGATGTCGGAGAACTTGGGGTCCTCCATAATGAGTTCCATGTCCTCGCTCCTGACAACGAAATATTGCGGGCTTGGACGCGACGACGATGTGTATTCCTGCTGAACGAGATTCCACCATTGCGAGCAGACTGCGGCCGAGGCGAATGTGAGTATGTACGGGGGAGATGCAGGATAGTCGCTCTATAGCATAAGTCAGTATGCCGCTCTTGCCCGGATGTTGGCACACAGTGCAATTCCATCACTCACTCTCAGCGCATAGGCGTAAAACAGGTTCCCACCCTCTTCCATTTCGACCTTCTTATCCTGGGCGGGTCGGCTCTGGCTGCGTTTGCGCGGCGAAAGTGATCCAGTGGCTGGCGGGGTGTCGGTGTTCATCATGAGTCCAGCAGCCAGCGAGATACTGGGCTTCTTGCGCATATGCTGGGGCTTTCGTTCGGGTGAAGTCTGTCTTCGGCTGTGTATGCGCTTCTCTATGTTCGAACTAGACGACTCAAAGACGGTCTGCGACATGGAAGACTCCATGAGCGCGGCGAAGTCAGGCATGCTCTGTGGTCGCGACATATCTGGATGAGAAGGCGATTTGGGCTCGGAAGTGTGGTGGCAGCAGAACGTATCGTCGAAGTTATTGGCAAAGTGACATCTGAACGACATAAAGGGACATGGGCGGCACGACTGGATATCCTGAACGCCCCAAGAACAAATAAAACCTCGAGCGACCGGGGAGGGGTTGGTGAGCTATGGTAGTGTATGAGGTTTGCGGCTGGCCGTCATCCTGGTCGATGACCTCACAGTACCACGGACTTACTGGGATTCGTGTGCGCTTGTGGGTTCAGTACCAGCGGAAGACGGGAAGTCTAGACGTCAATGGATGTCAATGTATCATCAAAAACCAGCCCATCCTGCTCGCGGGAAAAGCATCGCAGCGAACGAGGGGTTGCAGCCTGCACAGCATGACCTGACGCGCATGCTGTTGCTGTGCTACTCACCAAACGGTCCCTGTCTCATTCGCGAATGCAGGGGGTCGTGCATCAGGGTAGCGAGTTCAGGGGGAAAAGGAACACATTCCGCTGCAGATAGGTGGGTTTGGGGATCGCAGCGCCTGGGACAAGATAGCCGGTGCGATAGGTTCGGGACGAACGTTGGCGCGGAGCCGTGAGCGAAGTTTGGCGCGGCAGCTGTTGGCGAGCCATGACGTCGTGCACGTGCGGTCATGAACACACAGCGTCCTTGGAAAAACGTTATGCGCACCAATATAGACATGCATCGACAGTTTGCATCTCTTGTTCATATCCGAAGCATTGTGGATACCTGAAAAAAGCGTGGCAAAAGCGTTACGACTTCGTGGAGCATCTTGCACTATGATTGGCTGCTATAAAAAAAGACTGTAGATGTTTCTTTTCTGGAAACAAGCTACCTCAGCCACTCCATCTTGACAACCTGTTTAAGTGTATTCTCCGAGATCAGCGGTCACATTGGTGGAGACGAGGACTGGGAAATATTCAATCAAAGTATTGATTCATGCTAGATGTTGCTCAAGGCGTGACGTGCGAGACGCGTCGCCTGCGTATAGTCGTCCACCATCATCAACCTCGGTATGCTATCATATATGGTACCTCGTAAATCTTACCAATTCTGAGCAAGTCAACCAACATTCCGTAAGGATATCGGCCTAGGGGCCAAGAAACTTTCGTATGCGTCCGTATCAGGACGGCAAGTGGAAGAGAATGTCAACGTTGCATCAGACTGTTCAAGTCAATGCCGACAATTCTGATATATCAGCTATTTGGAGGCATTCTGCTCAACGCCGACCTTGACCTCGAAATACTCCATGCTACCAAAGCCGCGCTCCGCTAGCCAATTGGTAGGTGTCTTCGGGACGACAGACTCAAATTCAGTCATCCATGGCTCCGCGGTGTCTGTCTTGAAGATGATGTGAATGAAGGGCTTGATCGCAGCAGGAACAGGAGGCTGGACTCCAGCAAAGGTTGCAGCCGGGGCTGAGGCAGCAGTACGAGGGGCAGGCTTGCGGTGGATGCGGACTGAAGCGAGAGACCTGCTGCGAAGAATTGATCGCCAAAGGTTGTTCATGCTTGAGCAAGAGCGGTTCTTGAGTACGCGGCGGCCAAAGAGACGATAGCTGCAAGATGGTCAGTGGCCATGTTGTTCTGATGCTAAAGACAAGAAGACTCACAGATCCTTGGCTTCACCATCAGTCTCCGGAATGTAGTTGGCCTTGAGATAGCGTCCAAACCCAGCTTCGATCTTGAGGCTGTTGGACCAGATGTCAAGAAGCGGAAAGACTTCGATACCGTCTGAAGCACGCTCCAGATCGTTGGCTTTGTCACCTACAGCAATCGTAAGGTTTCCGACAAAGGGCGCGTCGTTCTGGCGCTCTCCTGGGGGTGCGAGCTGGGATACGACATCGTTAGCGGCAGGATAGAACGTCTGCAGATAGTCCACTATCTCAGTGAGATCCATGCCAATCTCTTGCTTGGCCATGTAGATTGGGCGATACTCGATCCTCATCTGCCGGCAAACTTGAGTGAGACCCCAAAATGGGCGATTGGTCTCGCGGAGCTCGGTCTTGACTTTGGACTTGGCTGAGCGGCCGGACTTGTTGCTGGCGCTCAGGATCTCTTCATCTTGTTCTTGACCAGCGAGGTCGGACGCAAGAGTACGCCCGCGATCTAGACGGGTTCGTGGACGGAGAGATGCGATGCGTGGCCTGTATACAAGCAGAGCTTGCTTCGGGCGACCGTGCGTGTGCATGTATACCTCGTTCCGGATTTCTACTAACAGTCAGCTGATGTCACAGTTGTTCAGAAGTAAAACACTTGCCACCTGGGAGATCCATGAATCGGAAAGGCTTCGGCAGAGCTGGAGCACTGCCACCGGTCTTCTCATTGATAGCAGCATCAATAACCTTCGCCATCTTGTCGTCGGATTTCCTTTTGGTCTGCTTCTTGACGCCAGCACCAGTACGTGCATTGCCCTTGCTCCTGTTCCTGCGAGATGGCATGTCCCGCAAGGGCGCGGCACTCACACTGAGCGATTCGAAGCTAGGAAGAGGCACTCCGGGAGAAGGAGGGACAATGGCATGCTCGGAACCCATCATGATATTGGCGGTGTCGTCAGAACCATTCTGGCGGAGACCTGGTGTTGACGGAGCGGGGCCAAGTGGAGGGTGCTTGAACTTCGTAGAAAACCTAGAAGGGGGCGGAGTGCTCGGACGAGTTGGACTGACTGTATTAGTAGAGTCCATATCTCCGTGCAAGGAAGTGGAACTTACGCCATTGCTTCGTAGTTTTTCGATCTTGTTTCTCGTGCTTGGGAAATTTTCAATAGCTCAAGGATATCAATAGTCAATTGTTGAGAAGTGCTTGCTGGGTGTAGAAGTAAAGGAGGGTGGACGGTCGGAGGGTTTATATGCACCCAACAAGTAAAGGTGAGTGAGGATGGCACGAACGATGATTGTCCCAAGCTGCTCTGACGGTGACTAGGGAAATCGCTAGAATCGAAGGTCACCTAGGCATTAAGCTTATGGTAAGAGAACAGCGGTTCTTGGCGTTACAATTACAGTTCTTTAGATTGGAGAGTAGCCAAGAGATCGATTGTATCGTTGTACAATAGCTGGCGCATGTCGCGTGGCGTAGTCGCGTGGTCGTGGGTGGTGCTTTCCCTTGTATTGTCAGTGTTATCCATAGCTATTGCGACATAATATACTCAAGGAAGCATCAAAAGTCAATGGGAAGGAAAGTTCTGGGCTCTTATCAACGTGATTTGTCGTAGTGAAGCGTCAAGGACGTTTGGGTTCTGCCTCCGATCTCGCAAACAGCCACATGTACACTTGAATCCAAGATGTGTGCCGTCAGCTGATAGGAAATCGTCCTTCTTGAGTCACATGGTTTTCTGCTTATAGATTCAGCATACTAGCGGCAGGTGTTATCGGGTGAGTACCTGAAGTGGGCAGAAAGCACTTTCTGTCAGCCAGCTTGCCAACTCCGGAGGTAGCAGCCAGCCATGCCGTGATAACGCGTGATTTCCTGCGAGCATAAGTATCTAGAGTGATGGAGTCATAAGTAGTCAAGATCGTTGCCGTGGTAGTTGTAGCTGGAAAAAGAGCGAATTTAGTGTGGAAAGTACAAACCATCTCCTTTTGTATACATGACGAACAACAGTGCTACGATTCCGTATAGGTTGTATGAGAGATATCTCAAGGCGATAATACGAGAAGATGTTTTTGAGGGGTAACGACCTGGTCGTGTTTGATATTGTCCGGTAAGGGAGGGGGGGATTGTGTATCGATGACGTGGATTCTGAAGCAGGGCTGAGAGAAGCGAAAGCACAGGCAAGAGCTTGCGCTAAGCGGCCGATGTTAAGCTTACTACGCGGCTATAAGAAATCTCAAGGCCCATGGTAGGCTTTGTACGATTGATTGTGTGATACAGCTACTGCATATAAAGAAGGGTGTATTTGCTGATGTGAAGTTCCAGCTGTTGGTCCATGATTGTCATCTGGAGACACCTACAATTCACTTCACTATGTACATGATAGGAAGTAGAGCTTCGAGTATCGAAACGCGCTCTCAATAATGGCCAATATCAATTCCGTCTTCGCAGTGTTTGACCACAAGGAACTTCCTAAAGTCAGGACTGAACCCCCAAGATTTCCACATATGGTTGAAGAACTCCGCCAACTTTTCTTTATCATCACCTGTACGAAACGCGATGATACCCTGGGGAATGTGACCGGACCCGAAAGACACATGAAGGCCATGAAAAGGCAAGGCCCAGATATATAGTCTGAGCGCAGTGATCTCGTCATTCATTATCTTGTCTCTCCAACATGCGTTTTCGTTGTTCAGCATTTCGTTCAGCGCCGTGACGCAACCTCTCTGGTACTCAATTTGTTGGATGCGACCGAAAGTTTGCAACGATGAATCGCCCTCGCGCTGATCTACATCCGCTTCGAACCTGCACCAAAAGGCAGAATTTGCGACCTTTGCCTTGACAAGAGGCAAGAGATCCTGTGACTTTGTAGTCCAGTTTTGCTCCGAGATGCAGATAGATTTGAAAGGATGGACGCGGTCTTGATCTGTTGTCAGGAAGGTGTTGACAAAGTCGTTGATATCATTGCAGCATATAGTGACATGAGTCACGCTGCGCTGTATCGGTCGATATTCGCTTCTCACTTGTTGGGAAACGCCCGTAAGCCCAGCGAAGACCCCAGATACTTCATCGGCCTTGCGAATCCGTACGTGTCTTTCCTCGTGGACGGCGAAGAAGTAGTAGATACGGTTGCGCAGCTCTACTTTTGTTAATTGACATACCACAGCTAGTGTAACCGCCACTTTTGCGCTTACCCGCTGCGAGCTTGAGAAATGGAAAGACCATCTTGTAGTTTTGTGATGAGATGTTGAGCGCGTCGCTAGGAAGGATCCGCACAAGGTCACTGCTCACATCAATTTGTTGTAATGTTCATGTGTGGGACGTGAAGGAAAGGATCTGGAAACTAGAGGCAGTGGCAACCTTGAGCTCTCCGTTTGCACAACAACCTTCGTTTCCAGAACACGAAGGCCTGTCCCAAGCGTACAAATGATGACCTAGAATCAGGCGCTAACAGAAAAGCAACAATGCCTACTCTTGAGACATGTGTTCTCATAACTCGCATAGTATTGATAAAGCGCGCTCCTTCATGTGTTTTACAAGTTCATCACTCCAACTTTTGCCACTAGAGGAGCGGTTTTGTTGAACAGTCGTAGCTATACAGTTGGTAAAGAAAGACGAATGAGACACCTTCGGCATTGTGATTGGTGTATGCGGAAAAGTGGTCGCAGCTGTAGCATCGGACCTATTGAACATATCTTATGAGTTGGAAACGTCGACAAAGAGTCACATGTGAGTGGAGAATTCTATACAACATTTTCGCACGATAGAGGAGGAAGGCAGTCGTAAGCAGACACCCGACGTAGGATCCCGCGCAAATTCAGAAGGAAGGTAAGCCGACCACCCCGGACACCAACCGAAGCCGGGAATCATCCCGCCGACTCCGGACGACAGTCCTCCAGACTGCCCCGCAACACCACCCCGTGACGCAACACCATCCAATGTGTTCCTTGGCGGGGTAAACGATGGTCCGTAGAAGCTTTCGGCGGTTGAGCCTCACTCGGCAAACTTGCCGCAGCTCTTATTCACGTGTCTAGATACAAAAGCTCTTGACCTCCGAGTCCGACTTCTCATATATAAAACTGTACTTACCATTATTTAAACTTCTCATACCGATATCCCGTGCTTCTTCAGCAAGTCTTCCTCACCAAAACCGCAAACATGTCAATGTCAATCGAAGAATGCCAGACGCCTCGCGCTGGCTTCCCCAAGCCTGTCCCCAACACTCCCACAAATGTCATGCAACAATTTAGTATGGCAGGAAAGACGATTGTCGTAACCGGCGCTGCTGAAGGAATTGGTGGAGCCGTCGCCGACGCCATGGCTGAAGCTGGCGGCAACGTAGCCCTCTGGTACAACTCCAACAGCGCAGCCATCACACGCGCAGAGACCCTCGCAAAGGAGCACAACGTAAAGACAAAAGCTTACAGCGTAAACCAAATCGACGCTGCTGCCGTGCAAAAAGCGGTTCAACAGGTGGTCGAGGATTTCGGCCGCATTGATGTTTTTGTCGCAAACGCTGGAACGGGAGACAGCAAACCACTTCTCGATCAGACACTCGAGAGCTACCACAATCTCATGAAGGTCAACGTCGACGGCCCAGTTTTCTGCGCCAAGTACGCAGGAGAAGTGTTCAAGAAGCAAGGATTCGGCAACTTGATTCTCACAAGTTCGATATCAGCACACATCGTCAACGTCCCCGTTGACCAGCCCATATACAACGGCACAAAGGCCTTTGTATCGCATTTGGGCAAGTCGCTAGCAAGGGAGTGGAGAGAGTTTGCTAGGGTTAATATTGTGAGCCCGGGATTCTTTGACACAAAGATGGGTGCCGGACCACAGGTTATCAACGAGGGACTGAGGATGATTCCACTAGGACGACAGGGAAACGTGAAGGAGATCAAGGGATTGTTCCTGTATCTGGGTAGCGATGCATCCAGCTACATGACTGGTAGCGACTGCATCATCGATGGTGGATACGTACTGCCATAAGCAGGTACTAACGAGAGAAGAGAAGAATTGATACCAAGGACCGTTCTCTATTGAGGGAGAAACATAACCAACAAACATTGTTGCAAACTCATGTATGACTGTGCCTTTTGATCCTGAGCGTTCCGTCGTGATGGAGAAGAAATGATTTCGAATTACAAAGGTATATGTTCGCTAAATGCAAATGGAAAGGTTGAAACAAAACTAAAACCGCTACTCGTCTTTACTCCTCGCCCTATCTATGCTCTCCCTCTCAGTCGTCTCTCCGCTTGCAGCATCAACGCCTTCAGCACCTTTGCTCTCCTCGTCCCTCCTCTTGTCTTGCGCGATATCCGGTGCAGGCGCAAAGGTGCTCCTGCCTCTGATTTTCTTACCATATAGATAGAAAACCACAGGCATTGGTACAAGTACAGCTGCTACACAGCCAAGCAGAGTACTGGCCCATTGGATACCCATACCGTTGAACATGAATGTTGCGAAGAGCGGGAAGACGCCACCGAAGATGGAGCGCATGAAGGTGTTTGCTGCAATGGCGGAGGCAGCAAACATAAGGTACGCGTCGACGATGTAGTTGAGGAGTGAGAGGAAGATGGAGAAGATACCGAAGCCAGTCAACAGACCACTCAGGACAGGAACAATCCAATGGATTTGACCGGTGTAGCCTGTCCAACCGAACCAGAAGAGGCCGCCCGCGAAGAGCACACCACCGACCATGCTGATGGGCAATCGCCACTCCGGGACGGGAATGTTGTTGTTGGCTTCCAGCTTTCGCACATATCGCGGATTGTCAGATACAATGATGATGAAAGCAATGACTTCACCAGCAACCATACCGAAGTATGCAAGTCCGCCAATACCGGCACTCCAGCCATATACTCCCTGGAAGACGAGTGCATATGCGGTAAGAAAGAGGTAGAGGAGGCCGTCTAGTGCTGTTAGCCCAGGTTCTTACAACTCGATGGATAGGTCAAACTTACAGATGAAGCTCATGTAGATGGTGATGAGCAATACAATTGGTTCAGTGAAGAGAATGCGCATAGGCCTGCTGACGTTCTTAACGATCAACTCCTTGAAGTCAACCTCGATTTCTTCCTGCTTCGCGTGTATACCCCAGTTCTTGGTTCGTCTCCTCAGCTCGCTTGCCTTGTTGATGAGTACCACGGGTGGGTATGTCTCTTCCATGAAGAAGAAGAGCAATGCAAACGATAAGAAGCCCATGAAACTACTAATGTATTCTGTCCACCGCCATCCTAGGTCACTCTGCGTGATGAAGCCTCCAATGAAGGGTGCTAGTAGAGGACCCATGAAGACAGTCGCGGAGAAGACTGCGACGGCGAGTCCACGAAGTCTGTTATCAAACATATCCGCAAAGACAGCTGCGACGATAGCGAGTGGGGAAGAGCCAAAGAGACCAGCGAAGAATCGACATATGAGAATTGTCTGAAGATCTTTGGCTACAGCTACGGCGATGCTGAAGATGGCGAAACCGAATGCGGCAATGATGAGGGGAGGTTTTCGGCCGTACAACTCGGAGAAGGGTGCCCACATCTAAGAATCGTTAGCATATTTCGTCCTATTTCTGTGGCTAGCATTGACTCACCAGAGGTCCAAAAGCATATCCGAAGACGAACAGACTTGTTCCTAGGGTACCCACAACATTGGCCACGCCAAATTGCTGTGACACTGCTCCAGTAGCAGCTGAGAAGATACTGCTGCCCATGGTCGCTGTGAGGGCATCGAAGGCTAGGATGGCACCAATACCAATCTTCTTCTTCATGGGCCAGTTCTGCGCGTGCAGTGGGTCTTCCTTGCCATCGAATTCGACAACGTATTCTTCCCTGTCTGGCAGGAGCGGAGGGAAGGGTTTTCCAGCTCCCATGTTGGGCAATGGCTTCTCAGTGCGGCGGCGCGTGAGAGTCCTCGACAAGCGCGAGTCGACGCGCGATGCACCAACAGTACCTGCATGCTGGCTCCTGTGTGTCTCGATGCGGCGGATGGCTTCGGGGTCGCGCTCGGTAGGATGCAATGTCAGGTAGTTGCCGCTCGAGGCTTGTGAATTGACAGTCGGTCGGCGGTCTCGTGGGGTTGAGCGGGCAGTGCGTATTTCTTCGAGGCGCGCGCTGTGTGTCGACGCAGAGCTGGCTGAACTTGCCGTCGAAGCCGAAGATGTGCTGTGTCGTGAGAGAGGCGAGGCGACTTCCTCTTCCTTCTCTCGGATGGGCGATGCGACTGCTTCCTGGGGAAACGACCGCTCACTCACGGTGCGCTCCCCTCGCTCGTGTGCCTCGATGTTCCGTAGCCGCTCATCGGGCGTCTGATCGTGCAGGTGTCGTTGGTGGTATTCTTCGCGGAATTGACGGTGCGGGTCCCAATCTGCGAAGCGCTCAGGGCTCGCATTGGCCTCGTTGCGCAGCATCTCGTAGTCTTCCTCCTGCATCATGGCCACGCTCTTGTTCTTCTTCTTTCCTCAAGGAACGTTGACCACGGCTTCGGCTGCGTCTGGGAACGAAGGAAAATCGCGGTCGTCGGCACTCGGGACCGAGTTCGTGAATGTTCGAGCCTGACGTCGAGCCCGTTGTGGATCGCGTGGATCTAGTGTGCGACGGTGCGACTAGTCGTGACCGTATTCCCGGGAGTTGAGTGCGGGTGCTGTCGATAGTGACAAACAAGCTTCAGCCCCTCTGGTAGGAAGCCGCGCGCCCTATGTATCTGACGTGCGTGGCCATGGGCGAAAGATTTGCTGGCCTATCCATCGCCCGCATCCGTCGCATGCAACATGGCGAGAATATTTGCCAGTATTGCCGACACCAGCGCCCTCATGCGGGATTCTGCAGCCTGAGTAAGCCACACCTAGCCGGGCGTACTAAGGCGGTCAGTGCCACTGCGAGTCTTGATTGGCCGCCAGTGCAAAGAAGTTCGCCGGCCGAAACACATCCTCGACTACGTCATGGGCAGATTTTGCTGTGTCAGCCATCGTGCAGACCGTCATCGTCACCGTGCATAATCTAGCGGCACAATGCAGGTGGGGCATCTCGTCGTCTCTAATTCATTTGCCGTCGCAAAAGGGGGAAATACATACAATTGATGCCCATTTTCTCTCCCACAAGAGCCCTGCTAATTGCAATTTCGTACATGGCAGAGTCTTCAAGCGTACATTGCAACCACCTCCCTCTCAAACATCTTACCTAGATGCGCATGTCGCAGCTCGCCAGCGGGCGACAGCTGCGTTGCGAATATGCCACACGTGCCGCCTTCGCGATCAATCCACCACTTGAGATTAGGTGCACCTCCCCATCGCAACATGCCAGCTTTCAAACCGCCATCCGCATCATTTTCCAATGCTACTAACCCCCCAAGAGCGTGTGTCCATTTCCGAGCGCCAGGAGTACCCATTGGGGCATCGCCAGGTATCATAATGGCAGCGATATGCGGCACAGACAAGGTCTGGTCGAGCGAATCCTGTGCAGTAGACGAAATACATGGCGTAAACATGAGGTCGATGCTCTCCGCCTCAAGGAGCTTGCCATCGTTCCGGAGAAGCGATTTCAAAAGTCGGAGATAGTCCTCCGTGTTGCTGAACAATCCTGCGCCACCATATTCGTCTTGAGGATTCAGCGGCTGTACCAGCAGGTTACCCGATGCTTCGCCAGAGACAAGATCTGCGTCAGGTGCAGGGCGAGTCGTCATTGGCATCAGTTTTTGCTTGATATCGTTGTGTCTGACAAAGAAAGACGTCTTGTCCATACCCAATATGTCCAACACATTGCGTCGCATGTATGCTTCCAGCGTGCAGTTGTTGGCCCTCGCGACCATCAATCCCACAAGATCCAGTCCGCCACCATACGCGAAGCCAGATCCAGGTTCGAATAGAAGAGGCGTTGTGAAGCACTGCGTGATGGGTACTTGCATGGATAAAATTCCTTCTTTGCGAACTTGTCTCCATCTCATCAAGTCAGGCGAGAGAAAATCGTAGCCGATTCCACTCGTATGCGTTAGCAATCTTCTTAATGTGATGCTTTCTTTTGCGGGTTGTAGGACGGGTTCATTGTCCGCCCAGCCAGTCAGGATCATGGGCTTCTTCCATTCAGGCAGTAGACGGTCGACATCAGCAGGCTCGTCTAGTGAGAATAGACCGCGTTCGACGCACTGCAAGGCTGCGACGGTCGTCACTAGCTTAGTACAGGAGGCAAGCCATACAGTCGTCTCGGGCGACACTGGCGGCGACTTGGGGTCCAGCTGCAATGTGCCATATGCAGCAAGAAAGTCCTCGGGATCTGAAATATCAGCTGTGGAAGACGTTAGCGGCGAACGGTGGGCCATGTAACAGAAACACAAATGACAGGCGAGGTCGCCGACGGTGCCAACGGCTACCAACATCCGATGGCTTGGTCGCATTTGCCCAGTCCATCTCAACGTGCCGCTGTCAAACACACGCTAAACTCAACGGCCCTGGCAAGTGTTTTGGAAGAAGCAAACATGCAAAACCAGACCATACCTTTTCCAAGGGCTCTTGCAGCACCGAGAGCCACGCCTGGCAAAAGGCGTTCAGGGCCAGGCGTAACTGCCGACACAAAAGCGTCATTGAAAGAAGTGGAGCTTGACATTTTGACTGTGTATACAATGGGCTGTGTTTGGATTACTGGTTATGAACCTCATCTCCAGGGACCATCCCATTATATCTGTGTGCATCTGAATTGAATCCTTCATCTTCACCTTCTTGTGTGACTCACAAGAGGGCGTCTGTTTGCTCGAGGATAAGGGAGAAGGGCGTCGTAGGAATGAGGATGCTGACATAGCTATCTTGAGTAGGTCTCTCTTGCAGGTTGACTGTCGTCGCACCTTGCCGTTCTAGATACTAGCGCAAGGCTGGAGCCATCGAATCCGCCTGATTACGCGCGGATGTCGTGTTTCTCCGCGCGACGTCTCTTTCTCCTGCGCCCTTCACGCAAGTCCTTCGCCTTACTTGTGCACTCACAGGAACAGGTATCCCAAAGATTGCATCACATGTCGCTCACAGCACCCTATCCTACTTAGGTAGACAGGCCGCTGTTGCAGTTCTCGCGTCCGCTTTCGCGCTCCAGACTCCACGCAGCCCCCACTTTCCGGACCCGATCCCACCACACGCCAAGTCTGATGCACACCAGCCAGGGGGGTGCGAACGCTTCCTCGTCGTCTCACCGGTACCTGACAGCTCCAGATCTATCCGGCTTTACTTTTTTGCTTCAACTCTGTTACCTTTTCCTGCAAATTGCGAGCTTATATTTCTGCGACCTAGCTGCGAACCTGTTATTGCGCACATGTGATGACGGCATGTTGCAACCCCCCGTCATCTCCGCATTTAACTTTCGGACCTGTTGATCTCGTTTTGGTTCAAAGTTGCAGTTCCACCTATTCTTCCCAATTCGAAAGTGACTGCATACACTCGCCACCATATGCAACTTTGTCACATCTGGGCCCTCTACACCACTTTGGACTGCAGACCCGTTTGCCTGCATGGCTGAAGAATTTCTAAGCTCGATAACCGACAAGATCACGTACGATGATATCGATCGAAAGGCGCCACTTCGGATATATTCTTGACAAGGACCACCGTGGCGGGAGTGCCCGACTTCCGTACATTCATATTGGCTCGAAAAATGTCGGTTACGCTTGTTTTACCACCCATGCAAGGCAACTCAAATTCGGATTCGCGTTTCGTCAATATCCCCATGTGTTTTCGTGGTCAAGCAAGGAAGAGCACCCTTAATCCAGTCGACCCGGTCTGACATCGTCACAATGCTCCTTACTCTTCCTGGGGCTCATAGTGTACGCGCAAGGAGCGGCAGTCGACGATAATTTCCTCGCAGCTACCCACACTGAAAAGATACCAGGGTCCAAGGTCGAGTGTTTATGCTGCAGTTACTCCACTTTGCCCCTCAATCAGACCACTGATCAGTAATGACCAGAGTAGGATATGGTCCCTGGAGTGCATGTTGTAGAGCTTGGCGAAGAGTCGGTACACCTGACCGATCAGCATCTTGGACACTAATACCAGCCACGCGAACTATTGCATACGGAGTATATCCCATCTCCGCGTTGAGGTTCGTATATGCGAGTGGGTACATAGCCGGAAAGGCTTTCGACTGCCGTTATGCGCTCGTTCAACGGCTATAATTCCCACCGCCTGCATTGGTCCATTATGTCTTTTTGTTTTTTGTGGTTGACCCACTCCCATCAAGCCCTGGTGGGTTTGTTACGCCTCCCCACGCCCCTACTCCATTTAACATGTCCCACACTTCAAAAGCCACCACGCACATATGGTAGGCATCCCTTCGCTAGAAAAGCCGTTGCTGAACTTTCTTATACTCTGGACGCAACCCGCGGAAGACAAAACTTTCTGACTTATTTACACAATGCCTGGCGGCATACATCCTCCCCTTGATGTCAAGCTTAGTTGGCCAAAACCCAACTACGTCGATCCGGTACTTCGACCAAATACCATCGTGCTGTTGGCCTGCATTATGGGACCAATCACTGTCGTGATGACTCTTGTAAGGATGTGGGTCAGAGTCTTTCATCAACGTTGTGCTGGTTGGGACGGTAAGTCAAGACCCTACGAAATACATGTAAGACATACACTGACTCCGTGCCTTCACATATATAGACTGGCTAATGTTCGCTGCCCTCGTAAGCTGCTCGTAGTGCCTAGCAATGGCTATGCTGACAATGATAGATCCCAACTATCGCATTGACAGTTCTCTATCCTCTCGGTAATATCCCAAGTCTCTCAGTGAAAACAAAGCTAATGCCTTTTAGCGAGTCGTCAAGCGTTCGATCGACACATTTGGGACCTAGACTACCTATTCGACCCCGAAGTTATCGTCATCGCCCGCAAGTACGTTCTGGCAACAGAGTGTATATTTTGTGTCGCAACTGGTCTTATCAAGGTCTCCATTCTGCTCTTCTACCGACGTCTCTCATCGCGAGCCGTCTCGAGGAAGTTTGTCTGGGTGACGTGGGCAAGTATCATCTTCATCATTGCCTACAGTATCGCCTTGACCCTGGCCCCGATTTTTGGTTGCCAACCAATCTCAGCATTCTGGGATCAAGTCAATATCATCAAGGTGCTACAGGGGTACGAATTCCACTGCTTCGATGAAGGTGCCGATGTTTTGGCTGCTAGCATTATATCAGTGGCGCAAGACCTCTTGACCGCTATACTTCCTACCTTCCTCTACTGGAACCTCCAGATACCGTTTCGACAAAAGCTAGCATTGTTTGGTATCTTTGCTATGGGTTATGGTGTTGTTGCCCTGGGATGCGTACGAGCTTACTACAGCTGGTACACATTCTATGGCACGTACGACGTCACATGGTCGACGTGGAACCTATTCCTCACTTGCATGCTTGAGCTTCATATTGGATGCCTGTGTGCGAACGCTCCCGCCATGAAAGTTTTCTTCAAGCATTTCTTCCACGAGAAGCTTACTCAGCGGTCAAGAACTAGGACTCCAGCAGGCTCCGATGATCGCCAGGATAGCGCGCAAACCAAGTCGAAATATTCATGGAGGAAGTTCGCGCCAAACCTCACAACCGGAAGCTGGGCGCACAGCTCCAAAGGGTATCACGACTCTCATACTGGCGTATCTGTCGACCCGCATGGTGGCGTACATGTCCACAAAGAGATACAAGTCACACGTTCGCCAGTGAGTACAGCGTTTCCATCCACCGGTATCCGACCATCTTCAACCATCACAACGGATATGATCTGCGACCGTGATTACGAAGACATCGAGCTTGGTCGCTACACCACGGCGCACAATTCCCATGCATCCAGCATGCGATCCACCAGGCTCTTTGAAGGACATGACTTGGAGGCACTTCCCCCGCTACCCAAATCTCCTGCGTCACCAAGATTCCCAGCTAGCTCTGCCTCCCTCGTGTCACATCCTCATACACCAACGGAGAAGTCGTCTTTGACGCCCTTGCCAGCCATTGTACTGAGTGATGAGGTCGAGAAAGAGAGGAGCGCAACGCCCATGCCACTGTCGAGCATGCATCAGTCGCCCTACCCACCACGGGGCTTAAGCCAGAAGAAGCCAAACTGGCAGTCGTGGTCATGAAGCGTGCCGAGCATGCCGCATGAAAGACTTGTACTATCTAAGATACCCCTGTCAACCTGCATTGATGAAAGGTAGGAGCTGTCGCGTTGATCGCGCAAGATCCTCACATTTTCGTCTCTTTCTGTAGCGTTTTTGTAATGTCCACTTTATGATACCATGTACGCTAGCTTGTTGTCGCCCAAAAGCACGTTTGAGATAGACCAGAAACATGCTTTTTTTCTTCTTCATCCTATTTGCATGACTCCGTCCCTGAATCTGACCTCTGAAGCTCGTCATCACATGAGGCTTCATTTCAATCTTGTTCAAGAATAGGCTTGCGGATCAAACTCCGGTGCTGGTTGTTATCCGAAGCGCTGGAACCTTGGCATACTTCCCGACATCCCAGCATGCTATAGCACCTGATCCAGATTTAAGTTCATCACCTGTTTCAAAAAAAGTAGAATTCTAGGCGGGACGCAAGACGGTTGTCAAAGTACGATGTGAATTCTAGACCGGCCATAGATCAGCCTAAAGAAGGTGTGTTGCCGTCGGAATCGAGAAAAAAAAAGCTATTCCGATTCCGACAAGGCGTCGGCGAGTACACGCCATGAGCCTCCACGCGAGACATCTCCATTATCCGCGCCCTACAGTATGACTCAATGGCGTTCTTCTTAATATGCAGAAGCTTTCTCTATCGAAGCTTGATTTTCGAAAGCGGCACAGCTTGATCGAGTAACCAAACATTCTGACATGACGACACCAAAGCTATCCAGCCCAACTCTTTTTACGCCACCGGAATTGAAGACCAATCCACAGTTATCAACGTCTATTACGCAGCTTGTCAACGACGCGTTCTACCGCTCGAAAGACATCGATCCGGTCAAATGGAGTAACACGACATTCCGCTTTTCGAATGAGGGGGAGCTACATACACTACTTGGAGAGGAAGGCAGCGTCATCGCGTTGATCTTTGATGAATCCGGCGTTGCGAAGGAGGCTGAAAAGGTCAATGGCAAGGAAAACAGGAAACCTGTTGCGTGCGCCGCCGCAGTACCCTGGAAAGGCGGATGGGCAAGAGAAGGCGCTGGGAAAGAGAGCGGGTGGGAAATCAAAATCGTGTCTGTTGATGGTGATTCAAAGTATCACCATCGTGGCCTTGCTGTTCAATTGCTCAACTTTCTCGAGTTGTATCTTGTTGCGAACGCGAGAGCTTCACTTCAAAGAGAGGGGAAACAGGGCGAAGGTGTGTTGACGCTCTGGATCTTGGCCGCGGAATGTATCAATGGGGTGTACTGGCGTAAGAAAGGATATCAAGAAGTGCGCAAGAAGGTAGAAGGGCCGGGTGTTTGGAGCTGTAAAACAAGTTTTGAGATGGTGGTACTACGCAAGGATGTAACTTTCAGTTGACGTTAGGGCAGGGTTATTTGATGAACAGTGTGAGAAAGAGAAGTAGAAGCGAGTGGACGATGATACATGATCTGATTTGTTGCCGAAATCCCATGACACTCACCTTCTCGCCGGGATAGGAGACCTTATTGCTGTGTTCATGGGGAGCGAGTTTCCAGTGGTTGCAAACGACCCCTACAAGCACAACTGCTATAACTTATCTAAACTGGTATCTGAGCTGAGAATGCAATTTCCATGAAGAACTTGAGTTCTCACTAGCAAAGCTTAGGAGAATTCCATGTGATGTGTTACTAGGTGAGACACGGTTCGGCTAGGACACCGGCTCGTACACATTTCGTTATCAACATGATTATCCAACGCGCTCCAAGCCAGGAAAAGCAATGAAGTCGCCCGGATAGATGTCGAGAAGCCCTATCCTCTTGAAGTAAGCATGCTCCATATTCCTGTCTTGTTCTTCCACATCATCCGACTCATCCTCCAGACTCATCCCGTCGATTTTGACATAAAACAAGGCTTGTGGCTCTGCCATTACACCAATATCACACAATAAGATTTTAGTGATCCTGCCGGTTTCGATATCCGATGTCCACTCTTCGCCGCGATGATTCATAACAATTCTTAGTAGCGCAGTATCTGCACAGAGACAATCTGCATGGTCCCCGAAAACAAAGTCTTCGAAATCGTGAGGAAGAACTCCCATCTTTCCCAGGCTTTCACCATAGTGGATGAAGTTACAGGTGAAATCAGGTTGCCGCAGCCCGACTTTGATCATTGGAAGTATGTCGAGCTCAAGTCCATTTCCACCTTGCTCTCCACGCCAAGGCGTTACTATTGTCATGTTCGATGGTATGAGTTCAACATTTTCGATCTTGCCATTGACTGTAGGGAAAAACGTGCGCATATAGCCGGGAACCTTCTGCCAATCGATGATGATGTCTCGCTTGATGCAGATGGGGCGATATTCGATACGAATTTGTTGGCAGGCCTGCGCAAGTGCAAGACATGGGAGTACGCAGCGCGGTAGGTCGGCTTGAGTCTTGGCGGTGAGGTCATATACGCGATTACGCAACTCTACTTAGATATATCAAACTCAGTCGTAAATCGGTTGACAAGCTTGCGCCTACCTGCTGGCAGGTGCAGAAACCGGAAGTAGTCTTCTCGACGACTCATATCGGCACTAGGCTGCTTCATCGGAGGGACTTTGTGGTGGTCGCAGCTCTGAGTAGTAGCTATCAATGTATGTAAAGAACAGTTGAGTGAGTTGAGAGATGGTGAGTGGAAGGGTCTAGAGAAGCAATTCCTCCAAGATTGTTAGCGCGTTACTAGTACTGATGCCTGAGTGGTGTTCATATTTGGAAGGCACGTTGTTTGCTACTAAACGCCGATCTAGCGAGACCTTCAAGAGTGAGAGTAAGTTGCGCCAGATACACCTCACCGGATACCAGACAGGTATGTGAGTCATGAGTATGCCGTACGTATGTGTCTTGGTGCTTTCGAAGATGGGGTGGGATTGACACACGTCGGTCCCGTGTCGTCCTCGCTCGCGACAGCGCTACCACGACACCCCGTGCTCTGAATCTACACACTGCTTTGTAATCCATCTAGGACAACTACCAAGAATAAGGTGAGTATGTTCAAGGTTCATCACAGTGCTACAAGGACCTTTCGTAGGAAAGATTGGATCGTACTGGGTATATACGGTACATGAAGAGCTACTCACTAGCGAACCTACTCGCAGTACAAAACTATGATACTCAGCCCACAACGACGTGCTTCAACTCTAGTCGCCTTTGATTCAACTGGGAAAGTACCGACGAGTTGCCAGAAGCCTCTCTAGCCAGGTAATGAGCGTAAAGTGCTTGTGAAATCTTTGAGCAACACCATAATGCCGATCTCCTTGCCGATATCTTGGGGTGAGACAGCCTTCATTTTCAGAGCAAATTTTGTGCTGAATACGAACTCGAACACTAGAATATTGTCTGCAGCGTTCTGGGTAGCAAAGATATTGGTAATCGTTCGTTCTTGTATAGCTTGCCGCCAAGTACGCTTGGCTTCGGCGGCCACGTTATTGTCTTGCTGGTGGTCTCCACGATTGATGCAACCAAACTGCACCAGTTCTGTGAGAGTTCTCCCAGCGTCGCTCTGGTCGTCGCTTTCCTCGCCCTGGATGAAGCGTATCTGCAACCCGGCAAATGCTAAGCCCAGGCGTACTAGATGTGTGATGTCCGTCGGCTTTCTGAACGTATAGTCGTGTTCCTGGTCGTAATGCAGGATCAATTGCTTAGGACCCTTGCCATAATCGCTCTCCTTTGGATAGAAAGCCTGTAAGAACGCGTGAATGGAGTGCCAATCGATGACGAACGTTGCGTGTTTGAGCCACATGGGCCGGTACTCAGATCGGATCTGCCGAGAGACTTGTGTCATTGCTATCCCAGTAGCGCGTTGGGACTGCTGTTGTAGCTGGAACCTCTCGATCGGTACAAGGAGCTGAGAAGGTGCTTCACTAGCAGCATAGTTGTACACTCGGTTGCGAAGCTCTAGACACGTATGTTACCTAACCGCCCAACCTTTCGCTTACAGGACTTGCTTACCTGCAGGAAGTCGCATGAAGTTAGAAAGAGGTGGTGTAGTCTGGGTGATCTTCTTCAATGGCCGATAGTGATTGCATTGCTGGTCATCGTCACGGCGTCGCTTCAAACGAAGCATCGACAACTCGGGCGCATATCTGTCCATGATACGGGTAAGGAGAATGTGTTGTCAACTCGCAGGTCAGCGCTGTTGATTGCACTTGTATCGTGATTCGCGTCGCGTAGAAGGCGCGTGGCAGGCATGCAGGGTCTTGTCAACTAGCAATATTGAGCTTGTTGTGATGTCACAGCCCGCGGTTGCGAGCGTACACTCAAGCATCTCACGACCGCTGATCCATCAACATTAGTAGTGTACATGATAATCATGTTACTTCCAAGAGGTGGGGAATTAAGATGCAGACATGGAGAAGCATTCCCATACTGGACTGGGTAGAGTGCTTACTCCGGCCCTACTACTGGGCCTCGTCTGCGGCCAGGCAGTGGGAATGGAAAATAGAAAAGGTAAGATATGTCAAGATCTATAAAGATCACACCGCTTGCATTAATGACCAGCCATCACGAGAACAGGAAATATCCTTCGGTTGATATCTGATATGCAATATTGAGCGGTAAATCGAGAAACCTAATCCAAGATTCCAAAAAATCAAAAATATCCTTGCACGAATCTCCATTACCAGGGCGCTGCGTTCACTCACGATGCGCAGCCCATCTCAGTGATTTAGTGTTCATTTATGGAACACTCCATGACCAGCTTATGGTCTTATCCCGATAGTCATCGAAAGGGAACTCGTAGCGACGAACATAAGGGCGCCAACTTGCGTTTTCATCAACATATGCAAGCCTGATTTCACGTATGCCCCGCGTAGGCTCAGCTGCGTCGTCCCAAATTCTAAAGACTGTAGTCTTCCACTGCCTGGCCATTTCTTCGTTCATGGTGATTCTTATTTTCGAATCGTCATTCCAGATCCTAAGCCTCAACTCTTTGATTGCCTTGGCCACGTCGCGCCACTTCGTCTGGGATGGATCAGCAAACAACGCCAGCATGCTGTTCATTTGTGCGACAGCGTGCCGTGCACTAAATCTACGCAAACGCTCATGTAATTCGAATTTGAATTGTACATTAGGCGAACGTGCGACAAGCTGTACCACACGAGCAATATCAACATCGTAGAATTCTTTCTCGCCATACGTATCAGAGCTGTGGTTGATTAAACTGATGATGCTTCCACGGTAACGTAACATAGTATCCTCGTCAGCTGGGGGGTAGAAATCGCGGATATACCGAGCGTAGTGGTATGTGGATTCTAGCCGAATGATTGTTTGGCTCCTATAGAGAGGCTGGAATTCGCGTCGGATTTGTCGACATGTCTGCATTAAGCAGCGGAACTTTCCCACTGGCTCAGTGTTGTCTTCGTGGCGGAGACGTAGCGAGACAGGCACCGGCTCCACGCAAAAGCTGTAGATTTTGTTTCGCAGTTCTGTATACTATGTCAGCCATGTTTGGATTGATCCAAACGAAGCACGCACCGCCCGGAAGGGCAAGGAGCCGACTGTCCTGAGTACTCATTGTGTTCTGCTGCCTCTGCGCTTACGCAATAACCATGAATGAAATTCACGGAATTTTGTTGGTTGTAGGTATTGTGTAAGAGATAAATGAGTGGAGAAGAGCATGCGACCGCCAAGCAACAGGGGAACATGTGTAACGCCAGGCGCTTACATGGTGTTTGGTGGCGGGGCTTCACCTTTACGTGTAGTACGTAATCAATCTGCAAACACGCTAGACAGTTTAGTAGACAGAAAACCTGTTCACATTCGACAACCTAACCATTTGAGTCAGGAGAAGTAAGCGATGAAAAAGATCTGGGCCGGTGAACTCCAGACATGACTACTTAAAGTAGTGGTGCAGAGCGCTTATACACATCCTCAGTCTCAGCTAAGAAAAAGATAGCGAAAGCGTTCATAGGCGGCGCACCCATCTTGATCAGCGCCTGCCGTGGATCCATAGTTCCATCCTGTTCAAAAAGATCCTCCATTGAGCGTCTAGATTGGAAAGTAAAGCGCATCTCAGGAAGCAAGCTGCAGGAGATGTCAACTCTTTTGATAAGGCGTTCCAAGTCCGGACGAAATACACCGGACGAGATTTTGGCGAAGAGGTCATCTAGGACGACAGCAAGACGGAGGGACGCACTTGCATCGGTGAAAGTGACTTTGAAATTGGGATGCTTCATGCAAAGGCGTGCGAGGGGTGTGGCATCGTACCGCTGGTTGAAGTATGACATAATCAGGATGTTGCCTTGTACGCTAGAATCGACGGTACTGCGCTCTAACAGCGACTCTTCGCTGGCGACTTCCGGCTGCCTCAGGTTGGGATAGAAGATTTCGAGAAATGCGTTTGCGGTGATTTGGTGAAGGACCATAACATTCTTGGCCATATATAGTGATCCGAACTCTGCTCGCATTTGCCGACACACATTCCGAAGGCTGCCATACAGTCGACAGCGGGCATGTGCGTAATGCTTCTTTGTACGCTTGGGGTACCTCGGCATGTACAAAGTTTTGGGTTCGACGCAGAATTCGTAGATGCGGTTGCGAAGCTCGCCGGGCAATGCTAGAAGTGGCGGAGCGGACATAGTGATCTCGTAGGTCTGAAGAGAGAGAGAATGGATATCGGATTGCTTGTGATTACCCGTGGCTAGGTATTTGTTTGGATGAAACATGGAATCGCGAATATGTTGCCTTATGAATAGCAGGTAGCCGAAGGGACAAGGGGCGCTAGAGTCCATATAGTTAGTCTGGCATATAGTGCTGGTGGCCTCATCTGGGTATCTCATTCATCTCCTGGTCGACTCTGGTGACCAAGTTTCCCTCCGATTTCGAAACATAGTTGGGTGACGGGTTCACAGGCTCATGAACCGGAAGCTGTTGCTGGACATGGCCATGTAAGCGGTCTTTTGCTAGACTGGAATGCTAGTCGAGAGTTGTACTGATGGTGTTTCGTGCTGCGGCTGTCAAGCTTAAAACCGTGTGGAGGGAGGAGTGGGATACTACTTGGAACTCATCCCGCAACCAGTTGTTGCTCTTGTCAGTACTTCAGGAGAGATGGTGATTGGAACTTTCACTAGCGCTCACAGGTGAGTAGTCGTAGTGAAGTGCCTCCACTTTGCATGTGCTGCAACAGATGCATTCAGCTGGTACTTGAGGATCTGAGATGAAGCTAAAGACAGAACGTGGTATGCCAACTAGCTGAAAGTATGTGTCGCTACATGGCCTTGCCTTCAGGCGTGCTGTTCCAAGCATGCTCGAATTGTTGCCATCCACCTTGTGGCTCCTCGCACATCTTCAGATCGCTGATGACGAAGTCGTAGTATCCGTCCGCTGGAAGTTTCCCTTGGTTCACAGTGCCGCCCATAGCGATGTTGATGAGTATCCTGAAGTCTTCCATGCGTCGGGTGCCCTCAGGTATGCTGCCCTTCATGACTGGCCGACCGTCGATGTACCAGATCATGCGCCCTCTCCACCCAGGTATGCCCTCTTCTTCGATCCAAGCGAAGCCGTAAGTGTGTGGCTGTCGTGCCAAGTCTGGCAGGGATGTCTTGACTACTCGATGCTTTTGTGCGTCCTCGCCGGTGTACGAGCCCCAGTGCAAGCACGAGTGATTCTCTGTCTCGCCGTTCCAACTCTCAGCAAGATCGACCTCGCCGTCCGTCGGCCACTTGAAGGGATCAGCAGGTAGCATCCAGTACGCAGGCCAGATGCCTGGTGCGGAAGGGGGTAGGCAGGTGGCCGTCAAGTATCCGCGCGGTCGCGATAGCGTCTGGTGCGAGGTCAAGCGCGCAGAAGTGTAACTCCCGTTCTGGACGAGGGCGCGTACAATCAGGCGGTTGTCGTGGTGGAACGAGTTTGCGGCATTGTCCGTGTACATCTGCTTTTCGTCGTTGCCCCAACCATGGTCGCCAATCTCATGCCGGAAGTTCTGGGACACGGGCGTCGCGATGTCAAAGGACGGCTTCCAGTACACGCGCTCGCCCTGTGGTGGGGGGATGTTTTGTGGCGGAGGAGGCTGCGCAGACTGCGGTCTGTTCTGTGGAATGGGCGGCGGTCCGCCAGGCTGAGGGGTGTGTGGCTTGCTACCCTGGGGGACGGGTGGTGCAAAAGACTGCTGCTGTTGCGGAGGCGGCGGGCCCCATTGTTGCTGAGGGGCACCACCCCATTGCTGCTGAGGGGGACCCCATTGTTGGTTCTGGGGCGGATACTGCGGGGGATATTGGCTCCCCGTGTACTGCCCTTGGTTTGGCGGAGGATAGCCCTGCGGTGGCTGCTGATAGCCTTGAGGTGGTTGTTGGTAGCCTGGGGGAGGCTGTTGATAACCCTGGGGAGGCTGCTGGCCCGGATAGCCCTGGCCCGGGTAGCCTTGTTGGTGATGGCCGCCTGAAGGCTGCCCAGTAAACTCGGAGAGCTTCGCCTTGCCTTTCGCTAAGAGTTTGTCAAGGGTAGGCATCTTGTTGCGCTGCCGTGGTACAAAGGAAGCGACGGTACGACGAGGTTTCCGCTTCAAGCCGAGCTGCCGAGCCACCATGGCCACGACCTCCCTCTACAACAACACGCCTCTAGGCATACACGTCGTATCAACAGTCTACCATCTCCCTCCAAAGGATACACGTCATGTAGCAATACTAGAAGAACAAACAACAGTGGGTATGCGCTGAATACTGCCATCTTCCTGCAAGGGCTAGCATCCTCTACTCTCATCGCGCCTTCCCTCCAGAACCCTCGTCTGCTTCTCTTTGTTGTCGAATCATCTGTCTCTGCCAATTAAAATCGTGCCTTTTCTGATAATATCTGATTCGTCGTATTTTCTTGCACAAACAGGCGTTCACCCACGTTACACATGTGACGTCACATCTCACCACAACAACGGCCATTCACCCGCAGAGCCAACCAGCAACGCTATGCAAGGCAGGCAAGAGGCAAGCCTCGCCCTCCAGATCGCCGGCAACAGCTGTTTGGAACAGCAAGTTTCACACACTCCCACGTAGGCCCCGCGTCATTCTCCGCATCTTGGAAGTCATCGACATGTCTTGATGGCAGTCGCGCCTTGTCGCACACGAACCAACACAACTTTTCCCACAAACAAGACTCTCCCTCTAAAGCTCCACCGCATCATCTCCACCTAACACTCTCGCCTCAGACCTGTTACACCACGCCACTCACCATTACCCACAAGTACAACCCAACCAACATGTCTTCCATCGTCAACGCGCTCAGCGACCTCTTCAAGTCTCTAGTCGAGCTTGTGTGGTCCTTCTTCACTACTGCCGGAGCACTAGTCCAGAAGACGGCCCAGTTCGCACTCAACTTCGCTACTGAGATCATCGACCTCGTTGTTAACTTCTTCCGTGGGCTTGTGGACCTTGCTGGCGGCATTGTTAGCTTCATACTCGGTAAGTGAGCAAAGAAACTCCCGACTCGCGTGCCAGCCTAAGCGCAAATACTAACCACGCGATAGGCAATGTCCTTATGCTTGGCGTCGTCGCTGCTGCTGTCTTTGGCTTCCTCCGGTACCAGCGCAGCCAAGGCAGACAGGTCACGGTCGGCAACAAGAAGCTAAACTAGCCTCTATTCATACGACTCAACCTCTGGGAATTATGGCGGACCAACCACACGATGTGGACAGACGTGAGTATGCTTAGCCACACGGCAGCTGCGTTTCGAATGGCGAGGAACTGTACGACACCCTTTGATGACGGTACCGATACTGCAGCCAGCGCGGAGAATTGATAGGCTAGTCTTCCAATCGTTTACCGAATCAAGATATCCCTTGTTGTTTTCACTCCGAACGCCCACACCCTAGCGCATCCTTCCCGCGCCCAAGGGCTTACCCTTTTCTATTCTGAATACAGTCTTCAGTCTTGCCAATAGAGTCAATCTAACCAATTTGATATCTCTAGCATGGGCCTTGCCACATGTACATATGAGCTTGCTCTTGACACCGCAGTATAGCGGCGCTTTTTTCTTCTACCATGCAACAATGCTGAGCCTCAACCTCTTCGCACAGAAAGCCAAGTCGTATCGTCGTTTGTCAACCTCGACCGAGGGAGAAGGCGACACATGCATCTCTCCAGGCGTGTCCGCTCAGAAAGAGGAACATGATGCAGATGAAGGCTTGCTGCTCGCTAAAAGGCTCCGACGGCCCTGGCATTGGTCCTGCATGCACATGTGCGGATACCTCTTCGTTGCTCTGCTAAGCTTTTCCATCGGTCTCGGCCTCAGCCAACTGTTCACTTTGGAGAAGGATGTTGATGGGTTTATTGGTATGTTCGCTCCATATCGCCTCCTCTGCATGAGTCTATTAAGCCTGCATGTAGCATTTTTCGCCATACTTACTAGACATCAGCACAATGGGGCAGTTCGCACCGTAATATTGACAACGTGTGGTGGTCGGCTAACGCCAGCTTCGCCGCGGAGCCTAGCCTCGAGACGCAAAAGACTTGGGAGAGCATCATGCCGCAAGGTCGAGGCTTCATTCAACACCCCAAGTTAACAAAAGATGGAGAGGTAAAAGCTATTGCCGTGTTTCATGAGATACACTGTCTGGTATGGTTTCCCACCTCTAGCTCACACGGCCCTCTGTCAATTGAATCAAATAGCACGGTCTTCGAACAGCCTTCTACAAGAACGCATACCAGCTCGCCAAACTCCAACATCAGCAACCTCAAGCAAGATCGCTTCCTAACACCGGCTCTCCCCATAGCGAACCCGAATCATCCTCCGAACATCACGTCGGACACGGCCATGACCATACGTCCCCTACAGTGTTCAAGCCGAACCCATTCATAGAGGCTCTTTTGTCAGCCAAAGATGAGGACGACGATCCTGGCCACATCACTCACTGCTTTGAGTACCTGCGTCAAGCACTCATGTGTGCTGCTGATACCAATCTAGAAGTGACTCACCAGATGGTTGGTGAAGATGGAGAGGAGTTCATCGGGACCGAAGGTTGGGATACAGCGAGGGTATGTAGGGACTACGAAGCGGTCAAGGAGTGGGCGGAAGCGTGGAGGGCGGGAGATGCTGGTGGAATCATCTGAGCAGGGTTACTAGTGATGTTGTCAAAATTGACTGCATTGAAGTTTTGGCATGATTCTTAATTTGGTAATTGACTCGGGCATTCTGTAAGTTCGCCGAGAAGTGTTCTATTGAGGTTGCATGTGTGTTTACTTTGAGTAAGTAAGGATATAGGACTAGATCTGGAAAGGGTAATAATGGTTCTATAGCACCAGTGGTCGCCGAGCCCAAGTTTACCATGTAATCACGAAACAGCCACCGTAAGCGACGACTAAAGAGATGTTGTACATCACACCTCGTCTGTTGTGAAATGCAGGACGTTGCGAAAACTGACAGGAATAGGTGGGAGGATAACACTCAATGCCTCCTGTTACTAACCGAATGCGGGCGAGGCTGAGTGGTGTCGTCGATATTGCATAGCCTCCACCATGCGCAAACGCCTAATGGGTGCTTCTTCGCATCGTGTCGCAGTCATGACAAGATGGCAAGACACTACTGCATAACACATTGTGTAAGATTTTGTAACCGACGGCAGATGTTTGTCTCGTGTAGTTCCGTGCTGGCTGTCTCCTTTCTGCGACTGATGGAACACATCAGCGCGTGTTTGCGGACGAGACTCAGCTCGGTGACGGCATACACGTATCCACCGAGCTGGCACTAGGTCTAGCTCTGAGATTTGATGGCAGACAATAGTCCTGCAAAGGGCATGTGTACTCGATATTTGTATTAAAGTATACAATAAGTAGAAGATAGCGCAATGAAGTGAAAAGAAGAGAAGAAAGGGTTGAGACGTTCCATGCATATATCAAGGCGTATAGGGAGGCGGCGGATCCCGCTCGCCCAACTCAGTGGACACGGTGGGCGCGTAATGTAGCCCTCCACCACCATGGCCATGTCCATATGTCTCCCAGTTGTCATCAATAGTCTGACTAGCACCACCCTGAGGCTCGGTAGCCAACTCGTAGGTCAGCCCAGGAGATGTAGGCGTCGCACCGAAAGCTGGTGTCGACACCGAGAAGCCTGCATTTCCATAGATGCCATGTTGTGGTACAGGTGAAAGACCAGCCGCGGGGCTAGTCTGTTCAGGTATGTCTTGTGGCCGTGAGCCGTTCGCGATAGGCATGCGCGATATCGTCGCAAAGGAATCGGTTCGTTGGAGAGAGGGTTGTATGATGATCTGAGGTTTCCGCTGCGGTACAGGCCGCCGTGGGATGTTGAAGCTATGAGTATGGGGAAGCGCGTGTGGTCGGCATTGAGGTTGGGATTGATACTGAAGCTGAGCCTGAGTTTGACATTGCGGTTGGTATATCGGTGGTCGAGGCTGTGCCGCTGGAGCATAGCACGCATACTTCTGCTGTGGTACCGCAGGTTGTTGCTGCTGCTGCTGCTGCTGCTGCTGCTGCTGCTGATGGTGTTGAGGACGGTGATGAGCTTGCGTGTTCCAGCCATTCTGCTTCGCCGGATTGGCACCAGGAAACGTGTTATGGCGTCTTTTCTGGGCTTCTGCCTCAAGTTGCTCCTTGTCGTTCTTCTTACGGTAGTGTCGGTGGATGAGGTATCCACCTGCAACAATCTCAAGGCCGCCAAAGATCATGATGTCGCCAATGTCACTGTAGCAAAGACAGAAGCAGTAGGGTTAGGGAGGGAAAAGTCTAAGGCTCGAATCTGTCCTCGCAAGGCAAACGGAGGAGGAGTGGGTGGCTGAGGCCATAATATCGGATTTGTGCTCAGCCTCTATTGTCAGACTGAAGACACGAGCTATTGGTGCCGTATCCTCCGGCGTGGTGGCGGAGTCGAGAGGTGCAGCGGCCATACAACCCAATCACAATGCCTCGCTTACCTGCCCGAAGCACTCGGTTGCATGCACCCTTATCAGCAAGCTATTGGGAGCACGAAGAGCTATAGAGCTTCTTATTCCCATCGTCACACCTGACGCCAGACGGGTCGAACGTTGTTTCCGACGACTCCTTATCCCATGGGTGCGGGATACAACAAGGCCTAGTAGCACCAACCGATGAGCGTCTCCCGGGTGCCGCTCCGACCTCCCATCATAGGCGAATTTGCGCGATTTTGATACAAGAGGTAGTGTTGAAGAGTCGTTTGAACATTGGCGATACCAGCTGGGCCCTTTAAAAGCTATTGTTTCAACGCGCAGAGCAAACACGCTAGGCGACTGCAGATGGGGACTAACGGAGAGGTATAGCTTACGCGAAGCCACCGACTCGATGCCATCGCAACAACACATCTCCTCAGTTTGGAGGTGCTGCAACCAACTCTCGCAGGCCAAGTATTCGCATTGCTCTGCTCGTTGACATTCGCATCCAGAATGAAGCAGAAGAAGAGATGGTGTCTACCGGCCTTGGTAGGTATCAGAGCAGTGGCTCGGATCGGGACGCGTACCCAGGACGCGTACTATTCACACTTGATCTCTGCATCTGCCGTCTGCGAGATCCAGATTGACCATAGACTCCGGGGAAAAGGACGATGTGCAGAACTGGTGTTTCTACCCTCGGTTCTGGAGCTAGATCTCAACACACTAGAGGCATCATGATGCAATCACTGAATCAGCGTCCGCAGAACTCCTAACTCCGCAAACGGCACATGCAGGTTTTAAACGTCATGTTCGCGCACGCGGTAGATACGTACAGGGTCAACAGCCGTTTCGTACTGCCTCCTGGACATAAATAAAGAGTAGAACATTGAATCTTCGAAGCGCATACTAGTCCGAGACTTCCGATACTGATCGCTACAAGAGAGAGAGCGAACGCGAGATGCTTAGCAACCAAAGCACACGGACCAGACGTGAAGGATACCAAAAAAATGAGATGGACCTTAAATCCGAACAATGGTATGCGGGGTATGTCTAATATCCAATTTGCGACCTCATCGCTCTTTTGAGGGGTGGATCCTCGGTAACCCATGCCGTCCTTTCTATACAAACCGAGAGCTAGGGGCCGAAGAGTCTCAAATCCCAGTCTTCGGCACATCATGGCAGCCGTTATGTGGCAGCTAGCCAATAGCTGGGTATTCTGTATCCTACCTGGAAAAGCTAGGCGTCATCCCGCCGCAAGGCTTGTTTTTTAGTGTCGCGGATCAACGGACGGCTTCACTCGTAGCATCTAGCACATCTTGGCAAGACGCACGATATTTCACCCGAGAACGGAGTGCCTGGTCAATCAAAGTCCGGTCATCTTCGGTGACGATGCGTCCGAGATTGGTAACCCAGCATGCGCATGCAATTTAAAAGTACCTGTGCATCACGCAGCCGAGCACCAGTTCAGACCTGTGTGTATCGCTTCCACTCATCATCATGCTATTTTCATCCCTCATCGCAAGCGTTGTGACCTTTTCGGGTGCAGTTTCTGCGCTACCTCATTCTCAGCCGTTCAAAGAGGTCTTGGGCAAGAGACAGAGTACTACGGCCAATGCTCTAGAAGTCGATCTGGGCTATGGAATCTACCAGGGTACCAGCAACACGAGTACTGGTATCAACAGTTGGCGAGGGTATGCTTATCCATCACTAATGAGGAATTGATGCTGATCTACTGTTTCAAGAATTCGCTTTGCTGCACCACCGACCGCTAGTTTACGTTGGCAACGACCCCAAGCACCATCCGTCAACCGAACTTCAACCATTTCCGCCGATGCTTATGGACCTCAATGCCAACAAGTCGGCTTCAACGGACAATCGAGCTTGCAATCAAGTGGTGCAACAACACCAACCTCGGAAGACTGCCTTTTCCTGAACGTTCAAAGCCCAGCCAACGCGTCAGATCTTCCCGTCCTTGTTTGGATTCATGGTGGTGGATATGGTGCTGGCAATGGCCGACAAGATTTTACTGAACTCCTTACGACGACTGGAAATAACTTTGTCGTCGTTTCAATCCAATACAGGCTGGGACCGTTTGGTTTTCTCGCGTCTGACGAAGTAGTACGAAAAGGTGTTGCAAACGCGGGACTCTTGGACCAGTTTTTTGCTCTTCAGTGGGTACAGACGTACATCGAACAATTTGGAGGTAACACTTCAGCCGTGACCATATCTGGTGAAAGTGCTGGCGGTGGATCAGTCATGCTTCAAGATATGGCCTATGGTGGCTCTTTGGGCGACTCTCTGTTCCGCAGCACCATCGCCGCGTCGCCATACCTCCCCAAACAGTATGCTTACGACCATTGGATTCCGTCACAGAACTACTATGCTTTTGCCGATCGTGCAAACTGCTCGGTTACCGCATATGGCAACGCATCCTCCACAATCTTTGATTGCTTGATATCACAAGATACGGAGACATTACAGAGTGCTTCTGTCGATGTGACAAACACTGCGACATTCGGAACTTGGGCTTTCTTGCCAGTGACCGACGATATCTTCGTTCAGGATGAGCCCAGCAGCCAGCTGCTTGAGAATCGCGTGAATGGGCGAAATGCATTGATCGGAAACAATGCTAACGAGGGGCCTTTATTTGTACCTCAAGACATCACCTCCGAAGACGACTTCCTTACCTGGCTTCGCAACAACTTGCCCGAATTCACCGACTCTGACATCGCAAAGGTGCTGCGCTACTACCCAATCAGCAACGCTGCAAACGATTCTAATGCTGATGAGTTTGCGACGAATGGTGTCACTGGACCTAGTGCGCTCGATCAAAGTTCGCTTGCTACAGGACAGCAGCAGCGTGCTAACAACCTTTACGCTGAACTGACTTTCGTATGCCCGTCATACTGGATGGCAGAAGCATACACTGGCAACAATCGTACATCATACAAGTACCAATTCAGCCCTCTCCCAGCCACCCATGGTGCGGACGTACAAGGATACTTCGGACAGCTAGGCTCAGTGCCATACCTAAGCGCCGACTTCCAGCGCGCATTCATGAACATGTGGGGAAATTTCATTACTCAAGGCAACCCATCAATATCGGCTTCCGTAGCAGCTGGCTCTACTTCGTCCGAAAATACTGCAGATATCACAGCTGCAACTCAATGGCCAGCCTTCTCGGTCGCTGAACCGTACCAGCTCGATCTCAACCAGACAGGTGGTGAAATGGCTATTGGTTCGCTGAATGTCAACTCACCGGTCAACACGACTTACTTCACCGGACCAGGTCTCATGAATAACTTTACACTTGTTAATGCATACACGTGGGAGGATGGACGCGGCATGAGATGCGACTTCTGGAGGAGCGTGGCCGATATTATTCCTGCGTAAATGATGGGACCTAGTATAGCAATGACTGCTGACTACCGTGTACACGTAAGGTGCTAGTAGGATTACTATAGTATTCCATCAATTCATCGACCATGCGTTCACGACTACTCGTCTTCTCATCTTCCACTTAAATCTTACACAACCATGTAACTCAATCGATTTGTAAATTCGATCTCGAATAGCTCAAAGTGTGTATAATCTAACACCAAAAAAACACCACTGTGTATAGGTATACCCCGCTCGCTCCGCATTTCGGAATACCACTATCACCCGAATCACATGCTAATGACATAAGGCTGCTTGGGGCACCACCTGTACGCTCTGGGCTTCAGTCACCATCTGTTTCTCCTCCCTGTCGGTCTTGAAGATCTCCTCCTAATGCACGTTGTGATACCGGAAATGCACATCCAGCGAGTTCTTCCTACCCAGCTGTCCGGTAATGGTTCTCATAACTTCCTAGAAATTTGTTTGTGTGACGCAAGTCTAGATCCTTGAGTTTGGGCGTGCGGACGGAGATCACCGGATCGTCGGCCAAAGGCATAAGATCAGTTGGGTTTGAGCTGTCAGTGCGACGATTTTGGCCGCCGACGCTAAGCAACAAGATCTTTGCTTATACCACAGAGATGGGTGGGACGCAAGATTCTGTGATAAAAATATCATATTCCAGACGAAGATGCTTGAGATTCGGGCAGGCGCGTGCTAAATATATCACAGTATTTTCACTAGTGGGTACATCCGTTCTATCCAGACGAGCTCCTAGGCCGATTTCTTCTAGATTAACACAAAAAGCTTACTCTGCAGTAGATTTAGTGTCGAGATGCGCGTCGTGACGTGCCTTAGCTGCGCGTGCTAGGTTGGGCCGTCCTTCAGGTCTTGGACCACGGATCTGGTCCGAACTCTATTCCGATGCCTACTATGAACCTCACTCTTCATGCTCTCACTCTTTGAGTTTGCTAGACACGCGTTGCAATTTCATTGGTCCTGCGCTAGCTAACGCACCTGATTGTCGCACGCTGCGTCCACGATTCTGGCCGTGACGCTTTTGGGCTCGCTCGGCTTCCTGCGTGCTGATGTGGCCGTGTACCCTCGCTTCGCTGGCGCTTGATACTCTATGAGACATTGGTGCTCCCATACAAGACGAAGTGAACCACCAGTAAATTGTAGTTTGATCGAAGAAAGATGTTGATGAAGGTGGAAATGCACAAGCTGGGAACGCATTTAAGGCCAAGCAAAGGGTCGTCAAACCGTTGTATAGTCTCGAACACAGATAACAGTGCCTTTCTTTTGGAATCATCAAGTAACGTAGCTCTTGAAACATCTCACACTATTTAAATTCGGGATTTAGTTCACTACTAAGAGTAACGCACACTACATGTCTTCTACGCATAGATGTAGCATAACGGTTCTCCATCTAGTGTGCTCATCATCTCCTCATTGGTTATCGTCGGCATATTAAGGTAGTTCATCTGGATAGGGTCATCAAGCCTGGCATCTCGGCTAGGTGGCTGGTTGAAGATGGTAATCGTGCCAGCAATGGACTTGGCTTGGTTGAGGTGCAGCGCCTGCCAAAGCCTGTAGAGGTAGAGGTACGAAGTCAGTCTTTATCTCACATACATGTCGTCCAGTCGCAACTTACCACCATAAGCGGTCGACCATAGCGTGATGTAGGAAAAAAGCAGGGTCGTTTGGGCTGCTGAAGACATCACCGCCATCACCGCCAATCGAGAAATGACCTGCGGCGTGCATGCCGAGAAAGCCATCGGGAAAGCGCCCCTGAAGTTCATCTTGAAAAAGACCGATGTTTTTGGAGGCTGCCCCAAGGGTGACGTTGTAGAGGTTGTCAAAGGTTAACCAAGTAGAGGATGCGTAGGAGGTAAGATCCCTTTTTGCGCAGCGTGGGTTCCAGGCAAGTGGCGATGATGAGGCAGTCTCTCCGGCCATTGATGGAGAGATAGGACCAAGATTGATTTGAAGACTGATCTTTGTTACAAATTTGCAAGTAAAATTTCTTCGAGGAGATCTTGCACTTACTTCTTGAATGGACCGTCCTTGATGCAACCACCTCCTGCACCGGAAGGTAGCGCAATTGTGCCTTTGCCACCCGCACTTCCGTTGTGCTTTACATATGAACCATCTCCGCCCATGCTCGTCGCAGTGCCGTCGAAGACAGGGTGCTTAGTGAGGTCGTCTGTATGGCTAAACCAGTTCCAGTAAGGCTGGGAGCCATTGTATCCGCACTCGTCTCTCAATGCCTTCTCGTAACCGTACACAAAGTACCTACAGATGTGGAGGCGTGACATCAGTTATACATCTAATATGCGACTTGGACAGCCACGACCTACCGGTGCCAGCTTAGAAAGTTACCAGTTCCGTGGATCGTTGTAGTCTGGTTGATGTGTTGTGCAACAAAGTCATCATAGCGAGTCCTGGCACCAGGTACTAGGGCCGGATCGGATTGGGATGGAGCGTTGTACATGCACTGTACAGCACTAATATATGCTTTTCGCTCGTTCACGCTCATGAAAGCCCTGGACATATGTTACTCTTCTCACGCACTCAGATGTATCAAAACTTTTACCAGTCTTTGCGAACTGTCGCGGTAGAAATAGAGCACTCTCCTATTCTCTCAAGTGTACCGTTTTTCTCTGCAAACTTCAGATTCTCAAGGGCCCGGTTCTGGAGATCCGAAAGCAAGTCCCTCTTCTCGATCACCAGTGATTGGACAGTACCGGCTAACGCCAGGACTGCGGTTGGGAAGTCATGGAAACGCATATTGAGGTTGGTGTAGAACAAGCAAGGAGGAGGCAGCCGAAAAAGACCCTAAACACTTGGCTGAGTGACAAGGACTTCTTTTGTCGCGGGCAGGTGCCATTTAATATGCTCGGCTACCCACATCGCGCAAAGAGCATCGCGAAGGTCTACGCATGCGGGGACGGGGATCGAACACTTCCAGTTAAAAGGCCGCAACTACGTTTCTACATATAGTTGAGGAGGTTCGGCTTTTGCCAGCATTAGACCCGGTGGGTGGGACATATTTTGTCCGGTGCAAGACCCGTTTATGGCATGTCCGGGTAGGCTGGGCCGGTGGGTATGATTTGCGAAACTAATGTTCTCATACGAAGGGTTTGCAGATACGATCTGCAACTTGCGATCTCTGGTCTTCTAAATATTTCTACATCAATAAGTATGATTTGATACTCTTGGTTATAAAAGGCTGGTCGAGTTGTACATGAGGACTTTAGTGGTCCTCTGACGTGCTCTTTGCTTGCTCTGGAAGGACAACTCTCTTAATGCGCAGAATGTTGCTGAAGAAATGAGGCCCACTGCTAAGCGAGCATCCGAAGGATCCCAGTACCAGCGACAGGCCTATGGGCTTGATAAGCTGTGAGTACGACTTTCAGCGCCAACACGCAGTACACGTGGATGGAAGATTTCATGTGTAGGTGCGGATGTTGCGATTGCTGAAGGGAGGGCCCTGATAATTAATCCTACACGGATGGGCTGCATTATCGAGAAGGATCCCGGCTTCATCTTGTATTCTTCCATAGCGGCTTGGTGCTGCAGGTGCTCTGGTGTCCACGGGTTGAGATAATTGCACTGCACCCCTGCACCCCTGCACGCCAGCTGGATCGTGCATCACGGCTGGAATGCATCGAACGCCGCGTCCCGTGTCAGCAAGGGTCAACACCAGTGCCGCCATAAGGGCTTGTTCGACCTACTTGAGAACATCACGGCCACGCACTAGAGCGTAGTACTATCGACTTATTGAAGGGCTGAACTCAACACTTGAGTCATTGCTGCTTCACACCCTGACTGAAGCCCATTTGTGCAAAGTCACCGAGTCGTCGAGTGGAAACCGATACAATTGATTCAAGGAGTGCGACAACTCGCGCGATTGGTAGCAAACCGCTCTTTTGTCCTCGCAAATCGATCTCAACTATGTTGTGTGGCATGTTGGATAGTAGAATGACTGATACAAGTGTTAACGACAAAACATGCGAGAGGCAGATGACGAATGAGGAATTGGCTTGAGCTGTGAAGCATAACATTCACGCTGTCAGCCCGTAATAATGCCTTTTTCTAGATCACCACAATCCTTGCCACGAGTTCCATGGTCTTGGGCTCAATGCTAGGGAAAGTCATTGCCGCTCCTGAAGTTTCTGGTGCTGTGCATCCACTGTTCACGGACTGTCCTTAGCGGCTTCATCACAACTGGCTCCAGTAGATCACGAGCATGCCTCTCCAATAAGGAAGCGATGGCAAATCTCTTCGGCGTGAAAATTTGTCAAACGCAGTTCACTCACAAGAATGGCAGGTGTTCATCCCGTACTAGTGAATGATGATACGTATAGTGTTACCGCTTAAGCGAGTCGTATATAATAACTAAGTGCCTCTCGCGAGGTCTGTCGATCGATCTAATAGAAAAGGACATACAGGCATACTCATACAGATGCCCACCCATCTTATGCTTATACCTAACGCCGACGCCCTGTTGATTAAGATGAAACGAGATCCGTCAATGGTATAGAACAATTCCGCCCAATCCAAAACGCCTGATGTCTGTCCCAAGCAGGACCTATCCAATAGTGGCTCGACTGTGTACTGCAAACTCACGTAATTCTCCTCTTCAAACCTCCAAACAGCCCCTTAAGGCCGCTTGACTCTTCCTTCTTCTTCCTTCTGTCACGTCGGTCCGTCTCACCACGTCTCGGTCTTGGCCGGTCATCGCCATAATCTCGAGCGCGGGGCCGATCAGATTCTACTCGACGACCCGATGGCCTCTCTTTCTCGACGACTGAAATACGGCGTGCCTTGGGGCGTTCTTCCGGTTTCGACATACGCCTGCTTCGACGGCGCTCGCGTCTTTCCTCGTCTGAGATTGAGATCTCACCGACGACGGCAGCTGCGTCCTCGATCACGGGCGATTCAGCCTGCTCAAACAATTCGGGCTCTGGCTCTGGCTCATATTCGAAAGGCTCTGGTGGTGGGGGAGGTAGATCCTCAGGCGGCGGAGGCGGCGGCGGAAGGGAAATCCCTCCATCCCGTCCACCAGACATTTCATGTTCGGGACGGCGCATATAACGTCGCTCTTCTTTCCATTTGTAGTAGTCAGCTTCCTCCTCAGCAGAAGCGAAGCGACGTTGACTGTGTGAGTGACGCCGACTGCGGTGCATGCGCTCGGGGCGCTCTCGGCTCTGGTCTGACGATTGATCTCTGCTTGAGGGTCGTTCGGCTTCAGGTTCTCTTCGCGATGGCTTGACAGGCGTCGTCTCCAGCGTGTTCGCACGGGCGCGAGTTGATCTGGATGGTTTCGAGCTAGGCGGAGTAGGATCAGGCTTTGAGCGACCAAAGATGCCGCCAAAAAGACTGCCGCGCTTCACGTTCGGTGGAGTCTCTCGAGTACTCAAGCGTCGGCGCGGCGCGCTACGAGGTGGTGTTTCGTCGCCTATGGGTGGCAATGGAGGGGGAGGGGAGGCGTTGTCGTCGTCTTCCTCTGCTGCTCGTCTGGCAGCATCGCGAGAAAGTTCAACCAACTCTTCCTTTGGCTTCAAACCAGCCGCTTTGGCTGCTTCTCGCTCCGCCCTCTTTTGCCGCCGTAGCCTCCTCGCCTCCTCTTCTTCACGCGCAGCCTGCTCAATCTTTTCCTGCTCCAAGCGTCTTGCCTCCTTCTCGGCCTCGTGCCGCTGCCGTCTCTTCTCATGTCGAAGACGTCTCTCCTCTTCTTCCATCGCAAGCCTTTTCTCCTCTTTAAGCTTCTTACGTTCCTCCATTGCCCTCATAAGCTCCTCTTCGGCACGCCTGACTGCACGACGTCTTTCACGATGCTCCAACTTTCTTGCTTCTTCCTCAGCCTTCAGGCGGGCAGCGTCTGCTGCAGCGAGACGCTCTCTTTCAGCTCTCTCGGCCCGTCGTAATTCACGTCGCTTTTGCCTTTCAGCTTCTTCGTCGACTTCCTCAACGGGTTGACGTTTGCTGTATCTCTCTTCGCCCCTAGTTTCTCGGTGGCGTGAGCGGTATTCGGGGTAGGCCTTCTCATACGCCTTCTCTCTGTCGCTGCCACTACTGGGCTTCTCAGCCTCGCGAAGTCTTTCCCTTCTTCGCTCAGCTTCACGCTCAGTCATGCTATCGCGCCGTCTTGTCCTTGGCGCATCAGGAACAGCCGAAGATGGCATTATTGGCCGCTCCCTGGTGCTAGCACCGCTTTCTCGCCTACGGCTGGACTGATGCTGGCTCTCGCGACGGGAGTGCGAATATCGACGACGAGTCTTCTCCCGACTGGGAGTGTCGGCGGACGGTTCATCTTCGACTGCGAAATCGCGCTCCCTGACCATATGGTCATCAGTGCTGTTGTCAACCAACGCGGCAACGACAGCAGGTAGTGGTGGTGGCGGTGGAGTTCTGCTCGGACTTTCACCAACATAGAGGGACCTCTCCGCCGTGGCGTCGTCGGCTGGTTGAGGTTCAGGAATATCTTCATTGGCCACTTCCGCTACAACTTCTTCCGTCTCCACTTCTGGGTCTGGTACCGAGACCTCATTGGCACCGTTCTCCACAATTTGCTCGACCTCTGGCTCCGCGGCTGGTTCAGCGGGTTCCTCAGTTTCTGGGGATGGCTCTGGAGCCAATACCGCCTCAGCCGGCTCCTCTGGAGCTGCTTCAGCTGGTGGCTCGGGCTCTTCAGCAGTAGCTGGCTCCTCGGGTTCGGGCTGACCTTCAACAGGGACTTCCTCGGGTGGTGCCTGTGGCTCTTCTTCCTCAGGCTCAGAGGAAGGTGCAGGTACCGGCTCTTCGTCCTGTTGGGGTTCTTCGGCTGCTTGTTCTGACTCTGCTTCGGAAGGTGGGTCTTGGACGACTGCGGCAGCTTCTTCTACAACGGCTTCTTCGAGTACTGGTTCAGCAGACTCCACAGGTGCCTCTACCGCCTCTGCAGCAGCCTCTTCAGGCGGTATATCTTCTGCTGGTGTTGGCTCCGGTGCGGACGGGGCTTCCTCCGGCTGGTCATCCGTCTCTTCGCTCACATCAACCGCTGAAGGTTCATCATCTTCCCCTGCAGCTTCGGAGCCATCATTTGAATTGGCCTCTTCAGCAAGTGAATCTGGTGCGTCTTCAACAGGAGATGAAGGCTGACCATCATCTGATTGCTCTAGAGGTGCAGGTTCGGCCGGTTCGTCCTCTTTGGCTATATCAGGCTCATCTCCAGGGGCCTCATCTGGTGTCGCTGCCAGTTCTTGCGCCTCGTCAGTTTCGTCCACATCAGCCTCTGGCTCAACTGGCTCCGCTTCAGCTTCCGCCGCGACTGATTCTGTCGTTTCTGGTTCAGTGGGCTGTTCCGCCTCTTGCTCAATCGCAGGTACATCCCCTGCTTCAGATGCTTGCGGCTCAGCATCAGCGACCTCATCGATCGCTGTTTGCTCGGGTTCTGGTACACCAGCGTCTACCTCTTCCGAGTCAATTGAAGTTTGAGTAGCGTCGATATCAGCCTCTACATCGTGTTCCGGTGGCGAGACAGACTCTCCAGCCTCGCTTTCGCTGTCGGATCTGCTCGCCAGAGAGACATCATCGGCCTCATCTTCCTCGTGCGCCTCTTCTTCACCCTTGGGTTCGTCGGCCGGTTCGTGCACTTCCACAACTGCGGGCGCCTCTTCTTCCGGCTCGGCGGAGCCTTCTGTTGATACTAGGGAGTCGTCGTTGGCAGAATCGTCCTGGGTGGCAGCACTGGTGTCATCCTCGTCGCCTGCTTGCTCCTCCTCCAAAACCGGTTCGAGAGTGGGAGCAGGTGGATCATCGACCTCTGATGTAGGAGCTTCTGCCTCCGGGATGATCTCAGACGTTGCGACATTGACTTCGAGCGATAGTCCCGGGTGCGTATCCGCGACTGGGGCGGACTCTACTGGTGACTCTGGGCTCTCGGCAACTTCATCATCATCGAGATTGGCAGCCTCCTCTACCGACACAGAGCTCTGTTCCTCTTCTTGGGCCTTTGAAGAAAGCTCGGAAGCAGAGTCGTCATCCAAACCAGCACCATCATCGATATTTAACTGATGATCCTCCGCCGCAGCGTCAGGCTCTACAGCAGCGATGGCAGCGTCTTCACTCGGCGGAGCATCTTCGGCATTGGTCGTTTCATCTTGAGCGAGTGCCGAGTCAGGCGTGTCGTCGAGCTGTGGAACTTCAGATGCAGAAGGCGCAGCAGATGCCTCAGACCCTGACCAGTCATCATCTTCGGACTCAGACCCAGACTCACTTCCCGCATCAGAATCCTGCTCTTTTGCTGACTCATCATCCGGCGATGGCCCAATGTTAGAGTCAACGGAAACCTCCGAAGGTTGAGGTTCCTCAGGCCCAACGTCCTCGGGAACCTATACGTGGTTAGTATACATCATCAAAGACTGAACAAAGTTTTGCGTATGGCAATTCAAAATCAATCGCATCCCCGTACGTACCACTTCCGGTGCTTTCTTGGCCGGCATGTCTGGTGCAGAGTCGTGCTCGGCTTCTGCTAGCGCAATGTTCGCTACAACATCATGATCGGTCTCTTCGGGAATAACTTGAACAACAGATGGATCGCCCACGGCGTTTTCAGTGTGATTCTCTTCGACCGCGAGCTGTTCAATGGGCGTATCAACGTCAGCCTCTTTTGAGACAGGGTCTGGGCTGACTTCGCTGGTCGCGTCAGCTGGGATGCTTGCACATGATTCGTCCGGGTTGTCGTCGAGGTTGGGTAGGGCTGCTTCAGTCTCGGCTACACCGGGTCAGCCGCTGTGGTGCATGGCCACTTTTGAGAGGAGAGAAATGTCGATGGTGTGCAAGTAGAAGTACAATCACAGAAAAAAAAAGAAGTTGAGATTCAGATGTGACGGGGATGTCGGGAGCCAAATCACAAGCGGCAGGGCTAGCGCGGAGCAAAACCACGCATCTTGGGACGTCGACAAATTGCGACGCATGTGTCGCAGCCCGAATTTGATGGCGACAGACAGGCTTCCACGTGACGATAAGCTAGTCGCAGCGGTGGCAGAAAGTCCGCAGAATGTGCTGGCAGGTGGGCCAGAGGAAAATATGGGGCGTCCAATGGGGAATTCCCACCGCTGCTCGCTAGCCCGATTCGCCGCCCAAGGGCGCGCTATCGTGGAAACGTGCGTAATTGAGCCAGCGAAAAGAAGTGCATACGACATAAAGATGTGAAACACAAAAAACATAGCATGTACGTACCTGTGCGTGCGTCTGGATTCTCCACGTCATCGGGTGCAGCCGAGACTATGGCCTGCTCGCTGTCCTTGGCAGCCTCGTCGTTCACCGCTGGCTCCAGATCATCGGCTGGCGATTCATGTGCAGTCGCATCCTCCTGTGCGTCTGTGCTTGAATCGGTGATGTTGTTCTCCTCTGATGCATCTGGCTGGCTAAGATCTGAGTGGGGTTCTGTTGGTGCAGACACATCCTCGATACCCGTAGTCGACTTCGCGTCTTCAATACCGTCTTGATTGGGCGTGTCAATTTCGACTTGAATTGGTTTTTGATCAGCTGCGGCTGTATCAGCTGGAGTGATCGTCTCCGGTGGCTCAGGAGGGTCTGCCGCCGGGCCAGAGGATGAGGGCTCCTCGTCCTTTGTCTGGTCTTCGGTTTGTTGAGTAACATCATTTTGCTCTGACACCTCTGGTTCACGAGTGGTGGATGTATCTTCGACAGTCTGTTCTGCCGCTGTGACTTCAATGAGGACTGCATCGTCCTCGACGGCGACATCGATGGGTGGAACAGAGGCTTCAGTGTCGATCTGCTGGACCTGCTCCACAGCCTCGCACTCTTGCTGATCTGATGGTTTCTCTGTCTCTGGCGTAGGTTCAGATATTTCTTGTGTGATGCGGTCGTCTTCGTAGTCTTGGTGCTCGGAAGGGTTGGTCTCACTCTCACCAGCCTGCGATGAAGCATCGGCATCGTCTTTTTCCCAGTCAGATATCTCTAGGTCGCTGACATTATCTTCGTCTTTTTCCCAATCGGAAATGTCTTGCATAGTCTCTGTGGCCTCCACATCTTCACCGTTTGCTTCAGTCTCCGCTGTCATGACTTCGATGGGCGCGATGATCGCCTCTTCACTCGACTCATTGTTGGCATCTCCCATATCGGCGACGCTTTCTGTCGGTACAACAGACTCGTCGTGTGTTACATCAGCCACGACTTCAGTCGCTTGGGTGTTCTCGGGAGGAGCTGTCGTCAAGTCGTCGTCAGTCGATGGAGAAGCACTTGTTGGGTCTGCTTCTTCAGGGATAGTTGTAGCCTCCGGTTCTTCCGTAGGCACCTTGCCTTCAACCTGCACAGTATTAGGCTCACTGTTGCCTTGACCAGATGTTGTATCGCTAGTGTTCTCGGCCGGGATAGGTTCGTTGGCGTCCACTGCGACTGGATCTTCGATCGTGCTATCGGCTTTCAACTCCTCTGTTATACTATTAGCATTGATAACAAAAGAAACGCAGCTCCGTGTTGCCTGCAGTCCAATGGTGAACCGAAAGTGGACTCACCCGTAATCTCAGCGCTCAAGTTATCTGACTCAGCCACAGCCACCACTGACTCAGCATTTCCTACTTCTCCAGCATCTGTGTCTTTAATCTTATCATCGTTCTCAGTCGATGGCGAGTCGCTGGACGTAACTGTCTCGGGCTCTGGAGCTTCTTCAGAAACGAGAGGCTCGGAGACGGCATCTTCGACAGCTGAAGATTCAGATCCTTGAGATTCCTCTTCGTTCTGAGTACTTTGGGACGCAACATCTGCGTGTTCTTCAACCGGTAAGGTCTCGACTGGAGCCTCTTGATCTGCGATAGGAGATGGTTCGACATCTTTATTCCCTTCCAGTAGGGACTGTTCTTGAGCAGCATCCGGTTCTGGGTTTGACGCGGCGGCATCTTCTACTATCTCAGCAACTAACGCTCCCTGAGCAGCTAGTATTTCCTCGACAACAAGTATATCCTCAACAGCAGGTGTCTCCTCAACAGCGACTGATTCACCAGCAGCTGGTGATTCATCAGCCGTAGGTACCGCTTCAGTGACAGTAGTGGCCTCACTGGCTGGCATCTTTTCTGTAACAGGTACCTCGTCGACAACGATGGCGTCTTCAGCCTTTGGTGCTTCGTCGCCTGCAGATGCTGCTTCGGCAGTAGGTGTGACATCCACAGCTGAGACTTCTTCGGGTACCGGTAGTTCTTCAGTAGGCGGGGTATCGTCAGTGGTGGGATTGTCTGTAGAAGAAATCTCTCCAGTAGCGGGCGTGTCTGAAGCATCAGAAGTACCGTCAGCCTGAGAAGCCTCTTCAACGGCGGCAATTGTCTCCTCAGCAATCGGTGCCGCTTCACTCGCAGGCGATGCTTCGGCCGAGGATGGCTCTTCAGTAACAGGGGTGACTTCAGTGGCTGGAGTATCTCCAGGAGCAGATTGTTCCTCATTGTCAGCCGGTTCTGGAGAAACAACTGTCTCGTCCGCCGCGAGTACCTCTTCGGCCGATGTTTGTATGCCCGCAGAGGTCGGTACCTCACCAGATGATGCTACTTCGCCACTAGAAGTCTCTTCAGCTGTGGATGTTTCCACTTCTCCAACAGCAGAAGTCTCCTCGGTGATTGGCGGATCGTTGATCACCGGAGCTTCTTCAGGAGCAGGAGGTTGTTCCCCGACAGCGGGTGCCTCTTCTACAGCAGAGGGTAGTGCTTCGATTGCAGTCGATTCCTCAGCGGTACTCGTGTCTTCCGCTGCTAATTCACTAGCAGCCTCGCCCACAACTGAGTCCTCTGCCGGTGATGGTGCTGGTGCCGCTTCAGCAGGGCTCTCCGCTTCGACTGGCTGCTCTTCGTCTGGAGAGGCCACCTTAGGCTCGGCCACATCTACACCGTCTGCCGAAGTTTGTTCTTTTTCAGGTTCCGCTTCGACGGGTGGCTTTGTATCCTCACTCATAGTACCTGAACCTTTCACCGGCGGCTCTGGTGTCGCAGCAGGTCCTTCGGAACCCGCGTCTGCTGTCAGCTCGTCCGAAGAGGCAGGGGTGTCTTCGATTACAGGATCGTTTGCGGTAGTCTCCTCTGCTACGGCTTCAGTAGGGGACTCGGCAACGACAGGCCCGTTGCCTTCCGTGGTAGGGCTGTCTGTGACTGCTGCTTCATCCTGTGCCTCCACAGTATCCTCACCAACAGCAACCTCGTTTTCCACAGTTGGAGCATCGTTCGGTGGTGGTGGCGGCGGTACGGCCTCGATTACGATCGATTCTGAAGCGTCTTCGGTAGGTTCCTCGATGATAACGCTTTCGGAAACGACCGAAGGGGATGCATCTCCGTCGATGATCACGACCGACCCGTCGTCACTTGGTGATATACTACCGTCATCACTGCCTCTCTTTCCTCCTGACTTCCTCATATCACCCTTCATCAGCTTCTCACTAGTGAACGCTGAGAACATTGAACCACTTCGCTCCTTTTTCATGATGCTGATTGGAACCATAGCATTTTTCTTTCCGTCCTTCGGCGGCGACGCAAGGGGAACGGATTTCGATGGCTTTCTGGGACGAACAAACGCGGTGGGCTTGCCTTTACCATGCTTCTTCTTCTTGCCAATACTTGCGGCGTCTGGGTCTTTGGTGTCAGAGGCAAAATGGACAAACTTCTCAGTTGGGGATTTCGGGGGCTCTTGAGCGGCCTGCTCGGACTCACCACTCTTCTCACTCTCAACGACTACAGGCTCAGGTGTTGCATCCGCTGGTAGTGCTGGCGGCGGAGGAGGCACGGGCTCACTAGGGGGTACTGGCAAAACCTCTGGTGTCGGTAGCCCTATTACCGGTACTGGCGAAGCTGGTGGAGGCGGCGATACTTCAACGCTCGTGGCATCGCTTGATCCCGGAGGTTCATCTTTGACATCCTCAGTCACAACTTCGGCTGCCACAACATCGTCTCCACTACTGGAGGCAGCCTCTGCTTGTTGTGTCGGTGGGTCTTCGGGTATAGTTTCTACTGGGACTGTTGCTACGGGTGTATCTGTTGTTATTGGAGATTCTCCTGGGGGAGGTACTTCTGGTATGGCTGGAGGTGCGGCCTCTGCTAGCCTGGCTTCTGCCACAGGTGGTAAATCTGAAGCATCTGGTGCTGTCGAGGCGATTCCTGATTCTACAATGGTCAATTAGACATGTTAGACATAACGTATTCCAAGCATACCTGCTTGATCGTCATCGGTGCGCTTATCATCAATCACATGTGCAACGCCCGTATAAGAGAATTTTGGAGGAGGCGCAACCACCCGGCGATAGAGAGGTTGAGCCGGTGGTTTGGGCGCGGTAGCATAGAAGTTATTGCCGGTGTTTGTGTTGGGGCCGGCGTATGGGTTCGCCCATGGCGATATCGAGACATTGTCGAACTGGCGCATGGTGGATCAAACAAAGTCAATGCGGTGTTTTGAAACCAGATATTCGATAAGTTGTGCTACACGCTATAGATGTTTTCTTCGTTCCATAGCTGATGACAACAAAAGGTAGGCATGCAATGGCGACATGAGACGTGGGGTGCGAGCATTGATTGCGGAGAGACGAATGAGAAACGGATCAGTCTAGACGGAAAGCACAGAGGGTGGAGGTATGCAACGTGCGTGGCTTCAATCGGCCAGAGCTGGACGCAGCACTGAGATCAGACGAAAGAGAGGTGCAGGACAACTGTCACAAGACATGATGCGAGAAATCGTAAGGAGATGCCTCGCATTGTGGGCGCAATGGTTCGGTAAGCCTCGGGTTGGCATGCGCGCATGCTTCCACAGGCTCACGCTGAGAAGGCGAGTTTGGCCTGTATGTCTAATTGGTCCACGTAGGGAAACGCAGTTCGTTCAGGTTGATAGAGTTGGAAGTCCGGAAGGTGGGGTTTTCGCTGCGATGGCTTTTCGATTATTGGCTCGATGGCGCTTTAGCTTGCAGTTGTGTCGCCAGCGTGGATCGTGGTGCAGCGTTGGGTTCAACGGCCAAATTTCCGGCACCGGAAGGCCTGAGAGCGTAAAGTGCGGCAAAGCATCAATTAGCAAGGTCTGCCCTTCTAACGACCTTCTCGACACCCAAGGGAGGGCCGGCGCTGCAGGGGCATGCATGAGCACGTATGGGAGAGTCATGGCAAAGAGGGAAAAAGTGAGGTGGTTGATGGATTGAGTGACGTGGCGTGGCACGCACATGGGGCCCGGGGAGCACTAAGCGACTAACTCATGAGGGCCGACCCGACTCAAGTCGTACCTGGCGACGTGGGACGCTCACAAAGAAGACACCATCGTGACCCCACCACCAAAACCCTTGGTACAACAAAGCAAAAGCATTGCGGCGTGGAGGGGCATCCGGTGACGTCGACTCTAGTCGCTGCTCCAGATCGCGATGCTGCGACTAGACTTCCTCGCCACGTCCAATCTACGACCTAGAGCATTGGTGACGTGCATCCAGCCGACGATAGGTGGAATCGGTTATGCAGCGGCTATCGAGGATTTTCGAAAAGGCGAAGAGGATGAGGAAGATTACCCAAGGTGGCGGGCGAATCTATTGTCAGTACGTGTTCGCAGTTCGGTGCTGCACGCCCCAATCAATATAGATGAGTAGATTGCCTATGCTGCCGACGAGCATCTCGTCAGATGCGCTCATGTAAGCAGGCATATATAAACGAAGTCGGATCACGTGTGTAGCTTACTTTGGATCAGAGAATCGTTTCGATGCTCACTAAAAGCGATCTTCGCTACCTAGGAACAGCCCGGAGTGTCTAGCACTCTTTTTTATCACGTGTTCACGTCGGCCCAGCTGTCTGACATGACGATGTCTCGAGACGGTTTGGAGGCTTGCAAACACAAGCCTTTCATCATCGTTCCAAATTCACAATGGTCATCTTGTTCGAGCATCTCCGCCTTGTCTTTTGTCTCGACCGTCATACCCACCTCCATGGCCTCAAGCCACTTCCGATTGACCTCTACGTCTTCTCTGCAAATCTCACAATTTACCTTGTTTCCTCTATGCTTCTTCTTCTCACTCTGCGTCGTTGTGATATGAACATCAGTTGTCGACCACTCGTTCTGCGCAAATGTGTGCCAAGTAGAAAGGTTCATAGTTGGCACTGAGGTTGACGAAGCAGAAGTGAGAGTTATAGCAGGGATCTTTTCGAAATAGTCGCTATCTTGCAACAAGATAATCTGAGGGCTTTGTTCTGCGAGGAATGCGTCTACTCTCAGCGGCGATGTGCAACGTCTTGTTGGATTAAGTGTTCTTACCAAGTCGAACGCTTCCCCCCACTGTGGGCTTCTCTCGGAGCCGCAGCGTTGCCATAATTTTCGTAATTTTGTGGCACTGATAGCGGGTAGGGTCCAGCGTGCTTTTGTTATGTTTGGCCGGAGCAGATGTGTTCTCGGTGACGATGACGATGAGGAGGGTGGAGAGCAGACCAGACATTTTGCTTGGCGTTCTGACTTGGGTTGAGAACATGCCCAGCATGGAGTGATGTTGGAGGACATGGCGTTCGCCTTGGCGTTATGTATGTAGTGCAGTGAAGTATGTGAAGGCGGACACGAAGTCATTTCGAAGACATCATAGGAGAAGACGAGGACAGAGCAAGAGATACTGGAAATATGAAGCAGGTGTCGAAAATTTCTGAGCTGTCCCTCCTTACAGGCCTGTTGGGTTTCCAGGCGTTATCTGGCGCGAAAATTGATATGGATAGAGCAAACCATGGTTCTAGTGCAATCTGTGGCGAAGCACTGCAAAGGCACTTAGGCAACACTTCGATCACAGCTAACGTCTTGCACCCTGTTTTACAGAGGTGCAGTCGTAAAATTCAGTGTTATCTCACTTATCTTCATCACTCTTTCCCAGTCACTCCTACAACGCAAGCCTATGATTTACGCTGCTTGAAATGGGAAGGTGCAAATGGCGACAGGCCTCTGTCCACGTCGATTCTCACATCTCCACTCGACGCCGTATTGCAGAGCCTCTCATCCATATCGCCTCCGTCTTCGCGCTCGCTGTTGGAGAATGGCGAATATCACCTCCGCAACACAAGATGGCGCGCGGTTCACCAAACCAGGTGAGCACCCACCTCCAGGGCTCGACTGCGCCTGCCATGGCATCAATTATATGATTACAAAGAATTTTGCCTAACAAATGCAGCGGATTGGGCTCTCCACATGGTAACCGCTTCACTGAAGTTCTCTTGTTCGAACGACGCACCAGTCTCGTACACCACGCCTGTTGCTGGACGCCTCGATGTGCTTAACGTACTCAATTGGCATGAGGCTCATGACGACTATGAATGGCCTGATTTCATCCAGATTGGTCATGACTTCACTCAGACGATGCGATTTCGGCGCGGTCTCGTGAATGATGTCTTCCTGGCCCTTGAGAAAGCTGGTTTTATCAAGATCACTGGTGAGCCTGGTGTACTCGGAACACCACAGAGCTCCGCGGTTAAGAGAAGAGCTGGCATGAGAGGTAGGTCTCGTGCACCTGCCTAGCCATCGACGTACTAACGAAACGAGTAGTTGCCATGCGTATGTCCGAGCGAAAGCGTCATTGCAGGCGTGAGAGCTCCAGCAACGAGATCACCTCTGATGAAGAAAAACCATACTATGAGACCGATCGTTTTCTTGCTAAGAGTATGCGTTGCTTGATCGAGTACGCTGGCTTTCTTGTTGATGACTGCATCGCTGGCCTTGAGGAGGGCGATCGTCTTTCTGAAGAAGATCTTGCAAACACCATCAAAGACCTTGTGGCCCAGGTCTGGAATGTCGAGGATGACCCACGATCCATGAAGCGTGTTGGGAACATTGCTTTTTCCAAGAGCGGCAGTGGACAGGCACCTAGAATATCGAGCCCCGAGCTCTGAACAAACAACGACAGAGCCCAGTGCAAACACCTGAATGCCACGAGCTCCCCCTTTACTCATTGAGAGAGCCAAGACAGAGGAATGATGGCTGGTGATATCAGTGTGACGATGTCCCAAGGGTTGTCTATTTCGCTGTGACAACAAAACAAGGACACCAGGAACTTGTCAGGACTGAAGAGGAACGAGTGTGAATGTACTTACATGTACCTACTGTACAATTCAAAACAAATCTATTGCATTGTAAATAGAGAGTCGCATTATTGCCGTGTATCTGGGTATAACTCGTCAATCATATCTTCGTAAATGACAATCATTGCCATACTTTCATAATAGCACCCAGTCCACGGCCACTGTCCACCTATCCTCTCCAACATCAACTTCCCACATGGGTGCGCGAATACCGACCACGCTCCCCGTCTTGACGAGCACACCTCCCGAGGCTCTAGCACCGCCTTGACCAGCTAGCAAGATTCTTATCGGGCTATCTTCAGCACCTGTACTCCCTGCTCTCGAAGCATTATACATGCCAGGCTTGGTATTGGCACGTACAAAGACGATGCCGCCTGAATAACACTCCACTTTACCATCTTTCTGCGGTCGGTCCCCGCCTCTCGACAGGTCGGTCACCATTACTCGCAACTTAACGCCATCCTCCTTATCACGACCACAGACGATAGCACTCCTGTCCTGCGCCGCAAAACCAGTGTTTGCCGTCTCTATGATCCAGCTCGTCACTGTCGATGCTAGACCGTTGGGTATGTATTTGCCGTTCTTGCGCGAAGGAGAGAAGATCTCAGGGAGCGGTCGGGAGGGCTTTGGTGGCGATGTAGGTAGCGCGGGAAGTATGAAATGTGGACGTTGCGGCGCAGCGGCTGGCATGGACGTCACTGCTGCAATGCTGGGAAATGGCGCAGGGGTATGTGGTGGGGGAACTTTGAAACGGTGCATCTTTGCGTTTGATACGGGTACCGGTGTAGAGGGTTCAGACAGTCCTTGGAGCGAAGGAGAGCTTTCTGGAGAGATGCGACGACGCTTGTTCGTTTGGACAGATTCGAAAAGCATGTCATCTTCCCGGTCTGCTTCTTGTTCTACCCAATGGCCCAGCTGTGTGTCTCCACCTTCAATGGACTGTATAATAGGCTCACCATTCTCATCCTGCCCTGACTGGCTTGATTGAGATGGTTCCTCTATGCTTTCTATCCGCTCGAATTTCCTTCGCGGCTTTGCAAGCGGCGTGGAGAGGGTGAATGTGTCCTCGTGTGCCTCACCGCGTTTCTCCTTGACGACTCCGACTGCTGGTCGTGGCGGCGCAAGTACAAAACGTTTCGCAGGCGTCAGTTTCTTAAGCGATAGCTCAGATTTTGGCTGCGCTGGTTTGGTAGATGCTGGTGTTTGTACAGCGAGAGCGTTGCGCAGACCGGATTGGGGTTTCTTCAGCTTTTGGGTCGAAGGCGACTTGGGTGCTAGGAAGCGGTGCGGGGAGGGCGTGTGGGTTGACATGGCGGGAGTAACATGGGCGATTCGGGCAGCCCTGGCACGGCAGGTAGGTGACGTTGGAGGTGGTTATTGTGGGCGGAGGTAGGATCGTGGTGGCGAGGCCGCCAACTCCAAAGCCAGCCTGCGCAAGCGCGATGCGGTCGCGATAACACGGATGCGCGCAGTCACGGGACAGGAACGTCACATATGCATCACGCTCACAACGGACGCGTGCAGGACTCTCCTACATTTTGGCAACTGTTCATCGTGGTTTAGCAACAACCTCGGCCGTGTGAGAGGCTGCACAATCTTTTTGCTTGCATAGCAATGACGCGACGCGACGCGACGCTCTCAACGTACTCGATAGGTGCGTGGGTAGCGGCAGTATCAATCGCGGATCACATGTCAACATCAAGGCGACTGAAGAGCATTCGGAACCTCGGGAATCTCTGCAGAGATAAGCTTCAACACGCTTAGATGTCTTGTGGATGTCAATTGTCGCTCGAAGGATGTACTGCATCCAAGCTTGGGCAAAATCCCACGCGCAATCTCCACAAAATGGATGATTCAAGGATCTTTCTTGATGCCGGGCGAATCGGGGTATTGCTGTTGGGCGGCAATTCGCAATCCGGTGATACCAGCCATCTTTCGCAGACCTGATTTGGGTCTGTGGGATCGCAATGGGGTGATCTCACGATTGGCGCCGGGTGATCAACGGTATCCTGGCTGAGCCTCGTCTCCATAGGAACATGCGCCAAACCTAGCACAGAAGAATCGAATAGACGCATGGACTGCGAGTAGCACAGAGAGGCAGCGCATGGAATAACCAAGTCAGGAACGTGTGAGATTTTAGCAGACGTGTTTTGTCTGGAGATGCATGGTCGAGCGTGGAGTGAAGATGATACAGTCGGACAGCTGGGGTCTTGCAGGCTCACGCAAGGCGGGTGCGAAAGCGGGTCAAGGACCAGATGCAGTGTACGTACTGCAGATGGGTGCTACGCGTGTGTGTACATGCCGGAGAGCCCGTTACAGCCGGCAAGTGTCGCGGTTAGTGAGGCGATGGCAGCAGACTGACCGGCCCAGCCACAGAATATGACATAGCCCCAAAGGAGTGCAAACAATAGCGCGACAGGCGTTCGCAGCGAGATGGGGCTAAACAAGAAACTTGAGACTTCGCGTCTGCAAGGGACGACCCTTTCAGCCTTAATGATCTGACCGGGGAAGAGCGTGGTAGGTCCACATGGTGGCTCAGGGCGTGTGATTGGTGCTGCGGGGGCTCAGAGAGGCTGGAGCCAGCCACATGAGGATGCGTAACATAGGAATAGAACAAGACCCGCGAACCCGATCCACCCCAAAACACGCTTGCATCTTGCATCCACGCCTAACCTCTGCTTCTGCACTGTCGCTCTTTTGTTTTGCCTCGCCGCCTATCTCTCTCACTCTCTCTCTCTCTCACTCCCTCGTTGCAGCTTCACCTCCTCCCCTCGTCTTGCAATTGCAGCGAATGCGCCTTATCGCCGCCAACGACGCTGCACTCGCGGCCATCCACGCCCACCACCCACTCTCGCTCGACGCGCCTTCCCGCCCCAAGTCCCTCACCCGGGCCATTGCCGCAGCATGGCGACCAAGGCGATGAATCTCCCCAACTTTGGCGGAGCTCATGCGGCAGGCATCTTCTCCGACATGACGGTCGACGGGCCGGTAATAGGCACTCTGGTTGTCATCATGGATCGCGCCCGAAATCTGCCCAACAAGAGGACCATGGGAAAACAGGACCCGTACTGCGCTGCCCGGTTGGGCAAGGAAGCCAAAAAGACAAAGACGGACAAACGAGGCGGCCAGACGCCCAAATGGTACGTCCCTCTTGGACATATTTCGAATCCGTCGCTGACACATGCAGGGACCAGGAATTGCGCTTCACCGTCCACGACTCGCCCGACTACAACCGCCTCAAGGTCTCCGTCTTCAACGACGACAAGAAGACGGAGCTGATTGGCGAGGCTTTTGCCAATCTCAACTCCGTCATCACGCCCGGCGGAGGACAGAGTGACGAATGGCTCGGCCTCAATTGCAAGGGCAAATACGCCGGTGAAATCCGGATGGAGATTACCTACTACGACACCCGCGAGAAGAACGAAAAGCCAGCACTGCAGAAAAGGAGAGAGTCAGCCAAGCCAGAAGGCAAGGCTGCTGTGGGTGGAGCGCGCGAGATGGCACCCGTCAAGCGACGTCCGCTCCCCAGCGACCCGACAGGCGCCACACCATCGCCCGTGCATACTCCAGAACAACGAGGACTGCGGGGTGTCAGGGCTGGCCCACGAGAGCTGGGCTCGCCGCGACACCAGCGGACACCAACTGAGCCGTCACCAGCACACCGGACCCAGTCGGATGCACCTTCACGCAGGCCTGTGCCAGAATCCTCCCCTCTAAACCCCGCGTCTACGTCGAGCCAGACCACCCCACAGCGCCCCGCCCCGCATGCGTCGTACAGCACACCTCCGAATCCACGCTCGTCGGCCCAGAGGATGCCTATGGCGAGGGAAGAGAGCTTCGACATGTCCTATGCTGCCCCCAAGCCATATGAAGTGAAGCCGATTGATCCTCTACCACAACGCATCAGACACTCGGAGCAGAGGAGGATGTCTCAGGAAGATGGTCAATCTCCAAGAACCCAAGCGTTGCAACACCCCGAGCCAGTACATTCTCACTCGGCCCCAACGGTCCCAACGCAGCACGCCTATGAGTCCCCGGCACAACAGCAAAAACTACAAGAGCAGCAGAAGCAGATTGAGTATCTCCAGCAACAGTTGCTTCAGCACCAGCAGCATGAGCCCCAACGGATCGAGCCGGCCCCGCAGCCAGCCCGGCCAGTTCAGCCACCTCAGTCGTACGCGCAAGACCAGTATCAAGATCCGACATACCAGGTTGCGCCTTTGCGAAGCAGTCGTAGCCGCGAGCATCCTCAGGAGCAGGCTTCTCCAATCGACCAATACTACGGTCAGCGATTCATCGAGGCACCGCCCCTACACGACGAAAGCCCTACGCATCGCAGACGTAGTGCCATGCAGCCCATGGTGGAAGACGAGGATGACATGCCGCCACCGCCGCCCATGCACAAGCGCAATGCCAGCACCTTGCCTCACCCTAACCAAGAGAGCTCTGACCGTTACCGCAACGACGGCCCAGCGCCACTCAGCTTTGCATCAAGGTCGAGAGGAGATTCACTTCCCTACAGCTACGATATGCAGCCTCAGCAATATGACCCCGATAACTACGCACCTCGACAACCCTCTGAACGGCGGTACACTCACCCTCGTATGCCAACACAGGGCTCAAGTCGTCCCGTATCTCGTGATGCTATGGTGCCGTCCCCACTAAGACAGGAAACACTGCGACAGGAACCACCGGCGCTGCCAACCAGTCTCATTGCCGGGCTGAACCCGGTGAGGCAAGAGATCGAGGCGCCACCTTACGAAGCTCCTCCTTCGTATGAGACACCGCCGCAATTGCGCCACTATTCTGAGCCGGCCGAGTATCGGGCCATCACACAATTTGAGGCACCCGTCCAGTCACAGGAGTTGGTCCATCATTCTGCGTACCAATCCAACGACTACTATCCCCATGACCCGCCCGAACAGCCTCGCCAGATGTCACCTCCTGTTTACGACCCCACTCCAATTGTCAAGCCTCGCGCTACAAGTCCTGGTGTAAACCCGCGATACTCTCCCAATCCGACTATGGACCGCTACTCTCCCAACCCGGATATGGATCGTTACTCTCCGAACCCGGTTACCGATCGCTCGTCTAGGATGCCTGCGCGAAGCATGCCGACCCGCAAGTCGGTGTCACCTCGCCCACCACCCGCGAGGGAAGACACAAGTGAACGAAGACTTTCTGGAGTAGCATTCAATCCCGACAGTTTCGATGTCTACAACCCCAGAATGTCCAAGTCTCCAATACCTTCGGACGACGAGCTGGAACGACCAGGTAGCCGCATGGAGTACAACGACAAGGGTCAGATTGTCACATTCAGTGGTCGGGTCGTCGATGCGTCGGACCATCTGCCTGTCGACAACTGGGCACCCGAGCCAGTACCCAAGGGCACAGTGAAGGAAAAAGCTCCTCGCAGCAGAGCGCAGCTTAACGGTAGCAGGGATCTCGAGGCCGCTATGCAACGTGAGGAACGATACCAGCGCGAGCGCGCTGACAGAGAACGCATCCGCCATGCAGCTAGCATGAACTTTGACAACAGCAATGCGCTAGTCACTACGAGACATGACTTCAACAACGATTACAACTCACCTGTCAATGCAGGTGCGTTGGTCCTTGCAAGTCAGAGTCAACACAATGCGCCTCCTAGTTCTACAGCACGTAGCAGGCCTACAAGGCGAGACCAACAACGTCCTGTATCTGCCTACGATACGCCACCGCAGTACAACCTACCAGACAGACAGGTTCTCCGCGAACGCGACAATCCCAACAGCTATGGTAGCAATCCTAGCTATGACAGACGCGGTACCCAGAGGCATAGTGTCGCAGCTCCACCCATTCCCGCCAAGGTACCCATCGATATGAATGGCGGTGGCTACGGCGCACAGAACGAGGACATGGCACTCAGCTTGGAGTTGCAGAGCATTGACATTGGACCAGGCTCTGGTGGACGCAGACCAAGAACCACGACAAGACGACAGTACGGATTCTAATGGCAATATGAAGACTTCATACCACACCTTTACGCATTTGATGGCGTTGTACGATAATGTTTTGTTGGAGAAGAAGCTTTGTTTCTTTACTTCTTTCTTTCCTGTTTCTTTGCTCGATGTCTGGACGCTGGAGCCAGGCATGTCGGAGTCTTTCTTCCTTCCATACTTCTTTCCTTTTTACAAGATGTCTTGCATAGCCTTTGCTTGCGTAGATCGGTTTCTTCACACGCCTTCGTGCGTTACTTTTTATACTTTCCTTGGTCCGAATACAAGAATCGATACCACTTTCCCAATTCAATGCATCTAATACACCATACATTGGTCACTCTGCACCTCTTGCCTCCTGTGATGATGATATTAAGCACAACTAATAAGTCACGAGGTAGCGAAAGAAGAAACGTGTGGTCTTGATAATGCACATACTATATTGTTGATTACATCTATCTCATAGACAATGTAGAGTAAAGGACTCCGAGCTGGGGTATCTGCACGCGAAATGCTCAAGGAAATCTATGCTAAAGCTGTGACCATCTTCTCTTTGCCATCTGCGCTATATGGTTCTTGACTCGTTAAAGACTGCTACGTCGAGTTGACCAATAAGCCTACTCATACAAATCTCTGTCATTTCGATCGTTCTTTGGGGGAGCACTAGCTGCATCAGGTGCAGTGGCCTGTTGTCTGGCTGAGTGGTCTGCTGAAGCATGACTCTCTATCACTGGTGGGATCTGCGGTGCTCCCTGCCCTGCAGCTTGAGGTGAGGATGCCGGCAGAGGGCCTTGGAGTGGAGGACTTGGAGCTCCCGCTAGCGGAGTTCCTACATTCGGTGGGGCACCATACGGCGTGGGCGTGTGCGCGGCGTTCTGATGGGTGGAATAGATTGGCTGAGGGGCTTGAGGGGCCAGGGGCGACACATTTTCCGCCTGGTTTTGCGATTGTGGGTGACTCATGGCGGAAACAGGAGACTGTGAAACGACCGTTCCATCTTTGGTCATGTCGCCATAGTAGCCAGCTTGCTGGGTAGGAGGATACATATAGCCTTGTGGTGGCACAAAGCCTCCGTTTGGCGCTTGAACCCAGCCTGGAGGTGGAGGGCCATAGTAGTAGACCTGACCTGGAGCACCAGGGACGGGCTGCAGAGCACCGCCACCAGACATAGCAGGCTGGAAAGCACCTGGTGTTTGCGCCATGGCTGGATACAACGGCTGGCCGGGTGGTACAATACCGACAGTTGTCTTGCTGAACTGACCCAACAACTCCTCTGGGTACCGATGGCGAAATCCCCATTTCCACCAGGCCTTGAAGGCTGCGCCACTACCCATATTCTTCCACTTCTCAGCCAACAGCTTCTGGTCTTCAGCACTACGACGATCTTGCATGCGAGTGAAGCAGAGCACCCAGAGTGAGATGAGTACCCAGCAGCATGTACCAAATCGCATGGCACTCTTGCCGAGCATGAGGCGGCGGAACCAGAACCAAGATTCGAGGAATCCAAGAAGGAAGAGACCGGGAATTACAGTTGCAATGATGATGATATATACGCGAAGGCGAGAGGTGCAGTAGTAATAATAGCACGAATCGTATGAGCTATCATCATCGTCGTTATTCAAGCTGCCACCGCCTGCACCACCGGAAGAGGAACCAGTGCGATAAGCTGCTGGAGGCGTGCTGCAATCCGCAATGTAGTATGAGTAATAGTAGTCTGATGTTGTGGTGAATGGCGCGGCGCTCTCAGACAGATACCATGTCTCCCAAACGTAGACGGTATTGTCGTAGGTAGTGCTGCTTGAGTACGTCTCAATCGAAGTTGGCGAGATTTGTGCGGTTACCTGGGTCGGAACATCCACAGAGGCGGAAGTAGTTACGGTGACTAGGGAGGCACTCCGAATCAGTATTTTGAAAACTTGGACAGGGAATGTTTTACTTACATGGTGTAGGGCACGAGGCGGGTGCCACCATGGTGACCGGCATGCTGAAATCAATGCTCGTGATTGTAGTTGTCGTCGAAGCCGCCGTTGTAGTGGCATAGTAATCATAATAGTCAGGCTCGAGATCGGACTCTGCCACTGCACTGGTAGTGTAGTAAGCGTACACGATCTGGAGATCATCGTTGTAGTAGCCATATTCGGACGTGGTCGAGTATGGTGAGATCGTGGGGGTGGCCTCGTCCTTCACGGTGCGGGTTACGGTATAGCTATCAGTGGTGACACTGTCGTCATAGTTTGTATACAAACTCTCAGACACGGATTCCACGAAACGGGAAGTGTATGTCCAGTATGCTGAAGCGGAACGAGTGGTAGTAGTGTGAAAGTCATCAGAGAATAACTGTGCCCGTGCAATAGCGGCATTAGCGACCGCCATAAAGACGAATCGGGCAGCCATGATGCTACGTGCTACGAAGGTAAACGATCGTGGGTCGCAAAACGCGAATATTAGAGATTAGCAAAGTCTGTAGGGCTATCTCCAAACATGAGGACAACGCTCTCATCTTAAACACCATCAAGCACCGCGCCGTCAAGCCGAACAACGACACGGCTAGCTCACCGGTCGTGCAAACTGTGCAGAGTTACATTTCGTTTCCCCTTAAGCGATCGATGCAGCCTTGCGCCTCTTCCAGGGTCCGACTCTCTCGACCAATCATATTATCGACGCGATGCGAGTCAGCCAATCCCGCGAAAAGTCTAGACGTTTAGCGGCATTGAGCCGTCTATCTTTGGGTCCATGCGGCTTGTGGCAGACTAGTCGCCGCCAGGGGTGAATGGGGCGCCTGAGAAGGATAAAGGGCTGCACTGCCCTTGCCTTTATTGAAAAGGTGACTCTGACCATGACTGAGCAGTGTAGCCATGCCATATTCGAATGACGTTACTGTAGACTTGCTGCAGGCCATGCACAGAACACGAGCTGGGCGCATCTTGACCTAACAATATGACCAGGTTGGTGATGGTTGTGTGGTGATTGAGTGTGGCGGTTGCGAGAAATGAGAGGTCTTTTTGGTGGCGTTCTCGTATGACAAGTGCACAACAACGTCTTGGCGACACATAAACAGTCATCCTCGGCAACTCCGCTCTACTCACCTGCCTTTCAGGCTTGTCGGCCAGGATACTCGACATGACCACCTCACATCCGTCGTCTATATTCGCAGGGTCCATGCCAACGGCTGCAAAGCACACTTTATGTTTTTCAACTGCGATAGCCACTCTACCATCCGTCTTACAGCGATAAGCGATCGAGGTCACCAACGTAGATGTCCGGTGTCTGGCACTTTCATCAGCTATGACTTCTTATGAAGGCAGACACGGTGCAAAAATCATCTCCCCATAGTGTATGTAACATGTAAGCTGGCAGGATACGGATCTTTGAGGGAACCTGCGGCTCTGTGTAAACAGCCGAGCAACTCGACGGATGGATCGACATACGCCGAGGCCGGTGATGGAACGTTGTAGTACATCGACTTGTTGGTCTGCTTATCGCCTATGCCGTTGATACCAATCTTTCAACTGTGCTTGTGCAACCGTTTGCACAGTCGCTAGAAGTACTCCAGTGCGACTCACATCTGGTCATCAGTCGTGATTCATGCTGGGTATAAAGATAATACTCCAAGTGTGTGTCTTCGAGCATGTCCTTTGAAAACTTCTCGCGAGCATATTCTACCATTGTCCATGCTCACCGACCTGACAATCGCACAATGTGGCAGTGTATCTGCACCCTTTTTGTCGGAAGAGGACCAACTAAGTCAAGTTGCTACAAGTGGAATCCCATCGAAATCTTGGATCGTCACAACGAGCCCAGAGCGAACAAAGTCATCAGTAAGTGCAACTACGATTTCTAGTTAACCTTTCCTAAATCAAGTCCTTGTCTTATAGGTACGCGGGGAATCCCCTCACGGACCGACACAGGAAAAGTCATCCTAGATATTCCTTGACTAGAGCTGGAGACACAGTCAAAATCGAGCGATCAACAGACAAAACCGAAGGAACTGGCTGTTTGGGAAATGGTTGTCCAAACAGGGGTGGCTGATATCGTTTCAAATGCGCTGTAGCACATTGTGGTTTTGAGATTAGGTCATCTTTGGATTCCAACCAGAACTGGGTGTTTAATCCCTAACATTTCACGAGTATCGAAACTCGCTTGTTACCATTAGACAGACAAGTGACGGATTCTGCAATTGTCTTGCTCGGTGATATAGTTCGTCAAAGTAGAGAACAGGCCTGAAGGTATGTAGGTATGACCAGCAACCAGCAAAGATGAGTACCTAACAGCCTGAAGATCAAGGAAGTTGAACGCATCGACTGTGGACCAGCCCAGAGATGATTTGTTTGTCATGGAGCGGTAGCCATCCAGATTGGGCGATCTTAAGCGCTGAATGCATGCTGGTCGTGCGCAGCGGAGCACCATGGGGCAGTGACCAGAAGGGTATAGTGTTGTTGGACCCCACTTTCACCAAGGCATCCAGCCTTCAGCTTCGCGCTGCACCACTGATCACCAACAGCGCTTTGAAAACTTGATGACCATCGCTTTGAAAGAGTCATGGGGTCTAAATCTCCAGAAGATCATCGTCAAGGTCCCGATGGTCAGTAAACTCGAATGGATGAAGGAACGACAGACATGCTGACACTCTTCAGGGTCCTCAGCAGACGCTGCAATCGCTATTATCAATCCACCTAAATCAGCCGCGGCGACTGGACTGCTTACGGGCGTTCTCGAAGGTCAAGGTGAAGACAGCGACGACAACGATGACGATATCGCGAGGCTTGGAGCTGACGTAAAGAACAACGATGGTGAGCTGATGCCAGGCGAGTGTAATGCTAAGACTAACTGCTCAAGGCACAAAGAAGAAAAGAAAGCGCAACAACAAGAAGAAGACCAAGAAAGTGTCACAAAATCAGCAGACGGCACCTCCCAGGGTACCCCTCACTGATTTATTCCTTGGTCGACAATATCCGGAAGGGCAGATTGTTAAGTATAGCATCAAAGATGACAACCTGAAGCGTACAACAGTTGGC